TTTCAACATACGTAAAAAACTCCCAAAATACAGAGTTCCAGAGTACAATTTTTGCAAGTAATTCATGTTTGAAACATTCACGAAGTATAAGACCAGAATGAAGAGCAATTTCAGGAATCTGATAGCTAAAAATAATTATCATAAAAAAAATACAAGTAATATAATATTACCCTCTAACAAGAATGAAAAGAGTATCTTCTTTTGTAGCAAGATAATCAACAGTAGGATAACGAGTCCCGATTTGTCTTCTAAGAAAAACATTAAAAATAGATGTAACATCTTTTCTAGACTTCTAAAATAAACAAAAAATTAGCTAAAAATTTAAATGAAAATACTTCAAATTCAAGATGGCCAAAATTAACTACAAATAAATAAAGTAAATCCGTTTGATATACTTGCTGAGATAATTGTGTAACTTGATCAGGTACAGGATCAGTATCTACAAACATAAATATAATTTCAAAAACATTTTATATTAAAATAAAACAGTTCCATACCATTATCACCATATAATAATACTTTCATTGCTTGAAGACTCCGAGATACTTCCTCCTGCGCCTAAAAAGTTAGAAAACCTTCCTTTTTTAAAAATAGAAGAAAAAAAATCTTACAACATACTCTTTTTTTATCGGCCATAGATCCTAATGTTTCTAATCTTTGAATTCCATCTTTTACTCCACGCACTATATCTTGAACAGATTTTTGTCTTCTGTTAAAAAGAAACGCCATTTTTAGTAATTTATACCAAAATAGAAATCTTGAATTATAGACTTCTTATTTGTAATAGTACTTTAATTCTCTTTTTTTCTATTATATTATATTATAATCGCCGCTAAACATTTTAAAAGTACCTTTTCAAAAGTTTTAATAATTTATCATACAAATAAAAATTATAAAAAATATATAAAAAGTAAACGTTTAACCAATTTTTATGTCAAATAAAAGAAATATATTCAAAATTATAGATTAATTAATATATTTTGAAGATACAAATTATTTTCAACAAATTAATCATTTCTAAAAAAACTAATAAATACTAAAAACCTTCTAATAATATTTTGAAGGTTTTATATAATTTTTTAAAACATGCTTTTCTATTATTCATCATTTAATCTTTTCTTTATCGTTATTTTATGATCAAGCATTTTAGTTTCATAGTTATATAAAAATCTATTTTCAAAAATTAATATAATTTTTTAATACCATAAAAATATTTTATTTATAATGTCTAAACTTTTTGCCCTAGTTACTACAATATACTATTCTAAAACGTTTTTTTAAATTATTAAAATAAAACTTTAAAAAAAAATATATCTCTAATTTAATGTATAAAAAGATTAATCATTAAAATTAATCAAAATCTTATCTTATATTCGTTCTTTTATATTTATTTTAATTTCAATAAAACAATTAAAAGCTTTAACACTTATAAATTACTCTTTCAAAAAAAACTTAACTATAAAAAAAAATATAAATATTAGATGCATATACTATAAAAAAATAACTGTTAAAATATATTTGCATTAAATATTTTTAATTTTTTTGACAATTTAAAATTCAAATAAAATATCTAAATTTTATTTATAATTTATATAAAAAATAATTTAATAAAAACTCATAATTAAAAATTCAAGGAGTATATTCAAAAATTGAAGCCTTATTTCAAAACTAATATAAAGTTAAAAATTATTACTGATTATATATAATATCAAATTACAACACTTAAATTTATATAATTTAATAATTTACGTAAAAAATTGAAAAAATAATTAACTTATTTTTTTCATTTTCTCTAATATCAATACAACTTTAAATAAGTTAATTTATATTTTTATATATTTTAATACAACTCCCGATATTTCAAGAAACTTGTATTTTAGTGTTTTTTAATTATATGATTAAAAATGTCAAAATTGGACTTCCTTTTACCCTTAATTCATGCAAGTTATCAAAAGATGGAATAATAGGAATTGCATGTGGAACTAGGGTTCAACTTATTGTAAGTTTATACTCTAATCATTTTATGTCCAAAATTAACTCTTAAGTCATGGAATACTTCATTTCAATCACAAAAAAAGGATTTTCAAGTTCAGGACATAGATTTATCCTCATACTTTGAACTGCAGGAAAATACTTATATTTTTCACGGTAAATCATTTAAACTATTTACGTTTATTTAACGGAAATAGATAAAAAACATTTTTATCTTTCTGAATCATCAGATACCTTCATAAAGGAAATAGATTGGTCACCTACGGGGGTATCAGAATCAAAGAAGTTAAATTCAAATCTTTGCTATTGTTTTCTAATTAATCAATAGTTGCGTACTTGCTATATTAACGTCAAAACACGTTGTCTATATCTTTAAGCCATACAAAAACCCATATTCAAATAAATGGGTTCTCGTATATTCAAAACGATTTAATAGTTATTACACTAATATAGAAAGCTACACAACATTTCTAAAATTGCTATAAAATATTTGTTCAATTCCTCAAAACCAAACACTAATATAACTAATTTTTTAAGATCAAGAGCACGATGTAAATGATTATGATGTTCTAACGCGCCTTTCTCTTACTATTTTAAGGTATTTTATGGTCACCAACACTTTATACACAGGAACGAAAATGGGGAAAATGCTACCTGGGTATAGGAAATGAATATGGTGAAATTGAACTTTGGAGGTAATATAAACGCTGTTTGTTATAATTTATAATATAGAAAAGCATATCTTCAGATGAAGCTATTCTAAGTTTAAAGTTAAAAGTTTTAGAAACATGGGTAACAAAACTTTCTTTTTCTCCATGGATGCAAGAAAGTGTTAATACATGTAATATCATAAAATACTGAGATCTATATAATAATATACTCAAGACTGCACCTTATTATCCGTATCTGGCGAATCTGGACCTACAAGAATTATAAAACTATCAGTATCTATAAATAATGAAAACGTTTATTTAATCTCTCCTTCTATAAAAAAATTATATATAGATAATAATGAATTTGAGACGCCTTCCAACAATTCTTTATGGCTTCTTCAATCAGTATATTTCTACAAAAATGTCATTTATTTATTATTAACGTATACAGACAATATTATATCTAATTTTAATACATGTTGAACGAATCTCGGTTTTTCAATGTTCAGCAACATTTGATCCTATCTTCATAAAATATTTACATACAGAGACTTTTTTACAAGCTTCAGGTAGTAAACGATTAAAAAACTGATATGGATTCATAACTTCAGGAACATCTATTATATATAATGGTATAGATCCTATTGGATTTTTAGTGGCATATCATAATGGCCTTATACAAACATTTACTTTTTCGAAACTTTCTAATGAAATAGAGCCTATTACTAATAATATTACTTTAAAACTCAAAGGACAACTTTCTGATTACATACAAACGAACAATTTCTCAGGATTTGATATTAGAATATATGGACTATCGTCATTTCCTCCATTTCTATATCAAATTTTTATTTGCGAGTAAATCATATATATTTTTTATTTTTCTTCTAATAAAAATCAAGAATCATACCATCAGATGAAATAAGATATATTACAAATAGGCAGGCAGAAGCAAATCTAGTATTTTTGGAATCATCAAATATTTCTAATGAAAAAATTTTAGAAGTTGTAGAACAATATGCCATATCAAGTAAAATTTACTAATAATTCAGCATTAAAAACTAATTTTATTAGATACTCGTTTTTCGACAACATGCATGCTTTGGGATATAGGCTTATCTAAATTTTTTAGTACATCATATAAGGAAATAAATTTTTTAAAATGCTTTGATCACTTGAAAAAATTTAATAAAGAAATATCGTACATAATCATGATTTTTTTATATAATAATTCTAATAACAAATTATTAGTAATGAAACATGCCAAACTATACCTGATAAATTATTTAATTCAGAGTTTTTAAATTCACAGAGATTATTAAATTCAATTATAAATATGTTTAAAGTATTGGTAAAATATACTGACATGGCTAAACTAATTATAATGAGATGAAAAAAGATCTAGAAATTATCTATCACACAATTATATCTAATCTTCAATCTCATTTAATAATAACGATTTTATCAGAGTCTAATTATTTTCACCAACATACATCATGCTCTCTTTTGACATCCAAAGAAAGAAAGTTAATCATGCTTTACTGCTCATTTGTCATAAATTATTTTCCAAATGACGATTTACTTTTAAATCTTTTAAAAGTTTGGAAAAAACACTTTCTATCATCTGAATTATTACAAATTCATGGTAATAACAAATTCAGTTATTTTCAGGTAATTTAATATAAATATTCTAGATTGGGAAATAAATACAGAGGAGTACTGTAACATTTGCAAGTCAAACATACCATTTAAAAATGTAGAATTTGGAACATGTGAAAAAAAGCATACATGGCGTAATAACACTTCTTTTCTATATTAAGTCTAAAAAACTTAGCAAGGTGCTCTATAACTTTATTTACTCTAATGGATGCATCCCCAAAAACTTGTCAAAATTGCTCAAGAAAGTGTATTTCTTTTTCGAATCGAGACCATTCATTTGTGTCAAAATTGATAGATGCATGTGATATATGCTTTTATTGTGGTGGAAGGTGGTATTCGAAAATATAAAAGTAGGAAGTAACTAATCTTTTTATCACTGATTTTTTTAGTTTTTAGAGGAATTTCTAACTCTAGTGTAAACTATATATAGTTTTTATCAGATACATTAAATACAATCTATTGACAAATATGTTTTCAAAAAGGACTTAAAAATGATAATTGTAATACTATATATTATGGAAATAAATGATAATTATTTTCAAATAAAAAATATTTAAACATTGAAAAATATTCATAAATAATCAAGTAAATTTCATATATATTTAGATTAATATTATATATTTTCCCATAAATAATATCTATAAAATTAAACTTCAAACATAAATAAAAATCAAATAAAAAATGCAAAAATTGCTTCAGTGCAATGCAAATTTCCAAAATTATACCATAAAAATACAATACATTACTCATATTTATTAACATATTCAGGATTATACTGAGAACTATATTTCCCTACAATCTTATACTCAGTAATATATTGATTAGAAAAATCACTCATTGATTGTAATTTTCTTTTTTCTTCAAATTCTCTAGATAAACGTGTTCCTTCTAATGCTTTATCTTTATTTATATCTTTATGCGCTTTATCTGATGTAGAAGATCGAGTATACTCTTCATAAGATGTTTTACGGGAATGATTATATTCATCTAAAGGATTACATGCTTTTTTGTTCAAATCAAGATCTTTTATTTTCTTTTTCTGTTTAAGATATGATTGCATAGCTGTAAGAGGATCGTTAAAATCTTTTATACTATTCTGGATCCTCATATCTCTTTCAATAGATTGTTGATCCTTTTTTCTTTGTGCTGATGATTGTAAACTCAAATGAGAATACCATGGAGACATTTCTAAATAGAATTATAAAAAATAAAAAAAAGGGCCAAAAAACCTTTCGATGAATTACTTAACTGCATAGTAATAATGTCATTCCATTTTTTATCAGCATCTGCCTTTTCTTTCTCATATTCAGGATTACTATAATCCGTATGAACTTTCTATCAAAAATTAACAAATTTATAATTTTTAATTAAAAAATACTCCCGATTCAAAATCTTCCCAAAAATTAATATGTTTATTCTGGGATGGTTCACGTCTCCTTTTAAGCTCTTTATCTAACATTGCTATGTTATCATTTTTCTTTCTTTTTCTTTCATTTTTTAATAAATGAACATCAGAATCCTTCGTAGACTGATTATGAGCTCTATCGTTGTCTAAAGAATTCCCATTTAAATGTTCTATCCTGTCTTCAATCACTTCAGATTCTCTAAATCCTGATCGTTCTCTCAGAATTTTTAAACGTCTTTTCCCATCCTAAACAAATAAACAAACTGCCGAATAAAGGAAGTGTTAAAAACAGCCTCACGCATACGCATTTCCTTTTCTTCTTCTTTCTTTCTAGCTAAGGCTTCATCTCTCCGAACTTTCTCAATATTACTCTTATTATAGACATTCCAACTATACCCTCTTATTAAAACAAAAAAACAACTAATAAGCCTTTACCTTTTATGATGAAGAATATTTAGAGGCATTTTATATAAATCTTATCAAATCTTTCAATAATTAACGCTTATTTAAAAAATAACATTATTTAAAGGTTAACATTTAAATCGACCTCTCGAATTCGAAAGTTGTCAATATCCATAAAAATCTGTATATTTATGTGAAAATGAATAAAAACAGACCAATACAGGAATACAAAGATAAAAATCTTAGTAGTATTTACAATGACAATCGACAATCAAATAATATTTTGTCAAACTATTCTGTAAATAAAGAAAAAAAGCAAGGAGGAATATATACCATTATAAAAACACCAAAAACTCAAGAACAAATAGAGTTGACTAATTGTTTAGCAGTGTCTGCATATGACTTTAAAGATAATACATATGTAATATGTGATGATTTTTATATTTTTAGCACCAAAGTTGTTGCAGAAATGAAACAAGGGCATATTGGTGCGAGTCTTATACAAAGAGATTGGGCACAATGGTCTCTTGGGCAATCCGTATCAGTGGCATCATATGATCCATTTATTAATGAAATTATGTATATGGAATCGATGGATTTAGAAATAGGATTTGTTCCAGGTTTTCGCACAACAGAGGAACAATTTGATGGAGAAATGATGGCAAAATGGTTTGCAAGGGTATTATTTAAAAAAATTATGTTAATATATTAAAAACGATAGTGTTTTCAAAATCAGATTCTTACATTAGAACAAAAAATAATTTTTGATTTTAAATCATATAATATAAAAGCAGTGGTAAAAAATATAAGATGTATAAAAGTGTCTATCAATGAAAAAAAAAAAGCAGAAGATATGGAAATTTCATCTAATTCATATACACGAGGAATTCTTACTTTACATACTTCTATCAATATATATAAAACAGGAAATTCCAATATAAAAATAAAAGCATCAACAAAGAGACCTAATGCAAATTCTATTATTCAACCTAACTTTAAATTCGAGGATATGGGTATAGGAGGATTAGATAGTGAATTTAGTGCTATTTTTCGTAGAGCATTTGCATCCAGAATATTCCCATCAGGATTGGTTGATAAACTTGGTATTCAGCATGTAAAGGGAATCTTACTATATGGCCCCCCAGGGACAGGAAAAACTCTTATGGCAAGACAGATAGGTAAAATGTTAAATGCTAGGGAGCCTAAAATAGTGAATGGGCCAGAAATCTTAAATAAATTTGTTGGACAAAGTGAAGAAAATATAAGAAAACTCTTTTTTGATGCAGAAAAAGAAGTAATATATTGACATATTTTCGACAAAACCTAATGTTTAAAGTATAAAGAGAAAGGCGAAGATTCAGGTCTTCATATAATAATTTTTGATGAATTAGATGCCATATGTAAACAAAGAGGAAGCAGAAATGATGGTACTGGAGTAGGCGATTCTGTTGTAAACCAACTATTAACAAAGGTAATACTACTAAAACTATATTTTCAAATTACTGATATTTTTAGTTGGATGGCGTGGATGTACTTAATAATATTCTGATAATTGGAATGACTAATCGACTTGATATGATAGATGAAGCTCTTTTGAGACCTGGACGTCTAGAAGTTCACATGGAAATTTCATTGCCAAATGAACAAGGAAGGAAACAGATTCTCAAAATACATACATCAAAAATGAAGAAAAATGAAGTCATAGATCGTGATGTGGATTTAAACGAATTGGCTACGTTAACTAAGAATTTTTCAGGAGCCGAAATATGCGGTTTAGTAAAAAGTGCAAGTAGTTTTGCGTTTAATAGACATGTTAAAGTATTTTCAGTACATTTTAGTTTATATTTTTCATTATATTAGGTAGGAACTGTCGCCGGAGTATCAGAAGATGTAGAAAACTTGAAAGTAAATAGAATGGACTTTATAAACGCTTTAAAAGAAGTAAAACCAGCATTTGGTATTAACGAGGAAGAATTAGAACAATCTATTCGCAACGGGATAATTAAATTCTCTTCATATATAGAAGTTTGAATATATTATTTATTATTCATACTCTAACTACAACTTTAGGATATTTTAAATGAAGGAAGGCTTTTTGTTGAACAAGTTCGTAAAAGTGAAAGAACACCATTAATTAGTCTTTTATTACATGGCCCTCCAGGGTCTGGAAAGACAGCACTAGCTGCAACAATTGCACTCGCATCAGAATTTCCTTTTATAAAATTAATTTCACCAGAATCCATGATTGGATTTTCCGAAAGTGCTAAAGTATCAGCATTAGGGAAAATATTTAATGATAGCTACAAAAGCCCATTAAGCGTAATCGTTGTCGATAATATTGAAAGGCTTTTGGGTATTAAATAATTTTATTATTTATTTATACTAATAAGTTAGATTGGGTGCCCATTGGACCACGTTTTTCTAACACTGTTCTTCAAACATTAATGGTATTATTTAGAAAACAACCTCCAAAGGTATAAAAATAAAAGACTATCGCAATTCATAATAATATTTAATAGAATAGAAGGCTTCTTATTATCGTAACATCATCAGAAAAAACAGTCTTATCACATATGGGCATTTTTTCTTCATTTGACGCGAATATACCAGTTCCAAACATTTCATCTTTGCATGAATTAGATACTGTTTTAAGACATTTAGAAATCCTATCTGATACAGAGCGCGACCTAGCTCTAAAATCTATTAAAGAAATTCATCCTTCAGAAGAAATTAGTATAGGAATTTCTAGGATTATATCTATAGTTGAAACTGCAAGACAAGATGAGGAATATGCTGAAAGATTAGTAGAACTAATTATTAAAGCTATTGCATCAAATTGATAGAAAATATATCTAATAACATAAACAGAGATCCAAGTATTAATATATTCTTATGATAATATTGTCATAAAATAGAATTTAAGATTTGTAAATCAAGGCCTTTTATTAAATGAGAACATAAAACCGGAATTCCAATATTCTAAAAATATATAATTTTAATGAGTTTAGAATTTTGAAAACTCGAAATGTCATAATCTTTTTATATATACAAATTAAATAATATATAAATATTTTTAAATAGATTTTTTTCATAGAAAATTTAAACATATTTTTTAATTTTAATTTGCAACTTTTGGACCCAAATTTTGAAAATGAGAGAATATTTTCATATTTTTTTTTCTTAATTATCACTTTAAATTTTAATATTTAATAAAAATTCAATCCCATTATATTTCGAAATCACTAAATTGATAAAGGTGAACCATATTTAATCTTTAACAAAAATTTATCTATATTAACAAGAAATTATATTAAAATATGAAGCTGCTTTACATATAAAGAATTTAAAATTGAAACTATTGAAAAGAATTCATGTTAAAAGAAATAAATTAATAAGTACTTGTAATATAAAATAATCTAAAATGCATAAGTTTATTGCAGGTATTTATTTTTCTTTATATTGTTCTAATATATAACATATATTTTAGATTTAAATTTGTTATATGAAATAGTAGTTGCGGCAGATACTTCTAAACAAAGGGGATCTTTTCTTGCAATATTTGAAGCATATGATACTGTTTTAAAAAGGGAAAATATAGATTCAACCAATGATCGTGTGTATTATAAATTTCTTTTAAAACTTGTACAAGTACAAGGAGAAGGATGGGAATATAAATTCAGGTCTTTAATAAAGGTAATAACAATAAAAAAATAACTTTATACAAACGTTATTAGAATATGGGCATTGACTTTAAGCCAATAAAGAAAATAACTCCAGAGAATAGTATTTTAGATCATAAAAACAGAGACGCAGATCGCACATTTACTCCTAACAGTGAAGAATCATCAAAAAGCTTAAAAGATTTTTTTTATAGTTCAGACGAAATATCCAATAGCTCCTTAACTTCACAAATAACCAGGAGCTCGCCTATTACTACTAAGTCTTTGCAAAAAGAAAATGCTAAAATATCAACATATAATAACAATATTATAAAAAATGCAAAACATGCAGAATATATTTATAACGAACTCTGTATACCAATAAAACATAAATATTTTAACATCTGGATTAAGAAAACTGAAAATATTTGCGACTATTTTCAATCTATGTATTCTAAGGCTATTTTACATGATTCATATATTTTGTCTTTCCAAGCACTAGGAATCTGGCACCAAAAATCATTGTATCTCAAGAAAAAAAGAAAAAATGCGGAGAATGCAGGAAATTATGTATTAATGGAAAAAAGTTTCATAAAATGGCTAAAGATGTTTTATAAAAAAAAAAAAAAGTATCAACAATTATATAATTTCATACTAATGAAAATTTTCTTAAATGCATGGCGAAAAATATGGATAATGCAATATAAAATAGCTGCATTGCATTTTCTATCTTTTTCATTTTCTATATGGAAAAAAAAACTATTAATACAAAAAAGCATAATGTACAAAGCAATAGAATGGCAAAGACAACATCTTTTAAGGCACATATTTATTAGTTGGTTTACTAAAACTTATCTAGACAAATTTAAAGTAAATAAAAGTTCAAAGAAAAAGCATGATACTTTTCTATTATGGAAATCACAACTTCAATTAATATATAAAAAAAACGAGATCACAATTAAAAATTATTCAAAAAAAATAATAAATTATTATTACAAATTATGGTTTCAGAAATCAAAAAAAATTTACGAAAACATGATTAAAGCAATTGCTTTATCGAATAATATCAATATAATCAAAATCTTTCATACGTGGAATATAAAATATAAAATTGAAATATCAAAAAAAGAATTTTTATCTTTTAAAAATAAATCTCTTTATAAAAAATATTTTTTAGACTGGAAAAAAAAGACAGAAGATATACAATTAGCATCTAATTTTTTCAACTATACACTTTTACGCTTAACATTTATAAACTGGCGTCAAGTGCTTCATCTTAATATTTTATTAATTAAATTGGAAAACAAATTAAGGAGAAAAATTATATACAAATGGATTCTAAAAGAAAGATTGATTTTGTTACTTCGAGTAAGAGGGCGTAGACTATACTATTTAACTTTTTATCTTTGGAAAAGATATTATCGCGCATTAGATGATAAAAATAACCTGCTAATTTCCATATTAAGAAATAAAATTAATCACAGAATTAAAATTGCTACTTTTTTAGAATGGATTGAAAAACTCAACTTTTTAAGTAAAAGTAAAAAAAACGCAAAGGCAATTATTTATAATTCTAATTAATTTATGTTCTAATGCACTTATCTAGGAAATATATTCTGTTAATATAAAAAGAAACATTATTAATGCATGGAGAAAAAAAAATATCAATATTCAAGAAAATAACGCTACTGCAAAATATAAAAGCAATTATTTCTATGCGAAGCATAGTATTGTTCATTGGAAAGAAAAACTTCATAAAAGAATTAAAGCTCGAGAACAACATGTCAACTTATTCATCTATAATCATAATCTTAAACTTTGCTATAGAACTATTATGCATTGGCAATATTATTTTAAAAATATCGTACTAAATTATGATGTCGCTCTTAAATTTCGTGCCAGTAAGTATCAATGCCTTATAATACAATTTTTTAGTATTTGGACAAATAAATATAAAAATCTCGATATAATACTTATACAAACTCAAAAAGAAAAAAACTTAAAGGACATTAGGTATGTTGAAATTCTATTTTTCTTTTAAAAGTCTTATCGATTTTTTAGATTATACTTTATAAAATGGAAAATAAAACAAAATATTATACTTTCTATGAATAATAACGCTCTAGTTATTTTAATAAGAAAGAATCATACTCTTATGAAGAAGTACATTAGAAAATGGGAATTACATATATTACAATTACGGGGGCCAGAAATTCAAGCACATCTTTTCAAAAAAAAACAAAATGAATTATTTATGAAAAAAACATTTCATTTTTGGAAACAACAGTTTAAAAAAAAATATATACCAGGAAAAGAAAACACAAAAAATGATGATTCTACCTTATTTGAAAACTCATCAAATATTATATCTTATAATAGTTTCACATTGTCACCTATTTTAAACAAATTACGATTTACAAAGCTCTAAATATTGAAATCAAATACTAAGAACTCAATTAAATAGCTTGAAAGAGCATAGGGATTTTTTCATAATATTTAACATATATAATAATAAAACTATATTTTAAAATTTAAATTTCTTATCGATCAGATATTTTTTCACGACAAAGTATTATTTAATTATGCCAAGCATTTGCCCTGGAGCACCTTTGGCCTCCTATCATGCTTTTTCTGCAGTAGTCTATAATAACAGGACGTTTGTGGTACATTTTTTATTTAAAAATAATATTAAATCCAATTTAACAAAATAGGCATATGCTTCAGGAACATCAGTACCCATTTTTATTAATGGAAAAAAGATAACCCAGATATTATCTGTTGAAAAAGAGATTACTGCTATCGCTATTGATAAGAGATCAGGAAAAGTAAAATACTTACAATTAGAAAACTGATAATTAAAAGAATAAGATTTGCGTGTCCAGTAAATCAAATATATACATATTTGATATTGTTAAAGAAATAGAATTTTTTGTATGGAGATCTAAAAACATAGACGTTAAACTAAATAGCATAAAGTGGAACTTAAAATTAACATTTACTATTAATAATGAAACCATATCTACTTTATCATGGGGTGATAGGGACGAAATTTTAATCGGAGGTACATGTTTAAATTTATATTCTTCAAATATAAAAGACGGAACAATAATTTGGTCTCAAAAACTTTCTCGTCCAGTCGTTTTTGCTATAATATCCCCAGATGCTAGATTAATTGCCAGTATTTCAGAGGTATAAGAAACTACTAGTGATTAAAATTAAAAATCTAAATAAGGAAGGCTGATTGTTTTATAAAAATATGGAAAATGCCACCTTTGCATGAACCTATGGAATCACTTAGGCTTATTTATCTACCACATCCCAAGCCCATAACTTCTATAAAATGGAAAGAAAAATCTTATAATGATCAGTATTTTAATTTTTTTTTAAAGTCGACTTAATAATTTAATAGGACAATTAATAATATATTATATTCTATATCACAAGACAAAATATTACGTATTTGGATACAAGAAAATTTACCAGAATCATACGTATTTAGATTATCATACATCATAGATGTTAGAAATAATGCATCGTTATTTGAGATACCATCAAATAATCTTGGAGAGGATTCATCTTGTTTAATCATTGATAATGATATCTTGACATTATCTTTACAACATATATCTAAAAATTCATCCAACGAAGAAATAGATAAATTAATTAATATAAAAAACAGAAGCGCAGATATTTGTTTAGCATTTGATAATAATGGTCAAGTCTGGGCATTTGCTATATTGGTCAGATAAAATCAATACTTTAAATATATTCTTATAATTTTTATAGGCACACAATAATGGTGTTAATTCAGAAATCGAAATAGTACCAATTTCTTCTACAAAAAAATCAAATCTTCGCATTTCTGAATCCTTAAGGCATGTAGAATATTTTGCCATTCCAGGTAGTGAACAAGAAAACATGAAAGGCATATTACCTAATTATATAAGAAATAAACTAATGTTTTTTCTAAAGTGAACATTGACTTATACTTTTTATATTTCGGTGAAAATATTGATGTTTATCAAATAAATTTTTTAGATTTTATAAGCTCTACTCAAAAACGTAAATTCGACTTTCAAACTACATGGACGGGTCATAACAATCATATAAATTCTTTGATAAAATCTCCAAAAAATAAAATATTATTTTCAAAGACCGTGGATGGAACTATGATTATCTGGAAAATTAAACATTTTAACAAATCTGAAAATCTTGAAAAATTATTTAGTCTACAACTAAAAGATTCTCCTACACATATAATAATATTTAATGGTAAATAAATAATATTTTTTTTTAATATTGACTTTAAAAAGAAAGAAATTATATCATTTTAAACTTCAAAAATATTTCAATTTTAGAAATTAAGAAAAAAAGTACAAATATAATAGCTACATGCGAAGATGTTCCGGTTGACATTATATTATGTTTTATGCAATTAAAAAATCCTCTAAATTTACCTCAAAGTTCATTCAATGAAACATACTTCTTGGCTATTACAGCGTCAAAAAAAGTATGGATATGGAAGTTATCGAAAGTTAGCAAAAAAGAAAATAGCAAACATATAAATATAGAAAAAATTCAAGAATTCTCTTTATTTTATAAAAATGATTTGCATTTAGCATTACCAATAAATCAAATAGAACGAAATTCCTATTTTCAAAAAGAAATCTTCATTACTATTTCTGTTATCGGTCAATTAAAAATATGGTCTAAAAAAATTTCAAAGGATGGGAAACTATATATTTTACCTGAAATTAAATCTTTAGAAACCAAAATACCAAAACCAAAAATAATAAAAGAATTTTCAAAAAAACTTGCTATAGGTTCGTAATTTTGTATTTCCTAATATTTACTAATTTTTTTAGTATGTCAAAAGGGAAAAGAACTTACAATTTGGGATATTCGGTCTTTAGAATTTTCTGAAATTGAAGAATGTAGATATTACTTTTCCACAGAAAGTGAAATATCTAATTTAGATTGGACATGCACAAAGAATTCGCAATTAATACTTGCTCTGTGCTTTAAATATAAGGTTATTCTTATTTGTCAAACAAGTCATAATTATGAAAATAAACAAAAATCTTGGTTTCTCTTTAGAAGTTTTGATATATCTAAGTAACTCTAACCATAAACAATAAAATAGAATTTAATATAATATATAGTTTAATGAATAGCTCGATACAACATTTAATTTTTTTAAATAATATGACATTAATTGTTGGAAGCAAAAACCAACTATTTTTATACAATAAAGCAAATGATAATATTGATACCATTAATGTACCTCATAAAACAAGTGAAAAACACATGCTGCCTAAAAACATAATGCTTCTTAATACTATATTACCAGTATATCATCCTCAATTCCTTGAACAATTATTGTTAATAGGTATTATTGGTTAAAATGTTTACTTAAAACTGATGTATTTAAGGAGATATAGAAAATGTAAAAACTATACTAATTAATTTATACAAAATTCTAGATTCTTTTGAAAAAAACTATGCAATAAATGAAAATAAAATCGAAATCAAAAATAGCTTCTTAGAAATACCAATTGATGTCTTTTTAAAAAAAAAAGAAGTGAACTTGTATAAATTCTAAAATTATATTTATTAACAAGTTTTAGAAAAATCAGTATAACAAAAAACAATCTAATTTTCATCAACTTTTTAGTACTGAAGATGAAAATATAGAAACCATTGATCGGATTCCTTTTGAAAGATTATTATCTCGGATTAATGATTGTCTATTATCCTATACCATTACTAATCTTAATACCTCTGAACAACATCACTTAATTTCTTTAATAAAATCTATAAAAAACGTATAAAAACAATACATTCTAAATAAAATGTTACTCATCATTTATAGATTGAATTGCACAAAAATTCTATTGATACTAATGGGATTCGTTACTATTTATTTTTTTTGAAAAATTTATATCTATTTAATAATGAAAAGGTTAATATATCAATGAGAGAAACATTATGGGCTTTTCATAGCGATTCTCAAGTATTTTATTATGCTATTAATTAACTTATTCTAAGAATTTTAAGGAAACTTTGTTACATCTTATTAATCAAGAATATGAGAAAAATCTTACTTATATTCAAATACATAGTTCCTATTGTTTTTTTTGGCTTAAAAATAGAGAAAATTTGGTAAAAATATTGCAATATTCTTTTTTGAAACTAATCAACAAGAAACTTCAAATGGAGACGTTAGCATATAAAAAATATGTAATAAATGACAAAAATCCAGAATTTTGCTCATTATTTTATATCGCTTTAAGGAAGAAAAATGTACTACTCTCATTATGGAAGATGGCTACTGGGCACTCTAATCAAAAAATTATGATAAACTTTTTATCAAATGACTTTTCTCAAACTCGTTGGAAAATAGCAGCTCAAAAAAATGCATTTGTTCTTTTAGGAAAACACCGTTATGGTATGATAAATTTACTTATATTGCAAAAGATAATACTTCTAGAATACTCTGCCGCATTCTTCCTTCTTGCAGATAAATTGCAAAATGCTGTAAATATATGTGTAAAAAACTTACAAGACATTTCTCTTGCAATTGCTATATCTAGAGTATATGAAGGAGATGATAGCCAAACATTTAAAAATCTTTTAACGACTTATATTATTCCAGATGCAATAAAATTTAATGATAGATGGATAGCTTGCTGGGCATTTTGGATTCTGGGGAAAATAGACCTTTCTATTAAAAGTCTTGTTGTAATTATTTTTATATTTTTAATTTTTCATTATTAACAAACGCTATAGCTTCCCTTAACTTCATTGCTAGAAAAGAATTCTGAAAACATAATTCCAATTAATTCCAAAGAAATGTTTGAAGGAGATCCAAGTCTAATTATCTTATATAAAGAATTAAAAAGTAAAAGTTTGCAAATATTTAGAAATCCAGTTATTTCTCAATATCAAGAATTTAAATTTATACTTTATGTAGCTCATCTTTATACTTATATAGGCTGTGATATGCTTGCTCTTAATCTTATACAAGGATGGAATTTTGAAAACCAATTCTTACCAAATTGTAAAAAAACTTATAAAGATTTATATCCAAAAATTGCATCAGATAATCTTAACAATAATACTATACTAAATACACTATCAATTACAAAAGAATACGAACCAAACTTAAACACATTTCATTTTTAGTCTGTACATAATTATAGTCCAAAATTATTGTTTTCAAATAAAATTACATTTATAGCAATAATAATATACCAATTAAAACTATAATTTATCTAACTTTGTTTCTAGATTTCAAAAGACAATAATTTCCGTATATTCTTCGACTAAATTTAGAAGGAATCCACAAAATACGACTATATATTTTTGTAGAGGATGCATCTAAAAAATTCATACAAAATATTTTCTTCCACTTTTCTTCATTTTTTAAATATCTTGGCTCTATAATATCTTCTGTCGAATTTTGAAAGGAATAACGTGCAAAAAAATCTGTATCTACTAAATAGTCACACTGACTAATATCAGTCTATTAAACAGATTAGTAAATCAATGATTTCAATATATATTAAACAAACATATTTTCCCCATTCTTCTATATTTAAATCATTCATATTAGATGGAATTAGCCACATACCACTTCTCCATCCATCTTTATTTGAAATGAATTCCCCAGGAAGAAGTCCTGTAAACCTACTTTTAATAAACTTAACACTAATATTGTCTGGAACAAAAAAAGATGATGGAAAACGATGCCATTCTTTACCAATGCATAGTATACTCCCAAAATTATCACTAACAGAGGGTATTTTCATATACACAGACATATGTGCGCTATATACATCTATAATTAATAAAATTCTTAAAAATGATATCACCAAAACAGATGCAGAAATAAAAATATGAATATATCTTAATATGCAAGATATATACCTAGAGTTGTTATAAGATTTAATCAATGATAATAACCGAGAAATAGCGACAGATGCATTCAAACATATAAAAGGATATATAGGAAAAAAAAAACGCTCTTCTTTGTGTGGTTGAATAGTAAATATAAAAAACCAAAGATAAAAAGGACTAATAATGGATAAAAGAAATCCCTTTTTGACAATATTTAAAGAAAACCGAGAAAAATAAAAAAACTACCAAATTAGCAGAAATCAAGGTAAGAAAAAAATCACCATAATAGGCAGAGATAAAAAACATAATATAAAAACTCCATTAAAGTTTAAAAGTAAATTTAAAAAATAAAACCACCACGGTTCTACACCAAAAATTTCAGGTCCTTTTCCTTTAGCATTAAACACATTATATTTAATAATATTTAACGGAACAATTTGAAATTTTCTATAAGCTAAAGAATCAACCAAGCAAACAAATGCCTAATATTATGATAAATTAAACATTATTAAGATAAAACATACCAATATAATAAAACAAACAAATATCGCTTTCAAATATTTCAAAAATACTTGTTTTAATGGAATATTATATATAGACATCAAGAATTCATAAAAAATAATAGGAATAGTAAGAATTAGCGAGAATGGCCATCCAACAATACCACCCAAAAAGAACCAAAATATAATTTCAATAGTTCTTTTTTGCAATGCCGATTTTAAAAAAACAGATAACCCAAGCATAGATGTATACATTGCAAAAGTAGATGGCAAAAATGCTATTATACAGTAAACATAATTTTTTTTTTTTAATAAAACTACCTGTAGACGCATTAAACATCCCTGCAGAAGTAATTGTAAATAGAAAATAAAAAAAGCCTATTTCTTTTCCAAGAACATCAATTATAGATAGACAAAGCTTCGTCTCAGATAAAGCACATAATATTGCAAAGACAAAACGGATAAAAAAAAACTCAGTTATCTAAAGATATTGTCTTATTCAAAACATACTAAATATAAAAATACCCGCTGAAATCCAAGACTTTTAGGAACTGCTCCAATAATTGAATGAAGTAAAATATAAAACCAACTTCTAATACAATATTCACCAGAATATTCCCATGTTTGAAACCCATAATCATGAAGAATATAATGAAGAGGTTCCCAATAATTATAAACTAGAAAATCAACTCATAATTATTCCCTTAAAAATTATATCACCTTCATCACAATCATGAATAATAGAATACCAAGCAGCTAAAAGTCTTGGAATAAGATTTATCAAAAATAAAGCCCATCTAAGACTTATAAGAATCAAATAAACATAAATCTTAAGGAAAAATTCCTTTTCATAATTTTTTAAGATTTTAATGTTAAAAACTTAACGATTTTAACATCCTCCCAACGACTTATTAAAAAAATCTTAAGACCTACTCTAAAAAACTATGGAAAACTTGTCAGGAGAGGATCAAGGCATATATTCTTATATAAAATGTTATATTTTTGCTAATAAATATTAGAAAAAGATGAAAATCAAGAGTCAGAAGGGATTCTACAAAAGCAGAATGAAATAAAGAAAGATCATATATTTCATATACCAGGCCTTTTTCTGCTTGAACATCCTGAAGAAAAGGAAGGAAGTTGTGATAGAGTTGAGACGTGCGAAAAACTAGGAGAATATGCTGATAAGGATTCAAATATTTTTATAGAAAAGAATCTAGTAATAAATGATTCAGAAAAAATAGAAATTGAGGAAAAAGAAAAGGCAATTGAACTTGATAGTATTGATAAGGCGATTTTAAATAAGGATATGATTGTTGAATATGATTCAGAAAGTCTTGAATCATCAGATTCAGAAAATTCCGAGTCAGGGTTAAAAAGCGAAAAAAAAAAAGTTAAGTATTTTGGATCATCAGTAGATTCAGATTATGAAAGTCCAGAGGAAGGCATATGTGATAAGTAGATAATTTTCAGTGATTTATTTTTTTATAACTTAATTATAGTATAAAAGATATACATGATAAAAACAAAACACTTTCAAATGATGAAAAGAGTAATAATGTATTTGAATTTCCAAAAACAAAAAATGAGATTCTTTATAAAAACATAGAAATAAAGAAACTGGATGTTGTAATAACTGATAATATTCCAATTGAATATCTCGGGGAGATATCTCAAATCGTAGACAATATCGTTGTTATTAAATCGTTCGTATTTGATGAATATAAAGTCTTAGATGAAGAAACATTGTTAGTGTTGGAAAATCGTTCTATTTTGGGACTTGTATGAGAATATTTATAGATTCTTTTGATCTAATAAAAACAGATTTTTGAAGTTTTTGGACGAGTTTCACAGCCTTTATATTCTGTTAGACTTGATTCTCAAGAAAAGATTGACAAAGAAAAAATTAGCATAGGTAAAAAAGTTTATATTGTTCCGGAATACAGCAAATATATTTTTACAAAAGAATTAAAAACAAATAAAGGAAGCGATGCAAGCAATATTCATGATGAAGAAGTTGATGAAAATGAGCAAGAATTTTCGGACGACGAAGAGGAAATGAAACATAAATCATTAATTAAAGGTGAAAAATCTCATTATGAAAATAAAATCACATCTCAAAACTTTACAAAACACAAAAATTCGCAAAACAATATAAATATATCATATAATACACCCAAATCTCACATATCTCTTTCAGATCCAAACACTATTCATCCATCTCATTCATATATTAATAATCAACCAATAAATACACAATTCCAACCATTTTATAGCCATCAACATATCAACAATCATCAATTACTTTTTTTCAAAAATCACCTACAAAATAATACTATATCATCTCAACAATCATGGCCTACACCATTATCTTATTCCTTTTCATCTATCCATCAGGAAAATAATCAAGGGGCTTCTTTCAACACTTATTCACAAATACAACATTCTACATTCAATCAACTCCTTAATCCTCTACATCCTACATCTACAACAAAAAACATGTATTTACCATCCAATATTCATCAATAAACTTTTTTCAAAAACATTTAACATAAAAAAATCCAATCATGTTTAAAAATTATATACATGAAAAACTCAAATTTACAACTCAATAATCTGCCACAAACATTAAACTAATGATTTACGACCGTTCTCCACGAAGACGACGCGCAAGTTGCATATCTTTAGGTTGAATCGTCACACGCTTTCCATGAATAGCACATAAATTAGTATCCTCAAACAATGATACAAGATAAGCTTCTACTGCCTCTTGTAATGCACCAATAGCAGACGATTGAAACCTCAAATCCGTCTTAAAATCTTGTGCAATTTCCCTAACTAAACGTTGAAATGGAAGCTTTCTAATCAATAATTCCGTAGATTTTTGATATCTTCTAATTTCACGAAGTGCAACCGTTCCTGGACGATAACGGTGAGGTTTCTTAACACCTCCTGTTGTTGGTGCTGATTTCCTCGCTGCTTTAGTAGCTAACTGTTTCCTTGGTGCTTTTCCTCCTGTAGATTTCCTTGCTGTTTGCTAATATCAAAAATTAACCAAAATCCCCAAATAATCAAAAAAAAAACGCAACACGCTCGAATGAATCATCTATTCATTCTAAACACCATATATATGCGCATCTTTTTCACTCGCCTTACTCACCTTAGTACGCGCCATTTTCTTTACTCAATACTCAGTATTGTACACATCAAAAATAGCCTCGGACTATATGCGCCCTCCCCATCAAACCTTTCCATAGCAACACCATAGCAACACCATAGCAACGCCATAGCAACGCTCATGAATCCTCGATAATGATGCCTTGGAATGTAGTCAAGACCTAATATAGTAAATAAGGAATTTTTTACGCTTAAATTAACACGGGTTAACAACGATTTTTTTGATGGTTGCTGGGTACTCGAAGACTGATAAGGGAGACGGCGACAAAGAAAAACACGGGAATTAATAAAAAATTAAAGAGAATAATATTAAAAGAATAATATTAAAAAAAAAGGAATTCACTAGAGATAATAAATAAGATTAATAGGTTATAAATTAATAAGAATAAAGAGTAAATATTAAAGAGATCAGTGAGAAATGTCAGGAAGAGGAAAAGGCGGTAAAGGGTTAGGAAAAGGAGGAGCGAAGCGTCATAGGAAGATTTTAAGAGATAATATTCAAGGTATTACGAAGCCAGCTATTCGACGTTTAGCGCGTCGTGGAGGAGTTAAACGTATTTCGGCCTTGATATATGAAGAGACACGAGGAGTCTTGAAAGTGTTCTTAGAGAGTGTTATTAGAGACGCAGTTACATATACGGAACACGCGAAACGCAAGACAGTTACGAGTTTGGATGTGGTATATGCGCTTAAGCGACAAGGAAGAACGATTTACGGGTTCGGTGGTTAAAGATTGATAGATTTAAAGAAAGTTTGCAATAAATATGTATTTTTATATCCATTGTTTTTTTTCTGTGGACATTTATATGTAAACATTCATGTATTAAAAATAGATGTCTCTAGAAATTTTAATTCTGATTATCGTGTGATTAGATAATAAATTGAAATTTGGGATTAAAAAAATGTTTTTGTTTTGAAAATGTACATTTTCAAGTTTTAAAAGAATGTTTATGTGTGAAGAAATATGCTATGGATTACAATGTTCGCGTGAAGGGACACCCGCGTGCACCTATAAAAGTAATATTGAGGAAAACGAGGATTGATTTATAAAATATAAGGTGAAGTTAGGTATTCTAGATAGAATGAGGATTAGGTGTGAGTTAGGGGTAGGTGTGAGTTAGGAGAGGGGTAGGGAGAGGTTAGGAGAGGGGCAGGGTTACATTAGGGTTACATTAGGGTTACATTAGGGTTAACCAGGATGACCCTTGTAACGCGAGGGTTAAATTAGGGTTATGCAAGGGTTATCCAGGATCACCCCTGCTCGATTAGGGTTATATTAGGGTTAGGGGTATAATTAGGGATACACAAGGGTTAGGGGTATGATTAAGGTTAAGATTTACGAAATAGAGATTTTAGTTAGGGTTTATGATTTTCTTCATTAGATAAATTTGATAATGGGTTATCTTTTTCTTTTGAACTAGTATATACATTGTTATCATTATCGTCACTATCATCATCATCTTTCAAGTCTGTATTTTTTAATTAATTTTATATGCCATATATTTTTTACCCATAAGTAAACGATCGTCCTCAAGTACAGGTCGTAAATATATATCATGACCAACATAATTTTCTGGTGCCATTACATTTGGAGATAACCCTTTATTTACTTGATCACGAATATAATTAATGAGACGAATTGTATTATAGAAATCAAGATTAAAATGTTTGCGAAGTGCTTCTAAATTAAAAGCATGAACTTGAAAGATTTAATAATATTAAATATTGAATGTATATAAACCTTCTTGACAATGTTTATAAACAAACTGTGTATTATCAAATTTAGAAGGACAGAATAGACACTGTGCAGCAGATTCTGTTTCAAAAAAATCATCCCATTCATTTTCTATAAAAAAAAAAGAAATGTATTTTTAAATAGAAAAAAACATACCAGTTATTTGAGATACACTGGTTGATGAATCGGAGTCCATTTTCTAGGGATAAAGAGTTAAACGAATGAAATCAGTAGAATATATTATGAACGTTTATCGTATACATTTTTACTAAAAACAATTAAGAGAGGTAATCTTTAAAATAAACAAGACACAAATACATTTCTTAGTGTCAAGATACTATTAATACTATAATAGAAAAAAACGAAAGAAATATTAATGATTTTTATTAATAAATATTTTATAATCGTAATAAAGATAACATAAATGTTGCGCCTTGAACATCCTGTTTTTCTTTTACAATCTGTTTAGGATCTGTTTCATCTAATATTGATTGATTTTTTTCTAAAGGCCTACGAAGGATTTTGGTTAAAAGTATCTGATGCTGAGAAATAGCATCTTCCAAACCTATAGAATCATCAATTATAACATATTCCATTCGAATATCATCAATAACTAGTTTTCACTTAGAAAAAATGCGAAAAAACTTTAAATATACCTTGTAAACCAACTTTCTTACGAAGACGTTGAACACGATTAATTACCTCTCTTACAAGATATTCAGTTTTTAATTCAGGATAAATTTTAGTATCTAAAATGATAAAAACATCTTGATCAGTATTGGTTTGATAATACATTGTATCTTTAAAATCAAGAGTCCGTATAACCTAGTTCATTTAAAAAAAACATAAAAACAGCCAAAAACAAAACCTGAAGATCTCCTTCAACTAATTTAATATCATCAACAATAATTTCTTTATTTTTCATAAATTCTTTGGCTTGTTCAGAAGTTACATTTGATAGAAAGTCCTTTACTTTAACAATATCTTTTCGAAGTCGTTTACCAAGAACAGGCCAATCTGCTACAAGACTATATCTAACACCATATTCCTCTTCATTTGGAGAAAGAAAAAGATCTCTAATATTTAACTCTTCTTTAATATATTGTTCGACAGATTTAATATCACTCAAATATTGTTCATCATGATGTATTACAACAAGCTGTTTTAAAGGTACCTAACATTATCAGCAATATTCATTAAAATAAAAAAAATCTACCTTCAATCTAACTGATTCTTTTTCTCTAAGATTACGTGCTAAATCAACTACCTTTTGCATTCTATTAAATTTTCTTTCAACATCAAGCTGAAAACGCTCTTCTATAACATCAGGAAAACTAACAAAATGTATTGATCTAACATCATCCTCTGTAGTCTTTGGAATATATTTCTTAAGATTTTGATAAATAGCTTCTGTCAAAAATGGTGTAAAAGGAGCCATTGTTCTACATAAAGTATATAAAACATCAAAAAGTACATTCAATGCAATCAAAGTATCATCTTTTCCATACATTCCCTATGCACAATAACTTAGAAAATAATTAAAATATTAATACAGAAACATACTTTTAACCTTTGCCTATTAAATCTAATATACCAATTTGTCATATCTTCAATAAGTTTAAGAAGCATTGGTACAACTGTATATAAACGATACTCTAAAAAATTAAGATCCATTACAAAACTTAGAAAAGTTCAAACCTGACATTTCTTTCTTAATGAAACTTATAAGACTTTGACAACTCGACAATATCCACTTATCCGTCACATTATCACTTACTTCATTAGAAAGATTATACATAAAGTCGATATTATGAGTTTTCTTCAGTAGTTTCACTTGCATTTCAAAAAAATTATAACTATTCCACCATGGAATAATAACTTTTGCAACAACATCTTTAACACCATCTTCCTTAAATTTTAAAGGTTCAGCACGTACAACAGGGGAGTTAATAAGATACAATCGTAATGCATCTGCACCATACTTGTCTAAAACAATAGATAATTCAGGATAATTCTTAAGGCGTTTTGACATCTTTTTCCCATCAGAAGCAAGAACCAATCCATTCACAATAACATTTTTGAAAGGTGCAATCCCAAACAATTGAACACCAAGAACAAGAAGGGTATAAAACCAACCACGAGTTTGATCAAGACCTTCTGCAATAAAATCAGCAGGGAATTTTTCCATAAAATTCTCAGAATTTTGAAATGGATAATATACAGATGCATAAGGCATACTATTTAAATTGATACATTAATATATATATATATATATAAAGCCTTCTTACCTTCCAGATTCAAACCAACAATCAAACACATCTTCTATTCTTTTAAGAGCATTTTTTCCTTTTTTAGAGGGAATTGTAATGTGATCTATCTTATCTCGATGAATATCTGTCAAATTTCGCACTCCAGAGAGTTCCTCAAGCTCAGAAACTGAACCTATACATACAATTTCTTCAAAATCATCAGAAACCCATAAAGGTATGGGAGTTCCCCAATAACGATTTCGAGAAATATTCCAATCTCTACAACCTGTAATCCAATTCGCAAAACGTTTATCCTTAACAAACGAGGGCACCCATCTAGTTGATTCAAGAGCTTCTAGCATCTCTTTTGTAGATTCTTTAACTTTTACAAACCACGATGGAACTACTCTATATAAAAGAGGTGTATCAGATCTCCAACAAAATGGATAACTATGTATTATTTGACTTTGAATAACCAATCTTTTTTTTTGTTTAAGAACTTTCTGTATAGCTTTATCAGCATCCTAAAAAACATTAAAACAATCCATAAGATTATTAAACTTACTTTAACATACATCCCAGCAAAATCAGAAACTTCAGCTGTGAAATTCCCTTTTTCATCCAATGGGCAAGGAGGATAAAAATTCTCATCAATAATTCCATTCTCAAAAGCCACATTATAATCATCTTCACCAAATGCTGGAGCTTGATGAACAATTCCAGTGCCATTATCAGAAGTAACGTATTGAGCCAAAAGAACGTTAAATGCCCTTTCTTTAAAACGCTCATAAAAATAATAAAAAGGTGGATCATATTTCCAACCTTTCATATCAGCACCTTTAATAGTTTGCAATTTTGTAAATTTAGCATTTTTAGGATCTTTATAAAGAATACTCAAACATTTTTCTAATAAAATATAATTCTCTCCAGAAGCTTCATCATATATCTTGATATATTCAAAATCAGGATTCACACATAAATTAAGATGTGATGGCAATGTCCAAGGTGTTGTCGTCCATGCAAGTAATGATGTAGATGGATCTTCCAATAAAGGAAAAGATATAACAACTATTCAATTTAGAATATAAAACATATATTCAAAAAATTTACCAGATGGATCACTAACTTTTTTATAATTCTGCTGAGCTTCAAAGTTACTAAGAGGTGTCATGCATGCTGTAGAATATGGCATAACCTTAAACCCTCTATATACTTTACCCTTTTCATACAGCTTCTTAAAAATATACCATACTGATTGCATAAATAATGTATCAAGAGTCTTGTAATCATTATCAAACTCAATCCATCTACCTAATCTTTCAATTTTCTCCCTCCATTGCTCAGAATACCTCATAACAATTGCACGGCATTCACTGTTATATCTAGAATATGGTAAAACAGATATAAATAAACCATTTCTCGTCACTTCTCAATCCCTATTGCCATTATATCTTCTTTTCCATTAATCCCAAGTTTTTTATCTATTTCATGTTCAACAGGTAAACCATGGCAATCCCAACCAAATCTCCTATCAACATAGTGTCCTGTATTATGTGCGTACCGGGTTACAATATCCTACAGGCTCATATTAACTAGTTTAAACCTATATATTCAAATCATCTAAAACCTTAATAGTAGAAGCTAAAAAAAGATTAAAAAAAGATAAAAAGCTATAGAAATAATACCAAGAACATGTCCATAATGCGGAAGACCTCTTTATTAACATTTTAACAGGATCTCTTTAATTTATAATAAACTTACGTAGCAAATGGTGGGCCATCATAAAAGCTGAACTGTTTACGACCTTTTGACAGTTCTAATGATGTTTTAAAAGCATCGATATCTTTCCAAAAAGAAAGAACCTTTAATTCTTCCTGAATAACATCAAAATTAGTCATTTTAAAGGAAAAATTAAGTATTTTTTCTAAACTGAAAAAATTAAAAACTGTTATCAAAGAAAGAATCAAAAAAATATTGAATATGAAATGAACTATTTTATTTATATTCTATTATATAAATGTAAGAAAATAGATATATCAATATATACATAAATAATATTAGGGTTAAAAGTAATACGCAAACTTTTTTGAAAATATCAAACAAGGCCATCATAAAGACTTAGGGCCTGAACAATTGTTGAATCTTTTTTACTACCTTCTCGAAATTCATCTAATGTTAAATAGCCATCGCAATCCTAATTATAAGAAAATTAGAATAATCGATAAAGAGAGATTTTAATAAAAACCTTATCCATCATTTTGAAGATTTTATTTACACGCTAAGTTTATTAATTAATTATATATAAAAAAAAAATTCAAACCTTTTCAGGTGTGTCTTCATCTTCAGGAAGCTTAACCATACTTCCAACCATTTTATAAATTGCATCAACAATCTGGAGCATCTCACTTTTTGTGATTAAACCATCATTATTAATATCATAAAGACGGAATGCCCCTGAAAGCAAAATAAATATTAAAATCATCCTATTTAAATACATACACATTAATTTTTCTTCAAGACGCCCACGGGACGTAACTGATAATGCACATATAAACTCCTTAAAATCAATTGTCCCATTCCTATCTGAATCAAAAACATTAAAAACATATCCTGCAAATAATGAAGGATCTGAATTTTTTTAAAATTATCATAAAAAAAAGTTTCAAATATACCTCCAAATGGAAAAAACTGCTTATAAATCCCTTGAAATTCTTCTTTACATAGCTGACCAGTTGGACAATCTTTAAGAAACCCTTTATACCTTCATTTATCAACTTTACGTCCTTTTATTAAAAAACTAACCATTGTTGAAGTTCCTTTTTATCAACTATTATACTCTTATTAAAATATTTAGTCAATTAATTCATATTTAACTCACATTTCGTAAGATCCTGAAGCTCTAACAACTGTTCCTGACTAAGCTTAGATTGAGCTTTACCCATAGAATAATCAAAATCCAAAGTCTCCCAAATCAATCAATATGACTATTGTTCCAAATATAAAATATAATGCATTGATTAATTTTCAATGCTAGTAGAGCGCAATTACAGGCCGTTCCTTAAATAACTGCATAAAGCAAAATTTAACCAGTTAAAAAGTTTTCGATCTACAGTAAAAACGGTAACGGATCGTGTATATAAAATTCGGAAATAAATTATATAAAAATATTAAAAACTAATATATAAATGAATTGTTCTGCTTTTGACACCTTAGCTACTACAGCGACAGCATTCTGTAATTCATTTGTTAACCCTCCTAACCCAACATTAATTTTGACACAAACAATAAAACTTCTTGAAGCAAATGCAGCATTTCAACAATTACTTGATCAACGTAAGGATTAAAATGACGTATGCATAATATATAAGCATAGAAATTTATTTTTTCTTAGTTGCTATTCATCAAAGAAATATAATACGTATTAAAACATTAATTGATGAAACATCTGCTCTTAATCAACAAATTGATAAATCTTTGCATTATCTTTTAAACTCACGTCAACGTCTTCATCAAACCAATCTTAGTGATAAGACATTTTTATCAGCCGAAAAAATTCCACATACAATGCTTCTCGATTATGCAGCAAAAATCTCCAAATATTCATCAGCACCAGATGGTTATAATCCAGCAAAAGGTCTTTATGGGACAACACCAGCATATTTTCCATGGCCACCAGAAGATGCCATGAGAAAAGGTGTACTAATGGCACCACAAGTAGAATCCAATTTATCCAAAAAAACAAAATCATCACCTATAAAAAATGATATGCATATTAATGATTCAGATTTAATAACACAAATCACACCTCCTTTAAAAAGCCCAGAAACCAATGTTTTTATGGGACTTGATTTATATGATCCCAAAGATCAAAATGAATCAAATAATTAAATAATTAAATATGTCACAATATTTATCTAACATATCCAATATTTAATATATATTATCTTTTAAATCTTTTTTTAAACCAAGATATTTTTTGTAAATTCTTAACCCATACCACCTCTTAAAGGTTTAGCTATTTTTCCAAAGCTCAGCTCTGATGAATATTCTTTCGCTATTAAAGTTATTATTTAGGTAATAATTTTCTTGTTTTACCTCGTATCCGCTCCAATCGCTCTTTTAATATTTGGATTTGCTTCTCAAACGCGCGATTTTGACTAATAAGTTTCCCTTGAGCATCACATAACAATGTTTCTAAACTTGAAATACGTTCATTCCTTACAACTAACTTACGTTCTGCTATAGAAATATCTCTTTTTAATGATGTGTTTTGTTCTACCAACTAAATTATATTAACAATAAATAAATTAGATCATGTGAAATTTTACCTGTTTTTGTATAACAATTAATTGTTCCAAATTTTTTTCCAAACATAACATCTTTTTCCGCTGATTTTTAACATTATTATTACGCAATATATTAGTATATTGTTCACGAATTTCATTAAGAGAAATCTCCAAATCGACTACCTATATTCATGAGTATCCACAAAAGAGAACGTATACAAACCTTATCACGACGTTCCTGAAATTCTTTTATTAAAGATTTTTTCATTAAACCCAATTCTTCTGTTTTTGGCGCAGAACTATTAACTACATTATTATTATCGGAAATATCGAACTATATTATAATTAAAAAGAATTTAATTGAATCATTCATACCTCTTTTTTTGTAAAAGGCTTTTCATTAAAAGATTTAGAAGACACGTCTTTAGACAATTTAGAAGGTACTTCATCAGAATTATTAACCTGAAGCAAACCATTGTATACTTGCAAATTGCATGACTGATTAAACAATATTTCATGAACTTTTATATATTGTTCATTCTCTTTAAACAATAATTTGTCTATAAGAAATTGATACTCATCCTCGACATATTTTAGCCTATGCTCTAATTTGCTATTATTTTTCTTAAGATTATCAGCTTCGTTCATTCGATCATTAAGTGCAATTTCTAAACTAGAAATAACAGATTGCATTTCAGTTAATCTATCGTTCAAAATTTTCGTGCTATTAATGGTGATTTCATTAAAATTATTCAAATCATCCAAAAATTGTTTTGAAGAATTAATTTTATTAGCGGGAAAATCGGATTCTTCTATTATTTGTTTTGTTTTCTTTTTCAAAGATTTATGATCAACAATAGACTCCATCGCAGTTTTAGCTTCAAAAAGGCTTTGCCTCATATCATTCAATTCCGACACAAGACTCTCATTTGTATATTTTAAGGAATCTAAGGTTATATAGGCCTCTTTATTTTCAAACGTAATTTTCTCCAATTCCAATTGTAAATCATTAACCTTTGTTGTCAATTCCTCATTAATCTAAAATCATTAAAAATAGTTAATAATAACCAATTACCATTACTTTAACTGTTTCGTTATTTTGTTCTTTTAAATACAGAATTTCCTCTTTTGCGTCTTTCAAAACCTTTTCCCGATTATTTAATAGTGTCTCTTTTTCTATAATCATATCCTGCAATTCAATCTCCCTTTTCAAAAAACCATCTCTTTCATCTTTTTCCATAATAGAATTTTGAATAAATGGTACAGACTTTTTCTCTAACATATCACTTTCTGCAATATTATCTTTCTCATTATTTAAAACAATTTTTGATTGTGGAGTAACATCAATAATCATTTTTGGAGTCCATTTTCCCTCGTGAACCCTTTCACCGCCTCTCCATATATCAAGCTCATTTTCAAGAGCAGTGATATATTCAGAACAAGTAAGCAATTGAGTCGTAGCTTTTTTAAGTTGAAATTTAAGTTCATTTAAAGAAAGTTCCTGATTAATCCTGGCCCTGTTTTTAATATTTTTTGCTCGAATTCCAAAACGAATTGTAGAAAGAGTTTCCTGTTCATCGAATGCAGATGGAGAACAATTAATAATAAGCGTTGTACGAGAATTACCTCCAAGCGATTCTTGTAATATACGAGTAAGTTTAGAATCACGATAAGGTATATGTGTTGACTCTTGAATTAATAATAGTTAAATATTAACCAAATAAAAATTACCTTTCCATCAGTTAAAGAATTAATAACCAAACCAAGGGTAGAAAGGGATTTATTAATTTTCTTTGCTTCCTCTAATGTTTGCCCGCTAGCACCTGTCTTTGCCACCTTTTCAGAACCAGCAAGATCAATCAAAAAAAGCTGTCCACTCTTTGTATTTTCCGTTTCAAGATTTTTTTGCATAACCGTGATACAAAAAATAGCATGAGATCGGGAACTCTCCGGATTCACATCTAAAATATTGTTATTATTAAGGATTTCATCGACATACTATTTTACTTGTCGCTGCTGCTACTCGTACTTGATTTCCTTTTTTAATAATCTGATAAACTTCATCCAATGAAGAAACATAAACTTCTTTTAATCCTTTCACATAAACGCCTCTATTTTTTTCTTCATGAATAGGCAAATGATCATGTTGTGCTAAATACTTATCAATACCTTCTAATAATTACTTTCCCTACTAACGGCACAAAAGATCGCGAATTCTTTCCATATAAATCTCCATATATGAAACTTTTACCATATATTCAATAAAACTCTGAGATTTCATAATACTTTCAAAAATATACTCCACTATTCGAGGAATGGCTCCTCTACTCTCGCTATCAATATTTGGTCCCTTTAATCACTTTCTTCAGAGCAAAAAATAGATTTCACTAACCCTACCATCATTGTATATGTTTTACCAGATCCTGTATGTCCATAAGCAAAAATCGTTCCATTATATCCCTTCAAGACATCTCATTCCTCTTAATACATTTCAAATACTTCTTAATCCATTACCATCTACTGTAGATTTAATTGTTCCTTCAAAAAGCTCAGATTGACATGTTGATCCATCAAAGACCCGGTCAAATACAAACCGTCCAATCAATTCTTTTGTCTAAAATTTTTCTTAAAAAAACATTCCTACACCTTTTTTAAACCTACATTGATCTCAACTGTTGATGTATCACAACATACAACCAACGATCCATTACCAAGACTACGTTCATACTTATTTAACGGTCGAAACCGACATACCACCTTGACATGGTTCGAAGCCATTCATAAAAGACGCGATATCAAGATCAAAGGTAAATATTTAAACCCGTACAGACGCATATATAAACTACAAAGACAGGAATACATCAAGACTTAAACCCATATATAAATTCGCCGAAAAACCGCGCAGAATAAAATTTATTCAGGCGAATTATAAGGCATACAACGCAAGAGATAAATATATAAATAAGCAAATAAACGCGTTGAAAACCGTTTTATAACATTTTATACAAGAAATATTTATAACAAGTAGATACATGGAAACAAAAAAGAAAAAGATAAAAAATATATAAAGATGAGAGTAAAAAGGTATTTATTAATCAAAATAATAAACAATTCAATCTTTTTCTTTAATAATTTTTATATAATAAAATCTTTTTTTCTTTGTTCAATATAGTAGAATATACTAGATATAAATCAACGTATGAATAATATATATATATCTCTGTATAAATAAATACATGAAAATATTAAATAATAACAGTAAGATTTATGAGAAAATATAGCAAAAACATATATAATTCAATGCTTAAGACTAAAATGGACGGGAAGATCTAAATTTATATAGAATCTTATCGATAAATTTAAGCGCCAGCGTAAAATATCAAAGAAAATAGGAGCAACCATCGACATCGCAAACATTGCATACAATACGCATATACGACGCATACAAGTCATAAATAATGCATACAAGGCATATATGCTAGTTAAATTCATAGAATAAGCAGAGGGATATAGAAAATATTGAGATGGTAAGTATTTTAAAGAATAAAACTTAATAACACAAGGTTAGTCAAGCCCAGCACGACGACGTTTAATGAGGGATTTTAAAGTATGAGATTTTTATGTATTTAAATTGAGCCTAATTTTATATATAGAGAATGCAACAAGATCCGCCAGCAGGCGTAAGCGCATCACCAATAGCAGATAATGTTATGCTTTGGTTAGAATGAAGAGATGAATCTACTATAATGACTAATTATGCCAGGAATGCAGTGATTATTGGACCAGCAGAGACGCCATTTGAAGACGGAACATTCCGACTTATAATGCAGTTTGATGAACAGGTATGGAATTTTTTGAGATCTGCGATTTTTTAATAAAAACATTATTAGTATCCAAACAAGCCTCCGATTGTACGATTTCTTTCGAAAATGGTGTGCTTTTTGTAAGATATATGTATAATTTTTGATACAATATAGTTCCATCCAAATGTTTATACAAACGGAGAATTATGTTTGGATATTCTTCAGAATCGATGGTCTCCAACGTATGATGTTGCAGCAATTCTTACAAGTATTCAATCTCTTTTAAATGACCCGAACAATAATTCACCCGCAAATGCGGAAGCAGCACAGCTCAATAAAGACAATAAAAAAGAATATATTAGGTTAATACATGCACACACACACATATATATATATATTATCATTAACCTGAATAGACGTGTTAAAGAAACAGTTGAGTGGTCGTGGGAGTAGAGATATACTTGACTTGAAAAATCACGTTATTTAGCGACTTTTTTTCATTAGAAAGTAAATATCAAAAAAAAAAAAAACAGAAATTTATATCAATCTTTAACATTTGTAAATTTATTCTTGTTCCTACGATTTTTTTTTACATATTTATTAATGGAGGCCCGTCAAAAACAATACGATATCCTTAAACAACTTGAAAAACGCCTTTTTCCAGGTATTTTTGCTTTCTTTTCTACTAGTTTTTAATATATTAGATGTATTTCAATCATGTGGAATGGCCGTTGACTATCTCATTAGACATTCATTAAAACGTTTACAAGTTCTGCAAGAAACCCCTTTCACAGATGCAACACACATGGAATTAAAATATATTTTAGACCGAATGAACGACACTTTACGCTTAAGTACGGAAAAATTCTATTCCTATCCATTTTCTGAGGTTCCGTTTGCCTGGAAACGGCTCTATGCCTATTCAAGTATTCTTAAAGCTATGATACAAATAGAAATGCATGAAAAAACTGCAGAAATTATTAAAACACTTGACATGGCACTTATTATGACAAATGGGGCGGATATTAAGGCCTTTTTAATGACATTACTGGCTTTACAAGAACCCCAAATAAGTGAAGATCATCTAATACAAGATTTTTATGTAAGAAAAACAGAAAATCACAGGAAAATACAATTTCCTATTCGTTACGCAGAATGCCCTTCTTTAGAGGCGTTCCAGAGAGATATGTTTAATATTAGGCAACCACTTGTTATCAAAAATAGTATTAATCATTGGCCAGCATTGGCTCAAGATGGCTGGATAAAAATAAAGACATTGTTAGACAAAACACATCAAGGACTTCGTATTGTGCCGGTGGAGATCGGGAAAAGCTATACAAGTGAAGATTGGGGGCAGAGGTTAATGCCTTTCTATGAATTTTTAGAAAAATATATATTGCAAAAAAAAAATTCATCAAATGAAAAGGACAAGAGGAAAATTGGGTATCTTGCACAACATGATTTATTCTCTCAAATACCGGCATTAAGAGAACAAATTGCTATACCAGATTATTGTTTTGTGACACCTCCACCAATACTTTTTCATCAACAAGAATACATTAAAGAAATGCCGACACTAGACGAGCCTCTTTTAAATGCGTGGTTTGGGGGGGAGGGCACTGTTAGTCCTTTACATACAGATCCATATCATAATATTCTTTCTCAAGTTGTAGGATGGAAATATGTAAGATTATATGCACCTGAGGAAAGAGAAGCATTATATCCTCGGTCCATTGAAGGAAGCATAGATATGAGTAATACAAGTCAGGTAGGAGAATTTCATTGGAACAAATTTACTAATTTATATAAAAGGTTGATCTTGATAATCCAGATACAGAAAAATTTCCCAAATTTTTGCAAGCAAAATATGTTGAAGGCATTATTGGCCCTGGAGACTGCCTTTATATTCCGGTTAAACCTCTTATTATTATTTATATAAATACTTAACAAGTTTAGGTAGGCTGGTGGCATTATATAAGAAGTTTAAGCATAAGTTTTAGCGTAAGTTTTTGGTGGAATTAATATTCATGAATTATGTATACAATATATGATTAAAAAGCGATCAGTTTTATCATATGTTTATGTTTTAAAATAACAGAATTTTCCGAGACTTAAAATAATTTGTCTAAAATTTTATGAGTAACTTCAACACCTAGAAATGTTGCACTATTTGCAGGAAATGATCGTAACATTGCCGTCCCAAATCCAGGAAAAAAACGTGAAATACCTTGACGATGCAACATTGTATATATGGAATTTACACTTATCTTATCTGAACCTTGTATAGCAGATTTTACCGTATCAATCGGAAAAATAGCAGACCACATAACAATACCAGCAAGACCTAAACGGCGTCAATTATTTCCAATATTAGATTTCAATTTTTTTACCGCCGGCTACAATAGTTGTTCCAAGAGATATTTCAGAGTCATCTCCCATCATATACCTTTTTATAGTTTCATATACACCGAAATAAATGGTGGAACCCGGTGCATCTCGCGCCAATGTCATATAGCCTCCTCTAAATACTAAGAAAATTAAATTCAATAAATTTAAAATAATTATTAATAAACCTGATCTTATACCATCTGTTTTATATAAATGCTTTAAAACATGACATATACCATTAAATTTATCCTTTTCATTTTGCCCTTGAATCTGCAATATAATTTTAACTCGCTCAAATGGAGCTGTTACAAATGTAGCAGGAAAAGCAGAAAAAAACCCAGCAAACATTATATGACGAATTTCTAGATCAGAAGCTCCTGAAACTTTTCTCATTAAAAATTTACCAAAATCATAACCACTGAATTTCATTCACATATATATATATATATAAAAGAAAGAAAAAAAAATATACCAAAATGTAACTGCAATAATAGGAACTGTGCCAAGAAGAGGCGGTATAACGCCTTGATAAAGCCCCTAAAAAGTCATATTCCACAATAAAAAAATAAGATAAACGAACAGGAAACCCCCTGCTAGAAATGATCTTTCTAAGAACATCAAGAGATCCTGTATATAATTCTTTTCCTGTTTGTAAACGTACTTTTATCAAATCTTCAAAAATTCAATTTTTAATCGACAAAATACAATTTAAAAGTACCAAATGGATGTCCAACAAGACTAAGACATAATATCAGATTTCTTAAGCCAATCAATAAATAACTTTAGAATCTTACACAGCAAAAACACCTCCAAATCCACCTGCAATAAAAGATTTTACTAAGGATACAAAAGGTGAATTACTATTGATCTCTTGATCCAAAGGTTCTGTCATTGCTTTCAAAGATATTATAAAATCAATATTCTAACATTTAAATATCCTTTTAATATATGTTAAGAATCTCGAAATTAAACCTAACGAAAAATATAAAATTATTCTAGTAAAAAACAAACCACATACGTTAATTTCTTCATAATTCTATATATTTTCCTTCGCTAACTTGTAAAAATAATGTATTATTTGATGTCTTTTATAAAAGTATTTTCTGATCCCTAAAAATTCTTAAAGGATATTTAAAAAATACTTTTAAATATTCAATATCAACATGTGCTTAATATTTGCCAGCTTTTGATTTAATTATAATCAAATCATGAACCTAAATTTGATTTCGTGTATAATGTTTTAAAAAATTCTTTAAAATAGATTTATCAAACTTAATTTGATCAGCGTCTCTCAGTAACAACAGTGACATTAACAAGTCCTTTTATAGATTCTTTTAATACTTTTTCTATTTCTTGACGAATAATATTTAAATCTTGATCATTCTTAACACTCACACGAATTATTCCACTACTTGTATTTTCATTGTTCATCCAAAACCTATAGTTTTCAAGACATAAAATTCCTGAATGCGTTTTTATTTTATTCAGTGCATTATAAACATTATATTCGAAATCATGAGGAACAATCAAAAGAAGGTTCTTGGCAGATGACAAAATTAGAGGAATAGAAGAAGCAAATATCAAAACTGCAATAAGAATTGATGCCAAAGAATCAAATCCCGGCCATTTAAACCGATGTATAAGTAATGTTGATACAATTACACCAAATGAACCAAGAGTATCAGCGAATATATGTAAAAACACACTAAAACATTCATTAGCTATAACAAATATCCTTCTCAAAACATTATATACCCATAAATATTGACATTATTATGTATATCCTAAATAATAAATGAATAAAAAAATACATTTATATATTTTTTGAAAAAAAATACATACATCAATATAATTGTTCGAAAAATGATTATGTATAGAGTCATTGCTCTCATGTTTCTTTTCTAAAAAATAGATACCATCTAAATTATGATTATGATTATGATTATGTCTGGTCTAATTAAAAAATAAATAGAAAAAAAATAAGTTTACCCATGTCTAAATAAAAAAATTCCAAAAAGATTAATAATAAAACCAATAATACTAACAGGAAGAAGCTTTCCTAAATGGATCTCTTTTGGAGTTAATAGCCGTGAAACTGCTTCTATAACAATAGATATAGATAATAATAATAAAAGTAAGCCATTCACAAAGCCAGAAAGAACCTCTATCCTTGAGAAACCAAACGGAAATGTAAATGACGGAGGGAATTTACTTATAATAGAGGCTAATAACCCAACTAATAATCTAATTTTATTGTACATCAATTTCAAAAATTAAAATTAAAACTTACGCAAAACAATCAAATGCCATATGAATCGAATCAGAAATGAGGCCCAACGAATTAGAAAAGATACCATAACCCAATTGTATAAACATAAATGTCAAATTCAGAAAAAAAAATAAAAAAATATTTCGAGAATCATGATTTTTCATAATAAGTGTTAAATAAGTTTTTACTCTACGTATACCTATAACATCGTCTTTAGAATGATATTTTATGTAGCTTTCAGGACTATTTAAAGATTTATAAAAGCCTAAAAATTAACCCATATCTAAAATCTCGTTATTACTTACAATAATACATCAAAAATAAACTCAATAAATCAATTAAACCAGGATATTCCCCAAAGAATACATAATTCATAAATACCATCATCACTGTAGAGAAAGGCCAGAAAAATTTAATCATATATATAGAATCAAATGTCTTTACAAATCTTAAAATTATATGAACCATACTTGAAAAAATAACCAAAAAAAAAGTAGATATAGAATATCTAGATCCATCAATACCCATAAAAAATTCAATTAAAACAATTGGTATGCAATATAAAGAAGAAAATAAAAAACTGTTCGAATTCATTGGAATATCAATATAAAATGATAAAATCCATATAAGTCCAACAAAAAAATACCCAAAAATCACTCTCAATCGTAAACCTAAAACTATCAATAAAATTTTAACTATATCTCCTAAATTACTCTTCAAAAAATCAATCAATACTAAAAAAAATAATAAAAATAAAAAATTCCTTTTATATATAAAAATTCTCTTAGAATCCCCATTCACAATCATACGAATTATATTATATGGAAATACCATTATTATCGTTCTTTTTTTCCTTCATAAATATTATCCTTTATTTCAATAATACTAACCGTAGTCCACTAAAACACATTGCTACATTATAAAGCAAAAATATATAACAAAAAACTAAAAACCCCATAAATACCATCGTTCTTTTTCCTTTTCCTCTATAAAATCCCTCGTTTCTTACATTTTTTGCCCATTTTTTCAATAATATCATTTTACTTCCTTTTTTATCATAAAATACCCCTCCAAACCCCAAACAAAGAAAAATTATCAACATAATCACTCCATATGTCATCTTAAATCCCTTATTTTGCCCGTTTTTCCCCTTTAACCCCATAATAAATACCATCAAACTTAATCGTTCACTTAACATATTTAACAACTGTTTACTATTTTTTAATCATTCAATTAGCTTTATTAAAGAAATATTAGAAAAATACCTACCAACTATCCATTTTTCTATCATTTTATCTGCTAAACCCGCTTATTTCTTAGTAAAAAGTGGGACTTGTAACGTTCAGCAGATCGTCGATTAAGCACTAGTAGTCTTCAACGTTCAATTTTTTTGCAGCAGCAAAGCCGGGCAGAAATTGAGTAAAAAGGCAGGAAACAAAGGAGAAAACAGGGTATATTCTATGGGAATTGAATAGAACATGATAATATGGTATATAATCCTTTTTTTCGCGGGATTTGGGGTTCAAAAACTGTTGAGATCATGTTATAAAAATAAAGTGAAGAAAGGACGGAGATCTATATGTCTAGTAGTATTAGGAGATCTTGGTAGAAGCCCTAGAATGCAATACCATGCGCTTTCATTGTCAAAACAGGGGTTTGAAGTGAATCTTGTAGGGTATCAGGGTATATAAGGTTAAATAAGTAAAGACAGGATGAAAAACCGATATAGGATCAATGTTATTTCCGAATATAGAAGAATCGGAGAATATCCATATTATTTATATACCATTTGAGCCGAAAATAGTTAATAAATGTCATTTATTACCGTTTATTTTGAGTGGACCTATTAAAGTATTTTTTCAGGCTTTTTTCCTATTTTCTGCCTTATTTTATTTACCTCAATCAACAGAATATTTAATTTTACAGGTATATTTTAAATAAAATAGATGAGATATTTTATATTTTAAAGAATCCACCATCAATTCCATCTTTCGGAGTGACACGTCTTATATGTTCAATGAGATCAATTAAGCTAATTATTGACTGGCATAATCTGGGATACACAGTTTTATCGCTAAAATTAGGGCCTAAACATATTTTGACATTGCTTTATAGATGGTAAGATATTTTTATTAATAATTAAGATTGTTAAAAATATTTGAGGTATGAACGGGTTTTTGGAAATTGTGCTGATATCCATTTCACTGTTTCTTATGCAATGACAACATTTCTTAAAGAAAAATGGAAATACAAGTATAATTTATAGTTTTTTCTAGTTATCTTAAACAAAATAGATCACCGATCTACACTCTTCATGACCGACCTCCAATGCATTTTAAACCTCTTGATAATATGGAGAAATCATCATTTCTTTCAACATTTGTTCATACTTATGATTTTGATATTTCAAATGAAAAAACAAAACTATTAGTATCATCTACTTCTTGGACACCTGACGAAGACTTTTCCATTTTATTGGAAGCATTTGTTGCTTTTGATAGGATGAATACAATTCTTAGCAAAAATCATGAACCGTTATCTATACTTGCAATTATTACTGGTAAAGGTCCTTTAAGGAAATTTTATGAACAAAAAATTAAAAACTTAAATTTAAAATATGTCAAAATTGTCACTATATGGCTAGATGCTAAAGATTATCCCCGATTTATAGGCAGTGCAGACTTAGGAATATCTCTTCATACTAGTTCTAGTGGCTTAGATTTACCAATGAAAATAGTAGATATGTTTGGTTGTGGGATTCCTGTTTGCGCTGTAAAATCTCCAGCGTATGTATTTATTAAATAAATATTTATACATATTTAATTATATATAGTCTTTCTGAACTTGTAAAAGACGGTAAGAATGGCATTATTTTTAGTTCTTCAAATCAGCTCGCAGACTCTTTAAAGGTTTAAAACAAATTCTACTGTAATAATATGAATAATCATTAAGCAGAAGTTATTTTATTCACATGAGGAATTAGAAAAATTGAAAAAAGGTGCAATGGAAGAAACTCGTTATCGTTGGCATAATGAATGGGATGCAAAAATAGCCCCATTGTTTAAAAAACCTTAACATATATCTAATAATGTATTATAACTATATTCTCATTAATCCAAATAAAATTTTAGCAAATTCAACCCTTTGTTTTATTTGAGATTTTGTGTTTTTTTGCTTTCAACCTAAGTTTCTTCATCAATGACTTCTTTTTCTTATTAAAATCTACACCAAAGCGTCTCACTATAGGAGCATCTTCTTCATCTTCCATTTCTTGACGACTTTTAGAAACTAAGCTTTCATCTGGTGAAAAATCTGGATAGTAAAGTTCATTATCCAAAATTCTCCAGTCTTCACCACCAAAAACATTTTGTTCTTTTCTTTTATATTTCTTGCTTGGAAGACGTACAAAGTTTTCTTCTTCATAGTCTCTTCTTTTTTGAATATTTCTTTGCTCATCAGTAGAAGTTGCATGAAACCGCTTTCCATGCGAAACAATATTAGAACCAATAGATGGCTCTGATACAGGTGCTGAAGACATCTCTGAAGCAATGAAATCTCGAAGTGTATGATTCAATGGTAAACGTTGTTCAACCGATTCAAAAGGTAATGCAGAAGAAATTCTAGGAGGATGATAGATTCCTTTTTTTACAGAATCACTCTTATCATTGTCATTATCCACAGGAAGAAGATCCATGGGATTTGGCTTATATAATAACCCATTTTCTTTAATTATTTAAACTAGAAAAAATGTAAATATAAAAATTTACCTGTATCTTCTATTTTATGTTTCTTAGACAGCTCATGCTTCTTAAGATTATCTAAGATCTTATCTATTTGATATTTAAGCTTTGATTCAATAGGTTGTATTCCTTTTTCTATTATAATTCTAAGTTCTACCAAGCGTTCAACTATAAATCCATATTTCCCTTCAGAAATAGATTCACCATGAATCTTTACAAGAATTAATAGTGCAAGATTATGTAAATATGAAAGAAATAAGTGCAATTTCAATGATAATAGTGATATTCCTTTATCTGTAGGTAATAATTTCAAATCTTTAAGTAATGTATTAGATTGAGATAACCCTATTTCAATAGTAGAAAGTAATAATGAAGCATCAGAATCAGTCATAAAAACCCTTTTATTTAAAATAAAATATGGATCAAAATTTTAATATTTGTATCTAAAAAATTAGTAAAATCGATAAGCCTTATCAATGTAGATAAACCTTTAAATCTTATATAAACATGATATAATAAACTTTTATCTTTAATAAGCAAGAATGTTTTCACCATCTTTAGTAAACATAGCCCATTGAAAAAACTAGTTTTTTTAATATAAAAATATAAAAATATAAAAAACAAACCTGACAACCTTTACCATTACCATTAACAAGTTTATCTGCATTACAGCACCAAAAATATTTGCCTTTAGTAGTTTCTTTTTTTTGAACACAGCGTAATATAGAGGGTATATTACATTTGCAAGTTGGGATATACTTTGGTTGATAAGTTTTGCGGCAAAATCTAAACTATTAAAGATATAATAACGCAAAATATACTAACCTATATGTTATACTTATCCTTGTTGTTCCAGATATTGGATGTGGAACAATTGTACGAGCAGGATGAATAGAATGTTTATAAACCTCTTGACATGGAGGATACCTATAGAAATTGATATTAATATTGACAATGATGTATTAAAATTGTTACATAATCAACAAAGAATTGTGTGGTAGATGAATACTCTTAACACTTTCCTTATGCTCAAAATCTACAGATTTTAAACGAAACTCTCGTTCAGTACCCAGAGATATACATGCTATTGTTGGCATAGGCCTATGATATTCAATAATAAATTAAAAGGATCTTATATAAACCCTAAATATGTTAATTGATCTGAATGATATCCAAGACTTTCTTTAGCATTAGAATATCTAATTCTTGTAAAAATATAGAAACATTAGATCTTTTTATACAAATTAGCAACCACAATATTAGGATCCCATTCTCCAAGATACTGATATTTTAAATTTTCTCTTTTTGACAAAGTTTTATTAACAATGTCCTTAACAAGAAGACGAACAACATTCATTTCTTCAGGAAACTCTCTAACATTTTTAATCTAAAGAAGATTAATATATTTTTTAAGCCAAAACATAAGAAACCTCTAATCCATTATGGAAAAACTTTTGTTCCAGTAGCTTATTTTCATCAGAGTAAAGATAATAACAAGATTTATGAGGGGAGACCACTTTTTTCTCAAAAAGCATAAATTCGTTTCTTTTCCATGTTTCACTCTCCTTCAACATCTTTAAAAGTAAAGAATTGCACATGTCTTTCTCTAAAAAATTATGAATTAATGTACAAGGAGTCAATTTTTCTGCAATTATTAGACAAATAAACATTTTGAATTACATTACCAATTTGATCTGGGAAATATAAGTGTTGTACATGTATATTTATACGTTTTGAAAGTTCAAGAGAATCATCTTTTTGCATTTTAATAGGCCACAAGGTATCAGACGACAATTGCCCAGGAACAAAAGTAGATTTACGCTTATATTCATCATTCTCTATAAATTCTTCAATTTTCTTTTGTTTTTTTCTTTTCAATAGAGCACTTTCATTTCTAAAATCAGTTCGTGAATTAACATTTAATATATTTTCAACAATTCCATTATTTTCTAGTAATTTTTCAAGAAGTGTTTCAATTGATTCATCTGGAAAAACTGACAAAAGAAGTGCAAGCTTTATCTCTGTATCATTTTCGTCAATATCATAGGTCATTCTTCTTTTTTTTAATCAAAAAAACAATATCAGCCAAAGAACCACAATATATCCAATTAAAAATATTATAGATCTTTAATATAATCCCTTATTTAATCCTTTTTATGTATAAATTTGCTCTTTAATATATAATAGATATAAAAAATATAATATTTCATATAAATCAAACAGTTATTGAATAAAAGATTCCAAGATAGTTCTTTCTCAAGTAAATAATAAGTAACTGATATAACTATTTATATATAAAATATAAAAGCTGTATTTTATTAATAATTATAAGTCTTATCTTAGATTAGTAGATGGTTTAAAAAATAGAGAAAGAAATAAAATATTTTATAAATAAAAAGTTAGAATTGATAATATATTTTAATAATGATTTATAATTAGATTTTAATTTTTGTTAATGTATATATATATATTCTAAAATTTTTATTAAAGAGCGTTATAATTTTTTTATAGATTTATAACTACTTTTATATATAAATATTAGCAAAAAATAATTTTAAAGTGCAAAAAATCCAACAAGCATTAAATATACTATCCATTTTAATAAAGTTATCCTTTTATTAATTGCTCAAAAATTGAATTATACCAAAAAAACAATTATACATATTTTATATCATAAATGATTTTATTCAGATTCCTAAATTCATTATTTTTGTTCAAAACGTTGTTCAATTCTTTTTCTTTCGGCTTCTGAAATCTCTTTTAACTCCTCCTTAGTTGCATTATATTTAGATGTTAACTGTAGCCTTTAATCAAAACATTCATTAAACTTAAGACTATATACCTGATTCATCGGATTATCTGGATGTTTACTAAATTCTTTATGAATTATATCTTTATATTGTTGCAATCGTAAACCTTTATGTTCTTCTTTTAAAACCCGCAACCGTTGTTCTTCATATGCCAGCAAAGCTGATTTATAACGCCGCTCAGGATGTCTATCAATTTCTGACATAATTTTTGTATTTCCTTTAGTTTGTAATGATAGTAGTTCCAAAGCGTCATCAATATTTGCTAAAATGATTTAATGAAAAAATATAATATCTTCTGCTATATTTACATGCAGAATAAGTCTTAATAGTTTCATTTTCACAAGAATTATTAATAACTCGGTTATGATTCATCTTTTTCTGTGATCCACTTCTATGACTTTTTGATAAAATATTTTCCGTTTCTTTTACTTCAAGAGCATCCCTCTCTGCTTTCTGTCTACATTAGAGACATAAAAGCAATATATTTTTATACTTTTACTGCTGCTTCATATTTTTTCTGTAAATCTCGTTCTTTTTTTGCATTTGGAGCCTTTACTCCAATAGACCATTTAGCATCCTCTTCAGCATCCTTCTTTGCCTTTCGCAAAGCTTCTTCACGGTTCTTTGCTGCTTCTTGTTTCTCTGCTCTTTTCTTTGGGTTTGTCATGATCTGATCAAAACGATATATCTGAATGTAAAATAAAACCGAAAAGGCCCTTTTAAAAGCAACCCAGTATATCCTTTTCTAAAAATAATACTTTCAATATTAACATAATCCAAAGATATAAATTGAAAACAATATATATATATAAGTTTATATAATTTTAATTCTAAAAAAACATTAAAATAAGTATTTTTTTAAAGATATAGTACCTTTTTAAACATCTTTAAACATTATATTCTTAAGAATAAAGATATTGTTATACTTGTATATTGTTAGAAGTATTAAGTAAAAGATCATCTTTAGGATGATCTTCAAAATAATGTGAAGAACCATATACACGCATCATTAGAACCCTAAAAGAATGTAAGCTAATATTTAAGAAAATATAGATAAAAACATACATTCTATCTTTTTTTGAAAGCATTAAACTTATTTTAATTAGATTATTAAATCAATAATAACAAATTACTTACTTTGCACTAACATTACTTTTCCAAATTGGAAGAGTTACATTAAGCTTTACTTTAACAGATTCTTCATTTTCCATATCAACAACCATTATTATACAACCTAAAGACAATTTTTCTAAAGATGTTTTTAGTTTCCCCTCAGGAAACATATCAATTTTTGGATAATCATGATTTAAAAATATCTCAAGCTCATTAAAACTTGCATATATAACTCTTTCAGGGCCTAAAAAAGGAAATAACAATTTAACACCCTCATTTTGAATTCTCCATTTACAGATATCTTCAGACGAAGAATTTCTAGGAAATTCATGTTTAGTAAACATCTTTACACCTCCATGAACAAATTTTATCCTATCTTCATTATGATATAAAATATTCTTTATTTTTTTTGACAAAAAATAGATAAAATGTGTAGGAATTGCATTAACATTGCGTACAACATATTGAGAAGAAGGAAATGAATTAGAAATATTATAAAAAGCCCTTTTGAGATGTTAAAAAATACAAAAAAGAAACAACTTACTTGATATTTTTTATTTCTTCACAATCATCAGAAAGAAATTTAAAATGTTCACAATTTTTTAGAGTTTTAGAATCTTTATTTTGTACCTCAGAAAAATTTAAAGAATTAGTTATTGTATTATTTTGTAAATCTTTGTCTCCTCCTAAGGAATTCTCGGATTGCAATGTTTCATTAGTAAAGCTAGCATCTATCTTAACTTTTTTAGACAAATCATTTTCCAATGTAGCATCATTTCCTAAATCATCCTGATCTCTTTTATGTTGTTTCTTTAAACCTTCTTCAACATCTTTACGACTCATATCAATAAGTTTTTCAATCTTTTCAAATACTGCTACAAAAAAACCACCAGTATTTTGAAGATGAGGATATATTCGTAAACTATATAAGAATTAGCTTTTGTAATATTTTTAAAAGTAAAATACCATCTATCAAGACAGAATTTATTTATTTCTTCTTCACTTGGTGGCCATAATGATCTTGGCATTTTTTTCTGATCCAAAGAAAAACGTTCATCAAACTCAATTATTTCGCCATTGCTATCTATTACTTTCCATGTATTCATTCCTTTTTTCCTTTTAAGCTCTGGTAGCCTATCTGAAACATCAACAAGCTTTATACTATTGCCATAAATCCTTAAAACAGCAGATACTACCGCCTCATTTTCTATAGGATTTAAAGAACATGTTGAATATACCAATCTTCCATTAACCTTTAATAACTGAAGGCCTCGAATCAATATATTCACTTGAGTTCTATTATTAATAAAAACTAGTCAGAAAAGCACTTTTCCTTAAACTGTCGCTCACGTATGTAAGCCAAAAGCTTGTCGTACATCCCAATCTTTCCATATATTGAGATTTTTACGAATAGCACCATCTCCAGTACAAGGTACATCAGCAAGAACACGATCAAACTTTAAAATATATTTTCTAGCAGTCTTAGATGGCTCCAAATCATTATCAATTCCATCGTCTACATAAAAATTTGGCAATTTAGATGCATCATGATTCGTAACAATCATACAAGGAGAATTAAAACGCTTAATCTGATGAACAAGCATATATGCTCTTTTAGAATCAACATCATTAGCAATCAAAAATCCTTTAGGATATATTTCACTGCTATCTGTTCCCAATCGTTTCTTATCATGAATAGCCTCTAAAAATTGCGCTGTTTTTGATCCTGGAGCTGCACATAAATCTATAATACTATGATAGGGCTCCACATCTAACAAAAGTGGAGGAATCATAGATACCGCTTCTTGACGAGATATATTGCCCTTATATCCCATTAGCCTTTTTTATTTTCAAAATTAAAAATACAGATTCTGTCTCATAAAACAACCAATCTTGAAACTTTTTAAATGCCTTATTTTTACGAATAACCGTCTTCGGTACATCAACTGAATATCCAAGTTCTTTTGGATACCATGGTATTACACTCGGTGGATCAATTTCTTTATCTTCATGCTTAAGTCCTTTAAATAAAGCAAAATATTCATCCTCAAGATACTTCTTAATACATAGTGCATTTCTTTCAAAAAATATCACTCAAAATACACCAATCTAGTCATTTTTACTTCTCTGATCCTATTATCCTAAATGTCGTCGGTAAACTTTGCCTGATACTCTCCATAAACGCATCCCATTCATCTTCATCAATAATACCCTGTTGTCTATAATAATTCTCCATCTTTTCGTTCCTTATATACCTCAATATACCCTCAAATTTATATCATTTTCTTACTTCATTATAATACTATTATAACCCTCTGTAAATCCATTTTTACCCTACAAAATTAGTATCAAAATGCTCAGAATAACAAGATCTACTCACATTTCTGCTTTTTTCCGGGCAATTCCTCCTTCTAACCATTTTTTTCTTGAATATTTAAATCCTCAAACCTATGGAAAATTGATCAACGTCGACCAAATTTACATATAAGAACCAGCTATTAAAAAGCCCTTATTTTCGGCTTATTTTTCCTATAAAAAACAATGAATACCTTCTCAGATGAAAGAGATATAATCAAGGTCTTTCGTGTGTGGAAAACAGCCCATCAAATGGTCCATGATCGGGTATTTATATAAAACAGAGAAATAAGAAATATTAATGATATTAGGGCTATTTAGTTTCTCAAGAAGAATTAGATATAACGCTTGATCAGTTTAAGCAGCAATATTGCACAATTAATGGAGTGGAGTAAGCAGAGAATAAGTTTTTAGAGATAAAAATTAAGTAAAATTAAAGTCGATCAACACTTTCATTTTATGCACGATCACCGCCAGGATCTAACAAAGAACAGATATACGTTGCTTTTCAAAGAGAACCATCTATTGGTATTAGTGCTATGCAAGAATTTATACATATGCTTCAAGAACATGGACATAAAATTGGAATTTTAATATATCAAACATCAATGACACCATCAGCGAATAAAATTATTGCTACGATGTCAGGGAAGTTTACAATTGAAGCATTTCAAGAATCGGATTTATTAGTGAATATTACGCATCATGAGCTTGTTCCAAAACATATCGTTCTTACAGCTCAAGAAAAAAAAGAGTTATTAGAGCGATATCGATTAAAAGAGACGCAACTTCCTCGGATCCAGATGGCGGATCCAGTTGCACGATATTATGGGTTAAAACGGGGTCAAGCAGTTAAGATTATTAGGAGAAGTGAAACAAGTGGAAGATATGCAAGTTATCGCATATGTATGTAAATATTATAGATCAAAATCAAGTATTTCATCAGCAAAAGTATTATTAAATTATATTATAAACTCATAAGATATTATTTATTGGGTAAATACAGGAAACATAGGTGATTTATTAAAAAATATAGTTTGTAGATCTCAAAACATAATTAAATTAGGTATTTTTGTATTTTTTGTAGAATAGTTTAGTATTAATAGTAAAGATTTTGTAAATAATGAAACTAGGGCTCTAATATAAAATGTATTCTTATCTTTAAAAGATTCAATTAATCAAATTTGTTTATTATATATATCAAGCTTGTATTATCTAGAAAATGATCTAAAAGAAAATTTAAAGAAAATATATAAAAAAACTTTGAAAATAGATATAAAAGATTACTTTAATATAAATCTATAAAGGAATTCTAATTAAACAATTAATAAAACTATACAAATACATAATATTATAGATAATATATAAAAATCATTTTAATTTGACAAATTAAAGATATTAAATTAAAACAATATTAAAATACATATAAAACACACATATTTTAATATATAAATACTTATATTTATTAGATTTTCTATAAAATTATACTAACAAATATCAACAAGTGAAGAAAATTGAACATTAATGACTTTTTTTAGAATAAAACAAACATTAAACATCAGAAATATTAAAAAGAATAAGATATTATGTATAGGTTTTTTATTTTTTGAAACAAGGAATCTTCAAAGACAAAATATATCAAGTAAATATATAGATATTATTGAATATTTCTCAGCCAAATAGCACTTCCAAGGACACCAATATTTAGAAAACTAGTAGAACATGATAAAAACTCTATATCTATTGAATTTAAACGAAATAAAGAGTCTTATTCATATTTTGATTTGATTCATTATATATTAACATTTAAATCATCATTACAAGCAATTGAAGGGGGAAAAGATTTGGAACAAAAGAGAGTAGGAATCTTTGTAGAACCAGGATTCTTATACGCAGCTTCAATTCTTGGAATATGGGCAGCAGGAGGGATTGCAGTTCCTATATGTATCATATACTTTTTTTAAGCAATTTATATTGATACATTAAAGGTATTACATATCCAATTGCTGAAATAAAATATATAATTGAAGACTGTTCTATGGATATTATTTTTACAAGCTTATTTCTTGAAGAGAAGATCAAAAACATGTTAATACATATCAAAAAAGAAGTCTATGTTCATGTTCTTTTAAAATCTAATTTAATAGAACAAGAAGTATTTATATTATTGGAAAATATCTTCTAAGGAATACAGGAGAACTATGAATTCCAGCCATTTGATTTAGATAGAGGAGCACTAATATTATATACATCAGGAACAACAGGATTACCTAAGGTGCTTCAGATAAGATGAGATATAGATTATATTTAATTTTATTAGGGAGTTTTAACAACACATAAGAATATTTTTACACAAGTAATATCATTAGTAGAAGCATGGAAGTATTCTTCAAAAGATAGATTGCTACATATTCTGCCATTACATCATATTCATGGCATAATTAATGCACTAATATGTCCTTTATATGTAAGTATATATTATATTCTTAATGTAAATTCAAAATTATGAACTAGGCAGGAGGAACTATAGAATTTATGGAAAAATTTAATACCAAAGATGTTTGGTCTAGATTTTTAGATCTAAAATCACCTCAAATTTCTCAATTCATGGCTGTTCCTACAATCTATTCTAAACTTATTCATTATTATACAAACAATGGAATTGAAATCTCTAATACTGAATTGAAATCTAGAATGAAGAAAATACGCTTAATGGTTTCTGGATCAGCAGAACTTCCAATTGCTTTAAGAAGAAAATGGCATGAAATTACAGGGCATATTTTACTAGAAAGATATGGGATGACAGAAACAGGAATGATTTTAAGCGGTGGATTAGAATTTAAAAAACGTTTAGAAGGAAGTGTGGGATGGGAATTACCTTATATCAAGGTACGTTTAGTAAAAACAGAAGATGAAGATCAAGAAATTTGGGTCAATGGTGATACAGTTTTCAAAGAGTATATATATAACAATTGAATCAATATCAATTGATATAAAATAGATATTTCAATAAGCCGGATGCAACAAAAAAGGCATTTGTATATGAAAAAGATGGAACTAGATGGTTTAAAACTAATGATATAGCAACTAAAATGGAAAACGGTGCATATATAATTCATGGGCGACAAAATATAGATATTATAAAGTCAGGAGGATATAAGATTTCTGCTCTTGAAGTTCAACAAAAAATGCTTTCACTGTATGTTATCATTTCAAAAATTCTAGCTTTAATTTTAAAAAATTTTTAGACCATATATATATGAAGTTGCAGTAATTGGTATTAATGATGAAGTATGGACTCAAAGAGTAGCAGCTCTTGTATCACTTACATCAGATGTATTAAAGTTATCAAAATCTCAAAACAATTTCTAATATTATACATAGAAAAAAGAATTAACATTAAATAATTTAAGATCAGATTTAAAAGACATGTTAGCTAGTTATAAAATTCCTACAGTATTAAAAATTCTACCTAATGGTATTCCTAGGAACCATATAGGGAAAGGTAGATATAATAAATACATATTTATTCTTTTTGATCTGCCTTTTAGTGAATAAAAAGGACTTGATTAAAGAATTTAATTATGGAGATGTACAAAATTGGTCAAAATAAAAGATGTTTTTAATAAAACGCTTTTAATAAGATAAGAATAAGGAATCTTTCAATAATTTTAAAACATAATGGTTAAATATAATGAAAATTTAAGCTATTTTCTATATAAAAATATTAAAATTTTGAAAATAATATTTATATAGAAACTTTTAAAGAACTTATTTACTAGAAAAATAGAAATATAAATAATAAAATATTATTTTCATATTGAAAATGACTTAAATACAATATAATTAAGCGATTTTTTAATTCTTTTACAATGTCTCAATAACTTATAACCATTATATATAAATATAACAAAAAACAAAAGCTATTTATAATCTTATATAAAAGAAAAATCAAGTAATCTCGCAGACAACTAACCCCTTCTTTCTTATTAAATCCATTAATACGAAAAATATATTATTGTTTATAAAATCTGAATCATCTAAACCAATATAATATGATGTTTTGAAAATTTGACGTAAAGTTACATTAGTTTTACAGGAACTATTCCTTAATTCTTCAAAAACACATGGAAGTTTCTCTACTAATAAAATAGGAAGAATAAAAATAGATCTAAGACTAAATCATATATAAGAAATTGTTAATATTAAATCATTTACAAACCCTTTTTGCTTCTCAGCAGATAAATAATCTAAAACATTATTAACAGAATATCCTACCAAATGACTAAAAGATATTTTTGAATCAGGAGGATCTAAAAATAACCATGTTGGTGGAGGATATGTCTTCCAAAAAACTACATTTGTAAATGAATCATTGACTAGATATTTTTTCAAAAAAATCATAATAGATATAACATCATGCTGATGAAAAAAACCAAGAAAAATTCCAAGAAAGACATTATATATGATCCAGGAGAATATAAACAGATATTTCGTCTTTTTTTTCCTTATGTTTCCCAATGAAGATAAATATATAACTAACAAAGGAAAAACTGGTAATAAAAATCTAAGCTCTTGATGTGGAAATAAAGATAAAAGCAAGAGATATAAAATACTGCTCATCAAATACAGATCAAGCTTAATATTTTTAACAATAATCGGTAGAATTATAGCCGGTCCCAAGAGTATAGGAAGATTTACCAAAAAATGAGTCCAATATGAATGAATACCATGTTTCTGCAGATTAATATATTTGCTATTATACTTAAAATTGTTTAACGGTGTTATTATAACCCGATAACCATTTGCATAGTAAAAAGAGTCTATCAGAATAAAAATAAGAAACATTAATATAAAAGATTTAATAATTGAGAATATTATTTTTGGCCTAAAATTAATAAAATACATAAAAAGAAAAGAATCAATCGTATACCTTTTAATAAGTGACTTTGAAAAAGAAGCAACAAAAGGTAAAAGTATAATTGGAAATGTAATACGTGAGAAAAAACCAAAACTTGAAAAAATAGCCAATAAAACACATTTCCATGGACGAATATTCTAATAAAATTCCACAATCATTTCAAATTCATACGTAATAAATTACCATTTTAATTTTTTGTATCAAAAACAAACAAATAGATACTATAATTGTTTCAATAGAATTAGAAAATGTATGTACTTGATATGTCCATGTAACAAATGATGACGCATAAATCAAAAGCGCTTTTCTTCGATATTTCGAAGGTGTACTTGTATAAATAAACCAATCTTCTTCATTAATATAATAGTTATCTCCATTTATAGAATTTCCTACCAATAAAAAATGAAAGTCCAAAAAAAAATACCCTCAAAAGAAAAAATACATATAATGGATCTACCTTAGTATCTTATTCATTTAAACTTCAATTTTAACTCTTTTTTTCATAAAAAAATACCTCCTGCTATCCATTGAAATATTTTTAAAGGTAATCCATATATAATTAATAAAGGACCTATTGATCTGATTGGAGATCGTCCCTTAAACTCCCAGGGATATTCCACCTTAATATTTAAGAGGTTTCCTAAGGTTTATAAGCCTTTTTATGTTTTTTTTTATTTTTTTTCAAAAACCAGCAACTACTTGAATCCCTTGAAGATATTCATCAGGATGAATATAACTCTCTGAAATAGAAAACCCAAAGCGAATAAGTACAAGAAAGATATAGATTCCCCAAAATATCAAGAACTTCATGATATTTTGTCATTTACAAAGGACAAATCCTCTAACAAATCAGGACTTCATACAAATTCAATCAATAAAAATGTAAGGAAAGAGAAACAGAAGGGAAATATGTATTTTTTAGAATCCAATAATATGTCAAATGAATATCATTTAATCGAGCGAGATATATATCATAACCCTAATATAAAATAAAAAGAAAAAATACAAAAAACAGACCATCCATCCCTCAAATGCAAAGAAATTCAATGGAATTTATCATTCAAAGTTTTCAGCACTTTGCCGTACTAATCTTCTAACTTTTTTTTCAAAACCTCTAGCTATAAAAAAGGTTAGAAAAATATTAAAGAAAAAAAAATATACATACGATCATCTCTCCAATGCTTTGCAGCTTCAACATTAGCTGGACTATCGAAATTCGGACTAGAAACTAATGTATATTAGTTTTTCATATTATAATTATTTATAATATAGTTATAAATGTATATAAAAAATACATACGCATAGAAATAACAGAAAGAAGAATAGTTTCAGGTGTATGGACAGCTCTCCATCGTTCTGAAGCATCTTCATATCCGAATTTATCTTCTCCAGGTGGATGAAGAATCGATATACAAACGTAACCATCTTCATAGACATTAGGATGATATAGTTCAGTAATAAACTAATTTAAAAGTTAGTATCTGAATACCTATATAAAATATGATATAAAAAGCAGTATATCTTTATATTTTCATGTATAAAAAATAAAACTTACTCTCATTTTTGGTGGAAGATGAGGATATTCCTTTTTTTAAAAAATTAGCACAAATATATCTATAATTTCAATATAAAATATACACGAGGAAATGAAAGATGGCATTTAAAGAATCCCCCTTCAAATATTAGCCTTTTTTTCTCCTGATATTCCTTATTTTATGTACCCTCATATAATGTATCTTCAGGCCTATTTTTTCAGAATTTAATGCAAATAATAGGAAATAAAGAGCTACAAACCCAATAATAAGAACTAAAACACTTATTTAACAGTTTTTTCCAGAAAAAAAAAGAAAAAATACCTTCCCACTCATAAACATTGTTATCATCAATTAATCCTGCTGAAAATCCTTGGATAGGGTGTTTTTGAATCTCCTTTTTCAATATTTAATATTAATACATACTTAAAATATGATTAAAACCTTTAATTGGCGCTTTAAAATGGTTTCACTAGCATAATTCACCATTTCTTAAGCTTCTACTAACTTTCACGGTCAAAACGTATATAATCAAATAAACAATATATTAAAAGATCAAGATATTTATATTAAGATAAATTAGAATGATATTAGCCTTATAATATGATAAACTAATAGAACTTTAATAATATTGTATTTATTATATAATAATAATAAAGTTGAAGTCCTAAAAAAAAGATGCCAAATGAAATAGAATGATATTTGATCAATTGTTACAAGTGATTGTTACTATAAGAATAAAGTTAATGATTTAATGTTTCTTTTTTTTTTTTATTAAAAAAACTTACATCAATTTTGATAGAGTTATATATCTTGCGTACAAAAAAATAAGAAGAGAAAAACCCTATTGTGCCTTAAAATGATTAGTAAGAATGTATTTTGTATGTAGAATATACCAGTTAAAATAAAAAATAAAAATGTTAATAAAAGGCTGTATCCAAGATATAAAATATGAGAAGTGAAAGAACTTAATCTTATTCTAGAAAACCAGAATAATAAAAAATTAATAAAAACATAAAATGAGGGAGAACCACCAATAGAAAAAGATCTCCACCACCTTTTAAAAGAATTAGCAATGTATAATTATAAAAGATCATTAAAATAGATACCAATGATAATTTTCAGAACATAATTGCATATATATCATTAATATAGTTACAGTTGAACAAGTCAAAACCTTAATTTGTTAGTCTAGATGTGCAATTGATAGTAAATATACCATAATAATATAGCAAATAAAAAGAAAACCGAATATATAATATATATTACTGAACCAAATACTATTTAAAACAAAATAAAATTCAACTAAAATGAAGTAAATAGAGGGAAAAATTAGTTATATAAGTTTACCAAAAATAGCACCAAATGGTAATATTCCTCCAACAAAAAATGAAGGTAAAAATTTCATATATGAAGCTTGACTAGGAATTTGTCTTGGGATCTGATTCGTTTTTACAGGATGACTAAATGGCTAAAATGTAAGAATTGATATGTTTATTGTTAATATTATATACCTTAGCACGAAATCCAAAAAAAGAACCGACTATGCTTAATGGTACAGAAACAAGAAACCATAAAGTAATAATGACAAACATAGTTTTCAATGGTACAACGCCTGATGATTGAGCAAATATTAAAACAAGATTTAGTAGAAAAAACATAAGAAAAACAATCCCAGGAACAAAAATAGGAGCACATATTGCATTTTTTAACCTATTAATATAAATTATAAGAAAGAATTATATAGAAAATATACCAAAACTCTCCACCCAAGCTTTTATACATAGAAGAAGAAACATAACCTGAAAAAAAAGCGAAAAAAAAGTATAAAACAATCATAAATGTACCCAATGATCCTCGATTAGAAGGAGAAAGAAACCCAAGCATGGCAAAAAAAATGGTTACAATAGTCATCAAGAACAATTGTGTACCATTGCCCAATATAATACTCAATAACATAGAATGTTTAGGAATTCTAAAAACATCACCATATACCAATTTCCATCCACTATCTTCTTGAAAATCTTCTTGATCAAAAAAATCACTGTTATATCGCATAATATCTTTATGAAGAGTTCTCGTTAAAACTGTCATTACCATTCCAATAAGAAAAAAAACAATAACAGAAGATGTAAAAAGATTAAGCCAATGAATACGTGGACTATATACATGAAGATATTTATCCCATCGTGTTGCCCATGTTACATCCGATTCTTTCCATAAAACATCATAAGTATAAACAATAGAATTGTTCTTACTTTCATCAAGAACATATGGTTCTTGATTTGAACAATTTCCTGTACCATTAATACCAATTGCACTTATTTTTGATAACGGTATCACTGTAACCCCTACAACACGATAAATCTCATTCTTAAGCTTATGATATTCTATTATAATACGATAATGATTATTAATTTCAATTATATTCTCCATTTCCTTAATATTCCCCAAAGGAAATCCCAAACTATAAATCTTTCCATCTGCATATAAAGGATCCTCTCCTACCGCTGGTAACCCATCAATAAACCAATTCATTCCATAATTTTCCTTAATTCTTTCTGCTACAAATCCTATATCTGACAAAGGAATTGTCGCTAAACATAAAACTTTACATGTCTCATTTTTAGCCATAAAAATCTCAAAATCTGATGTAAATATTCTATCTCCAAAAATAATACTTCCAAGACTCTCCTTTAGCGCTTTTGCTCCCTTTTTATTACAGAAATGAAACCTCTCATCATAGTCTATATTATATCAAAAAACTTACCATAATAAATTACTATTTTTACGAACAATCATACATATAGACATTCTTATAATATTGAAGAACAGATCCAGGCATAGGACCTGCCATAGGACTTAATGAATTAACTGTTAATGGGACTTTCTCCTCTTTATGATATCCCTTAGGCGCAACTCCCGGGAGATAAATAGCATTAATAATACCAAAAAAATAAAAAATAATGCACAAAATAAGGGTCATTAAAGGTCTTTTAAAAGCCAAAAATATGTCAAATAGCCTTTATATATATTTTTTTGACGTTGAAACCATGAAATTTATCGTTTTGATGAACGACAAAAATTTGAAAAAAAAGAAAAAAAATAATTGTGCCTTAAATAAGAGGAATTATAAAGATATTATTATAGAAAAATAATTGTATTGAGAAATAGATATGTATTAAAAAAAATACGGTGAAAAAAGGACCATTTTTGAGTGAGATAGAAGGAAATTTGTAAATTAAATATTTTTGAGAAAAATGAGCCTTCAAGAGTTTTTTAATAGACTTTCAAGTGTCTATGAGAAGAGTATAGGAGTAGATCTTTTAGATATTTTCATTTTTGATGGAACTAATGAGAATATTAATCAACTGAAAAAAGAGTTATTTCAGGTCTATTTTTTAGAATAAGTAGGAAATAAATTGTAATATAAGATAGCAAGAAACAACAGATATATTAAAGGAATGTGAATGGAGATTTGGTTCATGGAAAATTTTTTCGGAATTTGTAATGGCATATTTAGAATTTGTTAAAAATGTAGTTTTTTCAGATATTGAAATATTTTATAAGCTATATTATCAAGTTTTTTTGTAAGTTTTTGTAAGATCTATTATTTTAATGTTTATGGAGTAGACAATTTATAACTACATTTTCACATTCTAATGCTACATGGCTTACACCTCTTGTAAAATATATGTCATTAATTCTTACTAAGGTATCGATTCAATTGGACAATTTGACACAGGATCCACATCAAAGTGCAACCAATGAAACATCTAGAGCAATTTTTAGATTATTTAATATTATATTGAGTGATCGGTATTATATATTGATTTTATAAAATATACATTAATGAAAATAGACATCCACTCCCAGATTCTAAAAAAGTATGCACATTATATATTGCAAATCTACTTCTACGATTATATTTTAAGGTATATTATGTATATAAATAGAAAATATATTAATAAATATATAGCTTAATCAAACACGTCTTTGTCAAACAATTAGTTCTAATATTACATCATCAGGAATTGAATTTAGTTTATATCCTATATCTGAAAGAGTAGGATTTAGTTATTATCTTGGTAGATATAATTTGTATCAACAACAAATTACAAGAGCTAGAGGTCATCTTTTATTTGCATTTGATAATTGCCTTACAGAAAACTATAAAAATAAACGGTTAGTTTAATGAATTGATAGAAAATAATCTAGAAAAACTAAAGGCTGATTTTAATATACCTTACAACTGCATCTATTATATTAGGAATCTTTCCTTCATCAGAACTTCTTATAAAATTTCATCTTTCTCAGTATTTTTCACCTGTTATATCTTGTTTAATTAAAGGAGATCATAGAAGATTCACAGATCATATTAATCATGATGCTATACGTTCTTGGTTATTGAAAAAACAGATATTTTTAACAATTCGTGATCATTGTGAGATTCTCTTATGGAGAAGTCTATTTCGTAGATCGTATATACCATATTTTTTACTTAATCATCTATCTTAACACAAAAAGGTTCTTAATTACTCGAGATCCATCACAAAAACCACCACGAGTTAAACTTGAAGATCTATTAATAGCAGCTAAATGGGCTAAAAATGATGATACATATGATTTACTAGATGTTGAATGTATATGTATCTCATTATTGGATCAAGTATTCATTTTTTTCTTTATATCATAAATTTAACATTATAAAGAATTATCTACAGGCATATATTTTACATGCTTCTAAATTACTTGTTCTTAAACGTGATGATACTCATGGATTTCAAAAGATTAGTAATGTTAAGGCATTGCAAGCTGCACATGACGATGATGTAACATTTGGTTGGTAATTGTTAAAATATATATCTACATTTAGTAGGTTTGTTTTTACATTGATTTTCAAGTAGTATTCATTATTAATATTATATTATTAAATTAAACAAAATATACATATAATATAGATCTTTAATTACGTATAATGTTAATTTATTGAAAAATTGATCTATAATTAAAACAATTTTAAACATTTCTTTAATATTATACTAAAAATGATATCAATTAAAAATATCTTGAATATAAATTTCAAAAGAATCTAATAAACATTATCCTTTTAATCTTATCAGATACATATTTTTTAGAGGTTTCTAAAAAATATGCAAATATATTTGCAAATAAAAGATAATGAATTATTCAGGAAGAAATGTTTCATTAAAAATAAACTTAATGATACAAGACAAATATCAAAAACTTTAATAATGAAAATAATGTGATATTATCAAAACGAAAATATAGCTTTTGCTATAAATACTACTTTGTAAAATTCCATATAAACTTCTTCTATATAATATCAAAATATACTAAGAATCAGCTACTTCTTTTTTCGATATATCATTTGTTTTTTTTTGAACATGCTTTTTCTCTTGACTCTGCTGTAAAGCTTTCGCTTCTAATTCTTCAATTTCTTTTTTAGCCTTCTCAATACGTTCTGCAACCGTCTTTTCTTGATTTTCTTTATACCATACCATTCTTTGTTTTAAATTCTCAATACATAATGGAATTTCACCATGATTAAATGGTGGTGTAACATTAACAAAAGAAAATTGTTGCAAAATACTCATATCAATATTGAAATTCCCAGTTCCATTCACATAACCTGACGAAGACTTTTTATTACGCTTATTTGCTTTACCCTTCTTTTCATTACAACAAATGAAATAATCCTCACGTTCTGCCTTAGATTTTAAAACTATTCCAAAATTCTCGTCCGTTTCTAATACTGTACGAATATTCAATTGCGGTAATTTCGTATCCTCTAATGAATTCGTTTCCAAAATAACTGAAGACGGATTTAAAAATCGAATAAGCTATATTTCTAATCAATCCCTTCTCTTATCTCTTATAATACCCTACATTCTCACATGTATATATCTCTTCAAGAAACGCCGGTTGACTCGCTTCTTCTAACATTCGATCCGCCATTTGCTTCCTCTTTTCTCGATTATACTCATCCTGCTGTTGTTTTCGCTTCTCCCACGCCTTCTGCTTCTTCTCCCTCTCAAAATCTTGATACTTACGCAGTTCCGTATAATATTCATCTTGAAGCTTCTTTCTTCTCTCATAAATCTCATTCCTCTTTTGATTTAACAAATTCCTCTCTGTATATAAACTCTTTTGCGATTTATACACATTATCTTGCTCCTGATGTAAGCTATTTTGCTCTGCTTTCAATTTATCATATTGTTCTGATAGCGCTTTCGAAACCGGGTCCTCTAACGTACCCTTAATCTCCGCTATTCGCTTTTTATCCAAATCAATCGACGATTGCTGATACATCACTTCCATAAATGACCTTCTTAACCGTTTCAACATAGAAATCTCATTTAAACATCTTTTTTCTTCCACTAACTTCAATACACCCATATCCACCGCTTTTTCTAATTCCCTACCCATTCTACTCAGCTTTTTCTTTTTCATACCTATTAAACCCTTACAAAACATGTCGATCCAGTTCTTCTACCGTCTTAAATGGTAGTTTTTTCTTCATCGCTTGAACCTCATTAATCTATACCCTCACAATCAATCCAAATCCCCTCAGAAAAATACAAAAAAACATCCTCCCCTTCGGCACACTTAAACTAACCTTATTCTTCATAGATTCTTCAATTTGTTTCACTTGATCTACCGTTTTTTGCTTCGACAACTTTAATCTCGCCTGTTTCTCCCGAATTTCGTCCAACTGATGCCGGATATTTTTCGACCGTACTCTAACCCCTCCCGTCTCTCTAAATACTGCTTCTTTTACCCGAATACCCTCCTTTTAACCTATTAATTCCGCTTTTTTTCTATAAATTTATACTTACTATTTTCTCTGTCATTTGTTCAAGTTCTTTGTCAATCTGTGCAAGAGATTTCTTAAATGCCTCTTCATCGGGTTTAACTGGCAGCTTTGAAGCCGCCTTCATTGCCTGCTGCATGTCTTTAAATAATTTTTTTGGTGGTGGTTAAGAGGTGATGAGGAGGAGCGGTGGAGAGGAGGACCGTAAAATTTCAGTAGGACGTCAAAAAAAAGAGCGGAAAAAAGAAAGGGAAAAATAAGGATAAAATAAGGGGAAATAAGAGGAAAACAGTAAAGAAATGAATAGAGGAGTTTTTTTAGAAGTGGAAAAGTTTTTTCAGGATTAAAAAAGAGTGAAAAATGAGGGAGATTAGATAAAAAAAGAGTTGAGAAGAATAAGGGGTAAAAATTGATAGAAAAAGAGAAATAAAGGGCTATGAAGCCCTCATTTCTCTTTTTAATTCTCTCCAAATACGTTTTGCTTCGTCGTCAGCTTGCCAGCTTTCTTTTCTGTGATGAAATTGAGTATTTTGTTGTGGAAGAGTGACTGAGCTATAACTGCTGGATTCTCTGAGGAAAAGAGGGTCTAAACTACGTCTTCTTGATCGCCGACCGTCTTTTAGATGGGAGAGATTTGTAGAATATTCGATAGTTGTGGTAGTTTTTGTGATATGAGAACGAGTTCTTGCAAGAGACAAACTTCTCTGAGATTTTGGAGTATCGGGGGTGATTACGGTATTTGTAGGATGATCTTTGAGGATAGATTTGTGAGGAGTGGATTGTGTTTCTATAAGAGGGTCTTGAATCCTAAAAAAAAGTAAAAAAAGAAAAAAAAAAGAAAAAAAAAGAAAAAAAAGTTACCTAGAAGGACATTTCCATAGTTCTTTTGAAACAGAAGTAGGAGAGACTTTAGGAGAAGTGCGTAATGGTTGAATTTTTGTAGATCTTTCATGAATAGAGGGAGACATACAAGTATATGTTCTTCTAGGGGTTACAGAAACTGTTCTAGAGTGTATTCTTGATCTTTGGAAGCGAAGTTCATCTTTAAGTTCATTAATTTCATCAGGTCTCCATACTTCGTCGATGACAGCATCTTCTATTTTACCGAGAGCAACATTAATTAGACTTCCAGCGGCTTTAACACGTCCTCTATTGATCATTTCATGAGAATGAATTATTCCTTGTAATGCATATTGACGTATGAGAGCCAAAAGAACGATACGATTACGATTTTTTTGAGAAGTATCTTGAGACTCATCCAAGGTGTCAGAACGTTTAATTGTAGCATATTTTGTGTTTAAACGTAATATAGTAGAAGGTGGAAAGCAAGGATGATTGTAAGATATTTTACAAGAAGCAATGTTAGCAGGAAATGTCTTTATTATACTTTCAAGTTCAGAAGCAAGTGCTTTTGTTGAAACGATGAATGGATCAACATCAGGAAGATCTGAAACGGAAGGTACACTTAATGTAATGAAAAAACAGCGTTCTTCTAATGGCGTAAAGTTTCCTATTGTTTTGTGAATAAATAGGAATAAAGTATAAATAGCTTACCAATGATCAACTCAAGTTTATTATCATGTTTGTAAACACTGTCGGCATCATAGTATACATTTTTATCGCCTCTTATATCACAAATACCTACACCTTCTAAACCAGTAACATTGATTTTAACATTAGATAAGCTAGCCATACAAGAACCGGCAGCACATAATTTTAAAAAGTTTTTAACCTTTCTAATTTCATCAACACGAATATAACAACCACCTTCTGCACCAAGACTTGTTAAATGACGCAAATAAGTTGGATTTGGACAAGGACCTATTCCAAATGAATGTATTGTAATATTATGTCGTTTAGCTTGAGAAGAAATATGATTTACTTTATCATTTGATACAGATACTTCACATCCATCAGATATAACAATAATATGTCCTAATCTTCCATTTCTTTTATTTTTTGTTAGGATATCAAGGGCTTTACTGATTCCATCATCAGAATAACAACTATGAACACCCTTCATTTCTTTTAATCTTTCACCTAAATTGGCTTGAACAGCTGCTTTATGAAGATTATCACATGTATGAAGAGCAAAAATTTTATTTTTATCATCAGGAAGAGTTGTTAATATACACATTCTGTCAGTAGGTTGAAGATCATAAAGAAGCGTAAATATAATTTCTTTTACAACGTTAAGCTTATTTCCATAGGCCATTGACTCCGACATATCTAGACAAACAGCAACATCAAGTGAATATATACAGGGTAGATCAATCGTATCCTGATATTGCGATAATATATTGATATACATTATTATTTCTCCTTCGCTTTTATGAATAATATCATAATCCGTATGAATTTCAAAATCAATACCAAAAATTGCTGGATGAGATGGAATTTCAGAAATTTTCCGAGATAAACATTCATTTTGTCCTGATTTATATACATGATTTTGCTCCAAAGGGATAGTAGAATTTCTAAAAAACATGCTCTTTTGTCTAGCACTACTAAATAATCTTTGAAGCTTATTTTCTGGTTTTTTAGTCTGAAGGGCCGTAATCATATTAACTGGACCCAAACATTTGGGACAATTTGTTTTCTGAAAAAATAAACTTCTTCTACGAAATACAACATAAAACAACCTGTCTAAAGCAATCTTCATGTCCAATATGTCCACATCCTGGATCATAAGGTGATGAAAGTGCATCAATCGGCCGGTAACAAACAACACAAAAAACTGGTTTTAGATAACTTGCTCGAAGTGAATATTCACTTTGTCTTCGCTGCAAGTCGTGCTTTCGCAGCGACATACTTGGTATAAAAAAGCAACCTATCTCGATAGATTTCAATAATACTTTTAACAGATCAAGTGCTTATCTACGATAAAAGCAAAGCTATTATGCCAGGTCGATAGGGGTTGAAACCTAAACAATAGAAATAGAAAGAGTCAAAAGAAGAGGTTGAGATATCAACAGTTTAGTTATTTATTCATAAATATCCTATATTACATCATGGCTAACCAAAATCCTTATTTGATAAAAAAAAGTCTGTACAAAAATAGAAAAAAATTAAACATACATAGTAAAATAATTATGACGAAAAGGAAAAACAATACAGATAAATAAGAGATATTGTGGGGAGCTTTTTCAGGGTTTTTATGAGATTGCAGAGGAAAATATGTGGTGAAAACAAAAGTGGTTGGAGAGATAGAAGTGATCGTTGCAGTAATAGTTTCAGTTAATTTTTCGGTTAATGTCGACCATCCCTTGATAAATTGAGTATAAATTATAGTAGAAGTAAGATTTTGAGTATGAATTATTGTAGAAGGAAGAGTTTTAGTTTGAATTATTGTAGTAGAAAGAATTTTAGTTTGAGTGATAATAGAAGAAAAAGATTCTGTAGAAATGAGCGTTTTAGTTGTAGTTTCTTTGATCGGAAAAACAGAGTTAATAGGTGTAGATGTTGTAATAGAGCTTGAATTAGATGTTGAGAAGGCAGGCAATGTAGATAACCAGGATTGTTTAGATATATGTGACCTGAATGAATTACAAAAATTTTGAATTTCTTTATATATATTTTGAGTATTAGCGCAATCATCTTTGAATAAATATTCAGAAGTACTGTTACAATCTTTCATTACTTGAATTTCTGTATCAAGAAGATCTACAGAATCTTGAAATACATTAATATAACGTTTAAGGCGATCCCCATAAATATTTTGTCCTGTAAAATTCTTAATGAAGCTATCATTATTTAATCCAACAACTTCTTTTGTAAAATTGGCTACTTTATTTTTTTTTTCTTTATATAATTTTTCCTTAGTTATTAATAAAGCATAAAGACTTATTAGTTTAGAATCCAGAAGAATACATTGTTTTTGCATATAATTTTCAAACTTTTTACAAAGTTCTAGTCCCTGATCCTTTTTTAAAGTTTTGCACTGAGACTCAAATGTTTTATTATTTACTTGATTCCATTCTTTGCAACGCTTATTCAAACCATTCATACATATTTCTCGTTTTTTCAAATAACCACTCAATTCACGCATCAAGGATAATTCAATGAATTCTGTCTTATAATAACCTTCACAAATTTTATCAAGTGAGTTACATGGCTGCTGAAAATAGTATTTTTCACAATTATTTTTAACTATATCACAATATGGTTTCCATAGTTTACAGTCATAAAATGTAATATCCTTGTTTTGAATTTTATTAGCAATACTGTATTTTTCAAAATTATTTTGAAATGCATTACAATGGCTCTTCATTGACGAAATAATAACTTCACAAGTACCCCTCCAGCGTTTACATGAACCCATAAATGGTGTATTAGCTTCTTTAATCGTATTAATACAAAAATCATTCAAACGTTCTATACAAGATGACTTATTCGACAAATAGTTATTTCTTCCTTGTAATAACATATTTTTTAATTCAATAGTTGTTTTCATTTCATTACAATATTTTTGAAATGAATAACATAGTAAACCCAAATCCATAATACAATGTTCAGATAATTCTTTGCATGATGATCCCAAAACATCACAATTCTCAAAAGGAATATTATCCTTATAATAAGAAGTTAACTCATCTTTAAGCAATAAACACTTTCTTCGAATATTTTTAATTAATTCAGAACATGTTTCCTCAGGTGATAAACACAATTCAAACAATTCCCCTCTATACTGATACATGGACTGTCGACAAATATTAATCAATTTATTTGTACAATTAGACTTTTTCATTAGATCAAATGATCCATGATTATTTCTACGTAAAAGCTTAGTTATATAGTTATAAGAAGATCTCAAACGTGCTTGATGATAACATATACTTGTTAAATTACGGCACATTAACTTATCAAGATATCTATCTTCACAGCTTTCCTTTAAATAAAAACATAATGATAACAATAACTTGCAATCCTTATCATTAATCAAAAAATAATTATTCCCCATAGCAGACCCGTCTCCATCTTTACTATTAAATTGAAGTACTCTTTTAAGTTCTGCATTAAGATTTCGACAAGAATTCCTCAGTTTGTTTTTTAATATGATACAATTTAACAAATCACCATTATTATTCTTATAGTATAGACACATTTTCCTCAAATCATCGTGAAAATATCCAATAGATGAGCAATTATTCTTAATTATTTCAATACATTTATTTTCTATATTAACATTGTTACGAATCAACAATGCTAAAAGATGATAACCCTCAACACCACTCATCCTCCTATTAACAATGATACCTGATTCTGATGCCTTCTTATAAAGTCCATAAAGATCTATTTTAATAGAAAGCGAAGTAGACGATTCAATTGGATTGAAAGAATTATATGACTTAACAATAATACCCAAACCTCTACACATTTCTTGAAGTCGATAACACAAACCAAACAAGTCATCATTTTTACTTATATTTTGCGGATAATTTACAAAATCTGAAGCGTATAAATAACACTCTGGAAGAAATTGACTACAACGCTCTTTTAACTCTTGTATATTTTCAACCCCATTTTTATATATTTTTCCAAAAACATCTTCAATTATAGATTTTATTGATTTCTTAAGATATTCATTAATATTTTCAGATACTTTAACAAGTCGTTGACATGTCGATTTCCATTCCAAACATTTTAACACCATATGATCATTTTCTTTACCTAATTCTATACATTTTGCCTGAATTGATGATTCACACAACTCAATTGTAAAATTTGGAAGTGCTCTTAAAAGTGCTATATCTGCAACCTCATCATACTCTTTTCTATAACAACGTTCCATCAATTCATTACATTTTCCATTAAGATTTTTAGAACATATTGACTCCAAAATTCTACATTTTTCTATATAAATACTGCAATTATTTTTTTTCAAAGAAAAGTGTTCAAGTTCTTTTTCAAATTCTCTACATTGATCGATAATCGACTTTAAACTTCTAAGTTCTTCACATTTTTTAAGCAGATCCCCATTACATACACCTTTTAGACTAGGAATCACTTGTAATAGTTTTAAACATCTGTTTTCTAAAGTTTTTTTACATAAATTCTTATTAAAAACTTTTCCTTTTAAAATTATATATAAAATAACATCTTCTTTATATATCCAATTAAAATGATTTTCAAGATCTTTATTTGATTCCAAATATTCTTGTGATTTTTTCACTTGTAATAGACCCAAATCCTTAGTAAAATCTAACCTAATATTAAATTTAACTTTTAAACCCGTATATACCAATGTTTTTAGATAAAACTGATAAAATAACAAAAAATATAGAAAAATAAAAAAAGTTCATTCATTAAACAAAACAAAACAAACTAAACCAAACCCTTTATTTATACTAATTTCTTGTTTTTTTTTATATTAAAAAGTTACTTTTTAAGCGCTATCAAATATATATCCTAAACCTAACCCTATCCAATAAACATAGTCCTTATAATTTCATCCACTAATGATTAGATGATTATATAGAACTATGTATATAAGTTTCTAGATATTTATATTATATTAATGTTATTAAGAGGATCAGATTATCGTTTATATTATAATTTATTATGCAATAGTGTCTATATCGACAGTCCATAGTATTACTACATAATATCGCTTATCGGTGATAGTGTGTGTCTGTGTGTAGTCTATATGAGGCTAATGTTAGGGGATATTAAGAGATAAAGAGATAAAGAAAGAGATAAATAGATAGATAGATAAATAAATGAAGAAAGAAAGAAAGAAAGAGAAAATATATTATGTTCTATACAACATAAAACTATATACCCATTAATGTTAGAAAAATGCTGCAATAAACATTAATGAAATTAAAGCAATAGATAACTTGATTAAATTGGAAGAACTACTAAATAAACCTAAATCAGTAGAAGCAAAATTATTGATCGTAGATTCTTGACTCGATTGTGTTTTTATTGGTTTGCCGGTTACTTGTGTTTTTGCTGGTTTATCGGCTACAGTAGTAATTTTATAAAGAATAGAACATGTAGAATGAAAAATGCCTATGCATTGTCCTCGTTTAATACATTTTTCTACTCTATCTCTCTCGACATGTTGTCTTAATCTAAATAGAAAATTATCCATATATGGAGCTTCATCAAAAGTCACATTTTGTTCCTTAGATGATAATACTTTTTCACGAGGAGGAGTCTTTGCTTTTTCAAGACATTCTTCTTTAGAATCCGTACCATTTTTACATAATTCTTTTAAAAAAATAGCCATGTTGATACCATCTTCTCTTTTTTTATTAAGAATACATGAAAAAACTTCCAGCTTATAGCTTTCCGATTCACAAATACATTTTACATCAAAAATACCGCGACACGTCGAACTCTTAAGAGCCGTTTTATAACAGTTTTTCGATACATCTATTTTTCATTAATATACTATACTATACTATACTATATAATATAAAGTTTAAGATACCTGACAAATCACTGGCGTTTGCCAAATAATCAACACACCCAGTTTTAGCAAGTACAGAGACAAAAAATAGAATAAAAGGAACAAAAATAGAAACCATGACTCTGATCCGAAAATTTATACAAAATTTATTTCAGGTATCGAAAAAATCATCATTCTTGCATGAAATATTCAGAAAAATAAAACATATCCATATAAACCTTCATACATAAAATAATATATGGATATTATGAAAAATAAGAGTTAGAATAGAAATAAATGTAAAACTAAAAAAAAACAATAAAATCCGTTTTTAATAAAATGATTAGAAATGATAGAGTCATATAAGCTAGAATATATCATGAATAATAGAGTTAAGAAGGAATTTAAAGCAGAATTTATTATATTCCAAGGATTCCGTTAAACAGGTATTTTTGTTTTATAGAAAAATGGGTTAAAAAAAAAAGGCATTAAATAAATGATAAAAATAAGAGAGATTTAGAACTAATAGGTAAATAAAAATCTAATAAAATGAAAAACGGGAATATAAGTCAAAATTATGTTTATTATTTTAGTCGATTGAGCTCTTTATATATATATAGAAATAAATGGATTGTAAAATAAACATTATAAAATAAAACAAGTTTAAAACATAAAAATAGAATACAATTAATACTAATTAAGAAGAATTCATGTCAATTGATTGATTGATATCAATTGATTGTTTATCCAAGCAATTAGCGAATAGGATTTATTGTGAAGTGATATATATGCATAATAATAATAGGAAATCAACAATTGACTGAAAACGGTTAAAGATGAATTAATAAGAGAATGATTGATAATAATAATAAAGAAAAAATATACAAGAAAACATAAAAGAATTGGATAATTAAAAGAGAAAAACCATTTTAATAAGCATATAATTGATAATAAAGTAAAAATAAGTAAAAACAAAAGAAAGAAAAAAAATATATAACTATGAACGATACAGTTGTAAGAGATTAAGAAGCATATAATCCCATATTAGTATGAAAATAATATGTATTTGAAGCCAGGAAAATATTATAAATAGGTCAATTGACTCTTTTTTGAATAAAAATTAAATTTTATGTATAATTCATATCACCATATAAAAAAAAATATATAAATTAAACATCCCCTAAGGCAATCGTACTAATAATTCCAAAAATTAAATAAATAAATTTTGAGAAGAATAAGTAAAGCTTAATAATTAATAGATACAATGCGCTTCAATTACATTTTATCAGGTGTTTTAGCTCTAATAAGCGTAGTTTCAGCTGCATTTGGCACGGCTTCACAGCTCTCATCAGAGATTAGACTTAAGGAGATGGTAGATTTGGATTATACTATCCAATATGCAAGCATTAAACTTGTTCTTGTATGCCTTTCTGAAGGAGTTTTGAATGATCTTTATATTTTGAAAGAAGGACTTTCATCAGTTGGATTATCAGAATCTAAAGTTAAATTTACCCATTTATCCAAAGAATGTCAATCTTTTTTTGTTAAAGTACTTGCTTATGATAAATGCGGAAATCTTTTCGTATATTTCTCAAGCGGATTTTCGGTTACTTTAGCAGGCAAAGTTGAATATCATAAAGATTGCGTTCCTGCAAAAACAATTGAAACGGCAAAAACAACTAAAACGAGCACTCTACCGACAGGTGGATCAAAACAAACACAAACTCCAGATACACACCGTGATGAAACACCTACTAAAACTCGATCCGAAACTTCAGGTGATAAGGGACAAGAGAAACCTACTCCAGGTCGCTCAATTCCTTTACCTAGCACTGGCAAAATAGAACCCACACAAAAGCCTACTACATCTTCTTCACAAACATCAGCTGACGTCAAACCAACTAAAAAACCAGATGATATTGATAATAGTGGATCTATGCTTGCTTTCAAACTCGTTGGAACGCTTTTCACTGTTCTCGTCATATTCCTTTGCTCATAAAACTAACAAAATATCTATGCATAAAACCTTACAGCATATAGTAAATATCTTGGCATTATGTTTATACAATTTTGCTTTCATCAACATTAATTATTATCTATTTTAGTGGTTATATTTTTTTAATGATTATTTATGTTGTTATTGCATAAATAATTGTTAAATTATTTAGTTCAGAACCTGGTGTTTTTATATAGTTTAATAGTCTCATTAATTTAAAATAGCATTAAATAAAAATTATTTTATTTTTTTAATAAATAATTTCTTCATTAAAATAGGTATAAAAAGCTATTTGCAATAAAAAATATAATAAAGGTCTATCGTTTTATCAAATTACTTAAACAATTGATAAACTAGCCTTTACTATGACTAATGTACGATAAAACTGATAAAACCCTTAAAAATATAAGGATATAAGAAAATCTTAAGTAAACATAGGATTTCAAGGAATATTAATCCATAATTATTGAAACCATAACATATTTATGGAAAGATAATGGGTTTTTTAAATAAATTAATCATATGACTTAAACCCAAACCATCAAGTTTTTATATATTTTGTTAATAAAATATATAAATCAAAGATATACTATGAATAAAGATGAAATATCATCAGACGAGGAATCAATATCCTCAATTTCATCAATAAATGATGGATTAGAAGAGCAATTGGAATCATCATCTGATTCAATGATTCAAAGTATTTCTCAGCAAATGATTCATAAATCAGAAAAAACAAATAATATATGGGCTATAGGATCACTTTCTAAAGAAATAAATGAATATTTTCATCTTTTAAGAGTACTTAAAAGAGAAAAAGCACATAATCTATCATTACATCTTTATTCTAGCTTTAAATTACGTAAGAATATTCATGAATGTCAAGGTAAACGCTTAAAAGGAAAAAGATGGATTGCATGGCCATTACCTTGCAATGATAAATTAGATTTAAATAAATCTTTAGAATCATCAATGGAATTGTTGGCAGATGAATTAGAAGCATGTATTTTTCGAATTGCAGCAAAAAAAATATATAGTCGTAATTTGGAACTTATCAGTGAAGAACATTTACCAAAAAAGGTCTTTGATTATATTTTTAAGATTATTCTTTCACGAATTCATAAACTTCTTTCTACTCTCTTGCATTCACGAAGTATTCAAGGATCGAGTAGTTCAAAATCAAGATTACAACTTTTACAATGGGATGATCTTCTAGGACATGCATCAATTTCTTCTGCATTTCCTTTTAAAGATATTTTGAATACTGTTGATATATGTTCTTCACTTTTTTCAGAAAATATGTCATGGAATCCTATAGAGGCACCTTTAGAACTTGAAGATAATCAATACCTAAAGAGAAAAGGCTGGGATATACTTTCTGAAATTCCTAATCATAAAATGTCTAAAAAAAGAAAGAATTAAAAAACAAATATTAATAACTTGAAAATACACATTTTGAATCAAAAGTATTTCATTATAATGTTCAATTTATCAATACACAGATCAATATGTCTCATAAATCAATACTTAAGAAGAAATTGATATCAAATGGCATTATTATAAAACGCTATCAAATAACTAATACATTTTAAGATATTCATATTGCACATTAATGGGTATTCGCAATGTTTTGTCGAACTAATATACGCACATTATCCACAAATATACGAACAATATTTTCGAAATTATTAGGTTGTCCATGACTTGCTGCATTTCCATGTTTCTTTAATTCATCAATATTTAATAATTCCACTTCTAGTTCATGTGTCTTAGAACCATTCTAGAGACATTAATCTTAACACACATATTAAATAACACACTTCAGAAATAACTTGTGATAAATCAATTTGGCAAAATTGATGCACATAACTTAATCGATCTTTATCTCTTTCCATGATAAGAGCACCTAAAGGTCGCGGCTCAACTAAAAAATTCAGAAGAATTCAAATAGACTTATTGTTATAAACATGGTATTTCAACATTTACACTGATCCTCCAATCAAATTGAGTTCTTGGACTAAATATATTTAGGCTTGCTACTCTTGTTTTAATCAATCGTGAAATAACTTGACCTGTCCTTTTATCTGTTGTTATTCGAATCCTATTTTGAAAACCTTGACTAGACAATGGATCATTGTAGAACTTATCTATCTCTTTTTTATGTTTATATTTCATTGGAATTCTAGGTTGTCCTTTATTCTTTATCTGAGATTTTTCAAATGATACATTTAAAAAACGATTAAAATATTTATGTTGCAGCTAAATTTCATCAACAATTCAATCTCTATTCATCTTTCTTCACTGACTTCTGTCATATTTGACTCAAATTTAATTTTCAATTCATTACTATTAATAACTATATTAATCTTTAATATTGTCGCAAATTTATCCTAAAAAATATACTTGTTTCTGTCAGAACTGGAAGCCAAAGCCTCTCTCCTGTCACAACATCCACAATATGGCCAATCTTAGCTTCAATCTACCAAAAATATATCAAAAAAATTAAACTTAACACTCATTTCCAACTTCAACATATTTTAAGGATTCCGTAATACAATTATGAAATAAAAAATCACTTACAAAGCGAATCAATTCATCATGAGGCATAATGTTTAAAAAACTAGGCTCAGGCAAAGGCTTTGGAACATTTAATTCTTTACTAGAAACTTGATATAATGAAAAATCAGATCTTTCATTATCCAAAGCACTTGATGAAATATTAACAACTCCAGCATATTCCTCACATGTAATTGAACTAGGAGCCTCGGAACAAGGCCTTTTTGATGGATTTTCATCAGTCATTTCTGTTATATTTTGATATTTAACTAATCACTCAATATTAACTCATTTTTAAAGCGAAAAAAGCCTCAAAAAACACCTGAAAGCACATTATCTGAAGGATTAGAAGGAGAATCCTGAGTTTCAGTGGTTATTGGAGCTTCTTTCTTATCCAACATATTTAATACAAATTTTTGAGGTTGTCGACGTCACTCGTAGACCACATAAAAAAATAGGAAAAAAAAGAGGAGAAAAAAGGATATAAATAAAGGAAAAAAAGCTATAAAACTCATGGATGGAACACAGTCAGTGGGTATATTCGTTTTTTAGAAAAAAAAGCGGAAAAAAAGGGTTAATTTTGAGGAAATTAGGAGGAGTACTTTCATTGCTCGATGAAAAAGAAACAAATCTCCAAATCCATGCTTTAGGAAAGCTTAACGAGCTAATGGATCAGTTCTGGCATGAAATAGCAGATGAAATATCGAAAATGTGCTTTTTCTAGAGTGTATTAGGAGAAAAACTGATGAAATAACAGCGAAACACTTTATGAGGACGAAAAGTTTCCAGAGCGCCAATTGGCGGCTCTTGTTGCGTCAAAAGTATACTATCATTTAGGGGAATATAATGAATCGGCGATATTTGCTTTAGGAGCGAAAGAATGGTTTGATCTTTCATCGTCATCAGAATATGTTGAAACGATTATTTGTAAGATATTTACAATTTTAAAGGGGATCATTGTTATTAAGAAACAATAGCGAAATTCATTGATACATATATTGAAAAAAATTTTCAAAAATATGAAGATTCTAAAACGATAATAGACGAAAGATTGATTACTATTGCGGAAAAAATGTTTCAACGATATCTAGACAATAAACAATGGAAACAAGTTCTTGTTGCGTTGTTTTTTTTTCATTATTATTAATACTATCTTTTTAGGTTCTCGGAATTGCATTGGAAGCACGAAAACTTGATATTATCGAAGAAGTGATCAACAAAAACCAAGATGAGCCATTGAAAAATTATCTTCTAGATGTTAGTATAAACCTGGTTCAAAATTTGGACTTTAGAAATAAAGTATATATTTTTTTACAAAAAAAAAATTCATAATATATTAGGTTTTAAGTCTTTTGCTTGATTTGTTTTTAAAGGATAAACAACCGGATTATTTTTCAGTTATTAAGTGTGTCGTTCATTTGAGAAATAGCGATATTGCAGCAAAAATCCTACAAAATCTTATTTTAAAAAATGACGAGGTCTTTTTTATATAATATTTATGAAATAATTAACTATTAATAGAAAAGTTTGCTCATTGCATACCAAATAGCCTTTGATTTAAATGATTCCGCTACGCAAGAGTTTTTACAAAAAGTTTCTCAAAACTTTCAACTTTTATTAAAAGAATCAGAAGATGAAAACAAAATGAACAAAGATCTAATGGATACTATAACATCAAGAATAAAATCTATTCTTGAAGGAGAAGAATCAGTTAAACTTTATATGAAATTTCTATCTCAGAATAATCATGCTGATAATCAAATATTAGTGAAGACAAAAGATTCTCTCGATGCCAGAAATTCTATTTTTCACTCTTCTATAACGTTTTCAGTAGCCTTCATGAATGCAGGAACAACATCGGATAAATTTTTTAGACAAAATCTTGATTGGCTGTCCAAAGCACTCAATTGGTCAAAATTTAGTGCTACAGCAGCGTTAGGTGTAATTCATCGAGGCGATTTATCACAGGGCTTTTCCCTTTTATCACCTTATCTCCCACAGGAAAGCGTATCTGGATCTCCATATTCTGAAGGAGGATCATTATTTGCTTTAGGTCTTATTCATGCTAATCATGGAAAATCTGTACTTCATTATCTAAAAACTCAATTAAAGAATACTCAAAGTGAAATTATCCAACACGGTGCAGCTTTAGGACTAGGAGTTGCTGGAATGGCCACGGGAGATGAAGGTTTATCACATTAACATTATTAATTATATTTTACAATTGCTTTAGAAATATACGAAGACCTTAAAGATGTATTATTTACTGACAGTGCGGTAGCAGGGGAAGCCGCTGGCTTAGCAATGGGTCTTGTAATGCTTGGAACTGCATCTCCTAGAGCCATTGATGAAATGTTGCAATACGCTCATGAGACTCAGCATAAGAAGATAATCCGTGGTCTTGCATTGGGAATTGCAATGCTTATGTACGCCAAAGAAGAAACAGCCGATGTTCTTATTGATCAACTTTGCTCAGATCTAGATCCTATTTTGCGCTATGGTGGTATTTATACTATTGCAATGGCTTATTGTGGGACAGGAAATAATAAAGCCATTAAAAGACTACTTCATACCGCTGTTAGCGATGTCAATGACGATGTTAAAAGGGCATCAGTTATTTCCCTTGGATTTATTCTATTAAGAAATTCGTTTACTTTACCAAGAATGGTTGAATTATTAAGCGAAAGCTATAATCCTCATGTAAGATATGGCGCAGCTCTTTCACTTGGAATTGCCTGTGCTGGGAGCGCTATGCAAGATGCCCTTGATATTTTAGAACCTTTATCAAAAGATCCGTCAGATTTTGTTCGTCAAAGTGCTCATATATCTACGGCTATGATATTAATACAACATAATGATCAATCAAACTCCAGAGTGGTTAATTTCAGAAAAAAGTTAGAAAAAGTTATTTCTGATAAACATGAGGATGCTATGGCTAAATTTGGAGCAGCACTTGCACAAGGAATATTAGATGCAGGTGGAAGAAATGTTACTATAGGTTTACAGTCTACAATTGGCAGTTTAAATATGATAGCTATTGCGGGAACTGCCATTTTTACTCAGTTTTGGTACTGGTTTCCTTTAACACATTTTCTTTCTCTTTCTTTTACTCCTACAGCTTTAATTGGGTTGAACAAAGACTTAAGAGTAACTGTTCTTTAATAACATTAGATATAAAACTAATTTATTAGATCCCAAAATTCGAATTTATATCAAATGAAAAACCGAGTTTATTTGCTTATCCTCCTGAAACTAAAAAAGAGACAGACAAAGGTCCAGGAAAAGTTGCTACTGCAGTTTTATCAACAACAGCCAAGGCTCAGGCTAGAGCTAAAAAAACAGAGAAAGGAAGAATCTCTAAAGAAAACGATGAGGATACAATGGAAATGGATACTAATTTCTATGATATTTTAGAATCCATTCCAGAAAATATGGATATGGAAGAAATAAAAGAGACTAAAGATGACAATATCAATGAAAAAAATACAGTAAAAAAGGACGAGCCATTATTTGAAATAATGCAAAATATGAGTAGAGTAACACCCTTTCAACTTAAATACATTTGTTTTAAAAATGATTCACGTTATATACCAGTAAAAAAAGTAATTATTTTATAAATAAGTATTTTTTTTTCTAACATATCATAGCCTACTGGTGGAATATTAATGATGATGAATAAATATCCTGATGAACCCGAGGATTTCATTGATTCTGTTCCTGAAGGTTTATTTTTTCTCGTATTTAACATATAATTTTAATTTTAATTAGAAATATCATGCGAAGAACAAGAATTAGAAGCTGATCCACCTGAGCCTTTTGAATATAGCGGTTTTAAAAATTAGAAAGTTCAATAATATACAACAATTTTCTCTGTCATAACCATTATTTTTTTTTAATGTATTATTTTCACTCCGGCAATATAATTTACATATTATCAACACATTTTATTAGACTTTAGGAAATCAATAGGTCTCTTTATTTTTTTCTTAAGTATTAATTAAAATGTAACAAAATACTTTATATGTTTATAAAATTTCAAATATTAAACAGTAGAATCATTAATATAAAATAAAAAATATAACCTTTAGATTATTAATATATCAATTGATTATATTTTACATGTCTGATTTTTAAATCTACTTTATTCATAACTAATATTAATTTTCTATATTTCTAACAAAATATTTACAAAAATACTAGAAAATTATTAAACATTCTAAAGATTTCTTTAAACTAGACTATTCTCTATAACCCAAATTATCATTATAACTTAGAATTTTCCTTTTTTTAAATAAATACAAATGTATATAATGTTTTAACATAGTTATTAATAAAATTTTAAAAAATTCCCTTCATATACAAAAAAAAAATCACCTTTTTAAATAAATACAAGAAGAATTCAATTCTTCTTCTTTCTTAAAATTACCTTTTTTATATAAACAAAAAATATCATAAAAATACTTAATGCATAGCCCAAATAACCTCCTAAAACAACAGGAATTGGCCATTTCTGCCAGTCTCTGTTCCAATCAAGAAGAATTGGCATTGCTCCCATCCATGATCCTACAAATGTCCCAAAAAATCCCATACTCAATTTAAAATTCTGAAAATCTCTAAGATCCAATTCTAATGAAACTAATTCCATATATCTTTCTATATCTACTCCAAATACACAGATCATAGGTAATATTCCAAGAACTGACAGATGAAGACATGACAATATTGTCTCCAATAAACAACTAACAACTGGTGCACCATATAAAATAATAAAAATATCTACTAAAATACATGAAAATACAAAGTATAGGCAACTAATTCCTATATCCTTAGAAATTAAGCACGTTTTCTAGATTACAGAGGCATACCTTCACATATGACAAAAATATATATCTATTTACAAAACATTCATATAATACATGGATCTTATCTAGGTTAACAAACACTACAAATCGTAGTATTTGCACAATAAATACCGGCACAAACAATGATCCTATCAATGTTTGTGTCGTCTCTATTAAAAGTGCTTCAAAATTTAAATAAAGAAAAAATAATGGAACTAAAGGATGAAAGATATCGTATATTCTAAGTAAATTGGTGCCAAGTAACATTTTTTAACAGGCGATGGCTGATGCCTATATATAATGATTAATATGGAGGTTGTCGAGGAGAACGTGGAGGGACGTCGATTGACCAACGACAAAATATTGAAAAAAAAAGTTTTTATTAAATTATTAAATAACCTGTGAGAAAACCAGGAGAAACATGGATAAAGAAGAAGAAACAGGAGTTTCTGTATTAGATGGTTTTTTTTTCGTAAAATTTGGCCCAGAATTGATCGAGAAACATAGATGAAGAAGGAGAAAAAAAGATGGAAGAAAAAGAAGAGGAAAAAGTGGGAGAAAAAGGTCAAAAAGACCATCTAAATGAAGAGGAGAATGAGGAGAAACATATGGAAGAGGAAAATTTTGGAAAAAATCCGGAAAAAAACGAAGAAAAACGAAGAGAAATAAGCGTAAATGAGGAAAAAGAAGAAGATGAGGAAGAAGAGGAAGAAGACGAAGCTCAAGATGAAGATCAAGATGAGGACGATGAGGACGATGATGAGGACGAAGAGGAAGAGGAGGAAGAGGAGGAAGAAGAAGATGAGGAGGAAGAAGGGGAGGAACATGGATTATCGGAGAAGGTATAGATATATATAGAGAGAGGGAGTATGTTAAAACAAGAAAAGAGGCCTAAAAAACGGAGAAAAGAAAGGCGAAATCAATTTCTTGATGTTGAGGCAGAAGTAGAAGAGGACGAGGAAGAAGAGGAAGAAGATGAGGAATTTGGAAAAGGTTAATAATTTTACAAGAAAGAATGATTTATATTGATGAAATAAGAGGGATTTATTGCGGAGGAAATAGAAGATTTGGATACGGATCATATTTTGCAAAATGATGATAGACAGCATAGAGATCTTGATAGACAGCTTCAAAAGATTGAAGATGCAGATGCAGAACGTCTTGCAGAAGAATATCGAGAAAAATATGGACGATCATCAGCAAGATTTTATCGTGGGGATATAGAAACGATTCCTCAAAGATTGCTTTTACCATCGGTTAATGATCCGAATTTATGGGCAGTAAGATGTAAACCTGGAAGGGAAAAGGACATTATTTATAAATTAATGCGAAAAACAGCAGATCTTCAGAATTCAGAAACACCAGTGGAAATCATATCAGTATTTCAAAGGGATGGAATTAATGGATATATTTATGTAGAAGCAAAGAAAAAGACACATATTATTCACGTGAAGTTTAGTTATTTATATGAAAATATATTAATATTGTTATAGGCATGTAAAGATATTGTTAATGTTTATTCAAACCGCATTATTCTTGTTCCTATTAAAGAGATGCCAGATTTACTTAAAATTAAAAAACAAATTATGGAATTGGTTCCTGGTGCATATGTTCGAATTAAACGTGGGAAATACGCAGGAGATCTTGCTCAAGTTGACAATCTTTCGGAAAACGGTTTGTCTGCTAGAGTAAAAATTGTGCCAAGAATAGATTACTCTACTAAAGAAAAGGATTCAGCTTTTATTAGTCCAGACGGTAAAAAAAGGTATCACAATGGATATTCAATAAATGTTAGACCACAACAACGGTTTTTCAATGAAAAAGAAGTAGCAAAATTCTATGGGAATAAAGGTCTTACAAAACGAGGAGCAAGAAATTATATATTTAATGGAGATGAATATGAAGATGGCTATTTAATGAAGGATATAAGATTAGCCGGATTAATAATAGAGGGTGTTAACCCAACATTAGAAGAAATAACCAAATTTAATTCTGGAGTTGATAATAATGATAATTTTGATTTAACATCTCTTGCACAAAGCATCAAAACATCCAATGTAATGCCAACATTTCAACCAGGAGATCATGTAGAGGTTCTTGAAGGAGAGCAAAGTGGTGTCCATGGGGTTGTAGAAGCTATAAATAATGGAATTATAACTCTTTATTCTGAACATGAAGGTTTGAAAGGTGAAAGACTTGAAATTCCCTCAAAGGGTCTTAAAAAAAGATTCAAACAAGGAGATAATATAAAAATAATTAGTGGGAAATACAAAGGAGATACCGGTATTATCATATGTGTGAAAAATGATCAAGTAGTTCTTTTAAGTGACTTTTCTATGAAAGAGGTTAATTTTTATATTTTATTTTCTTCACTTTTAATTCTTAGATAACTGTATTTTCTAAAGATATTTCTGAAGCAACTCAATCAACAGGAACAAACGTGATGTCTAATGAATATAATCTTCATGATTTAGTACAATTAGATCATAATACGATAGCCTGTATCACAAAAGTAGATGGAAATTTACTTCGAATTTTAGATCAGAATGGACTTTCTAGAACAATTCTTCCAAATCAAATATCAATGAAATATCAATCAAAAAACTCAGTTGCAACAGATAAAAATGGACTGGAAATTCGTATAGGAGATACTGTAAAAGATCTTTGCGATAGAAATAGACAATGGAATGTTATACATATCATTCATGAATATGCTTTTCTATATGATCGAGAAGTTACTGAGAATAATGGTGTTTTTATTACAAAAACAAAAAATCTCACTACTGTTACAGTAAAAGGAAGTCGTGTAAGTTTTTTTTATTATATTAAATATTATGTAATTATATTTAGACAACTTCTGGTGGACCTGATTTAAATAAAATGAATCCAGCATTACAACGACCAATAAATTCTGCACAAACAGTTCCTCGCTTTATAGGCAAAGACAAAGCCGTGGGAGAAACAGTAAATATACGTTTAGGTCCATACAAAGGATTACTTGGCATTGTAAAAGATACTACAGAAACCTCTGCTCGTGTAGAATTACATACAAACCAAAAAACAATAACGATAGAGAAAAGTAAACTCTCATTTAAAAAGTAAGTAATAGTACAATATTAGACCTTTATCTTAAAATATAAATAGTCGATATACTGGAAAAATGATGACGTATTTTGAATTTGTTACATCTAAAAGTGGAAATCAGCGTAATAGATATGATTCTCGAAACATTAATCCAACATATGATCAATCTAAATCTAATATACCTGTATGGGCACAATCCTCTGAAAACAAAACACCCTGGATCAGTGCTGGTTCTAGAACACCTGCATGGTCAAATACTGCTTTACATACACCGGCCTATAGTGGATCGAAAACACCAGCAGCATCAGGATCTGCAACTCCTGGTTATGAATCATCAGTATGGAATCCTGGAAGCAAAACTCCAGCTCATAGTTCAATGACACCTGCATATATTGGTTCTAATATCCGATGGACAGAAGAAGATGCACGGCGCCTTGGCCTTACAAGCTCAATTGCCCCATGGGAAAATGTGAGTCATATAAATATGCCAGGCTTCTCTATTAATACTTCTGAAAAAACTTCTGTAAGAATAAAATATTTATTTGAAATAATATTAATAAAATAGGCCGATATACCTGATTATCTACCAAAGGATCGGTCAACATCTATTTCTAATGAAAATACAGTGTAAGTTGTAATTTAATCAATACTCATTTTTCCAACTTTTTATAGTTTAGAAAAGACATCTTCTAAATTCATGACTCAAACAGATAATACAACTACAGAAGCATATCAAAAAGATTATGAGCTAGCTAATCCAGCTTATGCACCTCCAAGTCCATAAAAATATTAAATTCAAATTACTCATTAAGGTCAATACTTTGAATAATACATTGGAAAAACCACATAAAATATTAATTATATTTTGTTCATCTTAAATAAAAATTAATTCATAAATAATTAATTTATTCGAATTCATAAGCCTAGTACTCCTTACAAACTTAACATTTCATATTTCTAAGGGAATCAAATGATTTATGCATAAAATAAAAATTATAAACTTTTTTTAAAATGAACAAAGATATCAAATCTGTAAAATATTTCAAATAAAAAAAACAAAAGGATAATATTAATTTTATAAAATGCTTAAAATACTATTCCAAATACAATAAAACCATGTATTTACAACTATCGTCGGAATAACTAAAGAATTACTACAAAAACATACCAATAAGGGTATCTTTATCATTCAAAATTCTACGATTTATCCATACTAAAAATAATTACATTTTTTGCCCGATTCAAAGCTTCTATTTCATGTCCAATTACAATGTATAACAAATTCAATTGTCTATTATTTACAATTTTTGTTAAATCTCTTAGCCTTAAAAGCCCTTTATCAATAATATTCACTACTTCTTCTACTTTACAGTTTCCCTTTTTCGTATAATCATAAACATTTTGTTCAAGTGATTGAAGAAAACTAATTGTACTACACCAAAGTTTCGATCCTTCCGATAAAGCAGTATATTCAGAATGTGCTTTCTTTATATCATCATTAATAACTGATAACTCTGCTTCCCAAATCTTACGCAAAGCATCTCGTGGCTTTGCTTGATCCGATTCTGGTATCATTTTTTTAAATTGTTCAATAAATTTAGATTCATCTGCATCGATTTCCTCTAAACGTGATTTTTCATCCAAAAAACGGGACCCTAATGAATTTTGCAATTCTTCAATATGACTTAATAATTTTTTCAAATCTTTCTTCTTTTCTGCTAATTTAACCTCCGTTTCTGTAATTTCCATCTTCAATTTATTCTTTTTTTGACGTAATGATGATATAATCTTCAAATTTTCATCCGATTCTTCTTTTTCACGAATATACATCGCTAAAAAATGCTGTTCATCCTTCCATTGTTCCAATTTCTCAAGCCCTTCCTTTTTAAACTTTAATTGTCTATTTAAACGCTGTTGAATCGCTCTTTGAACATCCGAAAGCGCTACCATAGCATGTAGAATCTCCTTACGTACTCTATTAACATTTCCCTCCCGGTAAAACAGCGCTCTTGACTGTGCATGTGTTAAATTCTGTATTCTCTGTTGAAGACGAGAAATTGAGCTTTTTAACTGCAACAAGTCCCGCGAATCATCATTATACGCCTTAATACATGGTTTAGACGGGAAACATAGTGATGCAAGTGCTTCTAGCACTTGTTTATCTGCTTGTCCTTCATTTTGTATATTTTCCCTAAAAATCGTCAAAAATCACTCAAAAAAATCCGGATTTTCGGGTATATACTTAAGAAATAGAGATTTAAATGGAAATAATAGCGATTCTTCATCAATCTCCAGAGGATTCAGGCGTTTTTCCCCCAGCCATGGCTTGGATATTGAAGATACATCGAGGCTCATCGTCGACAACACGAAACCCAGTGACAAACAGATAAGCTGAGAAAATAGAGGTGAAAAAAAAATGTATAAAAGAAATGCTAAACAGATTATTGTTGTCCAGTAAAATCAGCAGGAGCCGGTGGATAACCCATAGAAGAGATATGATCAGAAGACCTATAAGTGAATGAAGGAAGAGAATGATCAGAAGACAAAGAATAGAATGAATCGGAACTAGATTGGTTAGTATTGAAAGTGTTTTGTGTGTTTTGAGAAGGAAGAATTATGCTTGAAGACGAAAAAAAAAAAGGATCGTTGTTGGAAGGTAAAAGATTGAATAAAAGAGAGCGATAAAGTTGAGAAGTGTTGTCGATAGAATGAGTGATTTGAAGAGGAGATTGTGTTTGAGAAGGTGAAGAAATGTTGTCGGTAAGAGAAGCGAAAAGAGTAGTGATAATTTTGAGAAAGTTTGGATTTGTAGAAAAAGAAAAAAGAGCTGATCGAAAAGAAAAAGGAATAGTATGATTGAAAGAAACGAGATTTTGAAAAAGATTAGTAAGAAATGTTTGAGAGAATTCGACGGCATTAAAACCAGTATTAGTAATATCACGATTTGAAGTTATAATATGTGATTCAAGAAAACGTTTACGTTCTCTATCTTTTCGTTTTAACTGTCGCCTTAAAAACTCGTCCTCTATCCATTTTGATTTTGCAAGAGAATGTTCTTTACCATATAATTTATGAGCACGTTTATTAACTCTACAACGAAGATCATTATCTTTATTACGATCTTCATTTGCTTGACGCCAACGTTTTTTACGTTCACGATTCTCTTGACGGATCTTTTCCATCATGTTATTTCGTTCAACATTAACCAGTAATTCTGGATCAGAAGTAGTTAATTTTAATAGGCCATTATTTCCCTTATATTCAGCCGATTTTGGCCCTTCTTTCGCCGTAGAATTCATCTTATTGATCAAAACTGAGCTAGAAGCAATAGATTCTCCAGAAAATCCTATTTCTTCTACCATATTTTTACCAAAATCTATTATTTGCTTGTTTCAACCTTATCTCCGCCAATTTTTAGTCTTTTTTTACGGAAAAAAAAGGAAAATACTCACCAAAACAAAAAAAATATCGAATTCCTCATAGTTTTTATGATTATCCACTGCTATTTAATGCTAATTCCTGCTTTTTTTTTTTATTAATATTTATACGTTTTATTATAAGGTTAAGGTGGGTTCTCCCGATATTATGTTTCCATGGCAACACGTAGGAAAACGGACGACCACCTTTAATATGAAAAAATCAGAGAGCCTTTGAGAGGCAGAATTGAGGAGGAATTGAACGATTTAAACGAATATTAATAGGAATATGAGGAAGTAATGATTTTTAGAAGATGTTCGGCTTTTGAACGGGGTCAAACGGGCTTAAAATGGGCTCAAACGGGCCTAAATTATTATAGGACAATGTATAATATAAATAAAGGGAAATATGGGGTTTTAAAAGGGATTACATGTTTAAAATTAGAGAGAAATAAGGTTTTTATAAGAAATATGAAAAAAAGCCCGGAAAAAATAGGCCTGGATAGTGTAAATTGCTCGGGATATGTTCCAGTTGGAGCAAGACCTGGATTTTCAGTATTAATGGAGCTTACAAAGCCGAGATTAACATTTCTTGTGGTTCTTTCTACAATGTCATCGTATGCACTTGCACCATTTCCGGTATCATCAATATCAACACTGATTTTCCTATCAATCGGTACAGCAATGTGTTCAGCATCAGCAAATGCGTTTAATATGATGCTTGAGTCAGAATATGATGCGCAGATGTCAAGAACTCGTTATCGTCCTCTTGTGCGTGGTGTTATTTCGCTTCCATCTGTTTTTTCTTTTATTTGTATAACAGGAACACTTGGTGCATTTTTACTTGTATGGGGAGTTAATACAGCTACAGCATGTCTGGGTGTTATGAATATTTTTCTATATGGAGGGGTTTATACGCCGCTTAAGCGTATTTCTATTATAAATACATGGATTGGAGCAATAGTAGGAGCACTTCCACCTCTTATGGGGTGGTCAGCAAGTTCCAATGGAGATCTTTTTAGTCATCCAGGAGGATGGATTCTTGCGTGTATTCTTTATACATGGCAATTTCCTCATTTTAATTCACTTTCATGGAACCTTCGACATGAATATGCACGTGCAGGGTATCAAATGATGTGTGTTACAAATCCAGCCTTAAATGCACGCTTGGCTTTGCAATATAGTTTCTTATGTTTTTTATTTTGTTGGGCATTACCTATTTCTGGTTTATTGGATTCATTTTATTTAATTGACAGCGCTATTGTAAATATATTTATGATATCTTGTTCATGGAGATTTTATAGGCATCAAACTGAAAAAAATGCGCGAGAACTATTTTATGCGAGTCTTATTCATCTTCCGGCCATTTTTTTACTTGCATTAGGTCATAAAGTTGTCACTATATGGTTTAAAAAAGAAAATACTAAACAAACGGATCCTGTATTATAATTACCATTTACAATTATTCGTTTTCAAATCAAAATATGTTATAACATATTATGTTAAACCTTCAAAAAAAGACATATCCTTATCCAACATTAATTTCTTTTTATGCACTTGATCTGACAATTCTTGATTAGATCTATCATGTTTTTTAAGATTATTGCTCCAATTTGCTTTCCATGCTGTTATTTTTTTATCTCCACCGCTTAATATCCATTTATCATCATATGTTTTAGCCAATACGTCGACACTTGAATCTTGATAACCAAGAATTCCCAATGGTATATTAGGATGAATATTTAAAACTCTTATAACACCATCATTACCACTCACAATAATAATATCATCATTCCATGCCATCATAACATCAATGCTTAACATATTTTTCTTTCCAGATAACAAAATTTGACTTGTATCATTATCCCATTCACCTTTATTAAATATTTTTATCATTCCTGATACTGTCCCTATACATATCTTGGGTTTAATCGTTTCTGATTTAACTAAACATGAAGATAAAAGATCTTCCCCAAATTCATACGAATAAATTGGCAAACACTTGTCTATACGAAAATCCACTACTGAAAAAAATGCATCTCCACTTTTTCATAATTAATCTTCTCCCTCTTCTTCCTCTTTTCATTATTCACCTAGTTGATAATAAAACCTTCTCATTCAGTCCCAAAAAAGACGAAATATAATCCTTATGAACATCTATCTCCTTAACACTTTCTTTTACCCTCTTATCCCATAACTATTCCTCCTTATCAACTTTCCCTCCTTCTTAACCTTCTTTTTCTTACTTTAACCTTTCCATTATCATCTCCTGAAACAAAGTTCATCTCTGATAAATAATATACTACATTAATCGCATTCCTATCCCAATTCTCAACTTTCTTTCTACTTATTACTATATGTCCTTTACATATGTGCCCTTTTTGCCCTCCAAATAACCTTCCCCGTCTCGCTCTTGGCACACTTAATCATTCCATCTGCTCCTACCGATAAAATATCTATTGTATCCTCTGGTTAAGTCCTTCATTACAAATTATAGGAAATTCCTAACACCTTCTCCGCTCATTGAATATCTCAAATCCCGACAGGCAATACGATGTCTGTACGTATACCATGCCTGATGATATGTTTGTTCATCAAGATTATAGTAATAACTTGATATGATAAATAATAATTGATTATTGAGAAATAAAGCCTTTTATTTACCTTGAAACACGTCCGTTCAAAGTGCCAACTGTTAGAACAGGTTGATAAGGGTGAGTCCGGAGAGCAAATAATTCCGAATCTAAAATTAAGCTCATCCAGCGTCGATAAGATTTTTTATAGGTTTTTATAGATTTTTATAGATTTTTTAATAAATTTTTAATAAAATATAGATAAATAGACAAAATGATAAGATAAAAAATGGAGAAATTAGTGGATTTTTTAGAGGATAAATATGAGATTATAGAGACAAAGAAATTTATTGAAGAAAAAGGATTTGAACGTGTATAATATGAATTTTTTATATGAAAAAAAAAGGTTTTTTTTTAATATTTTTTAAGGTGGCATTGCAGTTTCCAGATGAGTTGTTAAAAGATGCAGCAACAGTACTTGAAAAGCTTAAATCAGGGTTAAAGGCGTCATTTTATATCATAGGAGATACATTTTATGGGGGGTATTGAGGAAAAAAAATGATAAAGATATAAATTGATATTAAAAATTAGTTGTTGTGTTGATGAAATAGAGGCACAACATGTGGATGCAGATTGCATTATTCATTATGGACATGCATGTTTAAGCGTGTAAAATTTTATATAATTTTATGGGATTTATAAGTTTATATTAGGGAAAATAGAACAACACGATTGCCAGTCAAATATGTGTTTGATAAGCTGCCGTCATTATTCAATATAGACAAGCTTTTATGTAGATTTAAGGAGGTATATACAGTGGAGGATCAAGTAATTTTGGGGGGGAAGCCTTGTTATACATATATACTAGGTAGATCTATCATATATATATATATAAATTTATATCAACAAAAATTGTATAGAAACTATTTTATCTGAATTAAAATCATTTGGATACAATGAAATTATCAAAGGAGATGGGGAATATAGTGCAATAAATATTATGAAAACAATTGGAGAAGCAATTGTAGCAGATGATAAGCAACGATTAGATTTATACAAAAAATGGTCAATATTTTATATTGGTGAAGAATCATCAGGATTAACGACATTTGCAATGACATGTTATTCTCATGTTATGTCATTTTATTCATATGATCCTATACAGGATAAGGTTATACATCAATCTCCAATTAGTAATATACAATTGCGTCGTAGATATGCAATTATTCAAAAAACAAAAGATGCATCAATAATTGGGATTGTTGTAGGAACATTAGGGGTTTCTAAATATTTACAAGTAACTTATTATTTACGAGAAATGATTAAAAAAGCAGGAAGAAAAAGTTATATGTTTATAATAGGAAAATTAAGTCCTGAAAAATTAGCAAATTTTTCAGAAATACAAGTATTCGTATTAGTTAGTTGTTGGGAAAATTCACTTATACAATCAAAGGTTTCTTTTTTTTTATTTTATTTTAAAAATGTTTTCTAATAAAAAAAATAGGATTTTTATCGTCCAATTATCACACCATATGAATTGTATTTAGCTTTATCATCAGAAACTTGGAACAATCAATGGATCACTGATTTTTCTACCATACTTTCTTTAGATTTTAAAAATGATAATTTAATTGAAAAAGAACCTCAATTTTCTTTAGCTACTGGACATCTTGTACAACCATCTATTATAAATGATAATGAAATATCAATTCAAAATAATTCTTTATTAAATAATCATGGAAATATTATAGAATCAAATAAAAATACTCAATTATCAAATCTTCGTGTTAATAGTTTATCTGCTTATTTTCATAAAAATACAAAAACTTGGCATGGATTATCAAAATTAAATATAAAAACTGAAATATCTAAAGTTGAAATAGGTCAACAAGGAATTCCTAGCAAATATGATCATGAAAAAGATTAAAATTTAAATGTAAATAAATATATATGTATATATATATTTTGAACAAATCATACAATTCTAAACAATTCTATACAAATAATACTATACAATTCTACACCATTCTACACCATTCACACGGTCTCCCTCCTTCTTGCAATCTCCTCCCGAATATTCGTACTACTTATTTTTATACTTATCGATTCTCCACCTATTACTACTTCTTCTTCTACAATAATATTTATACAAAAAATATCAAGTTCTTTCATCCCTCTAGCCTTTCTCTCCTCATTAATCATCTCTCCTCCTCTTATCGTCTCCTCTGATACCACTATGGCCCCTACCCTTTCATCTACTACCGTCACCCCATATATATCATAGATCGGCGTCACCGATAAAAATATAGTCCTATTAATTAAATAAAAAAACCTCCTAACAGACTCTATTCTGGCCTCAATTGGCTCTATCCAATCCGAAAATCTCTTATTCTTTAATAATATTTTATCTTTTTTCCTTAATATTTATAATATTTTTTTAAGACTTACCAGTCACTCCACAAACCACCCATTCATCAGTAATCCATGCCGTCATAGTTAATAAAATCTTATGTCCTACATGTAAATGATCAAAAGTTCCACCGACTATTCTCCGTATAATATTTTGTAATATACATAAATATTACTTACCTGCTACATATTTATACGATGGATTATCAGCTCCTTTATTAATATCTAGTCTTAGACCTTGTTGCTCTGTGTTTGTTATAAAACCTCTTTTTATGGGAAAACTCTTTATAACTTGTTCTTCAAGAACCAAAACATAGGAATTTATATAGGACGGGATCCTATCTATCAAGTATTTATCTTAAATTATGAATTAATAATTTATGCAAAAATGGTATTTTTTACCATCCTTTATAAGATATATTTTATCCCAGTTTATCGGCTCTGAAAATAGATCATATCCGCACCAACCGTTAAAAAGGATATTAACGTCTAGAGGAATCTTATTGTGCTTTTTTTTGGAGGTTTCAGAGAGTGTATAAAGAGTATTTAGGAGATCATTGATATTTGTGAAGAGGACGGCCTTGTTCTTTGCTTGAAATAGAGTATTTTGAATTTCAACAAGAATAAGTAATTGATCACAAGTGATTATTGAAATACACAAGTCAATGAACCCCCAATATTTTGAGAAATCAAGGGAATCATTTGTTTGTAAGATAAAAACACTTGTTTTAGTGTTATTCATTGTTTAATAAGTCTTGGAATTAAGAAAGAAGAAAAAGAAATAGAATAGAGTGTTAAGGGAGTCTTTCTCGGGGTTTTTTTAGTATAAAATGGGGGTTTATACACCATTTGTATATACAATGTTATGGCCGACATATGCCATTGATTGGAGTTTATCAAGAGGGATTGTGATAGGGAGTTTTATGGATGAAGATCAGAATGAAGTTTTCATGATATTTTTTATCTATAAAATTAACTTTTTAAGATTGAGATTCTTAAGAATGAGGAGGTTCAACAAGTTCAGGGAAAAGAGTCATTAGGAGGGGTAAGATTTAGGTCAGCAGGAAAAACCATGAGGAATTTGGTATATCCAGTTACTAAAGTTCTTTGGAAGCCGTGTATATATGAAAGAAAGGATAAAAAAATGTTTGCAAGTACAGGAGATGCATTGCGTCTATGGTCGGTGAAAGAAGGGCTTTATGAGCCAATTATTGAAGAAATGGTTCTTGAACATGTTAGGAATTTTAATATATCAAGAGAAAAAAGATTAATTGATGAATAGCGTCAACATGGAACAAATCAAATAGCACCAACGACATCATTTGATTGGAATCAAGTTGCACAACAATTAATTGTAACGGCATCAGTTGATACAACATGTATTATATGGGATATTGAAGTAGGAGAGGCAAAATCTAAATTAATTGCACATGACCGTGAAGTATTTGATGTATCTTTTCTTGCACATAGTGCAGATGTTTTTGTAAGTACAGGAGCAGAAGGAAGCATGAGAATGTTTGATTTGAGGTATAAAAAGAAAGTATTTATTAATTTAATTAAATATTTTTCTAGATCATTAGAACATTCAACTATTTTATATGAAACAGGAGGGGAATTGGATGCGTATACATCAGAACCATTACTTCGTGTAAGTGCGAATACGCTGGACCAAAATCTTCTTGCAACATTTCATTTAGATTCAAATGTAGTTCATATTTTAGATATTCGATTTCCAGGTACACCAGTCTTGAACATAGCAGGACATGATGGTAATATCAATTGTGTAAAATGGGCACCTGGATGTAGAAATATATGTGCAACAGGAGGAGAAGATTGTCAAATTTTAATATGGAATACAACAAAGGAATCACAGAATCCAAATACATGTATAAAAAAGTAAAATATTTTATAAGAAAAACTAATGATAAATAGTATTATATAAGAGTATAAGAAACCAAGAGATAAAACAGTTAAATAATCCTATTTTTTCTTGGAATGCAAACTCAGAAATTAATAATTTATGTTGGTCAGATGATGCAGAATGGATTGGTGTATGCTGGGGTAAAAATTTTCAAGGACTAAAAGTTTAATGATATAGAAATATAATTGCATTAAAAAAACATGTAAAAACAATTTCAAAAATAATGGCTATTAAAAAAAAAACAATTAATGAAGTTATGGAATAATTATCTTTATATTTTAATACATCTAGTTAGCCTTTATTACAAGGGTTATCCAAATATATTTCAAAACATCTTGATAAAACACGCCTATTAAATGTAACCAAAAATGCTAATTGTATTCAATAAACCAGACTATATCTATTTTTACAAATATCTTCTTTAGTTAAAATAATAATTAAGTCTAAGATTTACCTATTGTAAAAATCATAATTCTTTCAATAATCATCATCTATACCTAAGGAAAAAATAGTACTCAAATTTCATTAAAATCCCAGCCTTTTTTAAATACCAATAATCGAATAAATTTATAGAACATAACTTTATATTCGCATATTTATAAGAAATAGATGCATATTGTATATTTGTTTTTTTTCCACAACATATCCTAGGTCAAAACTTGATCAACTTTTTCTAGAAATGTATTAAAAGCATTCAAATGTTCTAATATGCCCCATGATTTTCTCATAAATGGTGTTACAGTGTGTAATAAAGAAACAATTCCAGTCTAATATATATTAATTTTCATCAAAACGTCTTTAAAAATAATAACCTTTTCCGTATGCCGGGCACCTGATGGTATTTTATTATGCAAGACTTCAATTTCTTCAAGAAAATTTTGCATACTTTTTAATGCCTAGAAATTTAACAATCTTATAATAAATCCAGTATATTCTCACTTGATTCTCATTATTAATATCATTATGACGTTGTCTAAGATGATGTATTTTCAGAGCGATATCATTTCGCACTTTTCTTATTGTAAACAATTCATTACGTAAATATGAAATATTTCTAGTAGATTTTTTAACTGCGCTATCAAGAATCAAATAATTGTCAAATATATCCGTCATCTCCAAAAATTTAACAGAAACCTCCTCCTCAAACGCTTGTATAACCTTCCTAGCATATGTCGACTCTGTTTTTCTACGTAAACGTTTCAATAATTCTGAAATCACATGAGACACTACATCTATCTCATTGACCGATGCTGTACTACGTTCTGATGATTTATGCACCGTAATTACAAATTTTGTATCTGCTTCATCATAACTATCATCATGTCCTTCATCTTCTAAATCACTATCTTTATCAACATTTTCTTCTCTATCACTATCAGTCTCCTTGTCACTATAATATTTATCCCGATATTCTTCCTCTCGAGGTGATTCATGGATTTTTTGACGTTTTACTGCTTTTTCCCTTTTTACATGTTTTACACGAGTTTTTTTCAAACGTTTCATATCTGAAACGGACCCTTCTGTCCGAAAAGCTGGTTTTGATGTCGGATTTACAACATTGTCATTTAAAAAATGTTCTTTTAAAGGTGTCGGGCCTACTGATATTCTAGGCGGCAGCTTTGTCGCCGGACTTCCCGTTCTTCGAGCAAACGATGGCGTAGAAACCTTATAATGCCCTTGTCTATGATCTATAGAACCTCTTTCCCCCCTATAACCCTCATATTTATACATATTTTTCTAATCCTATCAACACCTATATACCCTTATATATACCTAATTTCCTACTTGTGAATCATTCAATGCACGAGATGCAGAAATAGACGGCGATTGCGCTACAGAAGCATCCAAATGTCTAACAGAACCTGATTTCTTCTCTAATTCTTTTATAAATAGCGATCCTCTATTTTCACTACGGTTTTTATCTGAAAGCTTAGATGAACCCAAATAAACCGGATAAATTTCAAACGGAACGTCCTGAACCTTATGTTTACTATAAGAATTAACGATTTATCGTATTAATTCCATTGTATTTACACCGCTCCCCTCTGCCGTGCCGCCTGCTTTTGATGACGCTCTATTGCTTGGTTTTCTGCCCATTTTTAATCAAAAAAAAACCGGAAAAAAAGGAAAATATAATACTCCACTGCTCTAAAGACATATTTCTTGTTATTTTGAGCAGATCTCCTTGTTTTTTACCCGATTTTTCAATAAAATACTTGTATCGACTTTGTCAAAAAACACTTACGTTAAGTATATCGACCTCCACCGATGCGCGTTGCCAGACACAAATATTAATAAACAAGCAATTATAGAGAAAACCAATAGAAATCAGAAAGATCCCAAGACCAAAGTTAATATTTTGAATAATAATTGTAATATTTTGAATATACCTGTATTTTAATATGTTTTATAAAATTGTAAATAGTTCAAGTTAGTATAGTATTAGAGGGTAAAAAGAAGAAATGACCATGATTTGCATTTGTACGATGTGAAACGAACATGTATTTATGTATTGAATAAATACATGTCATGTAAGCATCGCAAAAGATCGATCTTGGGATCCAACTAGATACGATGTGTGAGAAAATGATTATAGCAGCAAAGTATCAATATGAAATCCCTGTAGATATTGAATTGAATTGAGAAATAAAGTTTTAAGTAAAAAAAAGATTAAATTTTTCTATCCATAATAGCAGCTTTAAAACGACTAATTTTTTTGGAAGAATTTTTGTCTTCAATGCAAGAATGATGTGAATTAGTATCAGAAGAATGAATTTGTGCTCGAAACTTTTGCTTTAATTTGTAATATTCAGTAGCAATTTCTCGTCGATGAAGTGAGGATGTTAAATTATCTAAAACATCTTCAGTTGATTGAGTACAAGGTCTTTCGACAACGTCCTTAATAATAGGACCGGGTTTTATATTTTCTTCTTTAAAAGTATCTTCATTTTCATGATCAGAATTATCATCAGGTAGAGATACGATATCATCTGAAAAAGTCACTTTTTTACTAGATTTGCACGTTTTTGAACTATTATCCGGACATACAGGACTAATAGATCTACATGTCCTTTCATAATCGTTCTCAATATCCTCACTATCCTCACTATCACTTGAATATTCATTTTCATCCTCGTTCAGCTCTAATTCATTCATAATATCAATTATTCTTTCTATATCATCTAATTTATCGACATTCGACACTGAATAATCCTTATTTACATCATATTTAGTCGGCGTTCCTGCATTATTCGTCGAAATCTCACATTCTTCTGATGTGTTTGAAAATATATTAAACTTCCTCATAATCTCATCCGACGCTTCTTTTAACCAATCTTCCCCCAAATTATCAAAAATTTCCGAATCTAACACTCTTAAAATTTTTTAAAATATATCTTTAAAAATTACTAGCAATAGACCCATCCTCATTCAATTCCTCCCGAATCTCCACAATAGGAAGCCCCTCCTCATTATATATCTTTCAATTATAAACATTTATTCCAAAAAATACTATTCTATCTAAACCTTTTCCCCACTTTTTTTAGCTACCCTTTCGAGACGATTTTTTAACTCTTTTCTCTTCTTATCAAGAACTTTTAAGCAACTATTGACATCTAACATATACACCTCGTCAGCCCCTATTCATTTAACCTATAATCTACCCATAAATACCCACATTCAACCCTTCTATCAACGATATCAACCGCCTGCGAAGATGATCGCTCAACGAACCAATTTTCACCAAAAAGAACCAGAATTTCGTTCGTATGAATTAGAACTCCCGGAATAAACCCTTTCTCACTAAAAGGAACCTATTTATACATAAAAAAACCCTCTTTTTCCCCATTCATCATACAAAATAGGATCGCCTCGTAGTTTTCGAAATTTCAACCAAAAAAGACCGCAATTTTTCGTACTCTTTTCCATATCCCTCCCATTTCATATAATTCTCCTCGGTTTCCTTGTATTTATCCTCCAATTCATGCAAAATTGCCCTCAAATCCCCCTCTGCCTGGCCTTCTGACTCCATATAAAAAGTGCTAGGAAATCGAGTACGTTGGAGATTGTCATGGCAACCGTCTCCGACGGGGAGGGTGCCTGACGGTGGATGACGACGAGAATATTAAATTACCATGAAAAGTGACCTAGAAGAGCGGAAAACGGGTAAAAAAGGTATTTTTTTGATATAAAACCATATATAAAACCTATATAACCTTTTTTTTTAGACGAAAAATGCCCAATTTGCAGGAATGATGCATATTTAAACCCCAATATGAGGTTTTTGATCAATCCAGAGTGTTATCATAAGATGTGTGAGTCGTGCGTAGCAGTAAATACACGGATATTATGGATTAATACTTTTTTTTTGATATTTTTTAGAGGATTTTTACGCTAGGACCATCACCATGTCCAAAATGTGGGAAGATTCTTCGTAAAGGGAGATTTAGGGAGAAAACATTTGAGGATATAGCAGTAGAAAGAGAGATTGATATAAGGAAACGGATATCTAAGATGTACGGGGGATGATATGTTTTTTATTTTGAAAAAAATGAATGATTTTAGCTGTAATAAGCGTCCAGAGGATTTTGAGACATTAATGGAGTATAACGACTATTTAGAGGAAGTGGAGGACATAAGTATTTATATGAGAGGGTTATAATAAGTGTTTATGTATTTTAGCGTTCAATCTAGTGAATAATATTGATGTAGAGGAAACAGAAGCGAAATTAATAGCATATGAAGCAATTAATAAGAAATCTATTATGGCGAATGCGCAAAAGGCAGAATTAGAGGCGCAAATTATAGCTAAAAATGAAGATAGGTTAAAAAAAGAGAAAAAAATATCACAAGAAATGATTATCAAAGAAAAAGAAGCAGAACATATTGAAAAAGAAGAGTATAAACAAGAATTGATTCGTGAATTGGTAGATATTTGAATATAATGTATTTTGATGATATAATTACATATCAAGGCGTCTTCGGATAAACAAGCATCAAAAGTTGTTGAACATAGTAATGCGTTATCTCTTAAACGATCAACAATTAGGAAGCAACGGGCAGCTTATGAGGCAAAGATTGCGATGGAAGCTCTTCCAGCTTTTCAGAATTCATGTTTAAATAAAGATGAAGAAAAATTAGATGTATTTTCGCCTATGGCTGGCCAAAATAAAGAAAATACATTATATGTTGTAAAAGAAAGTTATAATGATTCGTATTATTTTAAAAAAATTATTATTTATTACTAATTATTATAAGTTTTCTTAAACCTTTATTGGAGAACAAAGCTATTCGTGGAGGAGGTTTTAATATTAATGATGTATACAAACGTGTTTTATTTGAGGCATTTGCAAGTTTGTATTTCGATAATCATAGTAATAAGTCACAAACAAATCCGCCATGACTTCATTTTTTTAATATTATAGCATATCATATAACATAGAATTTTGAAAATATCCCAAAAATTAATAGTTATTCTATACAGAACTATTTACAAATATTTGTATTTATTCCTTATAACCATATATACCAAAACTCGTGTTAAATTATTGATACCGTTTTAAAAAAGATAAACATAGAATAAGATAAAAATATGTAATATAAACTAGACACTCGTCCTACTGCTTCTCAATACCTTTTTTAAGATATCATCACCTTCTTTAGCCAATTCAACTACATCGTACAGTGCATAAATTTGATCAGCCTATAATATATTAGATGCAACAATAGATATTTAAAACATTACTTTTGCTTCTAATTCTTCAATAATATTCTTAAGCTTTCCAGCAAGAACTTTTCGTTTTCTCTTTCCTACAGAAGGATCTACCTTTTCATAAGACTGAATAAATTCCTGATATTTTCTATCATAATATTAGTAAAGTTATAATATGATTAATCTTTCTTACAATTTCAAATGTTTAAACTCATCTTCTAATTGTATTATAACCATTGAAAGAGCATTTCTTGGGGACATTGAAGGTCTAATCGTATTTTCTTCCTCAAATATATTATCCAACTGCTTTGATTTTGCAGAATAAGATAATAGATCTTTATTTTCTATAATACATAAGTATTTAAAATTAAATTATGGGGGGAAAAAACTTTCAGATAGAATTCCTTTCTGCCTTCTGCGAGTACAAACAGAACAACTTACAGGATTGTGACAATCAAGTTCTTCAATAATTTTTTGAGCATTTACATCTACATAGGCTTTTGAACGGGCGTTTCCTTTAAATTCGTCTTCATATATTTGTCTTGATTTACTTAATTTTGTCTTCAACTTATTTTCAACATGTATCCATGGAGGTTCTTGGTTTAATAAATCATCATCATTAGATGAATATTCCCTGCTATAATCATATTCAGAAGTATCATCAGTACTGTCTGTTTCTTCGATTATATCAGGATGAATTTGACGTTTTTTTGATGGATTTTGAGAATTTGATTTTAATTTCTAGTTAATATTAAACGAATAACAATCATATCTATGAATTAACCTTAGAAGACTTTTTAGATTCCTGCTTATTCTTTTTTTTAGAACTCTTGGAAGAAACAATAGGAATGGAATGATTATTTTTAGTGGTTCGAAGTGCTTTTGAAGACTGGCTTTTTTTTGTTTTATGTAAAGATTTGGGTAATTCGTCAATTTCTTCCTATTCAAAATGTTAGCAAAATCTTTTTAAAATATTAAACAATGCCTCATCAGTCTCTGTAGAACATGATTCGTGTTCTTTTGATATTTCGTCATCTGTTTCGTTACTATCTGATTGTAGTAAAACTTTTGTTGAACCATTCTTCTCTTCTAATGGCGACTTTAAACAAAATTCAGAGGCCTTCTTCTTTTTAACATTTTCAGAAGCCGTTTTTATCTTGTGTGTTTTTCTTAAATCTTCAATTTCCCCAATTAATTTTTTATTTTCTAATTTTAAATGATCAATTTTAGACAATGCTTCTGCTAACTTCTTCGAAACTTCATTCTTTTTTTCTCTAATATCATCTATCTTGGATTTGCTAATACTAAGTTCACGCTCAAGACTTTCCACCTGAGCTTTTAAGGAAGAAATATCATTTTTCAACCTCATACGTTCCATTGTATAAGAAAGTTTCTCACGATCATGTGTTTCAGAACTTTGGTGTGTAATTGCATTCTTATCATTATTAACTTCTTGGTTTTGCTCAACAAATGTAGTTCGTTTTTGTTCGACATGATATAATTGTTTAGCATTTTCAAGTTCTTTTTCCAAATTTTGAATACGTTTTTTTGAAGCAGACTCCCTCGCTTCAAGTTCATTTATATTGCTTTGCAATTCCCTTATAGCTAATAAAATAGCCTTATCATTAGATGATATAGGTATTGATTCTAAATCCTTATAGTTATCTTTAGTAATCACTTCAATTTTGTTTACAATAGGATACACATCATCGCAGACTAATGAAGATATTCCAGTAATATCTGGAAGTCGAAATGATTGAGTCATTTCTGTGTTTAATGGAACGTCTGTTCTCATATTTTCTTGATGATCATCCAATCCAAGTTCTCGCATTAAACCAGACGCTGTTTTAAACGAGCGAGGAATTGGCTTCATATTATGATTAAGATTAGACAACTTCTTTTCCCCATTATTCTCTCCTTTTCGGAAAGATTTATTCAGTCTTGGTTCAGAATAAATGTTCTCATTATTTACAATAGATGCACGACGAAAACGCTGAAAAACAGGAGATTTCGTTTTCGTAAAAGCCGGAGGAGTCATTATATTCCTATCTCTCTCAACAATCGGTATATTCGATAATTCTGTCTTTTTTAACGCATATGTAAGCTTGGTTTTGCTCATCATTTCCGGTGATGGCTTCTCCTGTTTAGAATAATTCTTATCATACGAAAACGTAAAATCCATATCTTCCGTAACTTTGTTAAAAGGTGAATACATATGTTTTATTTTAGCTGCAACATCTGCGTAATCCGAGGTCGTAGATTCAAGAGGACTTTTCATCGCCGCCATAAAATTATCCAAAGCAACAGGTCGATCAAATGACTTAGTAGACCCCGTATATGTCTTAGAAAACTCGTTTTTCAGCTATTCTCCACTTTAATTTCGAAAAATACTCAAAAAACAAAAACATACATTTGACGTCCCCAATTGAAGTCCTACTCCTCTTTCAATACTATTACTATCCAGTGACCCACTAGCACCCATACTAAAGTCCTGGAAATGCTTATTAAGGCTCTTCGTATCCAATGAATCCGCAAAAAACGTCTGATTCGCTTCTATCTGGTTTGGACGTACCGTATCTGAACTAGGCTCACGAGAACTGCTTCTAGTAAATGAAAATCCATTCAATTCCTTCTCAAGCTCCTGTTCAAGACGAATACGGTCCCGTTCACGGACATCCGTAGAAATAGACAGCTCATCTGGGTCCAAACTCACTTCAAATGTAGGCATTTTTCGCCCAAAAAAAACCCAGTTTTTTGCAAATTATATCTAAAAATATGCCTGATTTATTTATTTATATCGTCTTTGTATAATTCCCCTGTAAAACAACCAAAATATCGCTATTTCTTCTGCGCCTATTTGTCGGATGTTGTGATTGTACGTAAATCAACAAGTGTTGCCTATGACGACGGGTCACGTGACACCTAATAATATATAGAGGGAGAGTATAATAAGAGGGTGAATAAAGATGTAATTTCTAATGAATAATGAGAGATTTATGTGTATAAATGTAGTAAATATTACCTGTATATTGACGGTATTGAAAGAATTGAAAGAATTGATAGAATTGAAAGAATTGGTAGAATTGATAGAAATGTAGAAGTAGAGAAATGGTGGATATAAGTTGAAGAGAAGAGGTGTTTGAGGAGGTGAATTAGAAGATCAAGATAATTTGTGGAGTTTGACGGTATTAGAATGGCTAAATTTTTGTGAGGATTAGGTATAAAATAGAGGGAGATACCCTATGCCATTTTTGTATCCTTGTATGATGACAACTGTATCAGAGGGTTGTACGATTTTAAGGTTGATTGCTTGTTCAATACCCCAATTGATTCTGTTATTTACGCATTCTTGCCATTCATCTATATTTCGATATTTTGATGCAAGATAGAGTAATGGATATACGCCACGATATAGGTTAGAAAATCGAGCAACAGATTCGTTACAAGTAACCATTATGATTGGGACCCGTGGACGATATTTTGAACAAAGACGTGCGGTTAAACCACTATTATGAAATTAATTTAAATCTTAAAGTTAATGATAAACAACGATGATGATAAGAGAATGATTGCTTTTGCATTATTTCTATGCTGAGTCTCTACTGCGGCGCAACATATAGCTTCAGTGACAGAAACATTTTTAGGAATTGATTGACGAAGTTCGTTAAAAAAAGTTTCATAACGCATAATGGACTCAGCTACGAGAATGGCATTACGCATCATTGTTACTGATTCGATAGGATATAATCCTTTAGCGGTTTCGCCTATATTTTTTATTATGATTGAATAGATTAAGGTATATTAAACTATGTACCACTTAACATGCAAGAATCAACACCATCCAATACAGCAGTGCAAATATCAGTGACTTCTGCTCGTGTAGGACGAGGATTTTTAATCATATGTTCAAGCATTTGTGTTGCACTTTATAGGAATTAATTTTTCGTTGATAATATATTTGTGTATATTACCAGATAGAAGGTTTCCCGGCAATATTACATTTAGAAGCCATCATTTTCTTTTTACTTTTTAAAAAATAAATCATTATATAGGAAATTTACCTGAGCAATAAAAACTTGTGTTTGAGAAATTTCAATGCCTAAATCACCTCTTGCAATCATAATACCATCCGCTTCTTCTAAAATTTCATCAAAATTATCAACTCCCTGCTTGTTTTCTATTTTTGCAATTATTTTTATCTTATCAGCTGCTGCTCCAAGCATTTGTCTAATAGTAATAATATCATTTTTGCTTCTAATAAAACTGGCAAATATTATATCCACATCATTTTCAACACCAAATTGAAGATCCATGACATCTTTTTCACTTAAAGTAGGCAAATCCACATCCGTCCCAGGAAGATTTACACCTTTATGACTCGAAATTACGCCTTCATTAAGACACATTACTTTAAGTGTCTGTGAGTCAACCACTTCAAGTACAGAAAGAGACAATGTTCCATCATCTACATATATAATACTACCCTCCCTTACCACGTTACATATTCTAGCATAATCAATATATAAAACTTGATCATCACACTTTTTGGCATATTGTGGATCGGTCGAAACAATAAACTCATGTCCCGTACCAACATGATACTATATATAGCTTTAGTAACTATTAAAAATAAAAACATCAACATACCTCCTTTCCATCAAGTGTACTTCCCGTACGAATTTCCGGTCCTTTCTGTATTTAATTTCTTTAGTTTATTCATTCTTTTTATATCTATATAAAAACTCACCGTATCTAACGCAATAGCCAAAGGACGGCCAGGTAACACCTTTACCGCTTCACGCGCATTCTTTAACACACTAGAATGATACTTTTCACCCATTCAATATCTCATTTAACCATTTTATTATCAAATATACCTCATATGAACCATGGCTAAAATTCATACGTATAATTGTAACTCCTGCACAACGAAGCTTATTTATCATCTCCACCGAGTTCGTACTTGGTCCTTTATGCCATTTAGAACCTTATTTAACCCAAATAATATACCAATCGTTGAGATAATCCCACACAAGCAGGAATCACGTAAATTCATTGAATTAATATCTAATGAAGACGCCGTATTGCACCATAAGAAAAATATAGAATCATACTCATAGATACTTATCATTCTAACGTGTTTATCCCCTCTTTACTCATGTTTTAAGGATTATTCTTCTTTAAGCTTATAGATCAAAAAATATCCTCTAAAAATGGTCAATTTAGCCCGGAAAAAAACCTCAATATAGTACTTCTAGCAATAAAGACGTTAATAATCGTATTATTTATCGTATTTAGGGGCTTTACCTACTTATTTTCCTCTTAACAGATTTTATAGATTTTGTGTAGTCTCTTAGGTTAAGATCTATTTAACCGTAAAAAAATATAAGTTGTATTAAATTAACAGAAATATTAGATTTTTAATACAAATAAATAGAGAATTAATTACTATTTATTATTTTATATAAGATTTTTAATAAAAATCAGGATAATTTTCAAAGAAATTATTAAAATAGTTTTGAATTTTATTTGTCATTTAAAGAGTCAAAATCAGTGGATTTATAAGGGATTTAACAGTATTTGGAGTTATAAAGAAGTCTATGAATTATTTTATGTATAATGTTTTTATATAATATTTTTTTTCAATAATTGAGGAATTGGGTTATTAAATAATTGGAATAATATACAGCAGAAAACGAATATTTCTTTAAGGAATATTAGGATCTTTCTATATATATATAATTTTTAAGAAAGAATGGAGTTTTTTCCATTAAGTATATTAGAATCACTAAGAAACCGGGTACTTCAGTTACTTCATTCTTTTACACATTTTTTAAACATAATTGATCACTCAGATCCTCTGCCATCATGGTTAGTAATACATTGAAAATGATAAATATTGTTTTCGGTGTATTTTAGTTTTCTCTAATAATATTATAGGAAGGTTCTTATTTCAAATTTCAATACTCTTTTATCTCATGTAGATTCTATTTCATTTTTGTTACAAGAATCAGATATATTAAAAGAAACCAAAGTATTTCCATCATCTAATTTTCCAGTGCGTCAACAAGAAGGTTTATTAACAACACTTTTGCGCAAAAAAGTTGCGCCAGAGACTGAAGAATGGGAAGCAGAGGGACGTCTTTTAGGGACTAATGCAGAGGAAGATTCATCTTTTTATGAATGGGCAAGATATATAGTTATGCAAGAGAAAGAAAAGAGAAATTGGAAAGGATATTATACTCGTGAACAAGAATTAGAGATAAATCAAAATAAAACATTTAATCAAGAAGATACACTTGAAGAAATAAGAAAAAAGAGGAAACTTGAAGAAACGGAAGCAAAGGCTAAAATGAATGAAGTATTATTATTCATGAGAACAGGAAAATTAGAAACAAAATCTTGAAATAAAATCTTGAAACAGATTTTTATACAAAAATTTTAATCTTAGCAAGTTTTACCATTGGACTAATATACAACAATGATAAGCAATGATTATTTTTAAGAAAAAAAATATATATTGCGAAATATACATTATTATTATAATATTATATTAGCAAAAATTACTTTTTTATAAAAATATATATATGATACTAGAAATTTTAAGAAAAAAAAAGAATCAAATATAAAGTTTAATTCAAGTATTCCTGTTCTATATTTCACATATATTTCAGCCCTAGCTTTAAACCTTAACCTAATCATCACTTATTAATATCAATATTCGATCTTTATATTTTATACATATATAAATCCATTTAAGTGATAATAATACTTGTACCATTTGATTTACCCTTTATGTTTTGTATTTTGATAAGATATTAGTGTATATATTCAAAGTAGCAAAATATGCACAAAAAAGATGTTAAGTCAAATAAATCATTTGATTTACATCAAAACGTGCCTAATAAACCAAAAGAATCGTCTCATTTGCGTTCACCTTCTATAAAGACTCAACCTTCTTATCAAGCTCATATTGCACCTGGATATTCAACATTAGATATGTTTTTATCTACTTTTATCTTCATTGCTGTACTAAATATATTAGATTGGGAGCAGTTTAAACGTTCAGCTAGTTTTCCCCGTGTAAATATATGTATAATTATATCTTTTAGTCATTTAATCATGTATTAGAGAGCTTCAGCACCTTATTTATGTATTACGCAAGAAGAACTTAAAAAACATTGTAATTTAGATGATGCTTGGATTGTATTAAATGGCAAAGTTTATGATATAACACCTTATATACCTTTTCACCCAGGAGGAAATGAAATTATGAAAGGTGCAGGTAAAGATGGGACAAAATTATTAAGTTTAAATGATAAGTTATCTTAATATCTAACTAAATGTATTTCTAGTGTCAATTCATCCTTGGGTAAATTATGAATATCTTCTTGATGTATGTTGGATTGGATTGTTTACATATAGATGAAAAAACTAAAAAAGTCTTATAAAGAAACTTAATATTAATTTAATTCAGAGTTTAGTTAACAATGATATTAAATTTATATTGAAATATTTCGATTAAAATTGATGAATTATTTATTAGTTATTATTTAATGGACTTGCACATTTTTTACATTGAATTGGAGTTATTTTTACTAAATATTTTTCTAATTTATGGATAATGTTGTTAAAGCGTCTTTTTAGATCAGTTATTTTTAATGTTTTAATAGAAGAATTATTTATTTGAAATATTATTTAAATCCTTTTACTATATGTTGTAACTTTTTTGGCAATGGGTATATTATTATTTAACTAACTATTTTATATTAAATATTTCTATTATAAGATTATTAAATGGAATTGTTATTTTAAAGGAACTTTTAATGAATATAAATTAATTATAAAATTTAGATATTATATTTGTTAATTGTTTTATTATTTATGATATTCTTTTTTTAATTTATTTTTTCCTTTAAAAAAGACTTTTAATTATTATTTTAAATCAATTGAGTAATTTAAACAATCTTATCAAATATCATTCATAATCATAAATCTTAAAAGTATTATTTTTTATCTACTCTAACCAATTCATTGTATAGATGTGTTTTTTTTTAGCTATCTATAAAAATGATAAAGAATCTAACAACTTTATTAATGTTTCAAAGAAAATTATGAATAAAAATAATAAATTGATTAAATATTTTAGAAAAAATACAATGTTTATTTGTTTTTAATATTTTTAAAACTAAAATACATATCTAACCATTAAGATAAACATATCTAAATCGATAATACAAAAACATATATATCTATGATTTATTTATTTTACAAGAGATCAATATCCTTATAAATACATTTTAAAATACAAACTTTTAAATACAAGAAAATCCATAATATATATAAATTTCTTGACTTGAATTTTATTTTAAAATAAAATATAAATTAAAATTTAAAAGAAATATTCTTACTTAAAATACAAATTATAAAATACAGACTATTTTAAGACAATTTAAATAAATATATATTCAAATCATTTTTAATAATATTCTAACTAACTAAAAAAACTTCATCATTTATAAATCTACAATGATCCTTAAGTAACTTCTTTTTCAAGTTCTAAAATAAAATCCCATTCATATGATGTTACACTTTGTACACTCAATCGAGGTCGTCTTAAAAGCATCATATTTTTAAGAGCTCCTTCTTTATATTTCTTTAATTCATATAATGAAATAAATCTAGAAAGATGTCTCTTATATTTTACATCTACCATATACCACTTAGGATTTTCCTTTATCGATTTCATATCGTAATATGGATGACTTTTATCCCATGCAGTATCTATTATAATCATTAAACATAAAAAATACCCTTTTCTTATCATTACAATCTGGATATCCCTCTTTATGTATCTTTTAATCATCAATCTCATTCTACCTCTTTTTTAACCTTACCTCCATAATACCTATATATATAAAATATCTTTTAATATATTAAATACACTCAAACCTGCAATACCCGGGTTTTTACAATTACTATGATAGAAAAATGCAAGATCCCCAACTTTCATTCGCTCCCTCATTATCTTACTAGCTTCTGGGTTTCGAACTCCATCCCAGGGCGATACCTCTTAACTCCTCTTTAAAAAATAAAAAATAATATATAATTCTTTCTACCTATTTCTTTAAGATCATCAATTGAAAACTTTACTGTTTAATCATTAGTTTTTCTTCATTTTTTATTATTTAAAAAACCATCCTGCCCTTTAACAAGCCGTGATTCTGGTTCTGCCTTCATTAACCAGAATTGCCTCTCATTAGATATACTGTCTACACTAGAGGATTGAAGTGTTTTACTGCGAATCCTCTTACGTGGTGGTTCTTTTTCCATACGCTTTTCTTTACTGCTATTGCGAGTTTTAAAGAATTTTAAAAGATATAAACCGCTTAAATAGAGCTTATAAGTAACTTCCAGGCAGATATTCTGGATATATCTGAGTAGATATTCATAGAAAGTAGAACCCGTTGATTTCAAGAGCCGATTTCCCGTCAAAAATAATGTTTAACCAGTTTATCCTTTTTTTCATATTATTATGGACACCATTTATCAGTGGAAAACAGGCATGGACTATTGATTCTATCAGGGTTGAAATCTCATCAAGTTCACCCCAAAACTTTGTTGAAAAGTAAGACATTTTCTATTAGAAGAAATATATTGATGAATATTACAATATAGATTCGTTGTATCAAGCGAATCAAGTCATTCATGGTCTCTTAGAAGTACAGATATGCTATCACTAAGTTTTAAGGTTAAACGGGGGTCTCATTTGGCTCAACCACATCAAAGTATGTTATTAATAGGGCATCCGGAAAAACAGATAGAGAATGCCCTTATTGTTCCTGTGGATTCTAATGGGAATGCTCATTTAAAGCTGGTAAAGGATTATGGATAGTTTTTTTATATGAAAAAGCTAATTTTTTTCTTTAAAAGAATCATAATAGGATTCCTCTTTCATTATTATTTTCAGAAACACCATTATTATTAACACTTGTTATTGGCTCTTTTGGTGATGTAACACCCTTATTATATAAGCTAGGGAAGCTCGAAATTACTGATATTAATAATGATTATGAGATGCCTATACCTCCTAAACGATATGGCCCATTGCCTGAAATTTCTCATACTTTTTCTCCAGAAAGGGTGGAGTCATCAAAGATTTTGTCATTGTTATTTTCTTGTGCAATTTTATTTGGCTTTGTTAAGCTATTTAAATTGGTATTTTATTAAACAATCATTTTTTAATAATTAATAAGAATATATAGCTAAAAAATACATCTTTTGAAACGTCTTCGTTTCTTTCTATTATAAGAGACAATTCTTTCTCTTGTTTTTTGTTTTTTATTTTACTATTATCTATTGAATTTTTATTTTATCTATATTGGACGTCTATTCGACTTTTACATACATTAGCTGGAATTTTAATCATATCGCCTTTTCTTTTTTTTTATGGAAGAAGAACCTTATCTGAAATACAGAAAAGAAGAATTTGAATTAAGAAAAGAAGAAGAAGATTCTATATGTTAAAAAAAATACTACTTTTCTATAAAACAAATGTTATTCTATTCTTCTTTCAAAACTAATTAAAAACTTTTAACAAAATACTAATTTCTACTTGGAATTAATAGATTTATTATTAAAAATTCTATTTCTAAGGTTGATCTATTATTAAACAATAAATAGATTATATTATCAATATTATAACGAAAATAACTATACGAATATAAAAATATAAATAATATACTCTAATCTATTTATTCATAACTATTCATAACTATTTATAACTATTCATATTTATTCATATTTATTCATATTTATTCATATCTATCTCTCTCTCTCTCTCTATTTTATAACCATCCTCTGCAACCCTATCGTTCTCGCCTATCTATTAAAATATATACACCAACTTATGCCTTCTCTTCATTATTTATGTTCTCATCTTCAAAATGCTTCAAGAGCATATTTAGCACAAACATCTTTACCAGCAACAAAGCTTAATCTTGATATATGTTTAGGATTATATACCCATGGATTATTAGGGTCAGTACGTCGAGGATCTTATTGGGGACCAGATACGGTTTATACACCAATCACGTGCGAGAATATATCTACACGACGTATATGGGTGGATTTAAAGTATCAGATGATGAGGCCAGTTTTGAAGGAAATTAAAGCATTAAATAGACCGGGACGTAGACAATGGATGTCAGCGGCTAGTTTAGCACTTTTAACTAGACAAAGAGTTCATTTTATACCAGCTTTGGGGTTAGGAGAATGCATATTTGTTAGGACACGAAAAGGGGTTATGGAGATTAGGGAGGCGATTGGGCTTAATTTAGGTGGAGAGCTTTTATGCAGGGTATCATAACGCTATGAGGAGGTGTAGATGAGGTGTAGATGAGGTGTAGATGAGGCGTAGATGAGGGACACAGCACGCATATATAGCGCATATAAGACGCATACAACACGCATACATTACGTAATATATGCTTTAAAATGCAATCATAAAATAGGGATAACATTTTTTTCTTGGTTTAAATTCAAATTATATTATATTCAGAGCATCTATTTACAAACATAATAATGACAGATATCGCTGCACCAAAGTATATAATACGACATAAATATTACGTAACTGCGTAGAATAATGAAAAATTAGAAATATAGCCTCATCGTCTATTTCTTGAACAGCTATCCATCTTTGTTCACCTTCTCCCTTACTAATGATTTTGGCTCTTGTTCTGGCATATTTAGATATTGAGGCACGAATTGATATACAGGTAGTTTGAGCCTGCGATAATTCAGATAAAACGTCTATTAAATTATTTACTATATGACAATAATGAAGATGAAAAGATAAACCTTCTAAAGACGAAATTTCATTTGACGATATTCTATATATTTATTAATATATATATGTATATATATATATATATAAAGGACAAGATATTACTTTGGAAATTGTAGATTAACCAAGACGCGTACACGATCGCATTCTTGGAGTAGTTGAAAACATTCGTTTTTAATTCGGGATTGACCATCACGAATTATTATCGGGATATATGAGAGATTGCTAGGGGATTTATCGGGTATATCAGGTATATCGGGGAGTAAATTATTGTTATTGAGGGCAGGTCGCTTTCTAGGCCGAGGGGAAGTCTGAGTATCTTTTTTGTATATTTGGTCTTGTAATTCATTAAGAAAATTGGTTAAAGTTTCAATACGTAAGGGCCAAGTTTCATTAAGTTGATGTCGAATTTGAAGGATAAGAGTTTGTCTTAGGTGTTGCATGACTTAAAATTGATAACGGGAGGTTAAACCTAAGAAAAAAGCGATATATTCTTTTTGTCGACTTTAAATTAGAAATAATGGCTTTAGAAAAATATCAAAGAATTATACAGGGAAAGGTTCGAGATGTCTATGAATTAGACATGAATCGACTTTTGTTTATTACAAGTGATAGAATTAGTGCGTATGATGTGGTTTTGAAGAGTGTATGTATCTTTAAAATAAATCAATAGTCTTAATAAATTAGGAAATACCTGAAAAAGGTAAAATATTGACGGCATTGTCATTGTTTTGGTTCAAAAAGCTTGAACACATATGTAAAAATCATTTAATTGATGCCAATTTACCAATAGAACTTGAAAAAATACAAGAAAATATACAGGGGAGATTTATGATTGTAAAAAAATATCAAGTACTTCCAATAGAAGCAATTGTTCGCGGTTACTTGACAGGTAAGCCTTTTTTTATATAATGTAAAGGTTAATCAGATTAACGAGAAAAATCAGGATCGGCATGGAAAGAATATGTGCGACAGGGAACGGTTCATGGAATCCCTTTACGTTCAGGGTTTAAAGAAGGACAAGCATTAGATATGCCATTATTTACGCCTAGCAAAAAAGCAAAACCAGGAGAACATGGTAACTCTTTTTTTTTTTTTTGAATATAATATTTCATATTGAACCATATTAGATGAAAATATCCATCCTAGAGAAGGTATTTGAAAAAAACAAAATGCTTGAAAGTTAATTAATAAAATTAGTATCAAACGAAATTGGAGAAAAGTATGCGAAAGAAATGGAACGGCTTTCTTTATTACTTTATAAAGAAGTAAAACTTTATAACCATATAGCTCAATCGTATTTATATCTATAGGCACATGCATATGCCATGGAAAAAGGAATTATTATTGCGGACACAAAGTTTGAATTTGGCGTAGACACAAATGGTCATCTTGTATTGGTAGATGAATTGTTAACACCTGATTCATCCAGGTTTTGGGTTCGCAATTCGATTGATGGCGAGTTATATAGTCTAGACAAACAACACATACGAAACTGGCTTGAAGTAGAAAACAAGGCTGGACAAAATGATATAATACTTCCTGAATCGCTGATCTATCAGACAAGACAAAGATATATAGAAGCTTATGAGAAATTAACAGGAAAGACATGGACTACATAGATATAAAAACATTTAGAACAGTTTAGAATTCAAATAAGCCGATTTATAAGAAAAAAATACCAAAAAAAAAAGATCAAAAATTATGCTAGTTTTATTTTGCAACGCTATTCTCTGGTTCTATTTTACATGTTGATATTTCAGGAAAATCAGATTCAAGATAAACTTTATTGGTTGCCTAACACTGTCAAATATCATATATAGTTTTAGATATAGTACTTACATGCATCCAACGTAAATAAAGTTCAAACGGGCCTGGATGTCGATCTAATAATGAAATACCTATTGCTTGGATTCGATATGTTTCAGAAAAACGATGTGAAGATAATTGAACGTCTTTTCTATTGAGACAGAAATTATTGAATGGTATCTTAAAAAATTCAACATAATACAATAATAAATACGAAACATACAGTGATAATTTCCCATTTTCTAGGGCTTTTAAAGGTTAAAGATGTTCGGTAAAGATCTGTCCCAAGAAAAGACGTTGTCTGCAGATCAATAGAATATGTTCTTGAATCTCCTGCAGCACATAACGAAAGATATCGATAACAACTTAGGTCCCAACTAGGCCTAAAAAAATTTCTTTTTTTTATACGGAATGTAGCATACATGGGTCCATCAGGATTTGATACGATCTCACCGTGAAATTGGCCACAACATAATTTTTCATTAAATATTAGCTGAGCATTACTATTTCCACCGCAATCTTTGTCAGATCCTAATGCTACTCGTTGAACTACATCCAATTGATTCAACTTTGTCAGAACGAGTGGGTGACTTGTAAAAGGAAATTTCTCAAAAACTAGGAAAATTGTTATTACATATATATTTCTAGTGCTATCATTACTTTTATGATATTCTCTTTTTAAAATTTCAAAGTTTTTTTCCAAAAAACGCATCTTTGAATTTACGGTAACAACGCTCAACACACCTTTTATCAATGATAACACCTACTTTCACTGTTGAACAAGATACAGATTTCATTTATATCAATATCCATGCAGTTTTCATTCGTGTAAATATACATCTAACTATCTGATTTATACTAACATAAGATATTATTTATTTAGACACAAGATGTAGAAATATATGTAGATGAAAATCTATTTATTTTTTCAGCTACTCCATATTATCTTCGGTTCATATTAAATAATTTAATTATGTTCTTTATTAATTTGTGTATAGACTTCATTTACCAGGAAATGTAGTAGAAGATAAGTCTAGTAAAATGTCATACGATATTTCATCAGAAACCGTTAAAATAAAATTGTCCAAAGAGACACCTGGGATGGTATTTCATGATTTGGATTTGATATCAACACTTCTTTCAAGATCTAAAGTATCTCATGATAAAAAAACGACCGCACCAATGATTGAAATAATGAATGAAGAAAATATACAGGAAAATATTTGTAATGATTCCCAGATGACATTAGGAGATGGTTCAGCGAACTCTTTAGATAATAACACAAAAGATGCCACTCAAGACGATAATATAAATAACCTTTACACAGAAGGTTTGTAATTTATATCAGTTATTACTTTTATAATAGACATATGATAGGTCTTCTTTTTAACTGGCAACTTCCTCAAGAAGTTCCTGAACAAGTATGTTATATGAATAGATACATTTTTTAATAACACATCTAGAATTTGCATTTACGTGCATCTTATGGATTTAATGGACAATACAGTAATTATATTAAATCTCCGTCAGATTCAGGAAATGATATTAACGAAATTGATGATCCGGAGCATAGTACTTCTGCATCTCGTTCTGAAGAACGCATTTTAAAAGAAGATCTTAAATTTAGTAATGAACATTACATGGCAGATTATATAGAGGATGATGAGATTCAAAAATGTTTAAAATGGAAATCTCAAGAATATATAATTCTCCGTTCTTTACAGAAAAATTCATCTTTAGAAGAAAAAAATAATTCTTCTGATACATTCATTCTTACAAAAGAAGAACAACTTGAAATTTTAAAACTACCTCGTAAAGAATGTATATTTTTTCAAACATTTTTCTTTACATACTAATTGTTTAAGATATCATTGATAATCTTAAATCCACTTATTTGTGCATACTTTCACTTTTATTTTCTTATGCATATGATGCCCGAACAACTCAGGGAGAACCTACTTCAGAATCATCATGGACTATAGGGAAACTTTCACCTGTTCTATCATGTTTAGACATGTCTTTTTCTACAATAAGACAAATTGTTATTGCATGTACTCGTAGAGCTTTAGCATATCCACTATATAGGCATTGGGGACTTGTTCAAAAATGTTGGGAAGATGTATATTGTAGTTTGAAACTAGGAAAACGTTGGATTCTTAAAATTTTTTTACAAATAAGAAGAATATTTGAACGAAGTGATACATATTATTTATATAATAAACTTTTCTTGGACGATTACTCCGTATGGATTCAAACAGCAAGGTTGGCATACTTATCTTATATATTATTAATACTCATTATTAGTGATTCTGTTATTTTGAGTTTAGCGCATGAACTTCATCATTTAGAAATTAAAAAAGATGAAATTAATTGGAAACTTGAAGAATTAGAAATAGCTGCAAATAATATATATATTGAAGAGAAAGAATCGAAAACTAACTAAATACAAATATTAATATAATCATTAGACTCTGTAAAAACTATTTTTAATACTTTTAATTATTCTTTTCTTTAGGAGGTTCTTGATCAAGCGCATTTCCATTATACCAGACATTTTTATCTTTATTTCTATTATCAAAACTTGATGTTCGCTGATCATTTAAAGAGTGCACTTTTTTATTTTGTTCCATCTTTTTAATTGGTTTATTTTTATTAATAATTGAATATGCCCAACCAAAAGCTGAGTATATACTACTTTTAAAATAACCAAAGGCCCCAATTAGTCTAGAAAAATAACCTTTATCTAAATTAACATATGCTGTTACCGCATTCTTTATAGGCTTTTGCAAATTAATTACTTATTCACTAAAATTAATATAAAAAACCTTTAAAATTAGTGTTGCACTAGGATATAAGTCTAATTCTTCCAATGTTTTAGCTTCTTCTAAAATACTAAACGACCTTTTCGGATACACTTGAATTAGGTCATAAGGTATCTTACTATCTGTACGATTCTAATATTATAAATAAATAAAATTAATATTCTATCTAAAAACCTCATCAATCCATATTCGAACATCTTTCAATGTATCATTAATTGTAAAATGTTTAGCTTGAATAGATAATCCATTTAAAAGTCGTATATTTAAAAGGCATATATTTTTACTATTCTTTTGAGAATTTTCGTCCTCTGTAGATATAGAAACTTCAACTGAACGCGCCGAAATCTTATACTGTTCTTTTGCTTTCCTTTCTTCTTTATCTGCATTAATTCGTGCTAAAATACACATCCTCTCCTCCGAATCTTTTTTTTTCTTTTTTTTCACTTCTTCTACATATTTCTTCCATTGCTCTTCATCTTTCACACCCATATTTCTTGATTTCATACATGATTTACCCTCTTTTTCCTGGGTATTTAATAAACTAAATTTCATTATTTTTTTCATTTATAAATACAACTACTATACTTTTTACATCTATCCTCATATTCTATACATTTTAAATTCACTCAAATAATACTTATTCTCCTTACCTGATACATTTGATACTGACTTCTCTCTGCTTACGCTTTGAATACCTTCAATAAGATTTTCTGCCGTTGCATCCCCATAAAATGACTTTTTAACTAATCCGTCCCTTCATATAACTTAATATATTCTTATATTCCTTATATAAAGGCTCTACTTAATCAGAAATATAGACGGAACACTATTCACAACAACTGGGCCTATTATTATCGCTTTTTTCCCGGAAAAAAAGCCATACCCATCTGTTTAAAAGACGTAGCCTCAATTGTACCATTAAATAACCTCAGAGAAACCGTTTTTTCCCTTATTTCACTGCAAACCTGGGGAGTTAAAAGGCCATCAATCCATTTATCATCATCTCCTTAATATAAGTCAAAAAAAAGCCGTTTAAAACGGGGAAAAAAGGGACATACCTTGAATATATACGAGAAATATCAATTTCTTGTCGAGACAGCATCGTATAGACTCTTCTATGGACTTCTGGCTCCAAATATTATTTTTCATGACGTCTGACGGGCAGAATACGGGAGAAGAGATCGACGACAATAAATTGAGAAATTTTAAATTGAGAGAAGGAGACGAATAGGAGGAGAATAAAGAGCTAAAATGCAGGCAATTAAGTGCGTTGTAGTTGGAGATGGGTAAGTGAAAAAGAACGGGGTGAAAAGACGTATTTTTGGAGGAGAAATAAGGTTTTTTTTATTTTGAAAAAAAGTTGAAAATAAACGGGAAAAATGGGGGAAAAGCCCCATGAAAAGCGAAAATATGGATGAAGGAGCATAGATATTATATATATTTCTTTTTTTTTGGAAAAAAAGGGTTAAAAACAGTGACTAATGGGTTTTTTCCGTAGAGCAGTAGGGAAGACATGTCTGTTGATAAGTTATACAACAAACACCTTTCCAAGGGAGTATATACCGACAGTGTAATCTATAGAATGAATTTAGAAAAAAAACGGGCTAATTTTTGGGAAAGATTTGATAATTATATGGCAAATGTGATGGTAGATGGAAAACCGATTAGTTTAGGGCTTTGGGATACAGCAGGACAAGAGGATTATGATAAATTACGACCTCTTTCGTATCCGCAGACGGATGTTTTTATTATTTGTTTTTCACTTGTTAGTCCTTCATCATTTGAAAATGTGCGAACGAAGGCGGGTTTAATTAATAGAAAAAGAATCATAATGATAAATGAATTAGTGGTCGATAGAGGTGTCGCATCATGCGCCTAATATTCCTATTATTTTAGTAGGAACTAAACTAGATCTTCGTAACGATTGTATTGTCGTAGAGAAATTGCGAGAAAAGAGAATGGAGCCTATTACATATTCACAAGGGCTACAAATGGCAAAAGATATAAATTCAGTAAAGTAAATTTATTAATAAAAATAATTTTGTTTGAAACTTTTTTTTAGATATTTAGAATGTTCAGCGCTTACACAAAAAGGATTAAAAAATGTATTTGATGAAGCAATTCGGTAAAGATTGTTTTATAAAGATACTATTTTAAGACTAATTTTAATAAGTGCAGTACTTATGCCTTCATTTCAAATCCAAAAGAAGCAAAAAAAATGTGTTATTTTATGATTCAACTCGAATATATTTAAGCATAAATTTGATATTAAGTTCTCAGAGTTATACAGATTTTCTTTTAAAAGGAAGTATTGCCGTGCTATTTAAATAATTTCATTGGAAATTTAATCTCATTTAAGATATTATATTTATTCAGATAATTCTTTTTCTAAAGGTTCATAATTTGAAACAACATTATAATTTATTCTCATATGCTCATTTAAAATATAGTATTTGTCTCTTTGAATTAATGTTTCCATAATAAACTATCTATTTTATGGCAACCATATTTCTATATATCCTTATATAAAAAAAGTCTAAAGCTAATATATCTTTAAAAACGAATTTTTTAAAAGATATAATGACAAATTTTATCAGGATTTTAACAAAAATAATCTGTTGAAAAAGACTATGAAATACATATATTAATAATAAACGATTTTAACATTTCCTTTCTTTAACATAGTTTTTAAAGGATCAGTCGTTATTAATTTTATCATAGTTTTCCAACACTCTGGCATATCCCAAAACTTTCTTTTTTTAACATCACTATATGTAGTGTCTAATATAATCCAATTTAAAAAATCCACTTTTAAAGAATCTAAAAATATAAAATACAAAAAATAATAAAAAAAAGATATTTTCTACCACAATCCACAAGATCTAGGATACGTCCTGGTGTTCCTACAGCTATTGTCAATCGTGTACGAGAAAGATAATTAACATGATCCTTCAATTTAATATGTTTAGCAAATAATTTAGCAACATCTCCTTCTTTTGTCTTATAAGAACGTAGAGATCTATAAACATTACATTAAACAAACATTATTTTTTCATATTTTTCACCTTGTAATGTCTGCTACTCGAAGTGCTGCCATAGCAAGAATAATTGTATGAGGACTCCCAAAAGCATCCGGAATATATCCCGGATCATATCCTAATCCTTAAAAATAAATATAAATAATGATTTCCCATCAGAAAAACAACCTATTTCTAAAAATTTTGGCAGATACTCAAGACCCCAGTTTTCTGTCCATTGAGGCTCAAAAAAGTATTTTTCTGCCCAAAAAAAAGCAGATAAGACAATAGAACGAATAGATTAAAGTAAAAAATACCAGACATCCTCATATCTTCCAATTCTATTGAAGAATAATCAATATATACTTCTCGGATCTTTTTTTCAAAATAATCCGCCTGAATCGCCGGATTAAAAAAACAATTGCTTTCTACCATATCAGACCCTTCTATAGACCTCATTCTAGACTTATAAGCCCTTTTTCTCTCCTTTTTTCTCCGTTTTTTTTCCAAAATAATTTCATCTATTTCTAAGTCCTCAAAAGTGCTATTTTCATCCTCTGATTTCGCTGATTTTTCTAAGACAGACATATCTTAACCTCCTCTATACGAATTCACTGTTTTCCTGTCATTTTTCCTTCTAAAAAGCTCTATTTTTAAGGATATCTTTATCTCCACTTTTTATGTAGTTGGCCCTCAGTGCACTGCTCGACGACACGAAAAATGATAACCAGAGAGACCGTATAAACACCGTAAAAACTGCTGAAAAAGCCCATAAATACGTATAAAACCCGATCATATCTATTGGATCCTATTTGTATTTGATATTTCGCGAAAAAACGGGGTTTCTAGAGGCACCAGGAGTGTTTTTATCAGCAAATATAGAAGTCCAGTATAAATAGACGATTGTGAGGAAGTAGTGACAGTATAGACCATATAAACAGATGGATGAATCATCAGAGACGCCGTATACATCAGTATAGGCTTTTTTTCCGTGAATTTTCTGATATTTTTAGCTGAAACAGCTATCAAGTATTCTGGCAAATCAGTCGAATAAGCTGCCATTAGTATTGAGTAAAACAGGAGTTTCAGCACATAAAACACCCGTATCAAGAGAAAGATTTGGTCTAAGGACGGGTCAGACACCCCGTAGTATCACAAAGAACCCACCTACGCCTTATACTGCACGAGCACTACAAAAAGCAGCAACACCCCATTTACATTTAAAAAGAAAGAATGATCAACAAGCATCGTATGATACGCCAAGAGATATTCTTAGAAAGCTGAGTCGAGGTATTTTTTTTGGAGATATATGTATTTTTTTGAAAATCAATGTTAGCATTACCACCATATGTAGAGAAAAGCAAGAGAAATGAATATGAATTGGAAGATGAGCTTAGAAATATGTATGATGTTGAGAATATGGAAGAATCGGAAGAAAATATGGAAGCGCCTAATATCAATATTGCAAGTTCAGAAGATATATCAGATGATTTTTCACCGCCCCAACTTTCAATTCCTATAGATCAAGAACATACAGTACAGTCGATAGAACTTGGTAGAAGAGCCAGTATAAGACGATTAAGTGATCGATTAAGCCTTGAAAAGGATAGTGAACATATTAGTATTTATAATGAACAAGAAGCGAATGCAACATCCTTTAATGAATATGAACTTCATGATGATGGACTGTTAAAATCAGAAAGTTTTTTTAGAGAAGAGGATTTGAAAATGAGATTTTATAGAAATGATATAATTGAGTGAGTTAAATGATGACATGTGTATTTTTTAACAATTTAGGGATGATGCAACCAATTTTGAAATTCCATTCTTAAGTGGAAAAAGCCCGATGATTGCTGAAACAATATCCTTCAAAGATACACTTCCTGAATTTTCATTACCAAAACCAACAAAACCAGTTACAAAGCAAACATTAAAAACATCTGTTTCTTCCAAAAAATCAAAAATACAAAAGTTTTTAATCATTTACCCCATAATTTTTATTAATAATAAGTAGAGTTTCTCGACATGGAATTCCTTTACCATCATTACCAATATCCTTTATTAGACAACTAGTAGCTAATTTTACAACATTAAAAATATCAAAGGATGTACTTAAAGCAATATGTTCAGCATCTGATCAATTTTTCGAACAAATTTCAGAAGATTTAGATGCCTTTGCAGCACATGCTGGACGAAAAACAATTGAAGATTCAGATGTTATACAACTTATGAAAAGGTAATAACTATTTTCAAGAAATTTCCATAATCCTTATAAATAATAGACAACGACAAATCAATGCCAAGACGACTTTATATTCTTTGTTTCAGAAATATATTCCAAGAGAACTTGAATCACAAATGCCTCCTCCATCTAAAATATCTAAACATATAAAAAAAAAGGACTAAAAGAATTCAAGAAAATCTTTTGATTTGATTTACTCTTCTAGCAATTAATGATGTTGGTGACTGCCTGAATACGTGATATAGCATGAATAATGTTGCGATAGATAAGGAATACCTATTAAATAATTTAACATTATTCAATTAAACATAATTTACCTACCATGTAACCATATATTCTAAATGTTTATTTCGTACTTGTATTTCAGCTAGTTTACCAATGGGTTTACCTTTGGTAGCTAAAAAAGGCGCCATAATAAAATCATTTTCTTAAAAATTATTTATGTATAAATAGGAAATAATAAATACCTATTAATTGTTCTATATATATGTTTTCTGATTCTGTTAGCTTCGATATTTCTTCAATATTAATGTAATAATATTTTTTTAATTCAGGTTGATTTTTAGGTGTAAATAAATTACTTTTTGGAGGCAAACGTATTAAACCTTTAATAGTAACTTCTTCTATAGGCTTTATTCTTTAAGTTTAATCTCTTAATAAAAAAAAATCATACCATTCCCTCTGTTCTTTTTGATTGATCTGCCATATAAAATGGTATCCAACCACGATTAATTAAACATTTACGTCTATTCTTTTTAACCTTATTTTCTACATATCATAAAAATATACCCATCCCCTAGCTCCATAGGTGTAATAACATGATATCCATTTCTTCCTTCATATAATCGAGGTCCCACAAGTATTTCTTGATCATGTATAAATCTTCCTGTTAATAAAACCTTTTGATATTCAAATGAAATTATATCTGAAAAACTTGTCTCATTAAATTATTAAATCTTTATATATAAAGCCTATACTTGACATCTTTTGTTAATTTTAAAGGCTCATTAGACATTCTTTTTTCAAATTCTTCTATAAGACGGGTTTTCCATTTAAGACGATAATATTGCCATGTACCCAATCCAAATGTCGTGATTGGAATAATGGCTAATCTTATTAATACTGTATTTCTTCCTCTTTAAAACCAAAATTTACTTAATAATCCTTTAATAACATATGATGGACGTGAAAACACATTATATGTCAAATGACGAGTACCAATTGAAAATGAATATCCCTTAGAAATCATAAAAAGGCAAAGTTTATGTATTTTTTTCCAATAATAATTAACTTCTCAATTTAAACCCTGTTTTTTTTAATTTAATTCGTCTTATTAATTTCTTCAAAAACTAATAATGTATTAACAATATATATAGATATAGTAGAGCTCATTAATAGAACTTTTTGGCCTTGTTCTCTTCAAAAAAATACTAAATTAATATATATTTTTTTTTTGACGTTTAAGTCGGGTTGAAGTTCTCTTATCTTACGATCTTAACAAATCTATAAAGTATTAGAAATATATATAAACCTATAGTTTTGTTATAAAATTAATGTATTAATTGAAAATCCATAATATTAGATTATTTTTTTCATAATATTAAGGTTTCAATAGGAAACTATATTAATATAAATGTTTTAGTATTAGTTTTAGAATTAAAGAGTTAAAAGATAAATTAATGTAAAATAGTTATGATTTAAGGTGTAAAATGATTAAAAAGTGGATTAAAAACAAGTAATATTTGATCAAAAATAATATTCAAGATAAAATATTTTTATATATAGATTATCATGAAAAATACTCAATTTTCAAGATAAAGAAATTAATATTTTTTAAGCCGATTTTTTTAAAGAAGTATATAAAATGACACAATCAAAAGATCCAAGAAGAGAAGATCTTATAAGAGAATTTACACCTATTGAAATTGAGGAGGAACTAGGCAATATATATATGTATATATATTAATTTTTAATAAGTCATAGATTATACAAATATATTTGTATCTACAATGAGTTTTTCATCAATTATTTTTAAAAACAAGTAGAAAATTTGCATTATTTTTATAAATGAATAATAAAAATTATAGATGGTTTGCATGGCTATCACTTGTTGGAACTATTTCTGGTTTTTTAGATGAAAAATCACAAAGTTCAATGTTTCGAGGGAACTTAACAAATATTATGTATAATTTCATATATATTTATAAAATATACTTATAATATAGGATGACAGGTGTAGCGTTTATTGTAATGTATATGCCGGTATGTATAATTTTTATAATTTAGTATACTTAAAATTATAGATTATTTTTCCTCAAAAAAATATACCATCATCAAATTAATCAATAATTAAATAGTCATAATATGAACTTAAATATATAATTAAATGTATAATTAATATTTTTTAACTTAAGTTTTATGATATTAAAAACCAAAAAAAAAACAAAAACAAAATTGATTATTTGTTGTAGAATTTATGTTAAATTAACTTGAATTTTATAAGAATTTTATTTAAAAATACTAAAACTATTTCTAATAAGATTTTTAAATCTAATTTTTCTATATATTTATAACTATAAGTGATATATAATGTATTATAAACCCAAAATCATAGAATCATAATAAAATACAATAAATATTACTAATAATTAATCATATTTATTTTCAAAATTAAATATAAACATCATTATATCAAACAATAATCCTATCATCTAGAGTTTTTTCTAAAACGCTAAAATATATTTATATTTTACAAAAGGTAATAAAACAATCATGAAAACATTGTATCAGAGCATTGTCTAAATCTGATGCAAATATTTAGTGTAAAGAAAAACCTTTAGATTTTTTCATAATAAAAATTCATATTACTTATTTTTATATATATAATCCTTGAAAAAATATTAACCCTAAACAATAATAACATTAAAATCCTACTGTTCTTAGACTCTTGCCATCTTTTTTCCATAATTTTACTTTTACAGCATCAGGTGATGCTTCTACTGTTTTTCCCCATATATACCATTTATATGGTAATACCCATGTTTTATATTGAAAAACATAGTATTCAACAAGCTCTTTTAGAGACTCTTCTTTTTTTAACCCATTTAAAAAGATTGTTAAAGTCTAAAAAAATTATTTAAGTTTTATATAAGAAAAAATTACTTGTTCTGAATGAATTTTATACACTATTTGAGCAAGATACTTATTAGAACCAATTTCTACTTGTGCCTGAGAAAAACTAACAGCCTTTGGGGGCTTTATTATTCGATGAAGAACCCATTTAAGTTGAAGTTCCTTAGGCCGTTTTGCAATCTGAGATTTTAATGTATTAGCATAAGCTTTGCCACAAAGATTATCTATTTCTTTAATATCCCCACTATGCCATTGTTACAAAAACTAAAAAAAAATAACCAAAATACTTTGCATAAGCTTGATTAACTTTCTCATAATATGTTCCTACTGTTGATTGCAATTGTTTAAAATCTATTTTGACAGGCCTAATACGTTCTTCAAACATTTTTTTCCTATCTCATTGATATTTCTATATATATAAATAAAATTTACAAACTTAAACCATCCTATTATCTTATGATAAAACCATCTCCATGCCAATCTTATTCTTTGATTTGGTGTTTTCCAAAAAGATGGTAAACAGCTTCTACTAGGTGCAATATATACATCTTATCCATTATCAACAATTTTCAGAGATATTTTTGACAAACCTAGCATGCCTAAATCCTCAGGAATCATCATATGTTTTTGTATCAAAGGTTTATGAATCTTTCGTTTATATATATATCTTATTTCTGCCCATTTTTTCATGTACAAACTCAAACTATTCCCATAAATACCAAGAGATCCACCAATTCCTAATTTCCTAATAAAAATCATTGTTTTTTCATACGTTAATTACATCCAAAACTGTCCCATTTATATAATTTTAAACTTTTTTTAAATATACTTGTTTATAAAAAAAAAATACAAGAACCCTTAACTATTCAGTGTCATCAATAAGATAGTATATTGAATATTGAATAGTTTTTTCACAATATACCTATTTTTTGAGCTAATATCAAAAAATAGTACCTTTGTGAAAAAAACGAACACCAGAGTCATTAACTGAATAAAGCATTTCAAGTTGTGTGTTTTTTGATTCATCATTCTCTGATTTATCTGAAAAATTATCTTTTTCTGCTCCATAATACCCAGAACCACGACAAATCCTAATCACACCTGTTACTTCCTTTGTTTTACCATCTGGAAAATGTCTTAAGCTAATAATAGAATATGCACGATGAACAATGCCATAACTAAAAGTAGAATAATTAATTTCAAGGCATGATTCTCTTTTTTTTGGTGATAAAAGTGCAAAATCCGAGTTTATTGTAATCACACAATAATGAACCATCTATTAATATTAAAACATCATATTTATACACCAATTCACCTCTTGTATAGAAGAAATAAACATAAGAAGGTCACTCGGTGAAAGAATTTCACTTGCTACCAAAAAATCCATTCCCCATAAAATTAAACATGGCTTTATATCTCTTATACACCCTTCTTCAATACTTGTCATAATTATTTCACAAATATCTTTCAAATTAGATTCTCCTGATAATTTAATATATTTCTTATCAATATTCCCCTCTTTTAATGACCATTTATCCAATGTATAACCATATAACTTAGTCAATCCATCAATATAAATAAGATTTCCTGATAATACTTTTGATACTAGATCAAACCCCTATCATTCCTCAATATACCCTTATATATATATATAATTGTACCCATTTCTTAGAAATAAATACAAAATCTTCAAATTTATCTTGAAATCCTACAAAAATCACTTTTTGGTTATTTTCAATAGAGGTTTTTATAAAATGATATATAACAAAGGCTGGGGATACATAAACTGTGGAACTAATAACAATTATGGATTCTTCTGGGGGAATAGGGCTATTATTAAACTTAAAATACTCTGAAAAATCCATATTTTTTAAACTTTATAAGATTAAAAGATTTTTGGTAGTCTTATCTCTTATCTTTTATATTATATTAATATATTATCTCTTATCTCTTATCTTATCTCCTATCTTATCTTTTATCTCGATTAGATTAGATTATTCTCTTAATTAAAGATAAGACTTGGTTAACGACTAGAAATACATGTCTGAAGATAGTTGGATTATTGAGCTTTTAAAGAAAGAAGCAAAAGAGAAAGAAATAGAATCAGAAAGGATTGGAATAAAGGCATTTCTTAAAAAGAAAAGGTAAAAAAAAAGAAAGAAATAAGAATATTTAATAAAGATATTTATAGATCAAAAACATTATCACAAGGACCAAATAAGGAGTTTTTAACAAGAATAATTAAGGATACGGATTCTCATAATGAAGCACTTATTAGAAAAGAAATGTTTCGTGCGAAAAAACGGTTAGGAGAACTGTATTATTGCAAATCAGGAGGGGATAAGGTGATAAAGGAGAATGGAGAGGTATATAGTTTTTGAAGGGAAAAAAAAGGATGGAATTAATTATTATGTGTTATTTAGACAAGGAAATCAAGAAGAAAAGAAGAAAAAAAGAATTTTGAAGCGAATTTATTAGATAATAATGAATCAGAAAAAAAAAACAAGAAAAAAAGAATTTTATATTGAATAAGGAGAAATTGTAACAAAATTTTCTAAATATAAGAAGTTATTCACGATAGAAAAGATTGGTATTTCGAAATTTGCTATTAATGGACTTTTCTTAAAAGATCATTTCAAAAATTAAGAATGAAGATTTATTCCTTATTTATAACAAGGAATTAAGAGGATAGAATAGAGAAAAGATAGTATAGGAGGAAAGTGAATTAAACTATAGGATATTAGGTGGTTTAAAACATAATAACTAGAAGAAAAGGGTTGCTTCTATGTTTAACGTTTCCATGGTATTAGTTTCTATAGCAACAGTTACTATGACAACAGTTACTATGACATCTATTGTTAAACAAACAGCTGATTCTACAAGAGCTTACTAAAAATCAGAAAAGACAATATGGATCTTTTAGATATACAGAAGTAATGAATAATTTTTGTATAAAAATGATTAATTATTTGAAGGGCTATTTCATCTTTTATGTCAACAAAACTTTTTATACATTCTCAAAAACAAGATTATATTAAAAAAACAAATTCAGCAATTACAACATCTAGTCAGCAAACAGGACTAGATAAGAATTCTAATGTACAAATGATGGAGATGAACGAGAATGTTCCAGGTTTAAATATGGTTGAATCAGACTTGAAATATTTTAAAGTAAAGAATATATATAAATATATATAATTGATTATTTTAATATGTTAAGGAACTGTTTTCAAAATTAAAATTTTCATATATTGAACAAGAGACGAAAGAGTAGATATTTTTTTTTTTGAAGATTTAAATGACAATATATTAGACGATATCTTCGAGCAATCTTGGATGATCCCATTTTAGTTGTTGAAAATAAAGATAATCTTGAACTTGGTGAATAAATTTTCATGATAAAATATAGAATTAAATATTATAGAAAAAAAAAATATGGAACTTAAATCTTTATTAAAAAATACAAAAGAAAGTCTTAATGAAACATGTCAAAATCTTGAACAAACCATTTCCAAGGTGTGCAATGGTATGTTATTAAAAAAATAAAGATAAAAATATTTAAATTTATAGAATATGAGATAATGATTCAACAAGCTCTTGAAGCAAGTGATATGCTAAAAGAGATTGAGAAAATGGAAGCAGAAATTGAAGAATTAAAAGATAATGAACAAAATGCAGAACAAGTATATTCAAATGGGTATAAAAGAATTAACTTATTTTTGTTAGAACCTTCCTCTTAAGGATTCTCTTTCTCTTTTGACATCACAAACAGCAAAATCAATTAAATTAAAAAAAGATATAAAAAATTATCAAGCAATTTATGAGAATAAAAAAAAACAACTAGAAGAAGTTGTTGAAGAAACAAAAAAAAGTGAAAAAGAAAAACAATCATGTGAAGCTTTTGCAAAAGAAGCTCTTCATACTAGAAACACCTTTAGTACAGACAATAGGTATAAAAAAGAACAAACATGTCTATGGTATAATTTCTATAAATATATTTTCATTTTTATCAACCATATAGGTATCAATCTTTATTGGATCTTCAAACATCTTTGTTTGAAATAAAAAATATTAAACAAGATAATACAAAAGAACATATCTATTTAACGCTTAAAACGCACATGGGCGACATAAATATTCATATCTATTTTAAAGACGGTCGATTCCATGATATTTATGTATATCACATTTTCTCACTTTCTTTATTAACTATTATAGACCGATCCTCATATTTATACAAAAGATATCCTTCTGGAAGCAAAAAAAAGAAACGATCCAATCTTTCTTATCAATAAGATTCTATCAAAAGCATAATCTATTGATATCTTTATATTTCTTTTTTCATTTTTTTACATATACATGGTTCGATTTAAATCTCGTTATATAGTATTTCAAATTTTTCAAGAAAACCAACTTATATCTGGTCTTTTTAACACAAACACTACTTTTCAAAGGTCTTCTTTTCCTATTAAATTGACAGATGAATTAACAACCTTAACATCTCATGCTTTATTGAATTTAATTAAAGAACATGTTTATTTTAATTTTGGTGATTGGGGACAAGGGCTGATTGCAGCAAGTTTAAATAGTAAAGCAAGATATAACATTTATATATATATTGATATATTTTTTTTAGTCAAATATTATTCTCCAGCAACACATACAGGCATTATTCGTGTATCACGGCAACATTATAGACTTGTATGGGCAGTATTAACATTTATAAAAACAATTCAAGATCAACCTGTATTAATACGTGTTCTAAGAATAAATGGGACAATAAAAAAAGCGGAGATGTTTTTGATTCAACGCAACAAAGATTTGCTAATTAAAGAAAAACTTGGAAAAAATATTTAATATATTAAACAAAATACATATTACAGTAGTTTTTTAATAGAAAAATACTTGAAAGCCTATTAATGGGAAAAAATCGGATAATTTATATTTAAATTTGAATATATTTTATAATCTATAACATACCATTTACCCGACTAGTTTTTCGTCTTCCCCAATTACGAGGTTGATGCCTAAATAAAAAGTTAGAAATATCTTTAAACAATAACCCTACTTAAGAAAAGCACCAACAGCACCTAAATATCCTTCATGTCTTAGAAAATAAGCTTTTTTCGTTCCTCCTGACCAAAAACGTATTGCATATGAAAGCGTATGCATAGTAAGAGGATGCCCTAAGATATAAGTATTTAAAAAGCCATATTCATAAAAGAAACCTCTTATATATGTTCCTCCAAAATAAATTGTTTCAAGCTCATGAATTCGAGCTTGCAAATATGCTATTTGTCCAATATTATTGCTAATAGCGTACAACAAACTTTTAGCAATATCTTGTGGAGAAAAACATGATTGAAAATCTTGAATCGTATCGTATTTTTTAGTTAATTTCTTTTGAAATACCTTGCCAAATGTACTTGCAATAGTTGTTGATTTTAAACACATCTTTTCATAATTCGTACCATAAATATCACCAACTAACATATCTACAGCAGTATTGTCCCCAGATTTAGACATCTCTAGCATTTCTAATATCTTAGAAATTATATCTCAATTTTTAATAACACACCATCAAATGTCTTTGCATTGGTCAATATAGACATCAACCCCCATAATGTACCACCACCTAACTAAACATATTTCCTTAATAAAATCAATATATCTACCTTAAAACCTACCGATGATCCCCCAATACGCTCAAACTTCTCTGGTCCAGATACTTTAATCATACTCACTCCACTTCCAATATTACAAAGCTTCTCTATTAGCCAATAAATATACACCCAAAAATACATACAAGATATGGATAAATATTTGGCAATGGCTCACAAAATTTCATCGGCTCATTCTCAGAATATGTAAATACTTCGTCTGGAATTTCTGTAATAAAAAAATCCAGACCAACAATAAGACATTCCATTTCATCTTCCCGTACAATTTCCACTCCTAATCTACTACGTAATTGATCATAATACTTAAATGCTCCTCCTCCTGTTGCCATAACGCACATAGCAGGCCCTTCCTGCCTGCTATTCTCATATTCTTGGCATAAAAACGAAAGAAAAGAAATACACTCATCAATATTCTTTGTTTCAAAGCGTGTAAAGTTAAATCGGCTTCCTCCTTCATTATCTTTGGTGATATATACCACTTTGGCTAATGATCCGCCTACCTAGAGGCATATTTCATCAAATTAAGGCCAAAAAAAACGGAAAAAAAGGCTAACATCAACTGCAATATGTGATACTTGTTCTTTATGATTAGGTAGAGCTATTTCTCGGGTTTTTCCGGGAGTTGTTTCAGCAACAATTTTTGCACCTGTAAAAATCAGTATTTTTTAGCGGAAAAAAAGGGATACGGGTAAACCTTGGAGGTTAATATGAACAGAGAGTGTTTTTAGAGCGGTATCCATTGGATTTTGGGCTGTTAGTGCCCGTTTCCAGTGGCAGCACTTTTTATGAGGTTAGAAAGTGACGATATCGATGACGTCGTTAAAAAATCAGTGATAAATAGAGGGTAAGATATCCGCTAAAAGTGGCAGAAAAAAGGCGAAAAAAGGGCAGAAAAAGAGCAGAAAAGCTCTAATATACGTTTTGGAAACTATATTTGCTTTTTTTTCCTTTTTGAACGGTGAAATTTGGTTGATTATTGGGTTAAATATCCATCTATAAAGAAATATCTTTAAATACAAAGAAAACCCGGGAAATAGAGCTTAAAAAGACATATATACATATATCAGCTGCGTATAATCCTATATATTTTGAAAAAAGCCCGAAAAAGCGCTTTTTTATCTTGATATTTGCGTTTAAACGAGTGATTTTATATTGAGTGAAACATTATACAGCTTGAAGCGGATATTTTGAGATATTATATATTATTTTATGAGAATACTTTGATTTTTAGTCGAAAAATTAGTTCAATATGGCATCAGATCCTAATTTTATGCCTATGAACATATATGCCAGTACAGGGCGAAATAGACGGGAAGAACAATGGCGCCAGAAACAATTAGAAGAAGGCAGGAAGGCAGGGACTATAGATGTGGAGCTAGATGCGGATGGAAAGCAAGTTAATCCACATATTCCTCGTTGAGCCTATATATCCAAGGGTAATAAGAGATTAATTATATATAGAATTTATATCGAAGGCACCATGGTATATTGATGAAACAGAAGGGAAGGTATCATTACGTCATCAACGGTTGAGACAAGATGATACATTAGAAACGGATCAAAATACAGTTTTTCTTCGTGGCCAAAGAGCAGTATGTCTAATTAAGATAAATGAAAGGAATAATGCTTAAAGAAATACATAGGGACCAGCGGCGACAAAGTTTAGGAAGGGAGCATGTGAAAATTGTGGTGCAATGACACATAAGACTAAAGAATGTATGGAGAGACCTCGAAAATTAGGTGCACGATGGACGGGCAAAGATATTCAAGCAGATGAAGTGATTTACCAAGCAAATATGACATGGGATTCGAAAAGAGATAGGTGGAATGGCTATGATCCTCGTGAGCACCAAAAAATAGTGGAAGAGTATGAAAAAGTTGAAAAAGAACAAGAAAAAGCAAGAAGTAGAAAAATACAAAACATTTCAGAAGATGGATATACAGTTAAAGATGATGATAAATATGCAGATGAAGCGAATATGCCAGGTCAAAAGTTTGACCCACATAGTCGTATAAGTACACGAAATTTAAGGTATGTATTAGTTTATATTAATTCTATTACTAAAAAGACAAGAATTCGAGAAGATACAGCAAAATATTTATTAAATCTAACAGAAACATCAGTCAATTATGATCCAAAGACTAGATCTATGAGAGATGATCCAAATAAGATATCTCGAGATAATAGATTAATGGCTAATAATAATTTTGAACGTTCATCAGGTGAAGCAGCTGAATTTGAGAAATTGCAAGTTTTTGCATGGCAAGCAGAAGAAAGAGGGAAGAATATTCATCTTCAGGCCAACCCAACACAGGGTGCATTATACCATAAACAGCATAAAGAAGAAATGAATGAAGCAAAAATTCATTCTAGAAAAAATATTATAGCAAAATATGGAGGAGAAGAACATTTTAATATTCCTTCTAAAGAACTACTTTATGCACAAACAGAATATTATGTGGAATATTCAAAAGATGGAAAAATAATTAAAGGTCAAGAAAAAACAATCATTCGATCTCAATATCCTGAAGATATACTTGTAAATAACCATACCCAGATCTTTGGTTCATGGTGGCATAAGGGTCAATGGGGATATGCTTGTTGTCATCAGTAAGATTTACTAATAATTGATCTATTTTTATTAATTTTTCAAAGATTTTTTAAAAATTCGTATTGTACTGGTGAAGTAACTCTTTCAGAACATCATGATTTTGGAAATATGCAAAATGATCTACATAATAATACAGAAAATGAAATACTTAATGAAGGGAAACAGGATGTATCAACAAATAAAAGGAAATATGAATAAAAAAGTTTATAACATTAGAAGAAAGTAACAGAAAACAATGTATTTATTCATTATTAATAATAACGAATAAATGAAAAAAAAATTAAAATAAATCTAGGAAACTATACAAAAAGCTTTTTTATTCTTCTTCCTCAGCGGTATCTACATCTGCCTTAGCAGATAGTTTTTTGCGCCGTGTCCGACCAGGTCGTCCACCCCTTTGAAATCTATTAGTAACCTTTTAAATACATATAAAAAAAAATACCCAAATGGTGAATTAAGAGCAAAGTCAATATGTTTTTGAGAATCTAATCGTACCAAAAAAGACGGCACATTAACAATTTGTTTTCCCACACTATATAAATGTTAAAAAGTAAAAAGAAAAAATAAGATAATCTGTACCGAATATGGCGTTGACGAATAAGAACACGAGCATGATGAATACTTTTTGCAAGGCCAAGCTTAAACACCTGTGTTTGAAGCCGTCGTTCAAGGAAATCCTCAATACGCAATGCCAGCACATAATCCAATTTTCTTTTTGTTTCATCCAAAACGCCTATCCGTACAAGTCGACGAATTAAAGCATTACCTTGAAAAAGTCTCCGAGGATCCTTATCATCAAGTGTTAACAATTCTCGTGCTGCTCGACGAATTTTTGAAAGAATTAAAAGATTTCTCCAAATTTCTTGCTTATTTCTTAACCCATATTCTCCACAAAGTCGAAGTTCTGCATCCAAACGAGCTGATTCAAAAGGACGTCGAGGAACTATGTATTCCATTAGACCCTTTAAATCATCATAATTTTATTTATTTTGAAATTGATTATTTTAAGCAGAAAAATATGCTCTGTACGCAAATTTTATCATACCTTTATAGGTTTTTCTATAATTTCTGAAAGCGCGAGGCATTTACAATATATACCAGTGTATAAAATGCGTTTCTACCGTTTATTTATGCAATTACTTGTATTTTTTTTTTTTAAAAAAAATGTCTTGTCTAAAAACCACAAAAATCTATGTTTTATTCCCGGAAAAAAACAATTGAATCAATAATATAGAATATCCTTATTGATAAATAAGAGAATATAACCAAATTCCTGCAGGAAAATAACTTTTTTTTCTAAAAAATAGATCAATCTTTTAATCTTTGATATCTCAACGAAATTTTAACCAATTTTCACCGTTCTTTCAAGAAAAACAATAAAACACCTTTAAACATTTAGTTTATATCATTTAAAACTTCTTCTAACCTTTATTTCCCTGGATATACACAACCCTTATTTTACTCCTCGAATATTTTTTTTGGTCGGTTAAAAAAGCGGTCTCGATAAAAATTAAAAAAAATCTTATCCTATAAAAAAAGATGCCTCATTCATATGGTATTTAACCCTTCTATCTGGCAATTTGGATTCTAAAAATCCTTATTCCACTTATTTTTTTGTATTTTTAAAGCTTATAAAAATAAGGTTTACGAGCAAGAACACGTCATCTTTTTCAAAGAAAATTCCGTCAAAAAGGTCAGATTAGGTAAGCTTTTATTGTCTTTAGGCGTCCATTGAGATTTGCTTCAATATATGCGTACTATATGCGTAGTATATGCGTCATGTATGCGTCATGTATGCGCAATCTATACATGTTATATACGGATTATATGCGTGTTATATGCGTATTATATGCGCGTTATATGCGTCCCCCTGATCTCTATATCGCCTCTGTCACTATCAATTATCATATTAAACCCCTTTCTTCATCTTTATATTCTTTCTTTTTCTAACATTCAGACTTTCCACATACTTAAAAACATATCGAGTCGGTCAATATGTAGATATTTGTGTTAACAGTGCTGTTCAAAAAGGAATGCCTTTTAAGGTCTATTTATATCATTCTATTGAGTTAATCTAGATTATTATTATAGTATTATCATGGTCGAACAGGCAAAGTTTATGGTGTTACAAAATCCTCAGTCAATGTTCTTGTATATAAACGTACTGGTCATCGATGTATAGCCAAACGACTTAATATTCGTGTGGAACATGTTCGTCATTCTAAGTGTAGAGAAGACTTTATACAGCGTGTTAAACAGAATGCACGATTACGTCAAGAAGCATGTGCAAAAGGAGGTATGTTTATACATTTTTTTTTATTTTCTCCTAACCTCCAATATATAGAATATATATGTTTGAAACGACAGCCAAAAGGTCCTCGACCAGCACATATAGTAACAGTTGATTCGTTACCAGAAACTGTAAGAGTTTCTCCTTACGAAACTACACTGTAAAACAATCGTTTATATAATAATCCCTTGTGTACTTAGTAAAAATAATCATATTCGTTTATTAAGATAAGCTTTGAATAATAAAAGGATTTTTTTTGTGATAAAATAACGTGGGTTAAACCCTAAATAACCTACTAAAATTGTCTTAGTATATTTATATAAATATATAGATTAGTTATATAAACCAATTATTTAATATATTTTCTAATATTAATCATCATATCCATTCAATCTAATAATTACGAATCACCAACAGCAGCCTCGCCAGTAGTTGTACCGGCTTCGGTTCATTTTCTGGCAGGCGGGTAAAGATTACTGAATAATATTTGTTTAAATTAAAGAAAATCTAGTTGCGCTGGAATGATTGCAGCTATTTGTACATCTCCTTTAGATATTATTAAAACTCGTCTTCAGAGTGAACATCATCTTTATCGTTCACCGGCGTTTTCAGGATTATCTTCATATGGAATACGTTTATTTCCAGCTTATCATCTTTTTTTGTAATAAATTTGCAGTATATTTTTAATATTGACGAAGATTTTTAATAGAAATATTTATCATATCGAAGGAGGATCAGGTTTCTTTAAAGGATTAGGACCTAATCTTATTGGAGTCGTTCCAGCCAGGCATCTATCCAAGCCGATATATTGAATGATGATTAATTGATATAAATAGAGCAATCCATTTCTATACATATGAGAATACTAAAAAGATTTTTATAAAATATTTTAATAATAATGAATCAAGTTGGATCCACTTAATGTCAGCGATATCAGCAGGAATAGTTACATCTACAATAACGAATCCTATTTGGATGATTAAAACTCGTTTACAACTTGACAAAGCAGCAGTAAAAACTTATCGAAATACATGGGATTGTGTAAGAAAGACGATCCAGAAAGAAGGATTCTATAGTTTATACCGAGGAATGAGTGCATCGTATTTAGGTGTATCAGAAAGTACAATCCAATGGGTTCTTTATGAACGATTTAAAAAACGATTTGCTGAAAAACAAAAGCCATCTACATGGTTAGATCCTTTAGTAGCAGCTGGAACTGCAAAATTGATTGCAACAATTCTTACATATCCTCATGAAGTGAATTGTATTTGTTATTATTGTTATATTTTCTAATTGTATATTGCATAGGTTGTAAGAACGAGATTACGCCAATATCCTGCTCAGAATGGACATGTAAAATATAAAGGATTAATGCAATGTTTTTGTTTAATATGTAGAGAAGAAGGTATTTCTGCATTATATGGAGGACTTGCTATACATCTTTTGCGTGTTATACCGAATGCTGCTATTATGTTTGGATCATATGAGCTTATTATGAGTCTTTTTTTATAAACAAATAATGTTAAAATACTTGTTATAAAAAATAACTCATATATTTTGTATATTTATTTTAAATGACTAATTTCCTGTACCATTTAAATTCAATCGATCTAATCAATTCAATTTATCTTCAAAAATCCGTCCAGTTCTTTGACAAAATTCATTTTTTTTTCTTAATACTTTATTTTCATATTTAACATCTTGTAATTTTAAAAACCCTTTATTAATCAATAAAATAAATGAAAAAAGATAAATAGTTTTAACCTTTTAATGCCTGATCTAGAAGATCTGAAATTTCCTCTTGTTCTACTATATTTATTTCAAGATTTTTATCCTTTTGATAACGTCCAAACATGCTTTCAGCCATGATAAAATAAGCAATGCTTTCATGTTCTAGATCAGATGTTTCTAATATTTTTGGTATGAATCTTTGAACAATATCATATGCAGCTGAAAACTCTTCTAAACATAACAATATTTGTGAAAATAATAAAATTGCTTTTATTACTAGAGGCACATTATGATGCGCTGTTGCTAAAACAATGGATTTTGATGCAATTGAAAATGCTTTTAAAGGCTGTTGACATTCCTATAATCATATTAAAATTATTATAAAAAAGTAATCCAATACAATATAAAGTTGTGCTGATACCAGTAATAACATTAAGTGATATAAACCTTCAAATCCGGACATCTTTACACGATTCTGCATAATTGAAAGTTTATCAAAAGACTATAAAATACAGATTACTTATACAAAATAGAAAAATATAAATATACCAAGGAAAAATTCCCTTTTTTTGCTTCAAGTTCTATTTCAGAAATAGAAATATAAAACGAAACATCACCATCAACATCAATTGATGATAATTGTTGGTAAATTTTTTCTGCATAGCGAAGATCTTCTCTAATTATACATTTAAACCATGAAATTCATAAAAATTATTAGAAAAAACAAACCTACGAATTGCTTGTTTCAATTCCTGATATAGAAAATAAGATGACCAAACATGATATACCTTATGAGACTTAAATGCAATCTCTTGAGTTTCAATCATTAGCTTTTTACTTTCATCAAGCTTTCCTTCTTTTGATAACTAATACATTCCTCAATAATTGAATTAAAAAAAAAAGGCATTCATACATGAAAAGCATATGCACATCGCAACCTAACAACTTCTTCAAGAGATACATCATCATAAGGATATTTGATAAAGATAGATAATAAAACAGAACAAAGATAAGAACAGCCTTATTTTTTTAAATAACCTTTTTTATAATCCACAAACATTACCTAAAGTTGACCAAATCCCACTTTGCATAAGTATACAAGATGAAATTAAACTTGTAGAACATGACTCTAAAGCTAAATTGAATGACTTCAAAACCATTTCGAATGCCTTATCAATTATAGCTTCCTATATATTATATTAACATGTTTTTCCAATATTTTAGAAACAATTGACTTCTAAAAGAGCTCTTTTTGCTTCTGCTAAGAAAGTTACAGTTTGAAGATGAACCATTTTAGTTTCTTTTGCTTTTAACAAAAGATAATTTAACGCTTGTTCATCAGATACACTTTGTCCCGTTATTCCTTCTGTTTCTTTCCTTTGAAATTCTGTAAGAAAAGATAAAGCATAATTGAGACAGGCATGATCTTTATTTTCTCTTGCAGTATCAATTGATTCTTGAATAGCCTTAAATAGTTAAGAAAAAAAAAATCAAATTGAAAATAAAAAAAAACCCAAATAGCCTCTTTATTACAATAAAAATCTGCTTGTAACATTGCTAAATCTAATAATGCATATTGATATCCCGTTCTATATCATTCATTTAATCATAAAAAATATTGAACAAACTAACTCACTTATCCCTATTACGCATTGTATAATCAAAATAACGAAAAAGATAATCAAATGAAGTTCGATAATCACCTGATCTCCATGAATCAAGAAACCTTTTTAAACAATTAAAAATATCAAGAATTTAATACCTCATACTTGACATAATTTACAATATTTGGCACAGATACATTATGTTCCATAAATTTCTTCAATCGTTCTTTCATTTCTTTACTTAATTTTGACTTATTTCCTTATAAAATATTAATTTGATTTCTTTCAAATTAAAAATATACTTTGCATCTTACTAACATGAAATTCAAATAATCTCTCAATATCTGAAACTGATAAACATTCTAAAATAAATCAAAAAAAACGTATAATCCCCTCTCTCTTAATTTTCATACCTTCATAATCATTTTCTATCTTCTCATCCATTTCTTCATTTAATGATGTTTCAACTCCCATACTAGAATTAAACATACTTCTTTCTATATTCTTCTGTAGCCATTTAGGCACCGAAATACTTCTATATCCTATCAATCCCTTCCATAATTTAATTACATCATCCAATGGAAGATTATTAAATTCAACTACACATTTTCTAACAAATGATCCAAGAAAAGAAGATGGGCTTAATAACAACAACCGTCTCCCAATTATTGGCGTTGATTGTCTCCTGGAAATTAGCCCTGGAATACTCGCAAAAAACGATATAAGATCATCTAATGATTGAAGATCCCAAAGCTATTAAAAAATAAGATAAAAACTCCCCAATATCGCCCCTACTCTTTTAAGAATCATATCATATATAGTCCTGCCAGGAAGATGACTTGGTTTGTCTGATGTAAAGCTACAAAGATGCTTTAATGTTGATGGATTTCCACATGATGGCTGTATATATAATTAATATGTATGTCTGAGACGAAATATATACATCTAAATGTTCCATAACCAAAGTCAAGACGGGAATGGTATGTTTAGGAGGGAGAAGAAAGCTGCAGTATAGTTCAACTAGTACCAGCAAAGCAATTTTATGAGGTGTTAAATATTTGCCAAAAATGATATCAGTCTTCATTAATTAGCTTTAATATTCCAAATAATCTTTCTAAAATCAATATATGCGTCTTGTATGCGTCTTGTATGCGTGTTGTATGCGTCTTATATGCGTCTTATCTACCCTTAGAGATAAGCTGTATAAAAGGAATTCAACATATTAAGATAATATAAAGAGATAACCCTATAACAGCCCCTAATAATGCATAAAACAAAGATTTACAATATTATAAATAGAATATTCGGGTTTAGAATAGGCAAAAACCTAGTTCTATAAGGGCGTAAAAAGTAGATAAATATAGTGTATATAGTATTGTGTAAAAAAAGTTAAAATTATACAAAAAAAATAGTATTACATCTTTGTTCTCCCAATGAATAGTTGTAATGAAAACAGAGAATGCTAAACCCTTTGTTTTTTTTTTTAAAATAGTTTAAAAACTGACAAAAATATAATTATAATTGATAAGGGTTGATATGTATATGTTAAACCATGTTAACAGGCCACCGAATATTGCTGTCCATGCCTAAGCCAGTATCAACCATACAAGGATATGTATTAGTAGAAAATATAGGAGTTGAAGAGTTAAATGTATAAGCGCAATTTGTATCTAATTGATTCATATTGCAAGAAAAGATAAAATCCTTAAAAGAAAGAGGTATAGATGATTTATCGAGGAATATATGGCCAGGATTAGCAGCTGGTATATTAGTAGCGTATGAAGGATCAAAAAGATCTTCACTAGAAGAATGAGATGAAGATGACAAACGTGCAGATGAATCAGTATTTGCAAATCCTAAATTTGAAGTATCCGGAGATGAATGATATAACATAGTCCCAATAAATGGATCGTTATATGATGTAAGAATCGAATTTTCCTGGACAGACGTTTGATGAGGACTCGGAAATGACGGTTTCATATATTCCGTCATATTTGTCTGAGATTCCGGTGAAAAAGTGGACTCTGCTTGCAATGGTGCAGACGGGGTCGGCGATTTTATTTCCGGTTCATCTGTATTCATAGCACATCGTTGTTGTTGAACTCTTTTCATATATTTAACCCATTCAAGCGCTGCCCGTCTTGCATAATACGCATGTACCACATCCGACTCTTTTTTCCACATTTCACTAACTAAACTTGATATATTCGATTCACGCACTTTAAATGTCATGGTTTCTTTCAGTAATTGACTCACATGAGACCGGTAAAGAATAAACGCATTCTTAGGCCTAGGAATTCGGTTCTTTGTTACCGATTTCACTGATGTACGTGAACATGTTGACTTCGTAGGCGTCACTTCCTTAGGATATTCCGAAAATTTCGTTTGTCCTCCTTCCCATACAAATGGCTCTTTTCCATCCATCATTTGGATTACTGGAAATGCCGATTCATCCGCTCCTGTTCCAATACCAATATTCGGCGGTTGAAACATAAGAACTTGTGAATATTCCCCTTGTCCAGATACCGTCTTACATTCTGACTTACTTCTTCTCATTCTCTTATTCATCCATGGAAAATTTAATACTCTACATTGTGACATAAATTCCGGTGACTTGGTTTTCATTTTAGATTCCAAAACTCCTCTCAAAATTGATTTTTTCTCCCAAAATTTCTTATTATTATAAAAAAAATCCCTTCAAATCAAGGTTTTCCTTCTAATTCTCCTCAAATACCACAATATTCTTTTTCCCACTATAATTACCGATCTCTTGAGAATCTCTAATCAATTGACACTTCTCTCTAAACAAATTATACGCCTATTGCCTCTTCAATACCCTTTGTCCACCTTTCTCTCTCAAAAATCACTCGTTTTCTACAGAAAAAAAACCAAACTTATATAATTCCTATCCGTCCTTTTCAATTTCTCCCTTAAAATTGACGTTTTCCTGCTTATTCTACCAAAAAAATCGTTTTTTTACTTTATTCACTATAATTTTTGATCTCGTTTTGACGTTAAATGAAAAAAAGGCCCCGCACGGTTAAATCGGAGTTTCAAGCCAGATAAAGCAAAGCGGCCTTTCTGATCATGAAAGAAAGTATGTAACTTGTCCCCTTTGAATGAAAGCCATGTCTTTATTATTTTGTGTAAAATTTTTTTAAAAAAAGATGAAATTCCTGTATAATCATTATTCCCTAAGCCTTTATAAGAAATAAGAATGATAAGAAAGTGATAATATAAGAAAGAACAGAGATTAGAATGTGCATTGACCAGTTTTTTGTTTGTCAGAATGACCATCCAAAGAAAAGAAAGAATGATAAGCTGTTATATAGATAATAAGGTGAATAGCAGCAGTAAAATAGAGAGAAAAAGAAAGGAATAAGCAGAGAATTGAAGATATAGAACAGGAATTGTAATGCAGAAGACGAATGCTTAACAAGCAGTAGCAATTGTAGCAGAAGCAGACCAAAAGCGAGCGCGGCGGTTGGAGAACTATATAGATGTTAGAAATAATGTATAGAAAAGGCAGAAAAGAAGATATGTAGGTTAAGAAGAGGGTATAAGAATGATATGAAAGAGTTACATACCCATACGCCGACTTGACGGACAGTAAGTCCACAACGGCGAGCCAGCATTGTTTTTTCTACAGGATTTGGCCAAGGTTTACATTGAAAAGCCTTTTCTAGCAATTGCTGAACATCTTTACGAAATCTTCTGCCTACAGAAGCAGTAGAAGGGGTATTATGTACCAAAGAAGCAGAACTTTCAGTGCTTAATGAGCGAACCAGTAAAGGAAGGCTAGCAGTTCGAGATTGTTGAATGGTATTCCATACAGTATGAAGAGAAACATCTTGACACCAGGCATGACGTGCTAAGAAAAGAGAAGACTCAATGGAAGAGCGTTCAAGAATGCAACAAACTGTTTCAAACAAACGTTGATAAGAAGCATCATGAAGAGAAGTATCTAAAGAAGCAGATTGATAAGAAACCTTTGGTAATTCAAGGAAAGAAGAAGATTTGTCCAGTGGAAATGAAGTATAATCCTATTTAAAGTTAGAAACAAAGAAAAATCTGAAAAATAAGGAAATGTCTATGGATTTACATCTTTTGACTCAAGATTTGTGTGTTGTCTAGCTTCACAACGACTACATTCACATAAACCAGGACTCGTAATAACCGATAACTCTATAGCAATAGCTTTTAGTTTCTGCCATTCATCTAATGCCATCATTTAAGTATTTAACTCTTCAGAAACCGTCTTCCGGCACTATAACAAGTTGTAGGATGTCCTTGAATATTACTTTTAATCATCATATGCTCAATTCTCTTTGTCTTTTGACCAGGGGTGCTCATTCTTTGTCTTATTCCACTTGCAGTCAAATCATTCTTAAGTAACAAAGCACAGACTCTTTAGCAGCTTAACAGGGCTTTATTTAGCTTCATTACAAGCCAATTGCTAATATAATTTACGCCATTCAACGGACTAAAACAGTGATGCACTTTCAATCTTTAGCTGAACACTTATTTTAGCATTGAATTGAACAGCTAGGTTCAAATGACAGCCAAAATACAAAGATTACACAGTATCTTGGTCATTAGTTACAAATATTATTGTTTCTTTGATTGACCGGTTGGGCAATGGATGAGCTTTTAGTGGCAAAGAACATCTAGACATAAACTTAAGGCAATCATTAATTAGAAGGAAAACCAATGGAAGAACATGTTTTTAAAGGATTGAAAAGGAAATGGAACGTCTTTAAATGGACGTTTTAATTGGACTTTATCAAGTATTATTGCTAAAGTATTATGGTAAACATATGTCTTAAAAATTAGAGTATAAGATAGGCTAAGAAATAGAATTAGGATAGGATTTAAGGCAAATATCTTATACAAATGGTTAAGAACATTCATATATTGCTTTAAAGAATGCAATTAATTGAGATTGGATAAAAAAATCTAAGGTGGCTGTACAAAAAAGAAAGCCTAAGTGCTTTGGGCATCTTTTTTCTGCCTACATCAAGAAACATAAAGAAGATATTTGGTTATTTTACTTTAGAGAAGGCTAACAAAGGTGGCACCCTTATTAAAGCTTAAGGAAAGAAGGGTAAAGGTCTATTTTTTTTCACTGACTAATGCAAGGCGCTCAAAATAAAGATATCTTAAAAAATACACATAAAATCAGTAGGGAATACATGGGTAAAGGGTGAAGGGGCAAGCATGCCATATGCACATCTTGAATATTTACTGCCAAATGAGACTGTAACAAGAAAACAAGTATTATATCCATATTCTATGAAAGAGGCATCAAAATATTTAGATGGAAATAAGGGAACTGCTTATTTTGTGCCCCATGGGTTTCAGCCTATTCTAGTGCCTCAAAATGAGGAGGATGAAACCATACAGACGTTATTGGATCTATCGGCACCGGCTATTCAAGTATCGGTTCCGTTAAAGCAGACGCTTTTACCACACTATATTATCCGACCTAGTAAGAAACAAAAGCTGGCTAAACAGGCATCTAACAAGAATCCTCCACGGCCGCCTAATGCCTTTATTCTATATAGGAAGAATCAGCAAGCGCAGATTCTTCAACAGAATGCTAATTTATGTAATAATGATGTATCACGCATCATTGGGTCGATGTGGAATGGGGAATCGCCTGCAGTCAAGCAGCGGTTTCATTTATTAGCACAGGAAATGAAGGAAAAACACAGGGCTATGTACCCAATGTATCGGTACTGCCCGAGAAAAACTACACGCAAACGACGCAATACTAAGACGCAGGAGTCCATCATGGGAATAAGGGAATCATGGGTATCAGAGAATAATTCATTAGATATGCAGGGAGTATCACCAATAACATCAATACCATCAACGACATTAGAAGAAATTGGAGCTACGGGACTTTGGGCATAAAATAATGATAATTAGGAGAGAAATGATATATTATTTATTTATTGTTTAAATATGGAGGGGAGAATAAAGGAAAATAAAGGATTAAACGTCTACAGCTATAACATCATAAAGCGCCACGTGGCGTTGTGAAAAATGTGCGGATAAATAGATAAAAAAGAATGGTAAACCGTATAAAAGCTTAAGAAATAAACATAAAAACGGATATTTATTAGTGTAAACAAGTATGAAATTTATGTATTGCTTATAAAAATAATGATGATATGGCAAGAATAAAAGAAGTCACGTGATCTAAAAAATATAAAATATAAATAAAAGGAAGTTTAGTTAAGAATAAAATGGAAATATTTATGATATGAAATGTGTTTGATGTGATGATAAAGTATAAATTTGAAAAGTTTTTTTTTTTAGAATAAAATATTTTTTTGGCTAAATAATTATGATATTGGTTATGAATCGATTATTTCTTTATGATAAGAGACTTTTCTCATTTCTCCTAATTTCTTTCTTGAATTTGCAAGTTGATTTTCTAATTTGAGAATTTCGACTTGTTGTTCCATTTCGTGTACTTTGAATTCATGTGGAGTAAGTTTAGAATAATCGAAAAAGTTATCTTGTTGAAAACGAGATGCTACGATTTCCTGTACTTGTTTGACAAGGGTTTTGCATGCAAGAGAAACGGCTTTTGAAGCATTTTCTAATTTTTGTTGTGTTTCGGACATAAAACTTGCTTTAACTCTTGATGCAGCAACAAGTTGAGCAGTAGCAGCAGCCATTTCGTTAGAAGCAACGATTAATTGCTCATGACTATTTCTGCCGCTAATTACACCATCAGCAGTTTCAATAAGGATGTTTGTTGAACCAGCAACAGTTTTAGCGGCAGAAATAAGCCCTTCAGTCCATCGATTATTCTTTTTATAGAATGCAGCTCTAGTGCTAGAGCCTTTTCCTTGACTAACGATTTCATTTTGAGAATCGGTGGCAGCTTTGATTAATTGAGAAACAGCATGAGTAATAACGATTGCAGCTTCAAGTATAGAATCATGTATTTGTAATTCGGAGCATGTAAATTGTAAATCTTTTGGCCGCTCTTTTAGCTTGCTTAGACGAGCAACTGCTTCTTCAATTGCACGTTCTGCATTTTTTAATTCTCTGTCTACTAAATCACCTATATCTTCTTCGTTTGAATTTGCAACTAAATCCACAATTTCTTTAGGTACAAAACTTTCGGATAACTGAGCAAGCTTTTTCAAACATAATTGGACATCTAAATTTTTTGAAATAATTATTTCAATCTTTTTTTCATCTGAAAGATCTATTAACGAATGTGTTTGTAATGCACCTAAATTTTTCTGTGAAATAATAGCAAAATCATGGGCATATGAAATAAGCCTTTCCCCAATATCCTCATTACTAGCAAGTCTAGCGACTCCTTTTGCATTATTGAGTATTTCACTGACAGAACTCGAAAATATATTAATCAAACGTATTATTTCAGAATGATCTCCATTTGGACTATCCGCTATAAAATTACTAAAAGCAGTAAAAAAATCCATAGCATTAGAACTTCCTTTTTCAATTGTTGATAGTAAATATTCAGGAGTTGAATTTTGATTGCCTGTCTGCATAGAAGAAGCTAGTTCGTATAAAGAATTATCGATCATTTGTATAGAACTTTGCAAAATAGCATCTAATCTAGTATTATTTCTCAACTTTTAAATTCAAAACCCAATCTTTACCAATAATATTATTAAGTTTGTTAGAGTTATCATTTAAAATGCGATTAATTTCAGAATTGATAGCAGAATCCATATTACGATTATTCTATTATAATATTTAGAAATAATTTAGACAAAACTAAATGATACCATATGTAAATCATTAAGTTTCATAAATGCAGAATCCACTTCGGCTTTATAAATCTCTAGTTCATCATCTTTTTCTTTTGACACTTTTTCTAATTGATCATATGATTCTTGTAACTTTAATGATACTTCATCAATCATTTTTTGCTTAACCTATTGCTTATTAATTTCAAAAATTATAGAATATGTGTATGATTACCAAAAGCAATTTTTCAAAATCCGAAACCTCTTTATTATATTTAGATGTTAATGAAGAAAGCTCAAGAGATTTGGATTTTTCAGAACTTTCAGTTTTTTCTAAATTCGACATTAAATTTTTGTTAATTTTATCCAGTTCCTCCTTTTGATTCTAAAATATTTAATCTATATATAACATATATATATATAATATCATACTTTTAATTTATCCATATCAAGTTTTAAACGATCTCTTTCACGAATTATATTGGCTAATTCCATGTTTTTGTTGTCCATCTCTTTTTCTATTTTCTCTTTTTTCTCAATGGATTCTTGAGCAGATGCTGCTTTTAATTGAACTTGTTTAAAATTTGAAAGAAATTCTATATGTTCTTCACGAAGTCGAGTATATAATTGTGCTAAAGACTCGTACTTATTTTTCCACATAGTAACTCGGTCTTGTAAAAGTTAATATCTAGAAATTATAGAATATCAAACTCTTTTATACCTTGAAGCGATTTGATGTAACCATCTTTATTTTCGATTTGTTGGGATGCATTCATATTTAAACTCTGTAATTCATTCTCTAAAACCTTAACTCTCTAAGACCAATTAACAAAGTACCTAAGACCATCATAATATCAACCTTATCATATTGTTCAAGCATATGTTGGTCTCTATTATATTGTCCGCGCATATTAAAAACTTCTTGTTCTAATTCTGAAATTCTATTTTGAATATATACTTGATATTGTTCATTTAATAGTCGTTCATGAGCTAATTTTTGCTGTTCAACATATATTCTTTGTTGATCATATTCTTGTTTCGCGTATTCTGCTTCTTTTTGAGCTTGAAATTGTTCTTCACATGTAGGTGTTTTTCGCATTTGACTACTAGACAAAATATTGGATGACCTGTCATAATTATCATCATTTTTCGACGACCCTTCTGATAATGAATCTTTTTCTTGCATAGATAATTTCTGCGAAGATATTTCAAGATCTTCTTCTATTAATTCTTCTGGATCCTGTATTATTTAGATATTATAAGGACTAATATCATATCATATAAAACCTGTGATAATTTTGGTAGTGATATTAGATTAACGAGATATCTAAGATTAGAACATTCATAATAAAATTTAACAAGTTTTTGATGTTGAGAATTATATCTTAATTTAAGAGGTTTAATACCTTCACTAGATTGTGTACCTGTACTTTATTAAACCATATTTCTCATGAAATGGTAAAAATACTATGATAAATAGCTCGAATCATGCTTGTAATAAATTTATATATTCCATAGCTTTCTTGAACCAAAGGAACTAACGCTGCAATACGACATTCATTTGTAGATCCACTTCTAAAATGCGAAAATATCGTTTTTTGAAACGAATCAATTCGATCTAGCAATTGCATCAATTCTGTAATGGTTTCGTATCTATATCTTTGTCAATATCTTAGCCCTAACAAATATGTAAAAATTTTTACCCTTCATTTGGATCACTCGTATTTTTAAGCGTTAAATATTCATCATATTCAAACATTCCTTGATCGATTAATCACTTTTTCCCCCTTCTCATTCATTTTTTACCATTAAACTCTGGGTGTAACTTATGAAACGAAAGCTTAGATATTAAAAACTCCACATATTCCTTCACTAGGCTTCCGTACCCTTGTTTTCCATCATCTTCCCGTTCATACTAAATAATATATACGAATAAATACCCTTAGTATTGCCCCCAATCACCGAACGTGAACAAATCTCAAGCCACGACTTCTGAGCTTGTGCCTCTTGAAGTGTCACTGGATGCCCCTCTTGTATCACTTTGTGCATGCATATTAACGCCTTAAAAATCTGGATATCGTCCGATAAAATAGGCTGTGCTTTAAGTCCCGCCCAAAATGATAATGATGACTTATGGTCCCACGTATAAACTATACAACCTATAGAGTATTCATATCTACTTATAAACCCTTATTTTTCTGTTCAACAAACTTCTAACATGTTTTCTTTTAGGCGCTGTTTCTTTAATACTTGTTGCCTTCTTAATATTCACTGTTAATTCTGACTCTGACCGGCTTAAATCAATATTCCGGCCTATATATGACTCCTTATTTCTATATTCTTGATGCAGACGATCCCTAAATACTTATCAATTGATATTTCTTTAATATTTCTAAGACTTACATTTTTTACTAGTATTGAAGAGGTTGACCGTTGAAGGGCTGTATTATAGTCTTAGAAAATGGGTTAAAAATAAAATATATTAAAATCAATAAATTTCTTCTGGATCGATGTCTTCAGACATTACATCATCGTCCATACTTTCGTCGAGTATTTCAGAGGTAGATTCATGATTAGGTTGAATATATATTTTTTTTTCATGTAAGAATATGTGAGCAGTTTCATTTTCTTTGATCTGGCCTCGTAGCATTAGGACGGAGAGTTTGTTTAGTATTTCATTTTGTATTAATCGATTTAAAGGTCTTGCACCATAAGCAGGAGAATAACCAGCTTCGCTAAGATGAGTGATTACAGTATCGTCGACGTCAATTTTTATTTTTCTTAATAAAAATATTAGAAGAAAGGTAAAGAAGGTGATTAGATTTACTTGTTATTGTCGTCGAGTCTTTTTTGTATTTCTTCGATTCTTTTAATAACTATTTTTTGCATATTTTTTTTTGTTAGTCTATTAAACATGACTACAGTTGTACGTCTTTAATTGATTAATTCATGAAAGAAAGAAGAAAGTTTTATTGAACAAACCCCAAAAACTCTGGTTTGAAAAATTTAGAAATACTGTCCATAACCATAGCTTTTGTAATTTCGTCAATTTTTCCATCACCAGTAACAGCTGCATTTGTAAGATATTCAGCCCCCTAAATCTATTAGTAGATGAAAGAATGTGCAATGATTTGAATACCAAATTGCTTGTCATAATAATGATGGAATTTTTTGCATCAATTGTTTGACTTTGGCCGGATGTTAAGCGACCATCATCTAAAACTTGAAGCAAAACAGTCAAAACTAAGAGAATATTAAGTAAAAATATGCAAGAGATATTTAAAATAACCTTCTTGTGCAGCCTTTTCTATTTCGTCAAATAGTATTATAGAAAATGGTCGTCTTTTAAGTTGCTTTATTTATTAATAACAAAATTTATTTCATTTAAAAATATACTTCAGTCAATTGTCCACCTTGATCATAGCCTACATATCCAGGAGGAGCACCGATTAAACGAGAAACAGCTATTATATCGATCAAGATAAATAAAATATAATATATAAAAAATATTACAATGTTTTTCCGTATATTCTGACATATCTATTCTTATCATAGCCTTCTTGTCATCAAAAAGAAATTCAGCTAGCTAATATCATTATTAATCTATAATGAACTAATAAGTCTGGTTTACTTGTTTTGTTAATAACGTTTTCCCTGTTCCACTAGGACCACAAAATAAAAAGCTAGCAATTGGTTGATTAGGATTAGAAAGACCAGATCTAATAATTAAATAAAAAATTAAATATACTAAATATTGGCATTAATCCTATACCTATTAAGTCGTATGGCATTTGCTACTGCCTTTACGGCTTCCTTTTGCCCAATAACAAATTGTGTTAATGTTTTCTCCATTTTTAAAAGCTTTTCTTTTTCGCTTAGAGTTAATCGTGTTACAGGAATTCCTAACTAATAGTTATTTTAAAATGATAATTAATTTATAAAAAGACCTGTCCATCTAGATACTATCTCGTTTATTTGATCTATAGTCACAATATCTGTAAGTAAAAGGTTTGGACAGTTTGATTTTTCAATCATTTCTGCGTCCGCCTTAGCTTTTAAAGCCTCCAAGTCTTCAATTCTCTTTTGTAGATCAGGAATGGCTTGTTTATTAATAAGTATACAAAGAGATTATTAAAAATACCGTAATATGTTAAATCAGCTGCTGTTTGTAAATCCATACGTCTTTCTGCATCTACTGCTTTAGCTTTTAATTCATCTAGCTTTTTCTTTGCTTTCTGAATATCATTGACCCTTTGTTTTTCTATTTGAAACTAAAAAAGTTTAAAATACACTTATCTATCAGTTAGAAAAAATACTCTTTCTCTTAAAGGCATTAATTTTTCCTCTACATTTTCCATTTCAAGACGTGCTTTTGCTAAACGTTCTTTCGATAAATTATCTTTTTCTCTTTCTAAAGCATGGATTTCAACTTGAAGTTGTCTTAATTGACGTTCAAGACTAAATCTTATAAGTATAAATTAGATTTTTTATCGGAAAAAAAAACCTATCTAATTCTTCTGGTGCACTATCTCTTGCAACACGAACTGATGCCGCTGCTTCATCAACAAGATCAATCTAAAACTTAGCTATAAGACGACATATAAATATATTTTATACCGCGCTATCAGGTAATCTTCTATTAGTAAGATATCGAGAAGCAAGAGTCGCTGCAGAAACAAGGCTAGAATCAAGAATTGTTACGCCATGATGAACCTCATACTACTATTTTAATAATGTAATATATATATATATGGTTTAATTTCTAAACCTTTTCTTTAATTCCCCTCAAAATTGAAATACATTCAGGAACAGATGGTTCTTTAACCTAACTTGTAAGCCTTTTTTCAAAAAAAGAAAGAGGAAAATAATACTAATATTTGTTGGAACCTTCTTTCAAAAGCAGCATCTTTTTCTATATACTTGGAATATTAGAAAAATAAGGTAAAAAAAAAAGAAAATACATACTTTACGATATTCCCCTAATGTTGTAGCTCCAATACAATGAAGCTTTCCTCTAGCAAGCATTGGCTATTTTTATTAATATAAAAAATTCATATCTGATACTATTTACTTTAAGAAGATTTGCCGCATCCATTCCTCCTTCTCCTGTATTTCCAGCACCCATAAGTAAATGAATCTCATCTACAAACCTAACACTTTATTCAGAAAAAATATATCGTCAAATTTCAATACAATATAATTGTTTCTTGAGAATCTTCAATTTCCTTCAATACTGATTTAATTCTTTCCTCAAATTCACCACGAAATTTACTTCCAGCTACTAATGCACCCACATCAAGACTAAGCAATCTACATTCTAAAAGATTAGACGGAACATCTGCATTTATAATCCTCTATTAATCTATAAATAAATATTTCATCATTCTAACTAACTTTTTCACCTGGGCAAGTCCTTCAATTACACTAGTTTTACCAACTCCTGGATCTCCTATCAAAACTGGATTGTTTTTCGTCCTAAAATATTCATCATCCTACATTTTATTTTCATCATTAAAATCACCTCCTCGATAACACTCGTATCGTACGACGTATCTCATCTTCCCGTCCAATCACCGGATCAAGTGACCCATTTCTCGCTTGTTCCGTCAAATCAATCGTATATTTAGACAATGAATCATAGCCTAACTCCGCTGACTTCGATTCTACATGTCTATTCCCTCTTATTTTTCTAATTGCCTCATCTAACTGTTGATGCGTTACTCCCGCCTCTTCTAACACTTTTTTAATAGATGGATCTTCTGCTAATGCCATAATCAAATGATCCTGTGACATATATGCGTCTCTTTGCTGCTTTTGCAGCTCATGCGCCGCCTTTAATACTTTCATAGTTTGTGCTGATAATATCACATTTTCCGGCGGATTTTCTTGCGTCGGAACACGGACAAACATTCTAAGCACTTCCCTCTCAAATCTAACTATATCTCCTCCCGATTTCTCTACTGCTAAACGCAATATCTGCGGATTTTCTTCTTTCAATAAAACTGACACAATATGTACTCAATTCCTATGTTCAGTAACCCTTTTTTTCCGGAAAAAAAACACAATACCCGGTAAAATCTGAATATGACCGCTTCCCTGTGCCAGAGAATAGCTTTCTGCCATGGTTTTCTCTGTTTTCTCTGTAAATTGATAATTCATCTTTTCTTGACGTTCTCTCGTTGGCTTGGCAACGTCTCACGGACGCCTCTCCGTCCTCCTTACGTACTTTATATTTCGCCTGTCAGCGCCGTGTTCGACATATTAATGGGTATAATTGACGGGGAATTATAAGGTGTTTTGGAAAAGAGGAATTATACAGGAATTTATAAAGAAAAATATAGAGAAAATATAAAGGAATTGCTATAGGGAAAAGAGAGTATAATATGTCAGAGGAGGTATATGATGTTTTTTGTGGGGAAATGATGGATGAAGAGACGTTTTCTAAGTCAGAAAGGGAGATTGAGAGATTAATGTTTAGACGACAAATGTTTTTGAAGTTAATTAATCAAGTTATTGATATTAGAGATGATTTGCTTTATTCATGTCACGGACAGAATAATAAAGAATTATCGGAGACGGTTAATAGATTAAAAGAAGTGTTAAAATTGATTGGAGAGCTTAAGATAGAGAGAATGTTTGATTCATCGGAATCTATTATTGTATCAGGGATTTATCATTTATCTATTCAGATAGCATATTTGTCAGATTTATGTCGAAATGTATTTTCAGAGATATCATTAGCATCGCAAAGATATCAGTGTGATTTAGTTTCAAGTATTTCTAAAACGAACAAACTTCCATTATCGACGATTTCGAATAGTTCAGGGCCGAAACATGGTTCACATCATCCAGAAAATAGGACGAGATTGTTGAAAGATTGGTTTCTTGAGCATATTTCTTATCCATATCCTAATAAGGATGAAAAACGCTTACTTTGTCGTCTTACGGGGCTGAAAATAAATCAACTTAATATGTGGTTCATTAATGCACGAAGAAGGTCTAATGGTGGATTAAAATTTAAAGAGCAAGTCGTTTCCGATAATTTAGTTCCATTGGTATTCGCTAATTCTGAATAATTTTCATTTCATATTTGACAGCATTTCATTACTAAATATCACAAAAAAAAAGAGTTCTGGATTTTTTTCATATAATTAATATTTGAACATGTTTGATTTTTTGATTTATAGTTTCATTTTAACATTTAGAAAGTATATAAATCGTTTTGTCTCTTTTGTTTTTAAATATATACATAAAATATCACAATTTAACTTGAAAATTCTTTTTAAAAAGATAATTAATTATATTATATTCCAATTGAGCCATCTCCTTCGATTGCTCATATATATTACCCTTTTTTTTCATTTTAAAAACATATTATCAAATTTAACTAGAAAAAAAAACAAAATAACCCTTTATATTACATAATATATCTTCTATATCTTCTTTGTCTTCTTCTATTTTTTCACTATATTTGCTATTTATTGGTATTCATATTAAATTATCGATACTCCATTTATTCTCGTATTAACAACCTTTTTAATATAAAATTCCTTATGTTTCAAGATTAATGGCCTTTCCAAATTTCTTATAAAGATCTGATTTTAATTCCTCCATAGAACAATCTAATTCTGATATTTCCTTCTCTAATTCTTCCACATTTTTATCCACTTCACTTAAATTCTTCTCCAATCTCTCCTCTACCTCTTCCATCGGTAACATAACAAATGCATCTCCTATTTTATAACTTGTATATTATCAGATACTTCATATCTTTATATTATTCCTCCCTACAAAAAACTCCCTCCATCCATTAATTCAAGTTCCTCCGTTATATCCTCAATACTCTCTTTTTCAAGCTTTTATTTCCTACTTAAATAACTCCACTTTTACCCATAATTACATACTTTTTTCTCCTTTAAATACCCTTTTCTATACTGTAAACGCTGGTTTAACTTGCTAAACGTATTGATTTTGCACTGATCTTCCCAATTAACCTCTGCATCTGTCTCGTCCGCCCTGTCAAGCTTAAAAGTAAGAATTTCTTAAGAAATTAACCTTTCTTACCATCCGATTCATCATTTTTAATTCAATTTCTTAACTTTTTTAATAATTTCTTAACCTTTGATTAAAAAATTTCTACGATTTTTAATAAAAGTTAAGAAAGAGGTTAAGAAATTAAGCAAAATGTTAAGATAAAGTGTTAAGAATGGGACCAGTTCTTAAGACAAGACTAGAAAAGGATAATAAAAGGTTTAACGCATATTTTAAAGTGAGAAAAAAGAGTAAAGAGCAGCCGGCAGATGAAAATGTTTTATTAAAGATTAATCTGGATATATTTAATGAGTTTAGGTTGATGGTTTGCTTAAGAACGCGGTTGGAGGAGTTGTTGCTAAGATCATATCAACGGTTAATTGGACTTATATGTCTATCTTTGGTAAAACGGGGTCGGAAGAATGGGAAAGAGATAAAGAAGAATTTGAAGGAAATGAATCGGGAGATAAGAGGGTTACGGGGGAAGAACGTATGTTATGTGAGTCACGGACGCCATATTTGCTTGGATATACGCCGTATGGATCGAAAAAACGAGAAAAAAAGAAGAATATTAATATATATATAGACATACAGTACGTGTGCAACATTTTAGGGAAAAAGAGGGTCAAAAAGGATATAAAAACGAAGGGTATATAGAGGATATTGTATTAGAAGGGTTTATTAATGAACCCAGTGTATCAAATGAATTTTTTGTAAATAGACAGGGACAATTTGGATCAAATAATTTTGGAGAGGATAGAAGGGAATTTGAAAAAACACAAAGCTCTGGTTATGTTAAGAAAGAAGGAGTTTTAGAATCGTATTTAGGATATGGATCAGAAAAAAATTTATCAAATGTTAAAAATACTAAAATTTCTCCATGTCATTTGGTATATATGATATATTAAGTTTAACAAATTGATATAAATAGTATTCTGAAACAAGAAATTTTAAAAAACAGCAGAAAAAGAATGTTTTAAATAATTATTTGACATTTGATTGTGTTCAATTGCCAAAAAATTCATCTACAGGAATTCTTACAGCATGGCGTGAAATTTGTCGGCAGGAAATATTATTAAAAAACAATATGACAGAACAGCAACTTCATAAAAGTAAATTGATGTATATGAATCAAGAGATGCCAGTAAGAAATTTAAATACTAATGTACAAACAAGAACGTTTGGTACGGAATTTGATAATATGGCATTTAATTGTATCAAAAAAGAAAGGAAGTTAATTCAAATACCAGAAAGAAGGAAAAATCATTATAATAGATTTAACAATGCAAAGCATAATTCAGTGTGCAGTATAAATAATTTTAAAACAAATAATATTGAAGATTTAAGAACATCGGTAATATATTTTTTTTAGAAAATACATTATTCTAAATTAGTTTAAAAGGAAAATATAAAACAAAGAAAGACGTCCGAAAATTGTGAAATTCCGAGTTATAGTGATATACAAAAAACAGAAATAAGCCATAGACGAAGTAAATCATATAGTCTTTTATTGTCAAATAGTAAAAAGAATTTATTGCAAAAAGAGAAATCGGATGGTCAATCAGTTAATGTCACGGCAAAACATCAAAAAGTTCAAGCTATAGAAGATAAGTCAATTTCATACCACAATGCTCAAAAAAATAATGATTCTGAAAATATCAAGAATAAAAGTAATTTAGAATCAAATAAGAATCCTAATTTATCTTTATGTGAATCTAATTCTCAAAACCATTCTTTTTTTGTAAATAATCAGGTTAAACGGAAGAGACCTGGCTATTTTTCAGCATTAGAAGAGGATTTAGAAGAGATGTTTGGTCCTTATAATGACATAGATGATACCACAATATTATTTAAAAAGAGGAAAAATAAAGATGAAACAAATCAAGTAGATTATAAAGAATCTGTGTGCGATTCACAAAAACGTAATTCAGACTATCAACAACCATATTTTCGTCCACGAGTACCACTTTTGAAAAAACATGTTAGTGTCGATACAACTGAATCGCAGTGCTCAAGCATAGATGATTCGGAAAAATCAATTTCATCAGAATCATCTTTAAAAATTAAACAAACATCTTCTAATAAACATAATATTGGTGATTCTAAATTGAGTTCAGAACAAAAAAATTCTAATTTTGTATTTCCTATTGAAAAAAATAATGATGATGAATCCAAAATACAGCGATTTAATACAAATGCTACATGCATGACATTAAAAAAGGATGGATTAGATCAGCAGAAAGATTCAGGGTCTGATAATTTTACAATTTCAAAAGAGCAAGATCCTAATACTATAAAATCTCAACATAGCTCAGATCATACAAATAATATTTCATTTTTGTCTAATATTGATAAAGAGAATCATACTGTTGAGAAGAAAATAGAGAAATCTATTTTTAACTCAAATCAGCAATTTTCTTTTGATATAAATGTACAAAAAAATCATGATTCTTCAAATAACGAAAAGGCGGAGATAAAAACTATTACACCTATTCAATTCTCTGGTGTTAAAGAAATTGACACAAAATCACAAAATACAACATTTTCTGGTCCAGAATTAGGGGGTTTTACATCTAATTCTAATAAAGCAACAGATGTTTCGAAAATTAATAATGAAAAGGAAAGTGCTTGTCCAGAGAAATCACTACCTGTTTTTTCTGTAAATATGAATGAATTCCAGACGTCTCAAGACGCTACAAAAAATCGAATTTCAGCTTTTAAACCGGCAGATACGATTATGGAAATGGATTCTTCTCCTGAAAAAAAGGAAGTGAAATTTCAATCTCAAACTCCTACACTTAATTTTGCAATGCCTATTTCAGATACAAAGAATATCTTCAAATTTCAGAAAAATGAATCAAATTCATCAAATCAAAAAGATATACCTAAAGTCCAAGAACCTTTAAAATTAGATGATAATAGGAATACTTTAAAATTAGATGATAATGGGAATACTTTAAAACACAAAGAAATATCTGGCAATTTTCCTATATTAGAAAATACAAAAACAGACACAAATTCTTCGCAAATTCCTTTAGTAAAACCATCAATCTCTTCTCCTCAAAATGTTGAACAGAAAACTTTACCACAATTTCATGATAATAATACAAAAGTATTATTAGAACCATCTTTCTCGATAAGTAAACCTGTGGAATTTTCAACTTCTCAAAATACAAATTTGTTTAATTCGACTGAAAATAAACCTCAGACTCTTGCTCCTTTCTCTTTTTTTGGATCATTGAATAGTTTTTCTTCACAAGAAAAACAAACTACTCAAGTAAATACAACTAATGAAGAACAGAAAAATGTTCCCTCTAATGATAAACCTGAATTTAATTTTACTCAATTAAATCAGCCAAAGTCAACAAATTCAGAATTAAATCAGACTTCAACTACATCTTTCTCACTTGAACAAAATAAACAGCCTGCACTTTCTACTTTTTCTATGGCACCAACTCCTGTTTTCTCTTTTGGATCATTAGATCAACCAAAAAAAGAGTTTTCGTTTGATCAATCTGCACCAAATACATTCTTTTTTCAAAATACACCAAATAATTCTTCTGTTTTTCAATTCAAAGGAGATAAAGACAAAACAGCTACTCATGAATTTACATTTAATTTAAATAATACTTCTTCCTCTACTTCATCTACTCCATCAGCACCTTTTATATTTGGCAGCTCGACGACTGGATCTTCGAATCTTCAAACAGTTCCATCCTTTAATTTTGGGGCAAATAATTACACATCAGGAAACTTTTCTCAGTTTCAACCTGGTCAACAACAAACACAAACACAAACAACAAATATGAATTTTTCATTTAATCAATTTCAAAACACAATGTCACAAGATTCAAATGCAACTGTCTCAAATCCTTTTGTATTTACCTTTGGGACGCCACAAAGTTCTGTACCTGGCAGAAAAATAGCTGCACCCAAAAGTAGGCTTCGGAGAAGATAATATTATAAATATATTATATATATATTATGAATCATACATCAACTATATACTGCAACATATGAAAACAAAAATCAATTAACAATAAAGAAATACGATTTAAACTATTCATTGGTCTTTTTTCATTATGGCTTTTATTATTTCAACGACTTTTTTATGCAATGTTATCTTACTTTATGCACATCGTCATTGATAAATTAAATAAATATTTGGTCATTAATTTAAGAAAAAAAAGAAGCACAATCTTTATATAATATTTACATCTATTTCTATATGGTTTTCAAGGAAATATTATTTCAACTCAATACTCTCAGTATTACTTTATTTCTTTCTATTATCTTAATGCACATATATCAATATCAGTTTTTTACCAAATTAGGTGGCTGGAAACTACTATATTTCCGGGAATAACAAAATCTTTATGCATCAATGCCTTCTGTCACCCTTTTTAACCGCAGTTGATCTCTCTCTTTATTCTGATCTCTTCTATATTGTTTTGCGTCTCTGCCTTCTATTAAGTCTATCAAATGGACGTTATTTCAGAAACCAAGTGCTCGATTCCTGGTTGCATTGTATCTCTCTTGACTTTTATTCTTCCTAGCTCTTTTTCTATCTCTCATAAAAGCGAAAGTGCTGTAAAAACAGTGGGGTAAGAATTTTATAAACCACTCACTTGACTGATTTTATAAAGTGAAACAATAAATGAAGTTGCAGAACAACTTCCTGGAATTGTTTCTGGGCTTACGTCATGTTTAAGTCTTCATGCACAAGGCAACCTCGATCCAGATTCCGGTAATGAATCATCAGGTAGTAGTACTCAAGAAAATTCTCAAGGTAAGTTCTATATTATTTTTGTTATTATATATATATATATATTTAGGCTCTTCAGACGCAAACAATAATGAAGGGGTTCAAGAAAGCACGCCGAAACCTAAGTATGTGAACTAATATTTTGCAATTGATCTAATAATTATGAAGTAACCGTAAACTTTTTCAAGGCTGTGTAGTAATGTAACGTTGTTACAAACGGCAAATATTATAATAAATGATATTGATGTGTTCATGGGCTGGCGAAAATGTTTATCTTTTAGCCGTAAAAACTTTACATAATAATTAAACGCATGGGTTGCAAAATTATTCTCTTAGGTTATTATTATTATTTTATTGAAAAAGAAAAAAACTTCCTGTAAATTAAGTAAATCAATAGGTTGAATTAATGTTACAAATAGTTGCCTTCAAATTTATATCAATACTTGTTTGTTTTTAAATATTATATTACACTCATTCCTTGAGAGTTCAAATAAATAAACCATTAGGGCTATAATAGCCATATGAAGTTGTTGCAATGCAAATATCGCTTAGGTAAAAATATATGATAAGCCGGTACCTAATTCATTAGGTAAAGTATTTTTTCGTTAATAAAATGTAATGCAAACACATTCCATTTTCTGTCTTAACTATTAAATTACTCTTTGAATGATAGGGGGTTTTCTCGACTATTTTAATTAATTGCATCACTGTCGCTACTGCTATCGCTTGTGCTATTATGATAATCATTATCTGTATCATATTCATCAAAACTACTTTCATAAGAACTATCTGTAGAGCTCTTTTTAGCCGCCTCCTCTTGTAATACATGATTTTTTTTTATATCTTTATGTAAATTTTTCAATTTCTTTTTTTGAGATATATTATTTATAACTGTAGAGTTTTTTGATGTAGTGTTTTCATCTACTCTAAATTCAACGCTCTTTCTGAAATCTGTTCCAATATATGTATCTGATTTTACTTGAATTTGGAATGTATAAAGACCAGTCTGAGATGGAGCTTGAAAAGATATTTGAAAAGTACGAATACTTTTACCAATATCTGTTATAGAAATAGGAGGTACAACAATTCGATCGTGTTTAATATCTATCAAAAAAACCCACCATTTTGGTTTATGTTCCTGGAAATATTAAAAATAAAAAAATAAAATTAATGCAAATACTTTGGGATAGAACGGAAGATGTGCATATGAAACAACTGAATCTTCGACATTTTTCTTTTTTTTATACTCTAATAGTGGATCTAATTCATTCTCATTGTCCGGCTTATTTTCAAATTCAGATTCAATAGCCTTAGCGTCATCTCCTAGAAAAATACATCTAGCTCTAAAAGTGAATTGAACAATAGAATCCGGAGAAATAATATCACTCTCAGTAACTATTTCTATTATTATTAAATCAAAAAAAAAGACTCTTATACCTTTAAAAGATGAATCAACAATATCAAGAATAGGAATTTTAGATGCAACATCCATAATTAGAGAATATTCTTTGTCAGTATATGATGATAACAAACTTCTCCTTTTCTCTTCTGGAATTTTCATGAATTGTTGAAGAGTTATAGGATACCCGATTTTTTCAAGTATTCCTTTAGCAATTTTTTTTGATATATAAGGAAGCTGTAATAATGGAGACCCACTAGAAGGAATGCCTTGAATGATGTTTTGTGACAATTCCATAATATAAATTATTGGCTGCAAAAAGCCATAAATCAAAGAGATAGATAATAATCCTGCATGAAGTGCCAGTATTGACTCAAGTAAAGAAACTTGTTCTTAAAAATTAATATACATATATTATATATTAGTCTTATTTATCTAACCTTTTTTCAGTTTAAGAGACTGAAGATTAATACGGTGAAAATGAGCATAAAGTAATAAATAAGTTTTTCGATAAGATAAATCTTTTTGTTTATGTAACAAATATTTGCTGTCTTTCTGTAATATCTTTTGTTCAATAGCTTTAAGTTCATCTTCAAATCCAGTTAAAAATTTATATTCTTGACTTTGAGAAATTAATAACTCTGCTTTTCCTGGTACCATGATTTCTTCAACTCCTTTGAAAAATCTTTCTGCACTTTTAGTATGAATCCCTTCCTTAGTGTACAATTTATTCCCATACCACCATTTTCCCTAACAACTTTAGCATGCTATCTGACAATCTGTATTTATATACAACAAAGTATGGAAGAGCGAAGCCAAATGCAATTGCATATGCACCTAAAACATAATAATTATTTTTAGTTTCAACAATCCATTTTGGAAGCGCTATCCCAATTGAAAAATCCTGTTTACCATCTGGATGTCCATATTCAATATAATTTCTCCTAACATCATCGTCTGTTAAACTAACATTATAATAAGTAACTCAAATCATTTAACTAGCACTACGAACGCTTTATACGCTTTAGTTATTTCAATATATAATGATTCAACTGATTCACGAGTTTGTGTTTTATTCAAAATAACTTTATCCGGATGTCTATATTTTTCTATATTAGTATCATTCAAAATAAAAAATATATTACAATTTTAATGATAGCTTCTTATACTGTTTTCTTATCTCTTTTTCAGTAGCAGACTAAAAGAAATTAGCCTTATAATCTAAGTTAATCCAATTTACCATAGATATCCCTAAAATCTCATATGGATCCCAAATTTTATGTTCAACTTTAATTAATAATATTTTATAAATAATATAACCAACAAGACACCATCCTGCTAATATAAAGACAACTCTAAACCATTAATATAATAATAATAACTGTTACAATCTCACTTTTTTGATATTCTTGGCTTCAAAATGGTTCTTTTTCTATATTCACGCAAAATTTTGTTTTTTTCTTTGCAGAAATCACATAAACAACAATATTTCTTGTCCTTCTTGTCTAAATATAATAAATCCGTGCCTTATAAAGCTCATAATTTCTTAAACTAACATTCAACATATAAAAATGAAATTGTAATAGGAATTAAAATAATAATTAAGAAAGTAAGAACAACAAATGGGAAGAAATGTCCCTAAAAAATTAATATTAGTCATGTTTTATACATATTTATTAATAAAACCTCTTCGTCATAGTTATATTGAGACATTATAGCTGTTAAGAATATTGTCGAAGACCTGAAATTTTTATATGTAGACTAAATATTAAATAGAATATATTAATAAAATATTAGTAAATATTGATAATAAATAAAGAAATAGATAGCCTTAGTTTTTCTTTTTGTCCAAAGATTTCTTTTTTTTTTTTAATAAAAGTGGATCAACTCTGTCTATGTTTGCGTCAGGTAGAATCCAACATAAAATAACAAGTAATAAATAGTCAATGGCAACTAGAAAGCAAAAAAGCTTTCCAGCCCACATACCGCAACCGTAATATTTTTTTAATCTATCAATTAAAGGATGAACATCAGTTGAACATATACAATCGTAGACACGTTCAGTTCTTTCAGCAACATCAGTCCAAGAATACATTGTTTTAATTTCGTTATGAAAAGTATCAGTGCGAATTCGTTTTTCTTTTAATGCATCGATTGCTCTAGAAGTTGCAGAAACAAGATCTGTATAAATAGGGTTAAAATATAAATATAATATAAGATTAAATTAAACCATCTTCTTCTGGTTCAGAAAAAATTGTCATATGTGGGGGTAAAACTTCAGGAACACCGCCAACACGTGTACAAACAACATAAAGACCACAACTTGCTGCTTCTACTAATACTGTTCCAAATGCTTCAGTAAGACTAGGATGAAGATAGATATGTCCTCGAACCATAACCTATAAAATTAATATTGAAAGAAAACGAATATTTAAATATTGTTACATCTCGAACATCTTCATGACGAATTGAGCCAAGCATTTCCACTCTATCTTGAAGCATATATTTTTCCCTCATCTGTTCTATATCTATTGCTTTTGGTCCTGATCCTGCAATAATAAATTTAACATCTGAATATAATGAACAAATTCTAGGAATTGTAGCAATTAAAAGATCGACTCCCTTATTATAAAATAGTCTTGAAACAACAACAATAGTTACTAATATAAATTATTTAAAAATATCATTATTTAATCCAAACTACTTGTATCTTGAGATGCTTTATTAGGATCTGGTGAAAAATTTTCCGCCACTATAGCATTAGGTATCACACTGACCATATGAGGATCCAATGCTGCCCTAAGCACTGTATTTTCCTTACTATACTAATCACTTTTTTGTTACATATTTATAACATTCTATACCATGTATGCGAAACACATATTACATGATCAATATCACTTAGAGTAAACTTAAGAAGCTTATTAGTAAAAATAGAAACTGCATCTGCGAATCCAAATAACGAATGATCTGTAAAACATGTCCTAATACCCATTGTTCTTGCATGTAAAATCGCTTCATGACAAAATGAAGATAAAGATGCATGTCCATGAATAACATCAATCTCCTCACGTATAACAATGTTCCTAAATAACGGAAAAAACGAATATATCAACGGAAACGTCGATTCTCTCTTCATATATATTAATCTTCTTTTTTCTTCTTATATATAATATTATACATAAATAACAAAGAAAGGCACATAATACACCTTTACTCCGTTTCCTGAATATCGTATTCCCATTCTATCATTGTACGCATGTGTAATAATAATCACTTTATGCCCTCGATCAAGTAATTTCCTATAAATCTTTACTTTTTTAACAAAAAAATCATTCAAACACACTGTGAAAGCTGGTAAATATGTGATTCAATCCCTCCTGGCTGCGGGAAAAAGAAATCTGACACCATTCTTGACTTATTAGTTCTTTAATCTTAATTCTTAACAACTTACGCAATATTATAAGGCATCTTAAAAATTCTTAAGAAAATACTGTTTATTCTTAAGATAATCTTTGATTCATTAAGAAGGTTTCTTAAGTATTCTTAAGAAAAACTTGGATTTTCTTAAGAGGTTAAGTAAATTGGTTAAGAAATTATCGATGGAGAAGCTTTAGACGTCAAAAAAAAGGTAAGATATAGAAGAAATGAAAAATAAGGAGGAATACGGGTTTAAACAAGAGGAAAACAGTATATTAAATGGTGTAAACGTAGGGAATAAGAGGGGGCTCGAAAAAACCCGAAAAAACGAGGAGGTTTGGAGCTATTTCTAGGGAAATATGTATGTATGATGAATGATCAGAGAGAAAGGAAGAGAAAGAAGGTTAAACGTTGTGAAAAGGAGTATTATGAGAGTTTCGAGCCTATATTTGATGAATTGAATGAAAAATCTGGGGAAAAAAGGAGGGAAAATGGTGGAGATAGAGCAAAAACTAAGGAAATATTTGATGATGAAATTGACGAGGAAATTGAAAAGGATTATGGGGAAAAAAAGGAAGATAATTCGGATCTAGAATGTTATCTAGATTTTTTGCCTAAATGGGTTTCTTATCCGAGAAAAATTGGGCCAGATTTAAGAATATCTGTTGAAGAAGAATCAATACATTTAGATAAAGAGTTTAAGGAACGATTGCGATGCAGAAACTATATAGAGTTATTTCCGGTGCAAGTGGTGATGCTTGAAATAATGTTGAATGATCCATGTGGTGTTAAAGGAGATTTTTTTATTAGTGCGGTTACAGGAAGTGGAAAAACTCTTGCATATACGATTCCTGTTGTACAAGTTTTTTTTTTCTTAGTTTTATGATAAGAACTTAGGAAAATAGATGCTTTCGAAAAGGAAAATAGTGCGTTTACGATGTATTGTAATAGTTCCTACGAAAGAATTAGTTTATCAAGTTAGAGAATGCTTTGAATATTGTATAGGTGGAAGTGGATTAAAGGTATTTAAATGTATTTATGATATGTGAATTAATGAGAAGAAGATTGGGATAAGTACGGGACAAAGATCGTTTATGAATGAACAATCTAAACTTGTTGGAGATTTAGATCATTGGTATATTATTTATATGTATAAATTGTATATTAGATTAAATTGAATAGTTTTTCAGGGGGACAAAGTTTAGTTGATATTCTGATATGTACACCAGGAAGACTTGTGGATCATATTCAACATACTCGTAATTTTTCATTACAGCATTTAAAATATTTAATTATTGATGAGGCGGATCGTCTACTTAGTCAAAAATTTCAAAATTGGATTGAAATTCTTATGAATGAAATTGAATTATCCAAGTCTTATAAAGATTCTCATTATAAAACTGTAGAGTATATTACAATGTTTATTTAATGCCAATAATAATATTTATTACTATAGAGATCTTCCAGATGCAGTTAATGATTCTCTTAAATTAATATTTAAAGATGATATTTCTATGGAAAAAAAGCGTTGTAGTCTTCAAAAGTTTATTTTTTCTGCGACATTAACATGTAATCCTGAAAAGATAGCGAGTTTACGGTTACGAAACCCTCAGTTGATTCTTATTCAAGACTCAAAGTCTAATTTAGATCAACATTTTTTTAAAACGAAAACATTTTTGCAAAATAATGATATATCAGCATTTTTTGTTCCTCCGACTTTAACAGTAAGTAAAAGAATAAGTATTGTATAAATTAAAATGTTTTAGGAATATGTCATTTTAGTAGAATCTAATGCTAAACCATTATATTTATATCATTTAATAAAATCACGAGAAATGGAAGGAGTGTTATGTTTTACTAAATCTAATGAGTCTGCTTCACGGCTTTGTATATTATTGAATTTAATTCATCAAAATCTTACATCTGAGTCATTGGATTCAATTTCAGGTAATAATATTATTAAAAGATATAATTAATTTAAATTCAGATAAATTGGATTCTGAATTTATATCTAAATCATTTGATTCAGTTGAATTATTTGGATTATTTACAAGCGAAGTTCCAAAAAAACAAAGAAATATAGCTTTAGAAAGATTTAAAAATGGGGATACAAAAATGTAAGATTTAAAATATTTAAGATAAAATAGATCTGATTATTTACTAGATTTATATGTTCTGATCTTATTGCAAGAGGAATTGACCTGCCGCAAGTTTTTCATGTTATTAATTATGACATCCCTCAAACATCAAGACAATATATTCATCGTATTGGTCGTACAGCTAGAGCAGGAAAAACGGGAGAAGCGTGGACATTATATCAAGAATTTGAATCTAAAAAGATTCATAAGATACTAAAAAATGTTGGTCGTAAAACTGAAGTCATATATGAGAAAATGTCAGAGACTATCTTTACTAATGAATATACAATGGCTTACAAGTTAGCTTTAAAAAAATTAAAAAAATGCATTAAAGGAAATGATTAGTTGATTAAATAAATTTTAAAATCTGTAGTTAATAAAAAAAGGTGAATTCATTTAAAACTTATTAATTATAATTAATGTGGTTATTTTTAGGGATAATATATTATGAGAATAATGTTTTATTTATATGACATTTAAATATATAAATGATTTATAATTCATTTAACCATTTATTGGATATAAATACGAATTTTTCTTATTTATCTTTTAGGCGTTTGAAAAAAGGATATTTTTAATTAATGTTCTACTTTGAACTATCGATTTTATTTTAAAATTAGTGACTAAAATGATTTTTGATTTATAACTTTTTGATCTTTGGTATTCTAAAGAAACGAATATTGTGTTATTGAAGTTAAGAAATATATCTCTTAAATTAAGGTTATGCAGTAGTTTTTTATTAGTATGGGCAAATTATTGGGCAACATTTAATATTATTTTGTTTTAAAAGAAAAAAACGAATCTTTGTTTGGTCTATGTTTGAAATCTGATCGAATAAATCTATGTTTATACATATACTAATAAGGGAATTTGAATCTGAATTTTCTTTTGTTTTAACAAAAATAATACATCTTTGCATGGTAATAATAATTATATAATTCTTACTTGGCTACTCAATGCATATTTATACTAGAAAAAGTGCTATTTTGGATATTTTCTGTTTTGTTAAATTGAAAATATTATTAAATTTATATTTTGAAATAGATACATATACATAATATTAGTATGATAAACTGATAATACTAATAAGTACTATTATTCAATATTAACTATTTTATTTCTTCAATTATTACTTTTTTTGAAATAACTGTCAATGTTATAGACATTAAACATACTCAATAAAAAGTGAAATTTCATCTCTATAAAGACTATTTCTATGTTTTTAGATAATTTATTATATATTTGATCATTAAAATAATTTTTAAATACATAAAATATAAATAACTAGATTCATATAAATTAACACTGATCATTGGTAAAAATTATTAAGCACTTCTTTTTAATTAAATTTTAACTAGTATGTATCTTTACAATGATAATTATTAAAGTTAATCAATATTTAAAATTTAAAGATATTTTCACATTAAAAATAATGAAAAAATATTCAGAATTGTACTTTATTAAGTCTTAAATGTTTTTTTATTTTACATATTTTTTTATATCATTTTTTGATTTTTCTTAAAATCTTTAAAGATATAATATTTTCATTTTCATTATATTAATTATCAAAACTTTTAAAATTTTTGCTTTTTATCTAGAAACTATCAATATGCCAATTTTATCATTAGCTGTTATAACTAAATTAACATATATACTTTTAATTAATATTAATATACATAATTGTACAATTCTTTTTTAATTATTTTATTAAAGAAATGAGAAAATATTATTATTTATTTAAAAGATTTCTTAATTTTTATGTTATTGTATTTTTATGTTATTGTAACAAGTATGTTTTTTAAAATATTTAAGTTTTCATGACTATATATGAATTTAAACCATATGATATTAGAAGAATTGTGGAACATATTATAACTTTAAAATATTGGGCCTATCTAGATTACAATTTTTAGTCGCAATTTATTGTCTATATTTATATAGTATTATGTTATTTTTGTATTACAGAAATATATACCATAAGCCATCATTGATACATAAAAAATACTAGAAATTATCAAGATCACATTAATATATTTTTAAAAAAAGGATTAATACTATAAAGAAAAAAAAAGGTTAAATAGAAATAGTTACGAAAAAATGTCCATATGACTTAGTATTTATTAATAAATGAAATATCTAATGTTAATATGATCTTAAATATTTGTCAAAAATGATTATATGTATTAAACGGATAATATGATTTGACTGTTTATTAAAAAGTTAAAAATAAGATTAGATTGTGTATATGAATGAATTTACCCTTATTATAAATTTTTTGTTTTTGGAAACCTTGAATATTTAGAATTTCTTGTTAAATTAGAAATCTGATGATACTTACTTTGCTGTATATACGGCGTCGATAAGAAAACTTGCACTAATTGTCCTTCCACCGAACCATCGACCATTTAATCCTTGAATAGCTCTTTCTCCTGCAACTACATTGTCGAATTTTATATAAACTTCACCCGGACTATTTTCCTCGACATGTATATGTAGAACTTTGCCATATTTGTTTTCACATTCAGCTTTTACGTCATCTTCAAGTTCACGAACCCAGTTATCCCCACTTTCTCTGAAAAAAAATTAGATATAGATTTTAAAACAAATATATACTCTTGTGGATTAAACATATTTTTAAGAAGAACACATCGACTAGTCATTTGAACACTTGGAACCGGTTTAGGTGGTATTACTCCAATAGATTCTTTTCCTTCTTCTCTTGCAAGTTTTTTCATTAAAGCATCTCGTGAAATGTTATTAAAAGAAACACCTCCTGCTTCATTATCATCCAAACTAATACTACTAGAACCATCTCTAGGGCCTCCAATACGTTCTGTACCACCTCGACTTTTATTTTCAAATGCTGACCCTGTAAATCCTGAAAAACGTGCTAAAACTGATGACGTTTCTGGGATAAATTTATCATTTCCAAGACCTACACGAATAGCACGCCCTGCTAACTCAAATCCATTCATTTTTTCTAATGCATCTCTAGCTTGTGCCGGATCTCTATATCTTTATATAAATCATTAATTCAATATATATACAATACATTCTTCAATAAAACATACTGGACAAATCCATATCCTCGACTTCTTCCTGTATCATGTTCTTTTTGCAATTGAACAAATTCAAGCTCTCCAAATGGCTCAAAAATTTGTCTCAAATCATCTTCTGTTAAATTAAAATGGATATTTCCTACATAAAGTCGATGAAATGGTGCATCACCCTGACGTCCTCCTGTACTTCTAAAAAATTATTAATACATATAAATACACTTAATTTCTCTAACATCATCGCATCTGCTTTTGCTTGTCTGTTTTTTTCTGCTTCTGTAAGTTGCACTATAATAGGAATACCCAAAAGTCTCTGTCCCGTCATATTAATCGCTTTATGAACCGATTCTTCCTCTCGAAACTCCACATAACCAACTCTATATATTACTTAAATATTTCTTCTATCATATATATATATATAAATATAAATAAATATATATATATATATTACTATACCCTTTAGATCTTCCACTCACTCGATCTTTAACTACTTGTGCATCTCGCACCGGCCCTACTTTTTCAAAAAATGCTATTAACTCTCGAGTACGTAATCTTGCCGCTAATTGTTGTACAAATACTGTTCTTCTATCCCTTTCATCCTCTGTTAATTTCGGCGACTCTTCCCTACTCATCCTTGTTTAAAAATGTATAAAAAAATGATTTTTAAAAATAAAAATCATTCTTAAAAACTACCTAACACTTTGTCGGCTCTTTTTAGATTCTCTTGATCGACTTCTTTGATATCCTTTACATTCTTCCTCGTCGTCACGTGACCTCCTCTGTTTACCTCCTTCTCTATTATATTCATAATCTTTATATCTATGTTCATCATAGTCATCTCTTCTATTTCTTCTACTTTTTTCTCTACTATTTGATCTATTACGACCTCTTGATCTGGATCTTTTTCTTTTTCTAATTTATATTAATATTTATTTTATTTATTTAATATTTATTTATTATTTATATTAATATTTATTATTTATATTAATATTTATTTTACCCTTCACTTTCTACTGCTCCTCTTCTTTCTCTTTCTCCATTCCTTTGTCCTCCCTAATATCTTATTAATCTTATTCTAATGTCATCTTAATACTTGTTAATATTCCTTACCTCTCTATTTTTCTGATATGGAGCTTCAACTAAAGCTTCAACATCAATAATATCTGACATGTTATTAAGAATTTAACTTTTTTCTTAAGAAACTCGTAAGTTTTTAACAATTCTTAAGTTATTTCTTAATAACATGTTAAAAATCCGCTTATTCCGATGTTGCCTTATGCACATAAAAATAAGGTTTTTTTAAGAAAAAGTTAAGAAATCTTGTTTTTTTAATAAAAAGTTAAGAAAAAGTTAATAAAAAGTTAAGAAAGGTTAAGAAAAGTTAAGAAAAGTATGGAAAAGGGTATTTTACAGGGAAAAAAGTTATTATTAGTGTTATTTTGTATTATTTTTGCTGGGTTAAGCGGTGTTAATACAATAGAAACGGTAGAAAAAATAGAAAGAGTAGAAAGAGGAGAACCCGAATATTATGAAGAATTAAATGAAGGAATTTCTAAATATTCTAATGCTAAAATGATAAAACTTATTGATATGCTTTCTGGATTTACTAAAGATGCGAACGATATTCAGAAATGGGCAGAAGAATATTATTCATCTATTTTTCATGATGAAGAGGTAGATATAAGGATGGTAGCTAAAGAATATGTGGAAACGAAGCTTTCACTTCTTAATGAATGGAAAGTTATTGAAAAAAAATCGATTCCTGAATATAAACTTCATGTAAGAAAGGTTAATGATCCTATTTTAGATGTGGTTACACAGGTATATATATATATGAAGAGAAAAAAGTATTTTTTTTAAGAAGAAAAATATAGTATTCTGGATATATACAATTTCAAAAGAGATATTTATATTATTATTTTCTTGAATCAAGATCGGATCCCATGAAAGATCCTCTTATATTATGGTTAAATGGTGGACCGGGATGTTCATCGTTTTTTGGTATATAAAAAATTGATTAAAAATAAGAATTAAAATTTGAAGGGATGTTTTTTGCATTGGGGCCATCAAAATATGATTTAGAAGATGGTAGTATTTATTATAATCCATGGTCATGGAATCATCGTTCATCATTAATTTTTCTGGATCAACCGGCAGGCGCAGGATTTTCATATAACGAAGACGATAAAGATATATCGTTGCTAGCAGAATCATCATGGAATTTTTATATATTTATGGTTTTATTTTTTACAGCATTTCCTCAATACTCTCATTTAGATTTTCATTTAGCTGGGGAAAGTTATGCTGGTCATTTTATTCCAATATTTGCAGCAGAAATAATGGAATATAAACATAAACCATTAGACCTTTCAGATATTCCTGAAAAAATAGATAAGTTTCCAGATATCAATCTTAAAACAGTTATGATAGGTAAATTTTATGATATTATGAAATTTATTTTAAATTTCATAGGAAATGGATATGTGGATCCATATAATCAATTTGCATATTTTTATTATGTTGGATGTAGTAAACTATGGGGGGGATTATTACCTTCAAGTGTTTGTGATACTATGAGAGGTTATGTGGATAAATGTCTTAATTTCCTAGAATTTTGTTTAGATTATATGGAATCTGAATGTACATGTTCATCTTCTATTAGATATTGCAATATTCATCTTTTGGAACCATTTATAACTGTAAATAAACAAAAAAAAATAATTTTGGCAAAATAATTAATTTATTATTAGGCAGGAATAGATTTATATGATCGTCGTCTCAAGTTTAGTACTGTAGAGAATCAATTTGCGAATTTTATTAAATTTGTAAATGATAAAAAAGTTTTTTTTAATGCTACATCTAGATATTCTCTTTGTAATTATAATATAACGATGGCTTTCTTGAAAAAAGGAGAACAAGCACAATCAGTTGTTCCTTTTGTTAAATCATTACTTGATGATAATATTAAGGTGTTGGTTTTTGCCGGAGATCAAGATATTATTTGGTATGAAATAGAAAAATAAAATGTTATATTTTACTTATTAAAATTAGTAATTGGTATGGAGTTTCTTCATGGGTTCATGAAATGAAATGGAATCATACTGAAGAATTTAATAATCAAAGCTTTAGACCATGGTCTCTCAAAAGAAAATTAGGAAATAAATTAAAAGGGACGATTGCAGGACAAGTTAAACATCGTAAGTTTTGGATAATATTGTTTAGTATATCTAATAAGTAATTAAGATTCCGGATTAACATTGCTTCGAGTACGTGATGCAGGACATTCTGTTGGTGAAACGCAACCAGAGTACAATTTTGAAATGTATTTAAGATGGTTAAGTGGTGATTATGCATTTGAGAATTAATTTTAATTACCAAATATTTATTTATACAATTTTGATAGTTATTCTATGCATTCAAAATTAAATTAAGGAAAATTATCAAATATGTACACCTAAATCTTCCTTTTTTAACTATTTGCCTTTAGTTTTTATTTAAATTATTTTTTGTTAAAACAATATAAAGTTTTTTATACAATTTAAAAGTTATTCTATTTTTCTAAATTATGAGCCATTATAAATCTTTATAAGAATCTTAGTAAAGATTTTGATATATTAGACATTTTCTTAAGTACAGAATCAAAATTATACATTTTAAAAATATTTCTTTTATAACTTTTTTCAAAAATCTAAATTTTTCATGTGAATATAATTATTTATAAATAGATCTCTCATAATAAAATGTAAAATACTTTATTTATTATTGTTTCTCCTTATCATCAAAAATTAATCTATATTTCTCTACATCTAAATATGATAAAAGTATATTATATACATATATATACATACATCAATATTAAATATAAAAAATAATAAAAGATTTAGTCGTCAATTATTTCTTTTAAATCCAAAACTTCAACACAACCTTTATCATCACTTCCATGTCTAACAATATTTATAATACGTCTATAATCTCCAGGATCAATATATGCAATCTAAAAATAATAAAAAAAAACTATTAAATACAAAATAAACAATAATATTTACAGTATGAAATTCTTGACTTCTTTCTTCATCCATAACTACTGTCATTAATTGCTTTAATTCCTCTTTTAACACTACGTTTTTTTCTGACGGAATAACTATGCGAATACGCATTCTTGCACGTTCTATAGGAATAACATTCCTCTTTTTTAATTGTTTAATTGCATCTAATGCCTTAAATAAATTAAATATTCCTCCTATTAACAAAATTATATCAGTTCACCTGAGATTTAACATTTTTATTCAATTTTACACTAAACCCAATATTCTTAAGTGCATTCTCAATCATATATGTCGTATACGCCTTCTTTGTCGTCGGATTAACACATTTATCTACTATTGTTCGAACAATATCTTTATACACATTTTCAATCTGATACATTCGCTCCTTCTCCCCTACTTGCATCTCTCCCTTATTAAGTATCTTATACCCTCCATATCATCATATATACATATTATCCAACTACCTCATATAATATCTCATTTATATCCTCTGTTTTAAAAATTTTTTTTAAATCTTCCATACACGCAATTTGACCTTTAGATACATTTGTAAATACACTATTAGTTTGTAGAACCTCATCAATATCCTTTTCACTGTATTTTTTTCGATATTTATATATATTGACTATTAACTTACATTCCATTGCGCCATTCAACTACTTTGTTTTTATAACATGCAATCTCAAATCTTGATTCTTAAGCTATTTATACCCTTAAATACTCCTTATTCTTACCGTTTTCCTTCTTTTTTTAACCTTACAACTGACACATTGGTTAATCTATATTAATTTATATTATGAAAATCAATAAATATAGTATTACTTGATAAGATTTGAAGGCTAAAACTTAATTAGAACCTTATTTCTAGTAATAAATCTTAATAATACCTGATTAATTACCATTTTTTTATATTTAAGAACGTCAAAAATTTTAACGGCCCATTCGGAAGGGAAAAAGATGAATTTTATAGGTAAAAATAAGGGAAAAGCACAGATATTTCACTGGGATACATTATTCAGGACGGTAGAGGCAGGTTATTAGTGTAATTAGGCTTTTAAACGGGGAAAAACGGATGAATACAGCAGGATTAACATTGTAAGATATTCGTATAAATATGGATCAAGATTAAAGGATAATTTATGAGTAGAAATGGGAGACAATGGGGCGTAACGCCTCCAGTATCAATGGCAGGACCTACGGAGCAAGAAATTGTAATTAATGGGGCATTAATTGATGAGTTAAAGCGAAGAAAGAACTTTGAATCAGCAGAAGAATCAAATAAGAGGTTTTAATAGATTAATATAAGGAAATAAGAAGTAAAATATTATCAGGGCTAGAGTTTTGGGAGAGCTGCAGAAGATTACGCTGGAGTTTGTGTATAAAGTAAGCTTAGATAAGCATATGACAGAGAATATGGCACGTGATGCAGGTGGTAAAATATTTACATATGGAAGTTATCGCCTGGGAGTTTACAGTCCAGGTAAAGAGAGATTAGAATGTATGTAATAGGATTTATGTTTTTTGAGGGTCTGATATTGATACATTAATGGTTGTACCAAAACATGTTACACGAGAAAACTTTTTTAAAGACTTTGAACAAATTCTTAGGAATAGACCAGAAGCGACGGAGATAACGGCGGTTCCGGATGCCTATGTTCCTATTATAAAATTTAAATTTTGTGGTATACCTATTGATCTTATTTTTGCTAGATTAGCACTTTCTCAAGTTCCTATGGATCTTACACTTGAGGATAATAATTTGTTGAAGAATGTTGAAGAGAGATGTGTTTTATCATTAAATGGAACAAGAGTTACAGATGAAATTTTGAGACTAGTTCCTAACCCTACTATTTTTAAACATGCATTGAGAGCTATAAAACTTTGGGCACAAGAACGAGCAATTTATTCAAATGTTATGGGTTTTCCGGGTGGAGTAGCATGGGCTATGCTTGTGGCAAGAATTTGTCAATTATATCCTAATGCAGTTTCTGCAGTGGTTGTTGCAAAATTCTTTCGAATTCTATCACAATGGAAATGGCCTCAACCGGTTTTATTAAAACCCATAGAAGATGGTCCACTTCAAGTGCGTGTATGGAATCCAAAAGTATATATATAATTTTCATTATATTAATATTTTCTTAAACGATTTTTTAGATATATAAGGGAGATCAAGCACATCGTATGCCTATTATTACACCAGCATATCCATCTATGTGTTCAACTCATAATATAACAGAATCAACTCAAAAAGTGATTATTAATGAGATGAATCGTGCTGGTGATATTGCTGATAAAATTCTAATTGGATCTCTTCCTTGGTCAAAGTTATTTGCAAAACATACATTTTTTCATCAATATAAATATTATCTGGTAATTATAGCCGCGTCAAAGAATGCGGAAACTCAACTTAAATGGTTTTAAGAAGCTTATTGTTATTCTTATTAATATTTTTAAGGTCTGGTTTAGTAGAATCAAAGGTACGCCAATTAGTATTAAGACTTGAATATGTAGATGAAATTAAACTTGCTCATCCTTTTAATAAAAGCACCGATTTAGTGCATTATTGCAAAACAGAAGAAGAGGCTAATGGCGTTGCTCGTGGTGAATTAACAGCTACTAAAATGGAAAATATAAATATGCAGCAAACAGCGAAAGAGATGGAAAGTATATCTAATCAGGATATAAAAAATATGCAAAATAATTTAATATTGGTTTATACGACAACTTGGTATATTGGATTAGAAGTTGATAAAAAAGATGGTAAAAATTAAACTTAATTATGAATTTCATTATTTAAACGTATTACATAGGTTCTAAGAAATTAGATATTTCTTGGCCATCTCAGGAATTTTATGAAATGTGTAGAAAATGGGATAAATATAATATCGAATCTATGAATGTTGTTATCAAAAATATTAGGAAGTTAGTTGAATTTTTCTTTATGTAAAACTGACATTTTTTAGCTTTGATTTGCCTGATAATGTTTTTGTAGAAGGAGAACAGCGACCCGTTCGAACTTTAAAAAAAATTAAGAAAAGAAAGTTGCTGTCTGATGAAAAAAAAGATGTTTGTTTTAAATTTATATATCTATGTAGACTGATAAAGGTTAGAACATTTCTGAATCTCCTGATAAAGCAGTCAAAATGGAATCTACTGTTTCTATTCGTGCTTGATCTTTTTTTATAAAAGATTTTATCTATTTAATATGGCTTTTTAGTCAAATTATAGGTAAAACGTATCCGATTAAGGTACCATAAGATTGGTATTATTTAAAACTATAGCCCCTTTTGATTTCTATCCTTATAGCCTTTTAAAAAATCTTAAATTCATAGGTTTCTTTATATAAAGAACATATGAAATTGAACTAAACTAAATATATGTTTTTTACATATATTTAATGATATAATAATTTTGAGAAACGAGTCCCATCAAATTTATGAAAAATATTATTTAGCTTAAATTCCTAAATTATAGATATATTTTTTCCATTTAATAACAATTATATTCTTAAAATAATTATATATCTTTCTTCCTTGCAACCCAAAACTAATAAAATATTAATATAAACAAATGTATAAGGATATTAATATACTTCTGTTTCATAAATATATTTTAACATAGAACATGGATTTCCAACATATGTAGTATTAATTTTCTTTCTTTTCTATGGAATTTAAAAAATTATAAAATACTTAATAAAAATATACCTCTATTTCAAACCCAGAATTTTTTATTAATTGAATAAGTGTTTCAAGAGTTAACTCAATACTACAAGCAGGAATATTATCTTGAGATATTTCTTTTGCATATGTATCTTTTTCAAAATGCCAAAGAAGAGGACCTAAATTTATCCAAAATCCCCCTGGTTTTAATGAATACCAAATAGTTTTGATATAAGAAATAATATTTGGTGCGGTATCAATAAAAAAACATGTAGCAATTACATCAAAAAATGATTCCATACTTCTTTGAGAATATACTTCTGTAAATTCTCCAATTGATGTAGAAAAATTCGAACCAGAAAAAATAACAGATCTGGGATTGATGTCAGGAATTGTACATTTATAAAGTAAATCTTCGTTTGTTCGATGATTTGAAAATGTATGAATAAATGGAAATAAGAAATATTTATCACTAGATTCTAGATAATTTAAAAGAAAAAATGACGATATAAGCATAAAATAAGAAAATTCATTCCCTTGAACCGAAAATCCTATAATAAAATAAAAGTTTACTTAAAATTTAAAAAAAAATATACCTTTCAATGCTATATCAAAAGGAAGTCTACCTAAACCCGCTCCTGGAACTAAAATATTTATTTTTTTCCTAATATATTAATTTCTAAAATATATTATCATTTTTATACCTATCGTTAATATGAATATCCATAAATCTTGATTCAATCTCATCAATTATAGGTTTATATGACTTATCTCTTTCAATCATTCCATCTTTACTCCATTCACGCCAAAATTGTTTTATAGTTGTTAACACTTTATCCATATAGCTTAAACCTAATATTAAACCCCATATTAAAATATACATAAACAAACCTTATTTTTAATGGCTGAGATTCTGTATATTTTTTTCCTGAAAGAAATTGACTTCTTCCTATTTTTTCTATATCACTTGCAAGTTTACAATTAATCTTAGCTGCTGCTTCTATTTTATCTAAATGTTCCTCAAATTCTACCAACTGTAACCTTTCTTCTTGATTTAATGATTTAAACATATTCCGCCGTATATTAATCTTCAATTCCATAATTTCTCCATATCTTTTAAATGCTTCTAATGTATCTGCTATAACTTGTTCTTCATCCTCATCCATTATTTCAAATAATAATAATAATAATCCACTTATTTCTATCCTTTTCCTAATAATTTATATATATTTAAGGTTTATTAAGGTTCTTTTTAATAATCCAGTCTATTTTAATAGAAATATATAGCTTTTTGTGTATGTTTTATTAAGAAAATACAGTACAATTAAGAAATTCCTTAAGAACGTTAAGAAGTTGTTAAGAAGAAGTTAAGAAGTTGTTAAGAAAAGTTAAGAAAAATTTAAAAAAATCTTAATTTTAATTTATTTCTTAACTTTTTTTTATTAAAATCTTAACATTTTTACTCCGTTTTTAAAGAACCTTAAGAAAAAGTTAAAAATGGTATGTATAAGAATTAAGAAAAATTAAGATATAATAAGCTTCTAATATTAATATTAGTCACTTGTTGTTCAGCAACAGGGTACGTTTCAGCATATTCTTCGTCTTTTAAATACAAATGTTGATGGACGAGTAAAAATTATGTTTGCCTTGGTAATATTTTTGTTTTTTTTTGGTAGTTTTTTATTAGAAATAGACACAAATCAAAGGAGTAGGACGCCGCTATGCAAATCTTGTTTGCAAGAAAGCGGATATTGATTTGAGTAAGAGGTATTAATATTTAAAGTTAAAAAAAGAGAATTGTTAAAAAAAGGTAAAGAGCAGGAGAACTTACGGTGGAAGAACTTGAAAGAATTGTTACGATTATTCAAAATCCATTGGCATATAAGATTCCAAGTTGGTTTCTTAATTCTCAACGTGCTATTACGGATGGAAAGAATTCTCAAGTTCTTGCGAATCAACTGGATAATAAACTTCGTGAAGATATAGAGAGATTGAAGAAAATTAGAGTTCATAGGGGTTTGAGACATTTTTGGGGATTGAGAGTGAGAGGACAAGTAATTTTTATGTATTTTTTTTTTGCAAGTTAACATATGTATATAGCATACTAAAACAACAGGAAGAAGAGGAAAAACTGTTGGTGTTAGTAGAAAGTAGTTTTATATATAAAAAAATATGTATTATTTTTAATAAAAGTGATTTATATTTATAAAATCATAGTAAATAAATTTTTATTCCATTAATTTTCAACTTTATGTTTTTTTTTTGAATAGAAATAAGTTTTTATTGGATGTTTTTGCCATCAATTAGGTTATATTTTTAATTAATATATAATACAATGTTTATTTTAGCATTAATTATTTATTTTAAGTTATTTTAATGATTTATTTAATTTATGTATATAATTATGTAGTTTTTTTTATTCATTGCTGTAAATTTCAATTAGATCATCTAAATCATTTATTATATCTTCTTTATCGCATGTTTTAGATTTATTTTTATGAATATAGTTTTTTTTTTTAGAAGATAAAAGAAATTTAGTATCCAAAGAAGATGATAAAGCTTCACAAGATAGTTTTAATGAATCAAAAATTTTAGGGAATGATTTTGGAGAAGGAAGAGTTGTAGAATGATAATATCTAAAAGAAAGTTATAAAATATAAATAATAAAAAGAGGGTTTACGTTGTTGATATAGAAAAATTATTTACTGTAGATATAGCCTTCTGATTTTTATCCCCTCTAAATATTTCTAAAGAACTTTCTATTGAATTTTCCAATTTTAAACCTAGCCAACCTAACAAAGAGTTTTCCAATTTCATTTTTAAATAAGATATTTTTCTATCAGAATAAATATTTATTAAAGATGTTAAATCACTCATAGACATGAAATTAACATTAGAATGACATGGAATTAATAATGATTCAATTGCAGAAGACTGAAAAGCTGAAGTATGCCATATAGAGTTTAGATTAATTTTTTCATGATTATAACCAGATTTTTTGTTTATAATAGATAAAATTGAAGAAGTATCATGTAATGATAATAATGCTTGTACATCGTTGTCTATTTCAGTATCTATAGAAAAAGTCCATATACAAAGTTTAGGTATTTCATCTTTAATAGAATCAAGAAATGAACTTGAAAATCCACCCCATCCACTATTAATTTCAGTAAGAACTGTTATTCCCTGAATATTATCACATTCTTCAAGAAAAGGTCGAAAATGTGATTCAAATATATCATTTTCTTTTGATATATCACAAAAAAGTTCTTTTCCTTGATCAAACGTATAAAAAGGATTAAAACTTTCATCATAAACATCATATTGAAGTAACTGATGTAAAGAACGTGAATCATATTTCACCATATTATAATCAGACCATGATGTAATTGTCTCTGACGATAAAATTTCTTCTGATTTAGGATCCATAAAAGAAAATTGAAAAGGATGAATTGGATGTTTTTTACTTTCATATATTTCTGTTACTAACCCATTTTTCCTCCTCATTAATATTAAAAATCATGGATAAAAAGGTAAAAAAATTACCCTTCTATATCTTCACTATTTAATTGATATGACTCATTGTATTTATTAATATTCCCAAAACCATTTCTTAAATCATAAATAAGAACTCTGGGTGTATATATCTCTTTTTTTCGACTAGTACCATTTAATCTATAAAAAATATGATGATCAATTAATAATTCATCTACATTTTCTTTAAAATATGTATCTTGAGCATTCCAAAAATGAGTCCCTAAATAATTAGAATATTTTCCAAATTGAAGAACAATATTTTCTCTCATATGTTATCTTCAATATATTTAGCAAAATTTTATTAAATAAACTAGATAAACTAAAATTTAAAGTATATTTAGTTAAAAATTAGTGTTTCTCTAAATTAATATAAAAATAGGGTTGTCCTATTTTTTTTTAGATCATTTTTAAACCTATATTTATTCACTATATTAAAATATATACTGTCTATTATAATTTATAATTTTCTTCTTATTCTATTTCTTTACAAAATACTTTCATTTTATAATTTAAAATCTTTAAAATCTTTATTTTTTTTACAATATATTTTAGCAATTCCATATATTTGTTTTATTTAAGACAATTTTACTATAAAACTTAAAAATAACTCTTGCATTTAGAACCATTTTATTTATATTCATTCTAAAACATATATATTTCATATAATGTCTTATTTACTGACATTTTTACCACTCTAAACTATATATTTTGGTCTTTCTTTCTACTATTTTCTATTTTTACACATATCAAGGAAGCTTATTTAACATTTTCTAAAAAACATAATAATATTAATTCATATCAAAACTATTTCAAATATTAATGGATTTGGATGTATTATTTCTCACAAAACTTAGTATTTATAACAACTCTATATTAATATGTCTGTATTAACATGTCTTCAAACCTAACCCTCTGGCTATCTTAACATGCTTTTGTAAAATAATACACAAAATGGATGATTTTATAGATGAAATTAGTGGTGAACCACGTCTAAAATACACTCGTTTTTCTGGAACAGTTACAGGAATATTTTCCAATGATTTTATTAGTACATTTGAGGTGCTATCAAATATATTAGTATTCTAGAAGGATATTTTTATTATATATAAATAATTATTAAGGTTCTTGGATCACATAATGGATATCTTTATGTTGTTGATATGGAAAATGATAAATTATCTAAGAGTCATATTCATTCGGCGTCTATTACAGATATATCAATTGATAATACAGGAGAATATATTGCAACGGCATCATTAGATGGTTTAATATAGAGATATAGAAGATATTTTTGTTTAATAATAGAAGGGAATGTGGGATTATATGTGAGATCGACTAATAGTGTTGTTCTTTATAATTATCGTCGTCCGGTAAAGTCAGTAGCTATTGATCCTAATTATTGCCAAAGTTTTCGTATTGTTTCAGGTGGAATGGCTCAGCAGCTTATAATGAATGAAAAAGGAACTTTTTTAATTCTTATTGCTGTAGTAAATAATGTATAATAGGCTGGTTAGGAAATAAAGATACAGTGTTAGATTGTGATGAGGGACCTATTTATGAAATCCAATGGCATAAGAATTTAATAGCATGGGCAAATGATATGGTATTTAAAAAATATTTATTTATAAATTATTTATAAATTATTTTAATTTTTAAAGGGTGTAAAAATATACAGCACAATATTTTCTCAAAGAATTTCTTTTATTGAAAGAATGGCAGATAGTCCGAGACCGGATCTTTTTAGATGTAGGCTAGTGTGGTCTTCATTTGATACTTTGCTCATAGGATGGGCGAATTATGTAATTGTTGCTACAATAAAGGTTTTAATTTTTTAATTTCATATTTTTATTCACTATATTAGTTTCCTGACATTAATCATCGATTACCCTATAGTGAAATAACATTAATGTAAGTATTTTGTGAGTTATTTTTGTAATTGAATTTTTCTAGATTGAAACTTGATTATATAGTATCAGGAATTGCGAAATTTGAGGATAAATTGTTAGTTCTTGCGTTTATTTTTGACATAAATACTCTTATAGATTCGGAAATTACATCTAAACCTGTATTGATATATGAATTTTCTTTATTTTCTGACTTGTGTAGATTGTTGAACGTCCAGAATTAAGACTTATTGATTCTAAAAATGAAGAAATATCTGGAGATGCTTTAAATCTTGAAGGATATTCTAATTATCAAGCCAATGATTTTAGTCTTCGTTTGTGTTTGAAAAAAGAACAGATTTATGTAATAGGGCCTAGTGATGGGATAATAGCTAAGAAAAGAGGACTAAAAGATCGCCTTTTATGGCTTATTAAACATGAATATTATGAAAAGGCTATTAAAATTATGAAAAAATTAGAAACACCGATTGAAGGAGTTACATTAAGAAATGTTAATCTTGCTTATTTGGAGTATTTAGTTAAAAATGGTTTTTTTAAATTTTTCTTAGTTATTAATGTTTATTTAATTATAGATGAATATGATAAAATATCTTCTATATGTTGTGATATTTTTGAAAATGATATAGATTTATGGGAGAAATGGATTCTTAATTTTGCAGAAAGCGGTCATTTACAAGTAAATGAATTCTATTTAAAGACTTTATTTTAATGTTTTAAGTTTATTACTCAGTATATTCCAACAGATAATCCACAATTAAGTACGTCAATTTATGAAATGGTTCTTGCTTATCATCTTGTTTCTAATCAAACATTATTACTTGATATATTAAAGACTTGGCCTTGTGAAATATATAATATAGACAATGTTATTTCTATAATAGAAGACAGGTGGAAGAAGAAAGAGGAGACAATTTTAATGGAATGTCTTGCATATTTGTTAGGAATTTCTTTACTTTTGAGTATATTTTAATATTTAATAGGTATATAAAAAAAGGTTCTCCAGAGAATGCTTTATATTTTTATCTTCGTCTTAGAAGTTCAGAGACTATTGATTTAATTAAACAATATCGACTTTTTAATAATATTGAAGATGATATACTTCTATTATTTCAACTTGATTTTTTTTCTGATAAAATTGAATGTTCTTCAGAAAAAATACTAAATAATAAAGTGATCAGTTTTTTGGTTGAGTATTCTCATTTAATTCCAGTAAGACTTTTTATACTTTTTATTTTTTATTTATTATTTAAGGTATATAAAGTTGTACATCAATTAGAAGGATATCATATTTTTCAATATTATTATCTACGAGCTATTTTTGTTTTTGATAGCAATCTTGCTTCTGATTTTGGGGATTTGCAAGTTGAACTATATGCAGAATATGATCGTTGTATTTTGATGGAATTTCTTCAGACGAGTTTTACATATTCATTGGAAAAAGTTCTTAACATTTAAATACTTTAATTTGGTTAATTTTTATTTAGGCTTTTAATATATGTAAATTGCGTGAATATATTCCTGAACAAGTCTTTATACTTGGAAGAATGGGTGATAATAAAAAAGCTTTAATGTTAATTATTGAAAAATTGAATGATATTGATCAGGTATGAATTTCAAGAAGAATTAGTAATATAGAGGAATTACTTTTATAGGCTATAGAATTTGCAAAAATACAAAGTGATGAAGATTTATGGGAGGATTTAATTGTTTATTCTTTAAATAATCCAGGTATAGAAATAATATATATATTATAGAATATTAATTAGATAGTATTTATATCTCGTTTATTGGAAAATGCGGGAGAGGCCATTGATCCTATTAAACTTATCAAACGTATTCCAGAAAGCCTTGTTATTCCTTGTATTAAAAAATCATTATTAAAAATTTTAAAAGAATACGAATTACAAGTTAGATGAAATAATTTATGATTTTTCTTATTCTTGCATAGATGACTTTGATGAATTGTGCATATAATATTACTTCTATAGAGGTATCTGATTTATATAAGGATTTCTTCCAAAATCAAAAACATGGAATTTTGGTAAATGGTATTTCAAAAATATATTTTTTAATTATCTTAAGATTCTTAGTTAAACTTCAAAAATGTCATATATGTAATAGATACATAACAAAAGATGGAAAGTATTTTTTATAAATAATTAAATTAAATTAATATATTTTAGGCATTATATTTTTTTGTAAACATTTATATCATATAGACTGCATATTAGAAAAAAATGAAGAGGCATTATCAGCTGTTAAAGCTTTTAAAGAAACCAATATTGGTATTGGAATAAGAAGCACAACAGCTTCAATTATCAATGCTTACTTAAAGCATTGCCCGTTATGTCATATATAAAATTACGTATAAATATTTTATATCTAGAGATTTTTTACTATACATGTGTCACGAATAATTATTAGGTCTTGAAATAACATTTATACTCTTATAATGTTTAATTTATAAAAATATTGTTTTAATAATATATTGAAATATATGTATTAATGCTGTATATTAAATTATTTATATAGAAATACTATTCCTTCATAGATTACTTTTATTTAATGACGATATAATGATATTTAATAGAATCTAGGATCAGATTATTTTTTTCCTGCTTTCCAATATATTATATCATTATTTTCTACAATATAATCTTTTCCTAAATACATTTAAATAAACTTGTATTTTTCCAAATATTTTATTACCTTTTATCATATATTTTCCTGCTGCTTTAACAGCAGCTTCTGATCCTAATTCTTTTAAATCATTAAATTTCATTACTTCTCCAACCACAAAATTCTTTTCAAAATCTTTCCAAAAAATTAATTGTAAATAAAACAGGAAAAAAAAAACCTGAATGAATAACTCCAGCAGCTGCAGGTGCTTTAGTTTCCTTTCTAATAGTCTAAAATATATTTAAAAAAAAAGTTTATCTAGATAACTTACTAACCCATGCACGAACTTCATCTGGTCCACATGTAAAATAATGCATCAAATTTAAAGTAGAATAGCTAAAAAATAGTAATTTAGTAATTAGTATTAAATATAAAAAATCATACCCAGTAGTAACAATTTTGGGAAGCATTGATTTAGTTCCAAGTCGTTTACATTCTTCTAGAGCTTCACTATCAGTCATTTCTGATAAACGCTTTTCAAACATAACAGAAATAGGAATCTTTTTTATTTTAGCTATAAAAAATATTTGGGAAAACCATACAATAATATCCCCAGGACTATTAGTATTTATCCAAGCAACTATTTTAGGAAGCCATTTATTTTTTTGCCGAATAAAGTCTTTTTCACTTAAGTTAACAAGATAAATAACAGGTTTTGCTGTTAACAGATACAATGAATTTATTATTTCAACCTAAATGAAAATTAGTATTAATATAAAAATAATTATATAATATTTTTGTTTTATATTTTAGTTATTTCAAAATATTAATAAGTTATTAAATAAAAAAAGCATGCTTTATCATATTATTTAAAATTTTTAAATACTAACCTCTTTATTGGTCCAATTACATTTTCGTATTTCCTTTTTTTCCGTTTCAAGTTGATAAAGAACCTTTTCAACAACTGCCTGCTTCTCTTTATTTGCTCTAAGTTCAAGTGATTGCCCTCCTCTGCTTGTTACTCTTTTTAATCCTTCTAAATGTTTATTGACAAATTCAGTATCTTTAATCAATAATTCATCATGTACAATTTGAAGATCTCTACATGGATCTACATCACCCTCAATATGAATAATCTCTGCATCATCAAATGCTCCTTAAATAATTAATATTTACAAACATGTATAGAAAGAAAACTTACGAACTACATGAAAAATTGCATCAACTGCTCTAATATGACTCAAAAATGCATTTCCAAGACCTGCACCTGTGCTTGCTCCCTTAGTTAAACCAGCAATGTCAAATATTGTAAGAAAAGCTGGTATTCTAGATAAAGGATTATATAAATTGCAAAGCCAATCAAAATTTTCATCTGGAACTGCTACTCGTGCTTCTTCTGGATCAATAGTTGCGTATGGAACTAAATATATCATCAGTTTTAATATCATTTTTCCTATAAAATCACTGACAATTTGCTGGATTTCCAAGAGTTGATTTAGTTATTACTAAATACTAATTATACTTTTCTTATAAAACTCCAATTATATAATAACCTTGAAATAGTGTACTTTTCCCTAAAAATACTATTAAAAACTCTATTGGTTTAAGATTAACTTACCAACATTAGCTAATCCAACAATACCACTCTTAAGATTATTGCCAGGATGTCCTAAAAGAACTTTATTTTCTTCTGATACTTGTCTAGCTTTAAAGTCAGTATTTTATTATAAAAATAAGAATATCTTACTTCTTAGGAGGCATATTTTTAAGAAGATATCTAAAAATAATTTTTTAGACTTCGAAATTTTAATGAAAAATACAAGTTGCCAATATATATATGTCCTTAATATATATATAGAATATGTATGTTAGTGCATTATCTAGTTTTCATGTTTATTTTGTTTTATATATATTGTTTGTCCTGAAGTTAAATTGTAAAAAGAAAGTAATTTTGAATCATCATCTATATAAAATAAATTATGTGATCCTTGTAAATAAGAAATTGTGAAATGGAAAGGATTGATTTTGAATAATTTTGAACAGAAAGATCTAAAAGATCGAATGTTCATAGATGAAATGAATTTTTTTTTTATTGTTTCTTTTCCAAATATAAGATATAACTCTGTTTTATAAGTTAAATGAAAAAAACAAAGATATCTTACCAATAAGCTCATTTTCTATGATTTTTTCAGTTAAATTGTTTTGAGTAGTGAATATAGGATCATCTTTTTCATATTCTATATTATATTAGTTAAGAAATATTATTTGATATGAAAAACTTTTGTATAATTCCTTCCATTGGGGATATTCTTTAATTAGATCAGAATAATTAGATATTTTTCCTGATTTTATTTCTTTTTCAATGATAGATAAATAATATAATTCAGCATTTTGTCTTTCTTCTTGAGTGATCTATTGATTATAATAAATAGATTATTAAAAATAAAATGGATTAACTACTTTAGTACCATTTATTATCATAACATTTCTCAATCTTGGAATTATAAAAGTGCTAGAGTTATTTTTGAATTCTAAAATATAAGTTTATAAAACATAAGATAAAATATTAAATAAAACCTTTAGATAAAGGATTATCAGTAAATCTCAGAGACACCAAAGAATGTAATATATTTAAGTTATTAAGAGAAGTTTGTTCAGATATATTATTTTTAGATATATCAAGATACTTTAAAGATATAAATGTATTTGGAACAATGTTGATAGTATTTATTTGATTTGATGCTAATGATAAAAAGACGAGCCTTATTTTTATTAGTAAAAAGATATATTGTATAATGATTACTTTTCTAATTTCCCAAAAATTCTTGTAACTGTTTCAAAACATGATATTTTATTGTCATTCAAAAAGATTTTTTTAAGATGAGGAGTTGTATCAGAAAATTGAAAGTCATTAGGTGTCTTTAATGTTAGAAAATTATGACTTATTTGAAGCTCTTCTAGATTTTCAAAAGAAATGCATAGTTTTTTTATCTTGATCTTAATTTAGCTTCTGCAAAAATCAATTATTAATATACTTGTTCAATTTCCAAATATGTCTTATTAAGGATAAGTGTTTTCAGATTGGGAAATTTAAAATTATTAGAAAGAAGTACTTTTGACGTATTGAATTGATTGTAACTATATAGATAAATAAGACATATATAAATAAAGTATCTCACTTAAGCCTTAATGAATTTAAATTTGGAAGCTCTTTAATTATTGAAATAACTGTTTCCCAGGTTAAAAGATTTCCAGAGAGATCAATTTCCAATATATCTTATAATTTTAAAAAATCTCTATTTATACTTTAAATTACCTGAACATTTGTTTCTTATTTCATCTATATTTCCTAGTTCTGATATAGCCATATGATCTAAAGTAACAATATAAAGCTTTGGACGTTTTCTATAATATTTAATACATATATATATATATACCTATATATTAAACAATACTTGTGAATATTTCCTGAATGACATATCTCTTGGATTTTAGAATTAATATTAGTATTTTCTAATTTTATATCAAAATTTGTATATTTTTCGACATTTATATCCCCATATTTATCATTAAAAGCTTCAACAAATGTTTTCTTAATATCTCTAGGTCTATTTCGTCTTACAAAAGACCCGGAGTTTTCTTTTCTTGTAAACTGCTGGTATATTTAAACAAAAAAAAGCAATATACCTGCACTCAAAATATTTTTCTCTAAGATATGTTCCATTATGTTTCCCACGTAATGGATCATCCCATTCTACACCAAGCCATTCTCCTTCTACGCCTTTAACAGGTCCAATATATTTTATTATACAGCAATTGCCTTCAAACGAAATTCTATCTCCAATTGTATCTGACATTAATAAACCTTAATTAAATAAAAGAATGCTGATTGTATTTAAGTTCAATATTATTTCATAAATTAAAGGTTTTCTTGTATTTTTTTTGAAAAATATATAATTGCTTAATATCTTAAATGACAATAAAATTATGTTCAAGTTTAAAATATCTTTTATTAAAGAGTTATCTTTTTATATGTAAAAATATATGTTTTCAAGGTAAATTATTTGATTTATATAATTTATATTTTGGTTGGTTATAGATCCGTATATTTTTTAAGATATGTTAAATAGTATAAATATATAGATAATGATTATATAAATTAATATTATGTATGTTTTTAAGGTTTTTTAAGATAACTAATATAATTTTAATGAATAATGAAATTTATAAAAAGTGTAATATAACAAATATAGAAATATAATTTTATTTATTTAAATTACAAGTTTAATAAAACAACTAAGTTTTTTTAAAAAGAAAAATAATCTAGATTTATTACATATTTGAAAAATAAAGATATTTATTTTTTGATAAAATTTGTCAATTTTTAAGATATAAAGTTTAAACTCTGTAATTCTCGTAGATAATAGTAATGAAGATAATCCTAAATCATAAAAATAATATCAAGTAATATAAGAACAATCATATAAATAAAATTATAAAATAATATTTTGTAATTGCAAGTTTAATAAGGTTAATGTTTATAAAATGATAATAAATCCTTAAATAAAGGCATTTGTAAGATAATATTTAAATATGCGGTATATATTTAGCCTAAAATTAAAGCCTGAACAACTCTTCCTTCTTTCCAGCCTTGGTCAATTAAAGATTTTTCATCCGATAACATTTTACCCAAAAGAAAAAGATGCATAGGTTTTTTAATACCTGCAATTTTTGCAACATGCTGTTTCATATCTGCTATAGAATCTTTAGAGTCAATTTTTATTAAAATATCTTTAGATGTATCTGATAATCTAACAATAATCTCGCTTGCATGCTCATTTTCAATTTCAGAATCCTGTGGTTCATTTATTTTTTCATTTTCTTCATTTTCTATATTAGAATTTAAATTATCATTATTAGGTTGTTCCGGATTCTCTGATATTAAATTGGCTGGTTCAGAAAATATATAAGGAGGAATAAAATAATAAGATCCTCGTTGATCATAACATCCATCTATTAAATCACCTATGATTTAAGGTTATATCTCTAAAATGTATATAAAAAACTTAATATTTTACCTGTAGGAAGAACGATCCCTGCTGTATTAATAATCATTTGAGCTGTAGCTAGATTTTCAGGTATTGTTTCAAGAACAAGTCGAAGAGTATTCCAGATCTCAAGACTACCTATTTATATCATATTAAACTTTTCATTATATTTCGATCCCATTAATATACCTCCATATGATGCTGCTGTTTCCCAAAATTCTTTTCGTCGACGTATCAGATTAGACATTGTAATAGGTTGATCAGAAACCCATGTACACGATCTTGGTTTTTTTAATGAGTTGTTTCCTAATATATCATAAGATAACCAATAAATATCCCACAATTTACTACGTCTACATAAATTACATGTAGGAATATGTGTTCTAGTATTCAAATTCCCATAAAAATTCCTTGATTCCTGTAAATCTTCTCCAATTCCTCTATATGATGATTGTTTACTAAATGAACATCCCATTCTTTTAATAAGTTCTATTTGGATATTTAACTTAAATTCTATCCCAGATCCTTATTATTCCTACTTTTCTATATAAATCCTGATCTTCTTAACAATTTCTTAACTATTTTTAAGCTTTTAATTCATTTATTATAAGATTTTTTAAATTTTAATGTTTTTTTTTGATACGAAAAATATAAAATTAAGCGAAATAGTTGAAGTCCTAAAAGCAATAATATTAGCAGCAATTTCTAGTAATATTGAAAATAGGTTATGATAGATTAAGAAAAGAAAATTTAAGATATTATATGAAATATAAAGAAGGAATTATTGTGTAATATTAAATAATTAAGTTTTTTTAAGTTTATAATTATTTTAAAAATATGAAAAGTATATTTCTAGAAGCTAGATAGTTGTTTTTTAAAAAATTTTTAATGTATTTTTAAAATTGCTTATTGTATTTTATAATAAAAATGATTGTATCAAAAATTATAGAAAACCAGTATTAGATTTAAATATAAAAATTAAAGAATTTAGATTTTGAGATATTAAAGATTATCCAAATAACCATCCTCTACAGTTAGCAGAACCGCAATAACAAGGTTTTTTATTTTTAAGATTTATATACTTAGAATTGGAACAATTTCCAATGAAACCTAATTGATCATCATTATTTCTTCCACTATAATCAAAGCAAAGCTCTTCCAAAGCAGGAATATCTCTAATAGCAAAAAAAGCTAAATCATAAATTTTAGAATCACTTTTATCCCTTAAAACACTGTAAATAGCAAGATTTGGATCACATGAATGGTTTATGAATCGTGTTACATCTCCACAATATTGTGCATCAATAGTGTAATACTCATCAACTTGATCTTCAAAGAGATCAAGATCAAATAAATATGTTACGCCAACATTATCATATTTTTTACCACGAATTTCTGCCTCAGATTGAGATATCAATTCCCCTAAATATACGCCTATAAATGTTCCTGCTTTAATGAACCTAGGGCATTGCAAACCTTAATATTATATAAATATTTAATAAAAATGTATAAAAAAAATAACATTACCCCAGCCTTTATGTTTAGTTTTAAAAATATTTAAAGGAATTTTACGTCCTCTCTGAACAACTCTGTTTGGACAATTTATTCCACAGTCGCAATTTTCATTACATTCATATATTATTGAACTACTATTACAATGAACCCTTCCATATTCATCATAGGAAAAACTTTTATTATTAGAATCTTCAAGGCATTGACAAGAGCCAGGATTATTAAGATCACATCCATCTTTTGAGCAGCTACAGCCGGAAATAAACAATGGATTTCGTGGCTCTATACCTAGACCATATTTATAAGAAGTTATAAATTCAAAATCAATTGGAGATAAGTCTGAATCAATTTCATTAATAAGAAACACAGGAGGCCCCAGCAACATGTCCAATTTCTCGAGAAATATCTTTCTACTATTTTTTACAGATAATGGCCTTGTAAAACTTAATTTTGATTTAATAATATATTTAGGTTTTAAAGTTTTTTTATGAAAATCTGTTTTTAATCGACTAGCTTTTGTAATATGATCTTTAGACTTCTTTAAACTATTGAATTTAACATTTTCCTTTAAAATTGTTAGATTTAAAAATGATTTTATTATAAATAATACTTTTTCTTGTATATAAGGCAAATCATCAGTAATATATTCAAAATTATTTGAATATTCATTCAAAACATTAGATCTTTGTGGTAAAGAACCTACAATTAATTTAGATAAAAGTGTACTTTTTCTTTTTTTATTTCTAAACTGCATTGTCTTCTAAACAAAAATTAAAAAAGATCAATCATAAAAAAGAACAACCTCTTTTGAAACAATACGTGGTTTCTCATTAGTAAAAATAACAGAGGGATTTTCCATAAGAAATGTTTCCAATGGATTATTTTCAAGAGAATTTGACCTATTAAAAGACATATGCTCATTCAAATTAGATTCAAATGAACTCTTATCCTCTTCAATATTCAATATCTTTCTATTATTTGAACCTTTTATATCTAAATTATTGGTTTTATTTTTTTTAATAGATATATCTTTTGTTTTTTCAAATTTTGATATATCATTTAAAAAGAAAGGCCTTCTCGATAACATATTAGATGATTCTTCATCATAATATGTATTTTCTGAACTTTTTTCTCTTTTTTTTACATATTTATTTGTAACAAGTGTTTGCTTTTTTTTTAATGCTGTAGAATTTTTAAGTCTATTCCAATCTTCAAGAGCATTTTCACAATCAATCAGATTCTCAATTGGCTCCCATGTATCAAAATCCTCTGAATAACCCTTCCATGATATCCTATAAAGAATATTTCCCTAACTATAAATTTTTTTTTCTTCTTTAAAAGAAAGCTTACATCTTCCTGGATAAATTCTTCACATATTCTCTCCACCTTTTAATTAGAAAACATATCTTTTATATTTTATATATTTTACCTCATATATTTCACCATCTAAAGGCTCTATCTTATCTTCTTTTAAGCTTTCTTTATTCTTCTTTAACATCAAGGATTTAGTTAGAATATTTACAATATTTCATTAATAATTCCTTTATATTTTTCATTTGGATATTAATTCTACAAAAACTTCTTAACATTGCCCTAAACTAATTTTTTAAATAATACTTTTTATTATAAATAAGTAATCTTTTATATAATAATATACATATACTGTTTGACAAAGTTATTCTCTAAAAAAGATTGCATTCAAAAAAATTTATAAACATGCCTTTATATAGGTCTTATTTTAAAATGCAGAGAAATCAAACTAAAACTTAGCGCTTTAAGATCTATAAAATTCAATATCGTTTTTATTAATCAATTATCATCATACCCTGTACAAGATAGTAAAATACACGCAATCCTTCGGGATCTTCGCTTTCTTGTACATCTACTAATGATCCAATCTTTGCTGTCTAAAAAAAAATTATGATTTTTTTTTTTAGACTTAAATAAAACATACTTCAAACGATATATGGTTATTTCCTAGACGTATCTCAAGTTCTTGCCTTCCATCTTTATCTTTTTTCGGCCATTTTGAATCATTTTCTCTTTTTATTCAATTAATTTTAAAAAAAAATAAAAATAAAAATAACACACTTCATAATTTCACTCTCCCTAACAATCCTTTTGAGCTCTGATATAACAGATTGGCTCACACACACTATAAATCATATTATTTCAATTTCTTTTTATAAAAAAAAAAAACACACTTTCTTTACGAATTAATGAATCATTTCTATAATTCGAGTTGTTTGCATAACGTGATGTCCCATCAGCACGAAAATCAAACTCTTATCTTCGTTTTAATCCTCTTTATTCACTCTTAATTTTCATCTTTACCTAAAAACTCATGGCCAAATCGTCCTGTATGTCCTGAACTATAAAATATAACTTATTAATAAAAGAAATAATAATATATTATCTTTATTTCTATAAAACTTACTAATATCTTAAGTAAAATGGCTCTTTATCTGCTACCATATTATTTTTCTAATTTTTAGAGGTTCCTAGCTCGAGGACGTCTTTAACCTCTAAAAAAATTAAGACAGCTCACCTTATTAATATTTCTTATTAAGAAGTACATATTAATAGTTATATTAAGATGATATCATATACCTTAATTTATCAGGATAATCTTTATGATACGCCTACATTAGAGCAGTTAAAAATGTCTCTTGAATCTAAAGATGATAATGTAAAGATTGAAGCAATGAAAACGATATTAATTATTATGTTAAACGGGAATGATATGCCTCAGCTTTTGATGCACGTTATACGTTTTGTTATACCGTCTCGAAATAAGACGTTAAAGAAGCTTCTTTATTATTATTGGGAGATTTGTTTAAAACATAGTTCAGGTTTGTTTGAATAAGGGGTTATTTGCGGGATATATAAGAGGAATTAGATGGAGGGATGAAGCAGGAGATGATTCTTGCATGGTAAAGGGAGTGGATTGGGTTTATATATTAAGATGAATGTAGTAACGCTATTCGTGGGGATTTACAGCACCCAAATGAATATATTCGTGGGGTTACGTTGCGATTTATTTCTAAGCTTAGGGAGCCGGAGATTCTTGAGCCATTGCTTCCAGCAACTAGATCTTGTTTAGTATTTTTTGTGATAATTTAGGGTTTAATTGTTTATTTGAAACATTAGGAACATCGTCATTCATATGTTAGAAAAAATGCGGTTATGGCGGTATATTCTATATATAATAATTTTCCGAATCTTATTCCAGATGCGCCGGATTTAATTCTTAGTTTTCTTGCAGTTGTAAATTTTGATATTAGGATTAATTATTTCAATATAATATATATTAGGAAACCGATCATACATGTAAACGTAATGCCTTTATTAGTTTGTTTGGAATAGATCATGAAATGGCGATGAAATATCTATCTCAACAATTGAATACAGTGACTTCTGCAGATGAGTTAATGCAGCTTGCTATTATTGAATTTATCAAAAAAGATTCATCTTTGAATCCTAATAATAAGGTTATATCTTTTTTTATATATATCTATGATATTTAATTTTTATATAGATGCAATATCTTCCTCTCGTATTTGAACTTCTTGAATCTGGAACAAATACAATTGCATTTGAAGCTGCTACGACTTTAACTTCTCTTACTAACAACTCTGATATTATTATAGGTTTTTATAAATTTATTTCTTTAAATTGTAAACGATTTAATAAAATTTAGCTATTGCTCAAAAGTTCATTGATCTCATAATCAAGGAAGCAGATAATAATGTTAAATTTGTAATTTTGGAAAAAATTGACGATCTCAAAAAGAAAAATGGTAGTATTTTGGATGATCTTGTAATTGACGTTCTTTCTATTTTAACAAAGTCTATCTTTTTATATTTATATTTCCAATATTTATTTTAATAGTTCTAATATCAGCATTCGAAAAAAGGTTTTAGATACGTCTATGGAAATGCTTTCTGGTAGAAATGTTGAAGATGTAGTCTTGTTATTAAAAAAAGAGTTAATTAAAACAGTTAACCAGGAGAATGAAGAGGTATGATTAAAAACTGTAATTATTAGTATTAAGTAAAATAGAATGAATATTTACAATTATTAATTCATTCGCTACATATTTGTACAACTAAATATCCCCAGGTTCTGGGAATTGTTGCAGATGTTTTAATAGAATATATTGGGAGATTTAACAATACTTCTGCTGCAGATGTCGTGGTATTTGCTAAGTAGAATTTCCAGGAGTTTACTACTTTTTCTGATAAATATGATAGGGAAATAGTTGAGAAATTTTCCATCTTTAGTAAATCAATTATAGAAAAAATATTATTGAAATTTAATGAAATAAAATCTGGAAAAACATTTTATGGTATTTTATGGATCATTGGCCAATATTGTACAGATGAAAAAGGTTAATAAAAATTCTATATTTTCCTTTTATTTATATAAAAAGATATTGAAAAGGCTTGGGAACATATTCGAAATAGCATTGGAGAAATGCCTATTCTTGCTTCTGAACAAAAGCTTGTTGAAGAAGCTCAAGATGATATTAATCAATATACACATACTGATAAAGAATCAAATTCTTTATTTAGTTCTCGAAAAGTGTTGCCTGATGGTACATATGCAACAGAATCTGTTTTAGTATCTGAAACACAAATAATTGATAGACATGAAGGCATGAGAAATTTCCAAAAAGCTATATTAAGATGTATGTTATAACTGGTTTATGGTATTTTTTCTGATATAAATATTAGCATTGATATTAGATGGTGATTATTACCTTGCATCCGTATTATCATCAACTCTTGTTAAACTTATTATGCATTATTCAGAGGTTTCAAAAAATACATCCAAACTCAATTTTATGCTTGCAGAAAGTATGCTTATAATGACTGGAATTATTAGAGTAGGCCAATCAAAATATGTTAAAATGCACATTGATGAAGATTCTGTTGATCAAATTTTAATTTATCTAAAAAGCTTGATTGAATATCGAAAGAATTTAAGTATAAAAGATATTTTTCTTAAAGATACTAGAAATGCTTTTGTTAAACTGTTATCTATTGAAGAAAATAAAAAGAAAACTTGCGATACAATAAAAGAAAAGGATTCTCTTCAACCAGATGACGCTATTACTATTAGTCTTCTTGCCAATAAATCAAATATAGCAGGAACAGATTCGGTAAAAATATATTAATTGTATTTAACATTAACCTAATTTAATCAGACACAATTAGAAATACATAAAGCTATAAATGGTGAAATAGAAACAAATATATTTTCATTAAATTCTAGAAAAATCTTTCAACTTACTGGATTTTCTGATGCAATATACGCCGAAGTATATATGAAAGTTAATCAATTTGATATTATATTAGATATTCTTTTGGTAAATCAATTATCAGTAACTTTGCAAAATCTTTCTGTAGAATTTGCAACATTAGGCGATTTGAAAATTGTTGAGCGCCCCTCTATACATAATCTTGCTCCATATGATTTTTTAAAAGTACAAATAACTGTCAGGGTTTTATCTACTGACACTGGTATTATATTTGGAAACTGTACATATGATGATGTGGGGTTTCAGGATTCCAATATTGTTATCTTTAATGATATTCATATTAATATTGCAGATTATATTCGGCCTTCATATTGCTCAGAAAGTCTTTTCAGACGTATGTGGACAGAATTTGAATGGGAAAATAAAGTAAATATATCATCAATAAATAAAAGCTTAAAAGAATTCTTAAATGAGATCATGGCTAAAACAAATATGGCATGCCTTTCTCCAGAAACATTATTTAAAGAAGATTGTGGTTTTCTTAGTGCAAATTTATATGCTAAAAGTATTTTTGGTGAAGATGCTTTAATGAATGTCAGTGTTGAGAAACAGGATGATGGATGTATTGTAGGTCATATTAGAATACGCTCAAAAACGCAAGGAATTGCTTTATCTATTGGTGAACTTATTAATAAAAAATGATAAAATATGAAAAACTAATAAATTGATATTAAATTAATTATAAATATAGTTTATAATCGTTTGTTTATTCAATACTGTTTATATTTTACTATTTATTAAGCTTATTTGTTAAATATTAGCTTTAAAATATCCTATTAAATATTAATAGGGAATATATTTGTGCAATAAATTATGTGATTTTTATCTAATTATAAATTTAATTTAAAGAATATAATAAAAATATTTAGATTTGTCTTCATTAAAAAATTTTAATAAAATGATATATTGAAAATGCAAAAAAAAAGCGTTAAATTTGAAATATTAAACATTTTTTTTTGTTTTTTTAATAAAAGTATCTATTTTATATTTATAGATATCTTATACAAATAATTATAAATCTGGAAAAAAATAAAAGAAATCATTTTTGAAATAATGAACTTATAAAAACTAAAGAATTACATATATTTTTTTATTAGTATTTATGATAAAATTCAATATTAAATAATTTTAAATTTAAAATGTATATTTAATAAATTCACAAATTTTCATCAAGTAGACATATATAATCATTAAAGTATGATATTGTAGAGTATGTATCATAACCATATATTTAAATAACTTATTTAAAAATTATTTTAAATAAATAATTAAATATTAATGATATAATAATAATTATTATTATTTAAACCCATTAAATTATAATCATTAGACCCTTTTTTTCTTGAAAATATTATTGATCATCAAACCCATACCATTCTTCTATAAAATCTTCTTCATTTTTATCATCTATATCTAAAACTTCATCATCAAAATTATAATTATCATCTTTATTGTTCCATAATTCAATACGTTTATCTAGAAATATAGCTTCTGATACCCGTTTTTTCACATATTTATCATGAGACTTCTCAATTAAATTTAGAAAAGGCGACAAAAATACTTTAATTTGGAAATTTTGATTTTTATTTTTTACTGGAAAAACTTTATCAAGCTCATCTAAATAAACATCCAAAATATGATAACGAATACTATTTGGAATTTTGGGATTTGTTGGACTACATAATTATTAATATATATATATAATTTCAATATTATACTTTAAAGGAATATCTTGTAATAATAAAACATACTTATTAACTATTTCTTCTGACCAATTTGATGACATACATAAACGAAATCCTCCTTCAATATTTTTCCGTATTAAAAGATAAAATTTATCCAGTCTGACATAAATTTTAAATAAAACCTTTAATAAAAATTATAAAACCTTAAAGAATCTATTGAATTCCATTCTCTACAAATAGTTTCCCAGAACGCCTTTAAAAATAATAGAGAACTGTCTGATGGACATTTCAAAATCAAATCTCCAATATCATTTGCTAGTTTTTGTTGAGCAAGAGGACGATCACACATCCACATACCTTATAAAAATTAACATAAATATTAACAAAAAAAACTAAATATAACAATAATATAACCCCTTCCAAAGCTTTAAAAGTTCAAGATATTCTAAAGGCCTTAAAGAAAGTAAAGATGGCAATGACTCAAGTACTAAATCTCTTGTTTTCTTATCTAAATAGACATTAAATCTGCAATATTTAAATATATTATTACCATTAGATGAAAGCTTCTTAATAGCTTGTTTATATTGATAAGTTATTGAAGGTTCTTTAACCATGTATAAAGGCATCAATTTTTTTAGTATGGAAGATCGCTGGTCTATCAAATATATATAGATAGATAGATAGATAGATAGAATAAGATAAAAAAATGAATATATATTTATTAAAAAAAATTAAACAGTAATCTCATTTATTTGTTTAAAAGTTCCTTTAAGTGTTTCTTTATATAAGTATATATGATTATCGCCGCAACTAACAGCAAGAATATTGCCTAAAGGCGACCAATTGACTCGCCATACGGTATCTGAAAATGGTTCTTCAGATAAATATGTTTTTTTCCATGGACCATCTCCTTCTTTTGTCCATATAATAACCGTTTTATCCTTTAAAGAATGAAATAATAATAATTAAGAATAAGTTAAATACCTGAGAAGCAGATGCAATATAAGATTTTGGTAAACCAATATTAGGTGCCCAATCTACATCTCTTACCCAGTCAGTATGCCCTTCTAATACATCTTCGACCACCCAATTATTTTGTTCATTACTATTTTATTAAAATATTACTAAAAACATTAAATCTTATTATGTACCTAAAATTCCATATTTTCACTAAATTATCTGAACCACCTGTAACAATTCTTTTAAAAAAATTTGAATCTTGATCTTTTCCTGTTCGTATAAGAGATGCAGGTGGTGTAGAAGGTGACCACGAAACTGCATTACATCCTACAGAATGTGCAGGAAATGTTCTTGTATCCCAAGTACCATCATCTTTAAGTTCTAAAATAGAAACTCTTCGGTCTGAAGATCCACATGCAAGTATAGCACCTAATTCATGAGGTGCCCAACTTACTGAATTCACTATAATCTTAATATTAAAAATATAATATTAAAAAAAACTACCTGATGCATGATGAAATGTATGTTCTTCAAATTTGCTCCATACATTATTTATTTCTTTCCAAATAATAACACGACCATCATAACCACCTGATGCTAAAATCACTCCAAACTTAGGATGTGCCCATGAAACATTCCAAACAGGTCCATCATGGCTATAAAGAATTATTATTTTCACAAAATTATGTATATCTTTATAACCCTTTTAATGTTTCTATAAGTCGTTGTTGATCACCTTCAATATCAAAAATCTTAATAGATTTATCTGAAGAACATGTTGCTAAACGTCTTCCATAATAATCCAGAACAGCATCATGCTATATATGAAAATATATTAATAAATAATATTTTAAAAAACTATATTACAATCATATCTTCATGTTGTGTTTCTAAGATACGTTGATTACTCATTGATGATGACTAAATAAGAATTAACCCTTGTTTCTTAAGGATAAATACAAATACCTGTATATTATTTATATTTTCTTAATAATTTATATTATATTATTAAAGGTTTTAGAGATTTAAACGTTCGCTGTATAAGGTTAGAAAAAAATAATGAATAGTTTATAGTGTTAATTTAAGAATATAAATGGAATTAATAAGATTTATATAGAGATTTTTAAAAAAAAGAATTAAAGATGCAGATTCCATAATATGAATTATTGAAAAAATACATGATTAATTTTACACATTTTAGCGATTAATATTGGAAAGAGTATGATGAATAGGATTAATAATTCCCTGACATCTTTCTTTTAATGAACTTGCATAATTAACAAAACCTGGTAAATTATCAGGATCCAAGCCAATTCTCTCTCCTGTAGGAAATTGTTTTCCTAAAGCTCTCATAATAACTTCTCTAAGCATATTTTGTTTTTGGTTAAGGGTAGAGTTATTTAAATTTTCTTCATGCATATCTGGTACATCATTTTCTAAAGTTCCTAATGCAATGATGGCTTCAACTTCAGGCCATATTTCGTCTTTGTCCCCTTCTTTTTGAGCAATTCTTCTTAAATCTTTCAAATCTAAAAATTATTACAACTTTTTTTAATTAAAAATAAAGATTTAAACCCTCAATTAATGATGCAAATTTTCGTATACTTCCAAGATGACTTTTAATAGTATCTTGTCTTTCAGCAATATCAATTGGTACAATAAGTTCTGTATCAAAATCATCATCCCATGCTTCATCTGATTCTAAAAAAAAAATTAGAAAAATAATATAGATAGATAGATAGATAGATAGAAATCAAACCTTTTTTTCTATATTCATCATTCCATTGAAATTCGCTATACTTTGAATAAATATTAGGTACTCTTTCATTCATTAAAAAAATATTTGTAGACGTAGAAGATTCATAAATTTTTTTCTGATCAGTATATTCAACCTCATTAAAATTATCCCATAAAATATCATTTGATGTATTATCAATACTCTTTTTAGGTTTATTATTCAACAATTCTATTTTATCAAGGAAATTTTCATCTGAAAAACCACTAGTTGTAGAAAATAATTGCTTGTTAGACGATTTTTGCAATTCATAAATTTCTCTATCATCAAGCATAAGTTTGCTTAATGGATTAATGACGTCAAAAATTTGGTCAACCCTAACATTGCATTTTTTGCCAGGATAAATGTCATTATTAAATACCCTTTTTTCAGATTCTGGTACAGAATAGACATTTAAGGGTATATCTTTCATTAGAAATAAAGGCTTAATAGGTGGCGATGCCGAATGCTTATACGAAACAAATTCTGGATCCGAAAAAAATATGCTATCATTCGAAAGATCATAAATACTATCCATACTAAAAATTGACGATGAGACTCGACTGTCTATATCTTGTATTGGTACAAGAGAAACTGCTGGACGTTTGGATTTAAAAGGATATAGTTGACGAATTACACATTTCGAAGATTTAGAAAAGAACTTTTTTCGTGCTTTAAAAGGCGCAAAATATGGCTTCCAAATTGATGTATGTGCAACATCATATCCTTTAGATAAACTTGACTCCCATTCCTTGTGTTGAAGTTCATGTTTTTTACTCCACTTACGTAATGAAATACTAGGTACTGAATGAAATTCCATAGACAATGTTGGTAATGATGTTAAAGAAATACTACGCCATGACTCCTCAAGTAGGCGTTTCTGTTGTTTCACCTCGGTACTATCAAATACTGCATTCTGTCCCTCTTCTAACGGTATATGAGTTACCGTTTTAGATATATTTACCGGTTTTCTAGCTGGACGCACAAATACATATCCTGTAGTCGCTGCTATTATTGACATGCTAGTATATGCGACCTAATTTAAATGTTAACTCGATTGCTTTACTATATATCCTTAATACCGTGCTTAAACTTTTCCATGGAGGATCAGATCTATTTGTTAAAGATATCCACTTGTTGTCACATCGGTCACCACTATTACCCATTCCTGTTTCTTATATATAACATAAATGTAATTATGTTGTTTATATATGATAAATACAATAGAATAAGGTCTATTTTTAAATCTAATAGATTTTATGCAGTTGAAAGCCCCGGTCTAGAGGAAATCTTTGGTTGTCAAGACGACGAGTTAGAGTGGTGTTTTTGAGTTTCTATAGTAACCGTTATCATAAACATATGGACAAAATAGTCTAAGATTAAAGATATGTATTAATATGAAAAATTTATGTATACAGAGGATTAATTAATAAAGATTAATGAAATAAATTATTAAATAGAATGAGATATAATTTTTTAATATTTATTATAAAGAAAAGGATATAGCAATATTATAGAATATAAATAATAAATAAAGTAGAAAATATTTTATATTTGATAAGAAGATGTTATTAAGAATAAAGATTGTTATTGTATATTAAATATGATAAGATCTAAAAATAATATGAAGGATTAAAAAAAATATTAAAAATAGTAATGTAACTAGTAGTTATTTTATTATATACAAAAGTCGATATTTTATAGATAGGAAAACATGTGATTTAGTATAATACCAAAAATCATTTTAATAATTAAATTATTATAAAAATCCGAAATATTTGTCAGTTAAAAGAAGAATTAATATTTAATGTATATTCTGTAATATATTGTTTTATATTTGTTTTATTTCTGGAAAAATAATCTCAACGATTTCATCAAAAATATTAAATATTAAATGTGAATTTAATAAAGGATTTTGAAACATGTTAAATATTTTTTTGGGTGCAACATCTGGTAAATAAACTTAGAGATGTTAGTATAATAAAATTAGATAAAATAAAAGCCAAACCGGGAAATATAGCAGAAAACAAAAAACTGGCCTCAACTTTTGTTTTATTTTTTTCTTCATAGGATCTAAAAGGCCGATTTTTTATTAATATTCCATTTGGCCAAATAGTATCTTTTAATGCTTGAAGTGTATTCAAAATGGATTGTTCTCCAAAAGCATTCCGCAAAGTTTCACGAACCTTTCTAATTATTGATAAATAAAAATACACTTAGATAGATAAAAAAATACCTTTCAATTGTTCCTCCTAATAATTGTTGTAATATTATAACAATTGCACGCCCTTTTAACCAATTGTTAGACTTTCTAAGATCAAAAACTTCTAAAAACAAATCGCATATTGGTTTCGTAAACGCTGTTACATCATTTTCTAAACCTTTCAAATTTTGTGGTTGTCGTGTAACAGAAGGCTCGATATTCTCTTTAGATGTTATAGTATTTAATAGATTAAGATTAGTTTCAGAAAAGTTATCGATAAAAGCAGAATTAGGTGAAGCATCTTCTATATCTTCAGAAAGGTATTTAAAAATATATCCAACAATTTCTCGTGGATCGGAATATGATATTAAATCAGAATTCTTTTGTAATGATGGTAATGTAGAGTTCTGCTGAGATAAAAATATGCGCAATTCTTTTGAAGCACAAACTTCAGGAATTTGTAATAAAGTCTATCAAAATTAATACTTTAATAATAGATATATCTTCTACCTGAAGATATTTTTCAAGCATGTTTCTTCTTCCCTCAATAAATGATTTCTGCATCTTTAAAACAACACTTTTCTTTGGAAGATCAATATTCCGTACTTTTGGAAAATACATTTTTAATCTTTGATGAAGATGAAAAAATTCACTATAACGACGTCCAAGAATCCATCCTGCAGTAACAACTTTAGAAGAATCGAACTTCTGTATTTCTATTATATATAAAGTATATTGAGACCCATCCATTCCTAATCCTATTGTTACAGCAGGTATAGATATTTTTGATCTTCCCTATGAAAATTAAAATTAAAATTCTAAATAAATAAATAAACCAACATAAAGCAAGTTATCATTCTCTTGAATCATATACTGCTGCCTTTGATATCTCTTGCGACGAAGTTCTGATTGGATGGTTTTAATTGATTTTCTAAATATCCTGAGCTCAGAAATGCTATTAGTAAGCTCTGCTTTCTTTATAAGAGAACTAAGAACAGATTCCTCAGCTGCTAAACTATCAATTTCCATAGAAATGTTATCAATTGCTTCGGAAAGAGTTAAATCGCCGGGAGAAGCATGATGTATATCTGCATCAGTTAAATCCATATCAATATTTTGATTATCATAAGATGTATCTATATCGAACTGCTCAGGTTCCTCGAATAATGGCGTACGAACTTTCTTATTTGTCGAATATGAGAAACTATTAGAACCTGAATCTGATGGTACTGTTAACGTTTTTTTTAAATAACCATTATATCTCTCTGATGAAGTGTCTAATATACAGTCGATATTTGGACTTATTTCATATTTATTTTGTTCATCGTCATCATCATTATCTATAATGTTATTTAATGCAGTTTCAACCTCTTGTAAAATATCAAAATCGATTTCATTGCCATTGCTGGATTCTTTTTTAGAGTTCTGAATAGAAGGAATATTTAAAATAGTGTTAGAATTATTTTCTGAAATAGATTCAGATAAAACAGTGGTTTTATTTGCTATATCATTAAGCATTTGATTTTGAAAATTATCTTTAAAATTTTTGGATGTTTCTTCGGCCATTGTAGTCAAATATTTCAAAAAAATTTCACTACTTACAAACCCTGGAAGATCCTCTTCTTGCATAATTTCAAAGACTTCATTCTGTATTTTAGATAAAGCTTCTTTAGCGTTATAATATTTCTCAGGTATATCTGATGATTTAATAAATTCTTTAATAACATTTTTGTTTTCTTCAGATATATTCAGAAGATTTTCTGAAAAATATGTCTCAAAAATCGTAGAAACATCTTCCTTATACGATAATCTTACATCAAGACTTTCAGGAAAAATAGATATTACTCCTAATGGATCATTTTTCGAGGAAATATCATGATCAGAAGGATTATTAAGACCGTTTACAACAAGCCAAAACTGAACCAAAACTATTCTATTTTTTTGATCCATAAATTCCTTCAAAATTAGCAATTTTTTTACAATAAGTATAATTTACCATAAAATAAGACAAACCAGAAACATTATGCAATATCTCTATTAATTTAACATCTTTTTGAGCAAATAAAATTTCCGATGTTTGTATCACAGAATCTGAATACTATCAAAAATTAATAATAGAGAAACAATTCATATAAATTAAACATCAATGTTTATATTTCCTGTTAATATTCTTATTTGTTTTTCTATAAAATATTTGCTTTTCTGAAACTTAGCTAAGACGTGATCTATATGCCGATCATTCTCATAATTGTATTTATTAGAATCTTAATAAATTAGTTAACTTGATTTTTTTTAGAAAAAATATACATATTTTTGATTGAAATTTATGGTTCTCTAAAATAAGGTCGTTTCGCATTTTTCTTAAATCTGACAAATTGTTGCATTGTTTTATAAAATATATATATTTTTCAAACATTTTTTCATTATTTAATGGAAATTTAGGAGTATGTCTTTGTTTCTCCATTTTCTCGTACAACGAATGTTTTTTAACAACATCTCTAATGCGTCTAATCTTTTTTCGTTCTCGTATTATAGAACTAGTCTATATAATAATGTTACTAAATTTGAAATATACTTTATATGAATCTTACAATAGTCACTATTAATTGGTTGAGTATATCAGGATCTATTAATAACTCTATAATAGGAGATAAGACACCACATGAAACAATTTCTCGAGCCAAAGAAAAAACAACCTTACTATTCGCTTCAGACTCAGGCAATATAAATCTAATAAATTGCCCAACTGATTTTCTAAGATGATCTTTTTGACACATTATACTTCCTGAATGTGAAAATGTTACAGCTGGATGAAGCTTTCCATTATTGTATTTCTTTGCTACTGCATGATTTAATTCTGTTAGATCTGTAAGATTTTGTTTAAGACCAAGACTCTGTACTTTTAAATCTGCTGCTGTAGATTCTGCTATATGTTCTGTAATAATAGGTATAATTCTTCTAACAATAATATCTCCTATATCTATGGTTTTCAACCGATTTCTAAGTTGAATTAAGGAATATCGAATTGTTTTTTCAATTACAATAGGAAATACACCTTGTGGTGCTATTTCCTTATACCATTTTACAACAAAATCTCGAATAATAAGATCAATTATCTTATTAAGTTCCTCTGAAATAGGCAAGGACTCATGAAGTGTAGAACATTGCTTATCTAATGATGCTTCTTTTTCATATACTTTAATAGCTTTTATCCAATCCGACCACTTTGTAAATACCAAAGGCCTTAGATCATTCACATAATTATTAGGAACAGATCGCTTAAGGTACTTGAAAGCCACATAGAAAACTGATATGATAAACAAAATAGAATAAAAAACACTTAAAATAAAAATTTGATATAATGAAAAAAAACGAAAAACTCGTCCAATTAGAAATGAACCTATAATACATACAAGTGTAGACCTTATTGATAGGCCTCCAGTTGATAACATAAGAAAATAATTAGCTGCTTCAATATTTTTAGATTTGAAGCTGATGGTCAGTGTAATCGAATGACGGGTTTAATATATATATATATGAAAATATATTTTTAAAATATTATATATAAAAGTCAATAAATATCGTCTAATCTCTTATAACAAGCTATGAATTTTTGACCATTGTTTTTAGATACTTTTTTTGCTTCTTCAGTTTGAGATGTCATAATAGAAATACATGGATCCAAAAGAAGTTCTTGTGAAGATAAGCGTTGAAACAATGGATGATAATCTAAATGAGCTACCATCCAATTATGAAGATCTTCTACATCTGTAATTGTGTAGAGAATACCCTGAGGTTGAAGAATGAAAGCATATTCAGTAAGAAGTGTAAATCTATTAATGTTATTATATAAATTAAAATAAATATATAAATATTACGTTATAATTCTTGCCTTATGTTTAGATTTTTTAAAATGTGGATCTGGAAAACAAAAAAACATTTTTGAAAGCTTAAATGATTAAAATAATAACAAAAAATGATATAATATACTTGATGCCTATGAAAAAAATTCGGTAAAAACTTCATTGCATTGGTACGTATAACAGAAATATTATGATATGCTTTGTTTTCAGAAAATTGATGTCTTAATGCAATAATTTTATCATGAACATATTGTGCTACTTGCAGACGAATTTCCACTCCTACTATATTAAAAGAAAAATTGACTAGAATTAACAATATACCCAGAATTAAAGTATCCGGATAGAGGGTTGATAGTGCTATTAATAACCCTCCAAATCCACATCCAACATCCAGAATTTCTACTTTTTTATTTTTATCAATATCTGGAAAATAATTCGACCAGTCCATCATAGATGGATTAGCTGGACTTTACATTTATTTCCTAATCTTTCCCTTACATTTCTTTAACTTACTAATCTAAAATATGATCTGAAAATACATTAGAATGTGCTCTTTGTCTATAAAATTTTTTCTAATTTTTTAAGTTTTTTTCTATTAAAATAATTCTAAAAAATACCCTTGGTAGTTCATTAAAGACATGTTCTCGTCGTTTCCTGCTTTTTTTCCCTTCTTTTTGCTTCATTTTGAGCTTTTTTCCTCAAAATTCTGCGATTCTATAAAAACATATTAAAAACTTATCTTAATCTTTCTATAACTAAATAATATATGGAAATAAACAATTCAAACAATACAAATAAAGATTGTATTGATTCTAATGAAAATAATGAGACAACAGTACATAATCTTCCAGCAGATCAAGCAATGGAGTTTGATATTCGTAAGAACCGATGGACATATGAAGATAAGGATGGGAATGAATATGAATATGATGAAAAACGGCGTATATGGGTTTTATCTGTGCATGAAGACGTTTATAATAGTTTGAAATTGTTTTAATGATACATTTTAGATGGATGAAGAATTAATACGTGTTCAACAAAATGCGTATTCAGTTGAAGGAGTAGATGAGACAATTCCAACAAATATTCAGAAGAAGAACAAGAAAAGAGTATATTTCATGTTAATATATTGTTAAAGTTATTTATTGTTTTTATTTAGACGGAAGAAAGAGGAAAAGATGAGTATTTATTTTCAAAAAAAAAGAATCTAGGAACACCAAAAAACACAGCAGTTTATGTATCTAATCTCCCGCCGGATGTAACGGAAGAGGAGATAAAAGAGAAATTTTCAAAATGTGGTTTAATTAGTGAAAATATTGATACAGGAAAGCCCAGAATTAAAATTTATACAAATGAACGAGGGGAACCGAAGGGAGATGCAGTAATAGTATTTTTTAGAGAAGAAAGTGTTAAGCTTGCTATTCAGCTTTTGGATGATACGTATTTACGTATAGGAGAAAGACATGGTCAAAAAATTAAAGTACAAGAGGTAATATCTTTTAATATAATTATTTTTTTTGATTATTATAGGCAGATACATCATATAAAAAATCCCAAAATAATCCAGTGAAACGATCTTTTAATGAGAAACGAAAATTGCAGCAGAAAATGAAAAAATTGAATAAGTATATTTTTTAAAATATATCTACAATTATTTTATTAATAAATTTAAAAGTAAGATATCAGAATGGGATGAAGACACTTCTAGTTCTTCTGGAAGGTGGTCTAAAGTTGTTATTCTAAAACATATGTTCACATTGAAAGAGCTTGAAGTAAAGAAGAAGATATTATACATAAAACATTGTTGAATATATTATAGGAAGATATGACTCTTATAATAGATCTTAAACAAGATATTCTTGAAGAATGTTCTAAAATAGGAAATGTTACAAATATTGTTTTATTTGATCTGGAGCCAGATGGAGTCGTCAGTGTACGATTTTCTGATGAAGAAAGTGCATTAGTATGTGTCAAGGTATAAAAATTGATTATGATTACTCTTTTATTTAAGTATTTATAATATAAAGACAATGAATGGTCGCTACTTTGGAGGAAAAATAGTAAGCGCAGAAATCTATGATGGTAAAGTTCGATATCGAAAAAGTAGTAATAAAAATGCAGATGATGCAGATGAACAAGCTAGATTAGAAAAATTTGGAGAATGGCTTAAATCTCAAGAATGATTTTTTTCATAGACAGAACATTTAAACGTTCAATATTCGTAGATGTCTATGGAATTCGTTTTAAGTTTAAAATAAATATTTAATAATATATATGGTAATTAAAACATTTACTATTAATTATTAGGAAAACTTAGAACTCCTAAGCTTCATAATAGCTTTTGAGTTTAAAAATTTAATTGATTGGTTTACAACTTCTTTTTCCTAAATATCTATATATTAATTTGGGTTTAATATGTTTTATAAAAATAAATTACTGCAGTTATATAAATTTAAACATCTCTTTTTTTGTGTATAATTATATAGAATCTTGTTTTGTTTATAAACATAAACACTATTTTTCATACACTTAATCTAAATTGTTATCAAGACATATTTTTAGCCTTTAATACATGGTTTTTTAATATTTATATTTTCTTTTAGATATACATACAACTTAGCATTTTTTAATTTACATATGTTTATTTATTTATTTATACTTTTTATTGATTAGTTCGTAGCAAATATCTTGAACCCTATCGTAATCTTAAGCGATAACGATAAGACTTCAAAATCTCTAAGTCTCTCTAAAAATTATAAGGTTTGTAATAAAAGTAGAAATATATGATTAACAAAGTTAAGTGAGAGTTATAAGGGAACATCTTGTTCCGAGATAAATCTATTAAAAAATATCTTGAACATTTCTGTAAATACAAAGAAAAAACATATGGGAAACAAAGAAAATATAGATAAATAATAATAGTATTTTGAGGATAAAGAACTGCTTAGGGGTTGATCCTTTAGATATAAAGTAGTTAAGCAAAAATATAATTCAGTAGATTAAAATAAACAATATTAACAGATCAACAAATGATGGAAGCATTTGTAAGTGATCTGTATGAAATTAGCGAAAAAGAAAATCAGTGGTTTTCATCATCTTTAAACAACGAAGAACCAGGTTTTATTTATAATGAACTATTAAATCATGAACATGGACATTCTGGTATACCTTTTGTCTATTCCTCCTCTTTAAATGATCAATATATGTTTCCGTCAATGCAAAATATAGATAATATTATAGATTACGGGCTTGAAAACCATAAAAATTCTTTTGGAATATATAGAAATTCGAATGGATATGAAAAACATGCATCTAATGAAACAAACCTCGAATATAACCAAAAATCCTTTTTAAACACAATAGAAAAAACTGAAAATGATTTTCTTGATTCTCCTTTCTATGAAAAGAAGAATGCTTTACTGCTTAATGAAAAAAGGTCTAGTTCATTTATCTCGCCTAATAGTAAACAATTAGTTTCTACAGAGAAACATATTAATGATCTTGATGTTTTTAATAGTACTACAAATATTAATAATCTGGATGATAATTTTATATCAATATGGGAGGATACTCAAAACTTAATGCTATCATCCCAGGTTTTATCTAATAACGATGATCAACCTCAACAAACTTCCAAACATTTATCTACTATTAATATAAATTCTAATATTTATAATCAACTGCAAAATCAAACGTCTGATATATTGCCTATCATTAATACAAATGCTAAAGATAATGCCTTTTCTCCAAGATGCTTCTCTGATTTAAGGATAGACACTAAATATGCACTTGATTCTGACATGATGTTAAAATCTACTGATTTTCAGACTACTTCAAAACAGTCTCAAAAAAACTTTTGCAATCTTCTAGCTAATCATTATGATTTAGAAAATATTTGGAAACCATTATTTATAGAACCCAATACAATATGTCCAGCGTCATTGTCCTCACCGACTTTTTCTTATCAATACGCTAAAGATGATAACTCCAATAATTCTTCACAAACTCAAAATTGTTTATGGAAAATATCTTCAGAGAATTCAGCATCAACTTCTACGCCAATTTCAACTTCTATACCTTTAATCTCTCGAAACATAAATCAAGATAATCCAACACTTGCATCTTTTATTCGCTCGTATAATACATTAAAAACTCAATACTCTATGAAACAAGTGCATTCCATTCTTACTATTCATAGAGTTATATTTAAACTTAATCATTATGCACAAGGGTTAGATTGGAAGCATTTTCTTACTGCATGTATTCAACCATTATCGAATTATACACCGCCTATTGTTTTACCATGGAAACCTGCTTATGTTCATTGTTTAAAGGGATATGAAGAATGCTGGAATTGGGAATGGGAACCTAAAAATCGAGAATCTAAACCAAAAGAAGATAATCAAAAGAATAAACTGTTATTTCTTCCTCCGAACCTTCCCTTTGGCTCTAAAGATGTTCCTCTATTTCTTAATTCCAAAAAAAGAATTAATCCGTCTATGTTAACGAAGGCTTTGGAAAACTGTCCTCAAGAATTTAAGGAATTAATTACATATAAAGAAGAAGATTTTGTTATGCAATGTCCTGCTATTTATCTAAGATTGAGCACAGAAATGAAAGCACCAAATTTAGCACCACAATTAAGAAATAAAGGACTTAAGCCAATACCAGCAGATGATCGATTTTATTATAGATCGAGCTTATTTGATCCAATTGTACCTTTAGATCATTATACAATATCTAGCGAACTTCTTGTTCATTCGGATCCTAATGAGAGACCATATCAAAATACTAAATTTGAATTTATTGATCGTTATAATCCTGAATATTATCGTTATAAAGGAAGTAAGAAACAAGCACATTGTTCTCTTTGTCCCCCTGGTGGGTATGACACTGGTGATGACAATAAAAATGATATTTTTTCTGTTGGAAATTGGTATGTTACAAAGTGTTCTGCTTTTTGGTATCATAAAAGATATAAACATGGAATACGTAAATATGGATATCCTTATCCTTATCCTGAAAATATTGAAATCATTAAAGACAAATCTGTACAAGCACAATGTCCAATATGTCATAAATGGATGAAAGCTGGAATGGTTGATGATACAGTTCCTCGAGCATTTTGGACCCACTATGATCAGGTATGTTATATTAATTTTCCTCCAAAAATATTGATTTACGATAGTGTTGGAATATGGTAGAAGCCATTTTAAGTCCTAAAAAAAGAAAAAAAGAGGATGAGCCATGTGAGAGTAATAATATTTATGGAATTAAATCAAAATGTACATCTTATTTTAATGGATTAGAAAAATCAATGGTTAAATCCAAGCTAGAACTTAAAGTACAAGGAAAAGAAAAAGATGATGATATAGATGATGATGAAATCGATGAACCCGTTGTTTTACCTACTATTTTACCCCCCTTGGAAATCGATGACGGTGATGAGTATTTCCCTGAGGATGATGAATTCAGTTTTGTCGTCCTAAAAAAGACAATATAACGTCACTCGGTCACTTGTTTTGTTCTGTTTATTACTGTATTGATAACTTTCTTGTATATTTTCTGTATTTTTAACTCCTGACGTTTTTTCGTGTGGAGAAAGCTTATACGAAAAGTTATTAAAATCTTTAGAAATAAGTATTATTGTATTTGTAGTCAAATGTTTTATATTCAATACAAATTATGTTTGATAATTTGTTTTTAAAGTGTTCTAAGAAGTACTAATTATAATAAGATATTATAGGAAAAAATTGAAAATGAATGATTTGATTACACAAACAATACAGCCCATAGGAGTTTCTACTCAGATATCAATTTATGAAGAAGAGGGAGCAGGAACATTAATTACACTAGATCTTCGTGGGAAACTATTTGTAATGGAACGGGAGGAATTGATTAGTCTTCCGGAGAGTATTTTGCTATGTCTTTTTCCTAATGGATGGATAGCAAATGAAGGGGCAGATGGGGAGCCTGTATGTGTAGATGTGAGTGATAAGAATTGAAAAAATAATATTAGATGTGGAAGTGAGCTGAAACAAATAGTATGATTCGTCTATTTTATCATATGTTATTCAATTCTTTTGTGAATCTGTTTCTACGTCTCGAATGGAGCGAGAAATGTTGGAAGAACAAAGTATACCTTTTCCGGGGAAAGTGGCGATTATTGTACTTAAGGAGGATCTTGATTTTTATCTAATTACTAAGTCAAAGAATAATTCAACATGTGATAATCTACATTCATTGAAACGAGCAGTTGGCGAACGACTTGTTGACATTAATGGAGTATTCGATGGTCTTTTAAGGTCAAAGAGTATCAAATCGAATGATGGTATAGGAACATCGGAACAATATTTAATTGATATGTTATGTTCAAGGTAGTATATTTTTATTCAATATTAAGTATTCAATTGAGAATGAAAGTGGGTTTAAAAAGGATGATAAATGGCCTAGAAGAATCTTAGAGCCTTCTAGGGCGTGCATATCTAGTTTAGCATTGACAGAAGTAAAAAATAGCGATAAACAATCGACATCGATTCATACATGCCAAAAACTTCTTTTATTCTGGAGAAAACCTGCTGTATGCCAGCAAAAAAGTTAGTAAATCATTATTAATATGAGACAGAGAAAATGTTGGTGGGATAGTATGGAATTCACAAATATTGATGAAAATATCGAAAAAGTGAAAGTTTGGGCACGTCGGGTTTGGACATTAGAATTGAGTATTCTTTCTGCAAGATAACTGACAATTTGCATGAAAACATTCAATTGCATTGCATACATATTATTATTTGCAAATTTATAAACATAATGTTCGGAATATTATATATTCATAAGTTAAAATGGGTATATATTCATATATAAACTTAAATAAGAACACAATGGGCATCATAAACGAGCTTATTCATATCATAAACTTTATCTTTTTTTTTCATTTTATTATCTTTTTTCTCACAATTTTTTAATATCTTAGTTTTTATGGTCCGATCAATTGATTTAACGTCAAAGTTTCTGATATATAATATGAAGCACCCATAAGACTTATATTTCTATATTTCAAAGATGAATTCATTAGGGAAACTATAAAAAGCATTTATGTTGTTTTTTATGATTTATTTTTATTAAAAAAATAAATAAAACATATTAATTTTAAAAAATATTATAAACATAAGACATTTTTATTATGGAAACATCAAGGAAAAAGCCCCGTATAGATGAGGATAAGC